GCCCGGACCACGCCACTCCCGCCGTTGCTCTGCAGGGCCCGAACAGGTATGCTCTGTTCACTTTCCATCTCAATGCGGCACTACTGACCTTAGTTGCAGCCCGAGCGACAGCTCCAACGGGGGCTCTCGTCCACAGGATATATCGAACACCGCACCTGCCTTGTGCAACTTCGCGCAGGCGGAAGCCGCTCTCCAAGTTTGCGCTGAGGGCCTGGGCCCTGGTCGCAATGCGCGCCGTCAATACTACTTTGAGAAGAGGACGGCCGCTCGCGCCACCGCTCGTGCCAAAAAAAAGAAGGCCAGTGCAATGCACGTCCAGAGCACGGCCTCTCTTTCCCAGCGGAAGATGCCCGGGGGTTACATCGGCAGTCGCATCAAATCCGAGCGCCCACCCCGGCGAGAAATCATCGGGTGTGCTAATGGGTGAGCGTGCACTCTAGCGCCCTTTGGTGAAACCGAGCTCACATCTGAGGCAGAGCGGCTGCGTACATCTGTGACTCAGAAGGGAGGCTCGTCATCTACAGGTCGTTCGCAGGGCCAGCCACTGTCCGCGCCAACTCTGCGGCTATGGCTGCTGTAGAGTACCTGCAACACAGTGGCGTCAAGCCGACATATTCCGGCTCCACTCGAGGAAACTTCCTGCAGTATTATTTTACTTTGCATCGGGACAATCAGGTGGTGAGCACTTTCCTTTGTGGGCGTGAGCTTCCTGTAACTGACCATAGCGAGACAGAGGCCACGCATGTCTCTCTACTACTTAAAACACATCGACGTTGTGCGCGAGCTCGGGAATCTCCTCAAGCCAGTGGTCGCCCTCATAAACGGTGAGTTTGAATGCCACTGCCGTATGCATGGCCTAACGCGCAGGCCGTTCCAGGTATCTTCAAGTCTCGATTTCCCGACCTATATGCCCATTACGCCGCCACTCTCGACTACGTTCTGGAAAAGGATGCAGGCCTGGAGGCCCTGTTCTACCCATTTGCATCATTTGCGCTCAACGCCGGCATCGTAGTCACCTTGCCCCACCTCGACTCCACCAACTACGGTCCCGGCTTGTGCTGCATCATGCCGTATGGAACATTTGACCCTGCGCAAGATTGTCGAATTGGCATCGCCGAGCTTGGCTATGAGATCGAGGTAGGCCCCGGAGTGCCTGTGTTCATTCCATCGGCGATGTTTACCCACTACAACACCATCCTGATCTCCAAGGGGATGTGAGGGTCTCTTGTGTTTTGGACTGGCGGCTCAATATTCCAGTGGGTTGAGCTAGGTGGCAAAATGGTTTCTGAGCTTTCTGGTCCTGAGCATGAGGTGTATATCAAAGGCCTTGCTGCTCGAATTTTGGCCGGTCTTGCTCGGTTCCCTATGCACATGTAGCGGCACGGCGTACATTAGAAAGGTTTTAAAACGTTTGCGTGGCGACAGAATTAATAAACAGCCCTCTGCCTACTTATAACTTGTGTGTTGAACATAGAACGGTGCCGCTATAGCCAGCCCGTCCTCACCTCTTGCGCACTACCCTCGCCCCTTGTCCTCCAACGGCCCCAAGACATTGCTCTTTAACCAACAATAGCGCCAACTGTGCCGTGGCTCCGTTCTGCCAATCCTGGACTAATTTTGGAATCTGAGGTCGCAGCGTGAAGAAATCTTCCACGGTAATGTTGACCGAGCCATCAGCATGTCACAGTAAGAGAGCAAAGCGATTATACTACTCATTAATTGCGCTCGGAGGGAGGAGTGGGTGGGCGGAGAGCGGGTGGGTGGAGAGCGGGTGAGGGGGTTAGAGATGAAGGGGGCGGAATACGTGGAGTATATGTGACGAGCAGGCACTGCGCGTTTGCTCGTTCAGAGCCCACAAGAAGCACCGGCTAAGCGTGGAGTTCAACTAGACGTAGTGGCCTCTACTCGCCTTCTATCGTGATCGTTCCACCAATTAAGGAAACTGTAGAGATCTCACTCGGGCATGGCCCTGGCATCACTCTACATCGCCTGTCTTCGCCTGTTACGACACCGTCCGGACATCTTTGAGACGCCGCTTGGTTCCAGAAGGCATATTGGTTCTTACATTCGTCTTTGGGGAGTTGGTAAGCATATGGTTCTCATTGCGAGTCGCTTGGTCACTCACCTGCATAATCGACACACATGTAGCTGATCGGTGTCTCCCCGCTCGGTTCTGATACAAACAGGACAGAGCAGTTGAGCCGAAGTCAAAATGACCGTGACTAACGGCCACATCCTATTTTCTGAGGTAAAAAATTTGCCAGTATTACACGTTACAGATTCTAAGGCTCGACGTGGGCACTGCCATGCGGTGTCTTCTCACACACACAGCATCGCAAGTGCATGCTGTAATGTTTCTCTTCTGAGACCCTCAGCAAACTACAGCCATCTGTCAGCCTTCGCGATATCATTTGTTTAACTGGCGTTCTCGAACGTCCCGCAGGCGCAAGGCAGTGATGCTCGTACCCCATGATCCGGACGCCAGGCATTTTTGACCCCATAGACACCGTGTGCTGTTTGAATTGTCTACTTTTAACCCCAGAGGTTCTGGTGCCGGGTAAGCCCTTGTGTTCTATGAATGGGAAATGAGCCCATGCGTAGCTGACGATCGTGTCCGCCAACCACCCTCCCGTCTTCCACGGTCGGTTCACGAGTGTCATCGTAACATTGTCTCGATTTTTGGAAGCGGCATGCGTGGCCAAACCTGCATTCGCGGTGATGTTCACTTTTGGGCAACTCGCAACAAGACGCCGCCGGTGCCTCCTGGTATATATGGCGCAGGTGAGATCCTCTTCCGAGCCATCCTCTTTCCACAATGGACCCCACTGCAGTTGATTGGGCGTCGATACTCGACCAAGCTAGAGGTCACTTCAATCTGCCACATCCTCGCAAGTATTTTCCGTTTCAAATGTTTGTATATTATTACTGACGATGCTCTGTCAGTGGGGCATATGGCACAGGCTTTGCACGTCAACCCCGAGCACCTCGCTCTCCACCCGGCTAATCAAGAGCCCGACATTTCCTCTGCGGTATCGTACTCTGCTACAGAGTTTTCGGCTGCTCTTGGCCCGGGAGCTGCCGCTGGTGCCTCTCCTTTTGGGGCTGCCGGCGCCCTTGCTGGAGCTGGTGGCGTCCCTGGCACCCTGCCGGGCGTCCTCACACAGGGGCCTGCTTTCGCTGTCGCCCCGATTATGGCTCAGGGAAACTACCCCGGGGTGCTATTGCAAGTTATTTCGACCGCACAACCGGCATCGAGCGAGCTTCAGCCCATGGTGCCCACGGGTTTGCCCGACCTCACGATCGGCCAACACTTCCCGCAGGGAGTAAACCCTGTTGCAGTAGGCTCTGTCTATTTCCAGCCACTCGGGCCTAATGAATCGCTGCTGTTCACCCCCTCACCTGGTCCGGTGTTGGACCAGCCGACCAGGATGTCCCAGCTAGAGGACTGGGCCCCCGTTTTGCACGGGGTTGCATATGAGGCTCGCGACGTGTTACTTGGGACCATCTTCGCTGATGACAATAGCGATCCCTTTGCAACTGGTTCCCCTGTACGCTCGACTGCACGCGAGACGTTTCTTGACATTAGGGCGCGCTTCGAGGATCAGGAGTTGCGGAAGAGGAACCCGTTATCACGCCGCCTTCCCGAACAGTGTAGGTGCATTAGTTAGTGATACAAATTTCTTGCTAATGTATTAAAGGAACTCCAGATTGGGCATCCGATGACATAGTGACCCTCGTAAGCCTATTCCACTGCACCTCTGCTAGTACTTATTTACCTTCGCAGATAGCAGACTCCCTCGGCAACTTCAGGTCTCGGCTGAAGGATCTCACACAGAAACTCATCGACATCGACCCTATCAATGACCGCAACCCTCTCCCCGTACAGATGTATAAAAGTTATTATCTGCACGCTCCCGACATCAACGCGGACAGTGATGGGCCTGCACCTCCATCCCTCGTTCGCCAAAGAGCCATAACTTTGAGGGAGCACGAATTATTCATGCACCGTGGCACCGCACTACCGAACGTGAGATGGCACCTTATTCGATGAGGATACAGGCTAACGGCAGGGTGTAGGGCCGATTCCAACACGACTATAGCAACCCGGTGCTATTCCGCTTGGTAGAGAGAGCATTCTATGAGGGAAACACCTTCGGCGGCCAACATTCCCTCGCCCGGGCAATTGATGCAATATATCGAAAGTACTTCCCGAACGTCCCGGACGAGGAAGTACCTTTCCGCACATCCATCCCGATCACCGCCATCGCCCTATGCGTCACTGTAGTGAGTTAACGCCTTCATTTCGTATGATTTGACTTCTGATTTAGAAATAAAGATTGCGAACGTGCTTGATCAACGTTGTGAAACCGGCTTCTTCGACCGCATCCGCTTTCACCGCGATAGATACCGCACATTATTTACGGACATTCGCAACGAGCTCTATCTGGCGCTGCAGGACCCAGCGTTCGGCCCTGTTTATCATGATTTTTTGAGGCAGCATGCTGAGTCGTAAGCCCGTTCCTCCTGCACCAGGGCTATTGGTATTAAACAAATGTTTTTGCAGGTTCCTTCGAGGCCGCCTGTTGCCAGTACCGGGCGTTGACGAGGGGCTGTAAACATGTTCGTTCCGGTTTGCCTCTCTGTCCTCATGCAGTGTACGTTAGTCATGGCGGGCCTCTCGTGTTGTTGAACGTGTACAATGTATCCATGCGATGAATGTTATTTTGGACGCAATACAATGTGAACGGGTTGCGACAAGTCACTTGAACTAGACTGATGCCAGGTGGCGGAGCAGTCGCCACTGGAAGCCTGGATTTGTAAGTGGCATTCGCCGGCGTCTGAGCAAGGCCAAAGCCCTCCAAAACTCCGAGGCCGTACGTTCGCATAAAAACCCGCTGCTCACTGCTTCCTCCCTACCTTGCGTCCCAGTGCAGGTTGCTCACATTTCTGTACATAATTTCTGTTTTCGTCTGACCTGAGTGTTCGCTAAGCTTATCGTGATGACATCTGCGCCTAGAGAGCCCTCCCGCATACCCACTGCCGTCCGCAAGTTGCTTTCCTCGATGTCGCGCTCTCAGCCCACGCCGACATTTTCACCCACTTTCACCTCATCCGTTTCCTCAGTTCCACAATCTAACACCCACACCGCCAGTCACGAGCTAGTTCCCTCTGCAGCGAGTGCCAAACTGGTCCCTGAAATTGCGCCGACGAGCACACGTGGCTTGGAGAGTAACATGCACTACCCCACCAAAGGCAGCGTTGCACCCGCTGTCCCATCGTATGATGCGGTACGAAGACTTCACTAATGGCACTATATGGCATACGCTGAGCATATCATTAGACCCCGATTATCCGTGAATTAATGTCTACAAGGGGCTTCCCAGAGAGGGCAGATGACGCGGAGTGCCTCCTGGCCCTTGTTCGCAGGGCGCGGGACCATCAGAGCCACTTGAAGAGCGCCATGGAGGATGCCATTTGGTGTAGTCTCATACAACTGCACCTGTATCAGGCGGAGTTGAAGAGAGTGCGAAGACAATTGGTGGAGGCAGAGAGGGGTGTCGGAGAAGTTCGCGCCTGGATCCGCGACAGAGGCATTCCAGTTGGTGTGGCTCTGACGCAGGCAGGTATCACGGATGAGATCGAGGAAGACCTTAGCGATGATGATAGGAGCGCGTTCTAGTTTCTTTCACCGAGTCCTTACCCTCTGTTGACCCTCAACTTCAGCTCGTTTATTACCGATACCTCTGATTGTTTCGATACAGGACATATGACTGATTCATGTAACTATACAAGCGTTGCGAGCGAACTGGACGCACCTGTGGCTACCTCTGAGAACCTGACAAATCCCGTGGGAACCGCCCCAGAGGTGTGGCACTCAACCAGAGAACTTCAGCAGGCAAGTGAATGACGGGTCTCATAAAAGGTCTGGATACGGGGTAAGAAAGTCAATCGTTGTTTATCCCATCGTTCGCAGCTGTTTGATCATGTCCTCAGAGTCAGACATTCGAGTTACAAAACCCTCTTTCTCCACTGGGGCACACAAGAGACGGAAAGGAGACTCCTCTGAGGAAGAGGACAGTGGAGGTTCAGCAACATGATTTGTTCTCGTTCATTCATTTCGCTGATTAATACAGTCGGTGGCGTCATCCAGTTTCAAAGCAAGAAGCTGAACGGATTGCATGGCCCTGCAGGTATATGCTCTCTTGAGCCACAGTGCGGAGAGGACTTATATGTACAGAAGAAGCTACAAGTCGGGACGTGGAGAAGATAGAATGTGGAGTGCAAACTGACCCCTCACCAAGCATAGGTCAGCTGGTTGTATACAGTTATGTCGCGATGCTTATGCCGGTTTGGAAATATAGGAACTGGGAGTTCCGCAGCCACCGACGTCCCGCTGATACCAGAGCAGGTTGCTGCATTACAAGCAGAGATCGACTCTTTGAATGCTGAAGTTTTCTATTATCGCGGTATGTGGTTGAGTGAAATTCGGCACGCAGAGCTTTTGGCACGTCTTGTGCCTGAAGAGGACACTGTAGTCTACTATTCTCAGGCTCGAGGTGAAGAGTTGTCCCCATCTCCTCGTCGTAAGCAGGCCTTCGGTTGCATCCGTGTACCTTTGGACTCATACACTTTAAAACAGATGATTTTGTACGTGCCGGTGAATCATAGCTAGCGGTCTACGCCGGCATCATTCAGCCTGGCATTTGTAATGGATATCATGTTCATCGCCGTTTTGCGCTGTAATCAGAGATTCCATCGGATTGAAGAATTGTCGCATGACTGCACATTGAATCTGTCGCGCTGTCAGGCCTCATGGCAACCAAGACATGTGCAAGGACACTCTTCTATATCGACATGCAGCGTTGATCAATTGGTTTCAGATATATCCAGTGAGCTTCCCACGGCAAGTCTCTACTTGGTCCGACATAAACGAGACGACCAGGTGAATTATTTCCTACAGCTGAATTATGTTGCTCTTCCCTCGCTTTCATGGAGTCCTATGAGAACTGCGTCTGCGGCAGGAGCTTTTCGCAATCTAGTGCATTTTCGCATCATCAGAGAGCATGCCAGAAAGCTAAAAAGCGACTCTCTGATGCACTGCACAAGGCGAAGGAAACATGGTCTTCCAGGAAAAAGCGTAGGCTTGAAATTTCGAAGCCTGCAGAGGCACCAGCATCAAGTTCAAATACAGTGCTCGTGCAGGTACGTACTATTATCAGAAAGACGGGAGGTTTTTATGTTGACAACGTCACGTAGCCAACACAAGTGGGCAGAGAGGATGTGGACGCCGTGAACCTAATGCCGGTACGGTCTATTACTGCAATAATCGCAGGGGGCCTTTGCATTGACTATCCGACGTAGCCCGTGCCAGAAGTGGGCAGAGAAGATGTGGATGATTCTAATCTTTCACTATTGGAACGCCGACCCTGGTCTCGCAGACTCAATCGGCGCTTGCCTCGACGGTTCAGAGATTTACTTCCTGAACCTGCCCCATCTCTTCCCCCTTTGTCGGTTTCGCCGCATAAGCTTTCTTCGTTATCAGAATCGACATCTACTTCTTTGATGGAACATCCAGTGAATGCGATGTCTCCACAATCTCATTCAGCTATCGAGTCATTGGCTCACAGAATACAAGGGTTCTTGACGACACCGCATAATAAATTTGGTTTGTTCCGTCGATACTGGACAAATGCTCTTCCTTCGCACGATCCGGAGGAGCTGCTGTCGTTGGAAGACCTGTCTGAGTCTCCGGGTGCAGTTGAATTTGCTAATGATACTTTCCAGCGATACTTTCCATATCCAAATGCAACGTCCTTCCGTCTCGGCGACTGGTACTGGAATGGGGGCGTGCAGAAATCTCAATCAAGCTTCAAAGCATTGCTGGATATTATCGGCGATCCCGAATATGATCCTGCCGATGTTCGAGCTGCGCATTGGGACGATATCAACAGGCAGCTTGCTAGTGACCAGCCCGGAGAATGGGCGGATGATGATGCCGGCTGGAATCACACTCCCGTGACTATATCGGTACCATATCATCATCGATGTGGTGTCTCGATGGATCCCCAAAATGGACCCAAAGATTACACGGTTGTCGACTTCCATCATCGCAGCTTGTGCGATATTATCCGGGAGAAAATTTCAAACCCAGTGGACGCGTTGCATTTTCACTACGAGCCATTTCAGCTACTTTGGCAGCCTGGAGACGTTCCAAACCCCATCCAAGTTCACGGCGAACTTTATACGTCACCAGCATTTATCGAGTCCCATCGCGAGCTGCAAGACTCCCCTCCCGAACTTGGTTGTGATTTGCAGCGTGTCGTCGTCGCAATGATGTTTTGGTCAGATGCGACGCACCTGACTAGCTTTGGAAATGCCAAACTGTGTCCCCTCTATCTGTTCTTCGGAAATGAATCCAAGTATCACCGATGCAAGCCCTCACGTCACCTGTGTAATCATGTTGCATATTTTCAGTCGGTTTGTATCATCTCCCTGATTGTGAATTAAAAATGTACTGACATATATAGCTTCCGGATTCCTTCAAGGATTTTGCGTCTGGCCAAACCGCTGACGGCCATATGCCAAATGCAGCATTCTTCACTCACTGTTATCGCGAACTTACCCATGCTCAGTGGAAAATTCTGCTCGACGATGAGTTCCTCTATGCCTGGGAGCATGGAATAGTAATCACATGTTGTGACGGGGTTCAACGACGCTTTTATCCTCGCATATTCACATATTCTGCAGACTATCCTGAGAAGTAATGTTGAGCTCTCATCCAGTGATCGATACTGATGCGATTTCTACAGGATACTTCTGGCTAGTATCCGAAACATGGGCCAATGCCCTTGTCCCCGCTGTCTCATCCCGCTATCTCGTGTTCACAACATTGGGAAGGCAATGGATATGAAACAGCGTGAAACGTTGGCTCGGAAGGACGATGCTCATCGCCGGCAGACTATCGCTACCGCTAGGTCACTAATCTATGAAGGAAACCTTCAAGTCAACTGCGCAGCCGTCGAAAACCTTCTTCGTGATAAATCTTTTGTTCCGACTGCGGTATGCAAGCTCAACGACCCACTCATCTCCCTGATTCACTCGTTTGTACACAGAACGCATTTTCGGACCGGCTCTCTCCGTTCGGATTCAACATGTTTAAGATGTTTGTGGTCGACTTGATGCACGAGTGGGAAATTGGAACGGGACGATCTATTTTCACCCATTTACTTCGTATCTTGGAATCAGTAGATGGCACACTTCTCGCTAAGCTAGATCGTCGGTGAGATACTCCTATAAAACCGGCATCGCGCGTGACTTATATCTTACAGTTTCAGAGCAGTGCCAACTTTTGCTGGAGCTATACGGCGTTTTCGTCGAAACTGCTCCGAAATGAAACAAATGGCAGCACGAGATATTGAAGATATTTTGCAGGTTCGTGTGATCAAGCACTTCCCTCATGTATCTGCTTAATTTATGTCCGTCAGTGTGCCATTCCTGTCTTTGATGGTCTTCTTCCAGAGCCACATAACGGACAGGTTCTCAAACTCCTATTCATCGCTGAGCATTGGCACAGTTTGGCCAAACTGCGTATGCACACCGATTGTACTCTCCAGCTTCTGGACGATGTCACTGTCTCATTGGGAGACACGCTGCGTCATTTCAGTGAGCAAACGTGCAAAGCCTTTCCAACGAGGGAGCTTCGATGAGAGGCGGAAGCTCGGGCTCGCCGTGAAAGTAAGAAGATGGCAGCGCGGGCAGACGAAGCTCCTGTGTTTCCGAGATCCGGCGGAACTGCTCATAAGCCGAAGGCATTCAACCTCGATACTTACAAGGCCCACGCGCTTGGTGACTACCCTGCAACTATCAGATGGCTTGGCACCACAGATTCATACTCGACGGAGCCGGTGCGCATCCGATCACAGTTGCTTGAATGTCGATATTAACACATGGGTGCTTTTTTTCCAGGGAGAGCTTGAGCACCGCACTTCTAAGGCGCGGTATGCTCGCACTAGTCGCAAGCAATATATCAGACAAATTACCCAGATAGAGTGACGTCAAGCACGAATTCGCCGCATTCGGGAACGGTCCCAGAAGAAAGTCAGGCACTACCAGGATGAAGGAAGTCTTGATGCGGTGGATGTGCATTATGCGATGGGAAAGTCACAAAATCATCCTCTGTATATTCCAGATTTTGTGCGCAGAAATACAGGTGATCCAGCTACCAAGGTTCCGTGGTTCTCTTTATTTTAGAGGTGCTGATACTCATCCATTTTCAGGATTTTGTTGCGAAGCTGAAGAAACATTTACTCCCACGCATCAAGGCGATGATAGGCAGAGAGGCAACATTTTCTGGTCAAGAACAATCGCCCTTGGTACCTGTGATCGAAGACAATTCCGCACGCCGCGACCATGATTCTGTGTTCTTCAAAGGCGACCGCATGTACGAGCACCATATCTTAAAAGTCAATTATACAACATACGATGTTCGGCGATCACACGATATCATCAACCCTTCTACGGACAATCGGGACATCTTATTGCTAGCCAGGTTTGATGATCTCGAAGATGCCACTTCTATGCACCCATTCTTGTATGCGCGCGTTCTTGGTATCTACCATGTCAACGTTGTGTATACAGGGACTGGCATGGCCGATTACACTCCGCGGAGACTGGATTTTCTCTGGGTGCGATGGTTCCAGTACGTCGGAGATTCGAGAAATTGGAGCCAACACAAGCTCGACACTGTTGAATTTCCCCCGATGGCAGACGAAGAGACTTTCGGATTCATCGATCCGGATGACGTTCTACGTGCCTGTCATATTATTCCAACCTTCAAAGGAGGGAAGATTCATGCGGATGAGATTGGTCTCTCACACTGTGCTAACGATGCGGAAGATTGGCGATTTTACCATGTTAATAGGTGCACAAAGTTCAACTTCCGTGGCTGAAATGCTCTAACCACGGCGTGCAGATTTGTTGATCGGGACATGCTGATGCGCTACCATCGAGGCTTAGGGATAGGACATGTTCACGCAGACGGTCCTACGCCAATTGTCTTGAGTGCCGTTTGCACAAATCCTCTTGAAGGTTCCAACGACATTTCCGACTCAGGAATGAGCGTCGATATCGAGGCAGATGGACTCTCGTCTGCTCCACCGGATGGTATCTTACAGGCTGAGGGGGAAGACTCCAACGATGACAACCTGGAGTTGACTCTTGAGAATTTGGAGGATGACATGTGGGATTCGGACAGTGAGGACAACGAAGAGACAGAGTTGGATGACTCTGATTCTGAGGAGATGTGATCAGAGTCTGCCATGCTGCACGAGTCGCGGTTGAAGGCCACTTTGCACAACTGCATTAGACGATCCATCGAAAAAGGCCTCTGTAGGTTTGCAGATCCTTGCGGCAGTCAGAGACTCACGCATCTTTACAGCACCTTCCCATCCGAGCCTTGGTGACTGTACATCCGAGCATAGCGCATGTCGCGAACATCCATCATGGTTTGTCCTACTGCTTATTCTTTGTTCGAAGTGTCTGACATCCTTCATTGGATCTAGATCACTTGCTTAGGGGTTCATCGTGCAACTCGGCCTCTACATGCCCATGTGTTTATCCTTCTTGCTACTCAGTTCTTTTTGCTGTTGGCCTTCCCAATACTGCCTGCATCATCGCTGTTGATGTAAATGTCTGTATGCTCCAGCGTGTGTCAGGGCATTATTTCATCATGGTGTTGTACATGAGCTATCCGGAGTGTAAACGCATCCTCGACGCGCTCAAGATTTATCAGAACGGCGGAAGAGAATACCCATATATCTACCATTCATCGCAGGGTTTTGTGTATGAGGACATGGTGCCCTTGTCCGACTCGGGCCGAGTTGACGGCGACAGAGTGCGCCGCATTTAAGCGCCCGCCCATCGACACAGCGCACATCGGCGCAGCCCATCAGAGTTTTGGCCTTCATACGTCTTCAATTTATCCACAGCTACCGCTTCAGCATATCCTCTGCGACTCAGCTAATCATGCTATAATTCGGGATGCGTCAGGGGTTGAGGTATGGAATTAGACCCCTCAGGCTCACGCCGGTAAGCTTGATCTTTCGACGAGCCAAGCCTGGCACTTGCGGGCTTGATTTTGTGCTACAGGATTTCCTCATTTCCTTCATATTCACAGATGATCACAAACGTTCTTGTCTCCCCGCTAGCTACCCAGTTTCTATGCATATTCCACACACTGCGACCCTGCCCACATGGGCGTTTTGGTGGTCTCCGTACTGGCAGGTCCATCCGTTGTAGTGCCATGTCTAGCTGCGTGTGTAAACCCAATATTGGGCGGGCGCATGTCAAACCAGACTTGGACATCATGGATAAACTTGAACTTTGATTGTCGGTGTGCCTCCGGCTCTGAAAACGCAAAGTCGAACACCCATATTAAAGGGCTGCGGGCATCTACGTCCGATTTGAGGCCGTGCTCTACGCTATACAGGTGGTCGAGCTCTTCAACTTCGCTGGAAGTCGTGCTGGAAGTCGTGTTATTCAAACATCCAGGAGCATGGGCACAGCTTTGCAGCACCGTGTCGTGTCATCAGCCCTCCATCGGGTGCCTTTATCTATGTAGAGCACCCAATTCGAGCGAAATTTCGACTCCAACGCTTTTGTGAAGGGAACTGGTGAGCAGAAGATCTTCCATGTGAGTCATTCGTGTAGTTTGAGCTTGTCCTTCACTGACGTGTGCTTTACCCTGGGTTGTGCAGCACAACATGCGACGACTTCTGACTTCTTATTTGGGCAGTGGAGAAGACTCATCCGACAAGGATATTCGCGATTCGTATAGTTTGTACGAGAGCCGATCGGCCTCGGCGTACTAGAGACCTATACCGGGACAGAGACGCTCACACCGTGCCGCACATATACGACAAGTGGTTCGTACACGGCGGCGCGAATTTACACGCTGATGCCACTATACTAATATACTGGCTCTGCAGAGACGCATTCAGCTGCGGGAGAGGAATCAGGAAATCTGTCGGAAAGCACCTATGTGGCCACGAACAAGCTATCAAATCCGTCGTTTGTGTGTCGCTGGACACAATCTCGCTTGGGGCAGACTACAAGGCGGTCGGGCTTGTTCAACCGATCACGAGACTGCCCCAAAATAAATAAAAACCTGAGTTCTGATCTGAGTACGAGATCGCGAGTATGTCCTACTCAGTCTCTGAGAGACTAGATTACCACTGAGGTGTGTCTGACAGAGCCTTTCACCGAGCATGATACAGCGGAGTGCAGGCACCGGCAGATGGCTACAGCGTGGAGTGGACATCATCAGTATGGAGGTATCCCTTTGGAGATTCCAACGATACGCGAAAGCGTCGCTGAAGAGCCAGTAGAACAGGAGGCGGAGGAGGAAGAGTTGCTCCCGCTCGAGCTGGAAGAGCCGACGCTGCGCCCGGAGGATATTTCTCTTCCACGTCGACATGCAGCCCTCCGTAGCTTCAAGGAACTTGGAAGTTATTGGAAGCGGAATCTGAGACCCCAAAGTTTTGCCTGTCCCTACTCCTTCCACCGAACTCCCAAGTGCTGAACTGCTGTCTTCCACTGAGTCGATTCCTTTCCCGTCTCCGATTCCTCCTTCAGAATCGTCATCTCATCTCAGCATATCTCTGTCGACTCTGACAAGTCCTACAGAATTCTCTGTGATGCCTACACCTTCTAGCATGCTTGCACCTACAGTTCCGTGCACAATCGAGTGGCATCCAGCCCTGCAATTCAGTAGTCTCTCCGGGGACTTCCTTGATCTGCCGGAGGGCCTTGATAATTCCTTTGAACCGACCTTCTTGCGACCGAGCGGATCAGTCTCCCCCTCTCAAGGCTTCACTCGCCGTCATTGACACCCACGCCGGCTAACGCGCCGCTCTCTCCGGGTGTTCCATCACCTACTCCGATATCCCCTGAGCCACCGCTGATCCTTTCGCACACTCCTTGGTCCGTATTGTCCATCTCTAGTTCCTCAATATCTGATGCCCTGTCACTGTTGGAGGTGTCGTCCATTGTGAAGCCCTCCGTTATCGCGCCTTCGACAGAGCCATCTCTCCTTTCTACAGCTCGCTCTCCATCACCGGTCCCAATGAGAGCGGTATGTAATCCCGCCTTTGCTTTGCACTTTTGACTGATCTTCTTCTCAGGTGTCGCGGCGTGGAATACCCCTGCCGCCTTCGCCTTCACCGCCGTCCGATGAGTGTTAGCCTGAGCACACCCCGCCGCGAGGCGTCTTCTGTGATGTCGACCATAGAGACGATTCCGTCCGAGGCTCCGGGCACGATTTACCGTTTGTTGCAATATTTGCATGACGCTGACGCAGTTAAAGGAGAGGAGAACAGAGAGTTAGCGGACAATGTTCAACAACTCAGGGAGGACGTGGCAGACCTCGCCGACTACCTTCGTCAAGTTTGTCCTCATTCGGAGACCCCCCCCCCCAGTTCCTCACAAGGATAGATCGGTAGGAGGGAGTAGCATTATTTCCTTTCCTCGTTCGTCAGTCGAGGGCATTGTGGTTCCTCCTCCGCCCTCAGCAGCTAGCCCAGGCATAGTCGTGTCTGCTCCATGACCAGGTCCAACAGAACCACGAGATCTCACCAGAGTCGGTGTGAGGGTCACAATTGTACCTGAAGACCCTGTGAGGATTTCGTCCCCAGAGTCATCTGAGAGTGGTGTTTTGTCCTTCCTGTCATCTCATCATTCCGATGATCTTAGTCTTCTCGAGTTGGAGACGTATCCGATGCGCGTCCCATCACCATCCTGGCCGTCTGATTCCAGTCCCTCCCCAGAATTATCACTACGTTCATCATCGGTGTCAGTGAGACCTCGGTCTTCATTAGCGTATTCGTCCGATGTTAGCGAGCCTGTACCAGAAGCGTTTCCTGCTCCTATGCCGTGACTTCATCTGCGACGCCGCCACCCTCATCTCCTACGCCGCCTCCATCGTCTCCATCTCTGTCATCATCATCCGGCGGCACCGCTCAACCCGTACCTACTCTCAACCTTGGTCAACTCAGGGATATGCTGGAAGGCATCCGGGATCAAGTTGAAGGTCTGTCGCATGGTCAACATGCTACTAATCGTGGATTGGATGAATTACGCAACAGACAAATGGAGCAGCGTTGGCAGGATTGCTGAGACAAGATTCGTAGATTGGAAGAAGCTCTTCAACGCCTGGTTGATCTGGCTCAACAAGCACAATGACCCCCTCCTCGTGACGATTTCTCAAAGTCTGTTTATCCTTCGGTTAAATCGCTGCTGGAGCACCTAGCTCGAACTAGGGCACAGGGCGATAGGGCCAGCATAGAGGCACCACCTGTAGTAGCCCCCGTACGTCGTCGTGCTGAGCCTTCATTCAACGAGCAACTTGCGGAGTTAATGGCAGCCGGTCCTCCCCCTCCACAGCCCCCGGTGCAAGAACCACCTCCCTTGGTTCCTCTAAGGTACCGCCCGGGACCTAGGACATCTCGTCCTCGGAGTTCCAGTCTGGCCTTCGAGGTGGACCTTCCTCGACGTCCTGGTACTGTACCTATCCCACAACCTGTACCACCTCGTGCTCCTTTTCAACCACATCGACGTCGTGCAGCGCGGCCACCACAGTTTGGTCCTCCGCCCTTTGAAGCCGAGGGAGAAGGACAATATCCTCCTCCGGTCGTACCGACAGGCCATGCTGGACCGGAAGGAGGTCGTCAACCTCGTCCTCCAAGCGATATTGATTTTTGGACAGGGTTCTTCGCGATCGTGCGGCTCATCGTCCGGATCTCTCAGATGGATGGTACACTGGTCCACCTGTGAGTTTTGTGCGACACTGGTTACATCCAGACTTACACACATTGTTCTGCAATAGGGCCGTGTTAGACAACCCACTGCCCGACCGGATCTAGGTGGTGATGACTCCCGACGCCGTCCTAGCGCTCCGGTAGTTCCGCCCCCTGGTGTCTTCACTGGGTACCAGGATCGGCAGGAGTGCCATCTGCCTTTGTCCCCGCACCGGTATGTTACTGTGCTTCTTATTGTTTTGGCTCGAGAAGACACCTCCTCTTCTAGACTGTACTGCAACTGCCTCCGACATGGAATAAGTTAATGACAGTTTGCGGGTAAGCGTCTTGAGTTGAAACCTGTTATTTGAGGCTAATGTCCTTCTCTCCAGAACAACCAGGATGCTACAGCAGCTTCTATTGATCAGGGCAAGAGATAGTGCGATATTTGACCGACTTAAATCGTTGGTTATCGCAAGACGTCCTTGACCGTCAACGGAAGATACGATCAGTACATGCGCGGTTACGCGAACTTGGCGATCACATGGACTGTGCACTTCCTGTTAGGCAGCCTCAGAGTAAGTTGTTTACTTCTTGCATTGGTTGATATAGTGGTGCTCAGGGAACTTCAGTGACAGCATCTGTACCCGCTGGTGGGATTGTTCAGCCGCCTCCTGTACTCACACCTGGAGTTCAGATGACTGGCGTTGTGCCTCACCAAGTCCTGCCGGAAGGATTTGTGCCACAAACTGTTCACGTTCAACCTCAGCCTGAGTTCCGTAGAACGCACTACCCTGATGTCAGGACGCCGACTCCAGATTTCTCCCCTGTCATACCTCGGCAGTCTCATCTTCAACAAGCACAAGGTATTCCCGTCGTTCCTGATCCAAATTTCTACCCGCAACCCCAACAACTACAACAGCCGCAGCAAACTTATGTGTACCAGCCTCTTACTTCGAATGAAACGGAGGGTGTTGTTCCGAGATTCCCTTAATCGAGCGAAGGGAGTGAGGAGAACGCTCCTCCACGAATCACCACCATCCCTCCCCCCCAAATGCCGCAAGGTCCCCAGGGACCGCCTGTCACGATTGTTCCCCCTCAACCTATACCCATGGTCGAGCCCACCGTAATGCGCTTGCCTCCGTCGTGAACGCCTTCTATACGGTCACGTCCTTCTGAGGAATACAGTGACTATGAGGTTCCGAGACACACACCTCCGCCTGACACGATCCACATTCTAGCTCTAGCTCCAGTGGTGCCTACGGAACCTCGGGTTGGTTCACCTCGACAACCCGATGCTCCCCGCACTCAGCCGCTCAAGGCCCCTCCAGCTCTGCCACCTGCTCCTATTGCTCCTACTGCTCCTGCCGCGCATCCTCCAATTATCGTTCAACCGCTTCCGCCTAGCGTCTCTCAAGTTGTGGAAAGGCGGCTCGCTTCGACTCGACCTCCAAGGTCTCCCGTGCCTCAGAGGGAAGAGCCGTCTCACGGGGAGCCTGCCACGATTGTAGTTCGCACACATTCCCCAGAACGGTCACCATGTCGGGTCAGCTACCGTCGCACGCATCGCTCTCGTTCAAGATTACCGACGCCCGGACTTCTCGTTGTTGTACAGCCGACTTCCATGGGCCCATATCCTGGAGGACAGCTGCAAATGCCGCATCCTGTTCCTCCTAGTGTTCCTGTTATCGTGCAGAGGACTCGATCGCGAACAAGATTACCCAGTCCTATTATAATCCACTCTGACAGGGGTCGTTCTCCCAGCATAGACAGAGATGGTCGGCGGCGTAGACCTCGCTCACCGACCGGCGTTGTAGAAGGCGATCCTCACAGATGCTCCCCATCACCAACCGTCCTGCATCGATGATCGCGTCCCACAATGAGAAGAATATTCTCCCAGATGAGCCTCGAGGTCGCCTCCCATAGTAGTATGCCACGGGTCACGGTCCCCCACCATTCGACTCCCTGGTGATGTTCGGAGATCACCACCCATCATAATCGACGGTGACCGCCATCGCTCTCGTTCTCCAACACTAGTGCATCGTGAGGAACTTATGATCGTCCGAGTGCCGACTTCACGCAGAGCGAGAATATGATGAAGGCCTTCGCGCAGAACCCCATCTCCTGCAGAATATGAAGAGGGTCGAAGACCTTCACATAAATCTCGGTTCGGTATACCGCGCTCGGAACGAGAACATGAAGGTGACCGCCTGCCCTCGCCAACGCGCCCTTACTCACCGGAACGACATCCCCGCCGTCCTCGACCACCGCGCGCTGAACGCGAACGTGAACCTCACCGTATTTCACCAAGTGAGCGGGAACCCTCAAGTTCACCCCCTCGCGTTGTCCGCTCTCTGTCTCGTCGAGCGCCTACTATCATTCGCACAGGTACAGGTCATCGAGAATCGCGCAGGGGCTCTCCAGGTCCAACTGTGGTTCATGTTGACGAACCCGAACGTATTCAAGTGCAATCACCCACCGAACCTGTGCCTCATGTAGCCCAAGTCCGATCTCGTAGACGGCCTAGTGAAGGTGCGTGTTACTTGGCAGTTATATCATAGAAGTGCTCATTAGTCCGCAGTAACTCTACGGAGGTATAGCCGAGCTACCCCGGAAGGTAAGTCTCTCATATGGCATTGACTCCGTCGTGTTGATTATCTGTCAGAGGAACACCACATAGAGGTTTCTCGAACTCCTAGTCATGGTACAGTAGCTTTCATTGAAGTCTTTGTACGCTCAGCTTTAACACCATTATCTATCCAGTTTCTGCGCGGCGTTTAGTTTACGAAGAGGCAGACCGGCCGACTCCAGGCAGTATGTGCTTTTGTCTCATTACAGGTCTTTTCTGCTAACTATGTCTCAAGTCACACGTGTGTCGACTCAGCGAACCGCTCGCACTGCTCGTACCGAGCCGATCGCTCCACCTGTGGAAGAAGAGGAAGAAGACATCCCTCATATTTCCGTTGTTATTCATTCAGTGGAGCATGTGCCTACAGCCTCGCGCCCTCGGGCTGGTATTCCTAGTGTCGCTGTGGTACCACCGGAAGAAGCCGAAGAGCCTTATCTTCCCGAAGAACTGCCTGCGGAACCTGGAGTGAGGGGAATTTATACGTACTACTATGGAAATTCAGCGCTGCAGACTGTATGGTCTAGAAGACCTTTGATTCGCAGACACAGAACGCGAACGTCAGGAACGGTTTGGGGAACTCGAGCAACAGCTTACTGGTACGATTGATGCCTTGCGGGATGGAGCCTTCTCTCCTTTCTACAGCTCACCCACCATCACCGGCACCAATGAGGGCGGTATGCTGATCACGCGTTTACTTTTCCCTGCTTAACTGATGCTCTTCTCAGGTGTTGCCACGCGGAGTACCTCTGTTGCGTTCACCTTCACTTTCTCCTCCGTCAGTTACAATGAGTGTCAGCCTGAGCATACCCCGCCACGAGGTGCCTTCCCTGATGTCGACCATAGAGATGATTCCGTCCGAGGCTCGAGTACGATTTTAACTCGCGACGTTAACCGTTTGTTGCAAAATTTGCATAACGCTGATGCAGTTATAAGAGAGGAGAACAGAGAGTAGCGGAAAATGTCCCCTAGCTCAGGGAGGAAGTGGCAGACCTTGCCGAATACCTACTCATCACGTTTGTCCACATCTGGAGCCGACTCCCCAGTTCCTCACAAGGATAGATCGGTGAGAGGAGCAGCCTTATTTCTTGTTCTCGCTCGGCCGAAGACGGCTGCTCTACGACCAGAACCACGAGATTCCACGCGAGTTAAAGGGGATGCATTGAATACATCTCCGATTCAAGTATACTGATGTCGTCGAAGTAATGAGACGTGCAGCATACTGTATGCCTGGACTGCGGGGTCAATCGGGCGCTCAATGGGATAGCAGGACACTCTTCTTCTGGATCGCTTGTGGTATTCACCGTGCAGCCACATTGTACTTCCTCACTGGCTATTCAGGTTCATGTGAGGTCGAAACTACACCGAGACCATCGTTGTAAGTATCCACGATCTCATTAGGAGCCTCGCCGGATTGTGGGAGTGCATGTAGCAGAACCAGAACCGTACTTATTAACCGTCTCACACAGCCCACAATTGTTGAACAGCCTGCGAGTTTACCGGTCTGAATATGTAAGGTTTCTGCATTATAATTAGACAGCGCCCATCAACATGGATTGTAACTCTGTTGCACTGTCGTGGTAGACTGCAAGCTCCAGGTCAGCATATGATTAGTGGAATATTAGCAACCAGGTGCCAACAATTTTCCAGACATTATCTGAACTGCAGTTACGACAATGCCTGATGTTTCCCCAAATATCTGAGACGATTGTGCCAACCCCTCCTAAAACGTCGTCGTGATCATGGTTCATGACAGTGGATGTGGAAGAATTGCGACTGTGAGCCAATCACTGATCGTGGCAGACAGTTTGACATCGGCTTGCTGGAATAACTATGAAATACTTGTCGAATGATCAGCTGGATTGTCGTTAAGGTTCATTTGAGCCCGCACTTAGGCAAGATTAAATGCGCAAATAATGCACTATTCATCTTGCTCGAAGCCCATCTGTACGCCACCTTGTTTTCAACTCCGCCCGGTCATACCAGCGTCTCCCGAATTTCCCGATGATAGTATTAGATAATCGAACAAAACATATGTGATTTCTCTCACAATACGAAATGGTTACAAATTTACTGGCCGCCTACTGCTTGGGCAGCGCGAGCTTCCGCCGCCGCCTTTGCTGCCTCCGCCTCCACTAACGCGCGAGCTTCCGCTGCCGCCTTTGCTGCCTCCGCCTCCGCTAACGCAGCACGAGCTTCTGCAGCTGCAATGCTTAGGCAATTCAAATGCGCCATGTCCTGCGCGTAAGTGGAAGGAGATCGTGCCGTCACCGCCGCCTGATTCACGACAGCTCCAACCACCATAATGGAAGGCAGCACCAGAGTGGAGGGCGCTGCTGCTGCCAGACCGACACTCGCCGCCTTCGTGCATTTGAGCTTCTCGAGGTGATGGTTGCCCGTATGCTGTGTAGCACTGTGATTCTCTGGGAAGATACGACTGTCCTCAGGAATTTGAGTAAGTTAGCATGACAGAATGGAGCAACGCTCACCAGTTCCACCATCTGAGAAGCTCCTCTGCTTCTTCATGAAACTCCGGGTCTGCGAAGAAGGTGCAGATGCTGCGATAAAACCTGATACAGTGATGGTCCTTGCTGAACTTGTTGAAGACAGTTGTCGAGCAGATTGCGAACATGAACTGTGCGAAGGGGTCTGATCATTAAGCAAAACACGAACATAGCATGGAGTGCTCACCTGACAGGCACAATAGGCGATTGAATGGGGTGTCACCACACCTATCAGCCAATATATACCTAAAAGTCCATATAACCGAGGTGGAATATTTTGTGTAAATTTCCATAAAACTGAGTGTTGGCCAAGAATATAATATAGGATGGAGATATAGGGTTGGCCAAGATAAGTAGGCTATATAGGCTGAGTTGCATATTTGGGAGTTAGCCAAGGGAGGTGCGGTTTAAAGTCTATATAGGTTGTCGGGCATTTTGGGGTCAGCTGCCATTTCTCTATATAGATTGTAGCTGAAATAGTGCCATTAGCCAAGAGTCATAAAATTCCAATTCTATATAGAGTTTGCAGACAGTTGGGCTTGGCCAAGTGGACCTATATAGAATCTTTGTGTAAATGTTCCACTCGGCCAAGGCACATGAAATTTTGATCCTATATAGCATTTTCTGACATTTGGCTGTGGCCAAGGGTACCCTATATAGATTTTTGTGAAAATAATGCCTGCGGCCAAGGGTCAAGAAATTGAAATCCTATATAGGATTGTCTGAAATTTGGTCGTGGCTGAAAATATCCTATATAGTTTTTATGGAAATGGTGGTCTTGGCTGAGTGTTCTGAAATTTATATTCTATATAGGGTCTTCTAAACTTTGGCATTAGCCAAGAATGCCCTATATAGTTTTTGTGAAAATGGTGGCCTTGGCCGAGGATCTAGAAATTTTCATTCTATAAAGAGTTTTTCACATTTTGGCCTTGGCCGTATAGCTTTTTACACAAATGGGGCTTCAGGCTAAGGCATCCAAACTTAATGGTCTTGCTGACGCTAGTGCAAAGCAGGGGTATACCCCTGGGAACTTTGAGCTGTACCCCTACCCTTACCCTCCAAGGGTACATACCCTTCACCAGGGGTAAGAGTATGGGTAAGGGTACCAAACCCTGAGGGTATACCCCTCAATATCTGCCTTACTTGAGGAAATAACATCATAGACATTAAGTTTAAGGCTTGTAATATTCTTCTTTTCCCTTTAAAGCTTCTGTAAACATAGTTTAAGGCTGTATCTAGGCTGTACTTAGGCTTTAGTCACCATACAATTACTGCTTACATTATATATAATATATGCAGTAATACCCTCCAGGGGTACAAGGGTCTGAAAGTTCATACCCCTACCCTTACTCTCCAATACCCTTACCTCTTACCCTTGAGGGTTATGCATACCCCTGCTCTGCACTAGGGCCCTAAGTGATGAAGGAGGGTGAGTGACTATCTGTTTATGCCTGGTTAAACTTATTCACAGATTGTAATTAGCATGTCAGTTAATCGAGTTAACTGGCTGAGAGCAAAGGCACAAGACACAAGATACAAGGAGGAGGTACCAAAGGTGTAATATGAGATGTTATAGACTGTCCTGTGGTTTGAACGCAAGCAGCATGAGTGGCAGACCAGGGAGATGGAGGCGGTGAGTGCAGGTCTATGTGATCATGCATCCTATGCAGCAAAGCAATGTGCAATGTTCAAGGACTTTGCACTTCAATCACAACAGGCATTCAATGGTCAAATGATTGTCAGATAGTTTGCGAGTTGCAAAGGTAGGTATGCAGAGTAGTCAATAAATATGTGTGACTGGCTATTTAAATTTGAACGAGTGTATCCTCCAGGACCTTAAAGAAGCATGGTGTCAGGCTAGTGCAGAGCAGGGGTATACCCCTGAGTACTTTGAGCTGTACCTCTACTCTTACCCTCCAAGGGTACATACCCTTCACCAGGGGTAAGGGTATGGGTAAGGGTACCAAACCCTGAGGGTATACCTCTCAATATCTGCCTTATTTGAGGGAATGACATTATACACATTACGTTTAAGGCTTGTAACAGTCTTCTTTTCCCTTTGGAGCTTCTGAATACATAGTTTAAGGCTGTATCTAGGCTGTACTTAGGCTTTATTCATCATACAGTTACTGCTTACATTATATATACTATATGCAGTGATACTCTCCAGGGGTATAAGGGTCTGGAAGTTCAGAGCTATGGTTCAGTTTGCTCAATCAGATGAAATCTGGCTTGGAGAAAGCACATACTCTTGAGCTTTGCCAGCTATAGTTGATAGTAGGGCTTTTGAAATGATGAAAGTACTGAGAATGCTGTTGTAGCAGATGGGCCAAGGGTTCAAAAAGTACACATGGTAGTGCGTGATGTGATCACGTGACTGAAGTGCCCGTGCATCGCCCGGCATACTGGCATGGTTTCGCCTTATTCATGCTTCATTGTTACAAACTCAAGTGTTACAAATTTTTCTAACTACAAAAATTGAAAACACAAAAGGTGACTTGTGATGACTGAGGGCGGGCCCTCCCTCATTCACCACAAGCACCAGAAAGAAGGGAAAAGAAAAAGAAGGTAGACTACAGGAAAAGTACAAATACAATCTGAAAAACACCAAAAGGAAGTCAGAAAACCGTCGCAAAATGTTAAAAAATGCTCACCTTGTGCGCTGCATTGCTCGCGCTGCAGTAACCATCATCAATTTTCAGTACATGTGTAAGAGGCTGTGGAAACATCAAAAGGTCAGTATTCTTCAAAGTGTAAGGAAAAAAACTTATCGGTTCTTTCAATCCACTATAGGATTTGGCCTCATCTTCACCACTGCCATAAAACCCACTATATGCTGAAGAACAGTTGTCAGTATCAGTATGAAGTGTAGTGGAGTACTTACCACATCGTCCTTACACTTCCTGTACTCCCACCATACCATGCAAAAAGAAACAAACAAGTAAAAAACACTGACCTTGTGGAGCAGGCCAATGGCGGCTCCACGCACGACTCACACAGCACAAGGCTGATGGCCGGCAACAATGTAATGTGCAGAGCACATATGCGCCTAGACGCAAGTACGCTGAAGCGCATTGGCACCGAAGTGCAAAATCCCCCAATTCTCATATATACCGGGTGAGAGGCGCGAGTGGGTCGCCCCTGCAATGCGGAGCCCTCTGCAGCTCACCACTGCATGCCCAGTGATCCCCCAAATCTCAAGTACCAGGTGAGGGACGTGAATGGGTCACCCTCACAACACGGAGCCCTCTGCAGCTCACCACTGCATGCCCAGTGATCCCCCAAATCTCAAGTACCAGGTGAGGAACACGAGTGGGTCGCCCCCACAATGTGGAGCCCTCTGCAGCTCGTTGCCGCATGCCCAGTGATCTCCCAAAACTCACATGTACCCCATGACTGGCCAAAGACCAGCCATGGGATGAAGTCAGTAAAGTGCATATTACATAATACTATCTACAGGAAAAGAAACAGTTACCTTACAAAGGCACATGCAAATAACTGAGCTTTGACACTGCATGCTCATGGCAACATGCAGCAACAAAGCTCAGCCACTTGTGGCCGGCTTACTGGAAGGGGATGGTGGTGGTAGAGAAGGAAGAGAGAGAGGAAGTTGCGCCAGCTCATAAAACCAACTATTTGGCCATGTTTGTTTGGTCATGTGCCCCAGACACCAGACGCGTCAAGCACCTTTCATATGCAGAAGGTGTACACTGGTGGCTGGAATATTGCTATATTTGGACAATTTTCGGACTCCGATCAAATTTCAGCCACTGTCCACTAGATTTCGGGAAGTCCGGCCCTCCAAGCATATCACGTGATCTCCATGGGCTCACGTGCACAAGTCCTTTTGATTGTAATCACTGTAATCTGATCTATCTCTCTCTCTCTCTCTCTTGCTCTATTCTTGCTGTCTCTGCTCTGCTATATTTCTGTTGCTGTGCCTCTGCTGCTTATTCCCACACATCTATTTGGCTACTTTTGTATATTCTACCATGCACGGCCAGTCTGAGAAGCATGCACAGTCTGCTCAGCCAGCCAATCAGACCTCTACCTCACTAGGCAGGGACATAGTAGTGTAATAAACTATGCAAAGGTCCAAGTATAGTTATAGTAAATGTTATAGTCCAGGTATGAGTTTGTTGGACCCGTGAAACCTGTACACATAGTATAGGTATATGAGGTCTGACTATATAAACCTGCGGAGTTTCTATAAATATATGAGTGAGACTCAAATTAAACTAAATTAATTAAAGCACAAATGCTAACACATATATTCTGTAAGAGAGCTACTTAAACTTAAACTTTGCATGTTAAACTTTGCTCTTAAGTACTACTTTACTTGAAGACATGTCCAGGATGTGTAGTAAACTACATATAGGTACATACATAGTAATAGTACAAGTCATAGTACAGGTTTATCTTTTATAAACCTGTGACCCTCATAGACCTGTACTATATGCAGGTCTATGTACCTGTATGTATAGTCAGGGTCAGGCCTTTGTACTATAAAGGTAGACCTGTGTCCCTGCCTATTAACCCCGCAGTCTGGTGTTAGGCAATCTACCTTCAATCTGCACTCAATCCCGGAGAATCCTACATCTGTGGGTACAAGTCAGGACCAGCATCAAGGTTTCAATCTCGATCAGGCTGATCAGCCAATTAGAGGAGGCATGTCGTACTGTAGATCTGTGTCACCAGCTTACTACCATGGCCGACCTTTGCAAAAGGACAGACCAGGTATGTTTTCATGTTTCTAATAGTGAATACGTTTGTCAAGTAAGCAACATTTCATTTGATATTGTAATGACAGACTCTACCCTGCATTCGCTGACACCTCACATGACCCCCCAAGCAGATACTATGTCGCAATTGACTCTGAGTGTGGATGAGATGAAGGACATGGATAATTAGAAGCAGTTCCAGTTGAGAGAAAGCAGAGATGACAGGGGGAGCATTGTGTATAGAGGTTTGTATGAAGATGTCAATGAAGATGGTCAGTTGAAGGGGGAGTTTCTGGATGATGACTCAGACAGAGGTGAGACATTTCTAGTAAATCACAATCACACCAGTAGCTCACCTCTGTCCAATGATGAATCAAAGGAGAGTGATAAATTGGACAATACCAAGGAGGAACATAAGGAGACAATCCACCAGCCACTAAGCTATGTGCCTGTGTCAAATGTCGAGGAGGATATCAAGGAGGATGTTGAGAAGGAGAGCAAGGCCGAGGCCAAGGATGAGGATGAGAATGAGGCAAGTGTTCCTGCTCTGCCCTCATGTGTTTTCAGAGCCACCCATTTGTCGAAGTTATACGCAGGCCGAAAGGATGTGCATCTGCTGCTAAAATGGATGTCCCTCGATGCTGAAGCAGTCAACTCATATGTGATCCTGCAGTGTCTATCACTGCTGCTGTTCATAAACATGAGAACAGCTTACTCACCTCCAATCTAACTATACCTCCTTCTGCTCATGCTCCTAAGCATCAACGTCACAAGATCTTCCAGATGGCATAGAAGTCTGTGATATGATGTTGTTTCTCTCTTCAACATATGCATCTTGCTAACACCATGCACCTAGTATTGCTTTCTCTGGCAATAAGGCAGAAACTTGGTCAACTGTAACCGTCAAAACTGCAGCAGAGCTGTTTGCTTGCATTGCATTCCAGATCTCTGACAGTGGAATATGACTGAGCAGATGCAGTTTGAATGTCTGGCCTGCACCATAAAGCGTGACAGAGGTGCAATGCAGGTATACTATGTAGGTTTAATATGAATTCTTTACTCGCACAAAAGCTGATATTTGAGGGATATCAGGGCCTGTATAGTGTCCCATCCACTGAAAAATCTTGGGTACCATTAATGAAAGGTCTTTGGATTGTCGGCAAGAGGGAGATAGCACTGACCACAAGGTTGGATACCACCTCTTTGGTTTTGGTTCATCTGCACCTGCACTTGCTGCCTGTGCATGATACCATTGCCAATCTTGTGGAGGAGTACCTTCGAGCCTATTATGTTGATCGCAGCGAGTTCCTAAATTGGCTGGATGTTATCTTTGACTTGGAAGGTTCAGAGGCAACAGAAGGTCATCATCTTCATATGCTCAACATAGTGTTAAAAATTTGATCATATGTATTTAGATTAAATTCAGTGGCTCTGAATCATTTGGTATGAAGAATATTGGTCTCAAAATGTGATAGCAAAGGACGGCCCAACTACTACTACATAAACCCTGAAGGTGGTCTGACCTGGCTCATTATGGCTGATGGCATCACATGTGATGAAACCTGTATATATACACTTGGTGAAGGCCTCAGCTTTAAAACTCCTATGTGTGAAGAGAATTTTGCCCTTTCTGATCAAAACAAATAGAAGATGCTACTTGGCTGAAGCCAAAGTGTGGAGAATCCTATATAGGATACAAATTTCAAGAGTCTCAGTGGAGACCATTATTTTCAAAAACCCTATATAGTGCATCCTTAGCCAATGCCATATTTCAGAAGACCCTATATAGAATAGAAATTCTACTACCTTCGGCCAAGGCCAACATTTCTGCAAGAACTATATAGTGTATATTCAGCCAAGGCCAAAATTCAGATCTCTCTATATAGGTTAAAATTTGATGACTCCTGGCCGAGGCCACCATTTCCACAAGAACTATATAGGGTATCTGTAGCTGAGGCCAAATTTCAGACAATCCTATATAGAATACAAATTGCTTGACCCTTGGCCGCAGGCACTATTTCCACAAAAATCTATATAGGGTACCCTTGGCCACAGCCAAATGTCAGAAAATGCTATATAGGATCAAAATTTCATGTGCCTTGGCCGAGTAGAACATTTACACAAAGATTCTATATAGGTCCACTTGGCCAAGCCCAACTGTCTGCAAACTCTATATAGAATTGGAATTTTATGACTCTTGGCCAATGGCATTATTTCAGCTACAATCTATATAGAGAAATGGCGGCTGACTCCAAAATGCCCGACAACCTATATAGACTTTAAACCACACCTCCCTTGGCTAACTCCCAAATATGCAACTTAGCCTATATAGCCTACTTATCTTGGCCAACCCTATATCTCCATCCTATATTATATTCTTGGCCAACACTCAGTTTTATGGAAATTTACACAAAATATTCCACCTCGGTTATATGGATGTTTGGGTATATATTGGCTGAATGGGCTCGTGTCACTGCCGTCATTCCATTCATCTCGGCATTACCACAGCGAGTGGATTGATTGGGTGATTCAGGCATAATGTTCTCATCAATCGCATGCTCCTTGTCATTGTAGTTGGCCAGCGACGGGCCCAAGAAAATGTGTATGAATGTCTGAAAATATGTTATTCAGAAGACAGTGTAAAGTAAAGTTGACACGTACTCATACCAGGAGAGACCCGCGCAGCATTCCGACCCAAGGCAGATCAGGATTATATGTACCGGCATATACGAAAGTGGGCCAGTGTGTGCCATCAATAGGAGAGCTGTCAATCACAGCGGTGTGCTCTTTCAGAGCCTGCTGAACTCTAGAGAGGTGTCCAATGCCTCGGTCCACAATCATCATGTATGGGATTGAAAACTTACCCAGGATCACCATAATCTAATGCTGCTGGACAAAGAAGCGCACCCGTTACTGGATGATTGAAGCCTCGGCCCGGCTTGCACTTCGGATTGAGATCCTTCCCTGACATTGCGATATCCTTGCGCAACCAGGTGACGACGGCTTCCTTCAAGCTGGATGTATCATCAGAGCGCGCGGACGCCATACCATCTTGTAGCTTAGTATCACATTAGAATGTCAGTATCGCAGATGTGGTATACAATGCATAAGTACATACCACAGTGGCAATCTCCTTAGCATCGGCGTTGCCATAGAAGAGATCCTCAACAACATCAGGAATCATATCATTTAACCTCTGGTATGCTAATCAGTTGCGGTTACACCTGTGGGTGGCACAGACGCATCCAGAGAGCTGCGTGAAGTGTCATCACTCACTCTGGATCAAAGCTTGCCTCGGTGTCAGGCCCTTTGCTTGCATTGTCATGAGCGATGCCTTCGTTGATGATGACGGCCATGAGTGTGAATCCCTCAACCATGCAAGCGAAATGTTTGCCATGGCGGTGGAGCACTGCCAGTTTAGGGTCCAATTTGCCCTTCTTTGCACATCCGTTCTCGGTGAAATTGATGTCGATGAGGGGCCATTTGCTGCCTTGGGTTAAGGGACCTGTCGCGCTAGCATTGGAATCCACTGCTGGAGTCATGTTGACAACCATCGTAGGGGTGAGAATACCAGTGAGGGTAGACATGACGGCAGATGACAGAATTGCAGAGATGAGGAGCTGTGCGAGGTTCGGGACCACAGGAGCCTGTACAGCAGCTTATGTACCACAGCAGGGTGTGGTCACATTTTGCTGGTGTTGAATGTTCAATGAGATAATGATCTGTGATGCGTTCAAAACAGTGATCACATGTAGTGTGTAATAGCAAATACCTGGCGGGCCTAGGACAATGCTATCTGGCCAAGTGCCTTGAATGGATGACAAACATCGGCACGGAAGTTCGATCCCTTTGGCTGTGCAAGGCAGGGGAATGAGCACAAAGCCGCTGTCAACATGAATATTGTGATATTCAACAAGCTCATTCATTTGTCACAAATCAGCATAGTCAACGTCCAATTCAGAAGTGCCCTCATCTGAGGACTCATCCTCAGACGACACAGAGCTCTCCTCGGACCCATGGACCTGAACCTCTTTCTCGATCTCTTGGTTAGTCTCGCCTTCAGCCACAGCCACCATAAAGAATGGAGAGGATGCTGCTGACATGGTAACAGGTTCCTTATCAATGATGCCACCGTCCAGGGACTCTGGTGCAATGTCTATAGAAGCCGGTGGGATTGCTGCCTCTGACACAGTGGTGCTGAGACCTTGCTTGTGTCCTACACTGCAGCCCATGTAGTGCATCATCATGTCTCGATCCACAAATCTGAACATTATTTCAGTATAGAATATCCCAGAGCAGATGCATTCTCACCAGTTTACATAAAATCGATCCCAATCATCCTTCTCACCCTCCCACCATGCAAGCCGTGATGAATTAAGAAGATTATTTGTGCATCCTAATGTGAATGCTGGTATGAGATGGCATGCCCGCAGGACATCTGAAGGGTCTAGCACTCCAAATGCACCATCATTGGAGATTAGTATGAACCCCACACGATTCAGGCGTCGTGAGTGCCAACCCCCATGCCAATCCGGGTCCTCCCCCAACCAGCGCACAAGAAGGAACTTAACACATTTGGGAATCTCCTTGGAATGGGAGCTGAGGTCAACCGCATTAATATGAAAGATGCCAAGCACCCATGTATACCAGAATGGATGTGCATGACGGTCATTATTATCTGCCAAAACCATAATGTCTCGGCGATCAGTTGAAGGATTGATCGTGTCTTGCTTACGACGAACGTCATAGGTGGTGTAGTTAAGAGTCATGGTCTGATGGCTGTACATGCGATTATCCTTGATGACCACCGAATCACGATCACCCTCAGTCCATATGCGTGGACCTTCAGCTGGTCGGCGTGGGTGGAAGATCTCAAGAATATGGTTCTTGAGCTTATGGAGGAACCCCTGAGGTGATGATGGTCAATACAATAACATCTGGTCTGTGACATGCACTACCTGAATCACTGGATCACCGAGATTACGTCGCAGCCAGGGTCCAATATGCACAATGGTCTTCTGGGAGACTGCGATAACATGGTGGAGATGTGCTGCAGCAGGCAGCATGTCTGGGTCCATGTAAGGCCTGGGTGCAGAATGCAGCGATGACTCTGCAGTGGAAGCCATAGCATCAGCAACTCGCTCATCAAGCTCATGTAGATGAGTCTCGCAACATTCAATACTAGCCAGTTGGGCAGTGAAATTCTTCTTGCTTGTGCGTTCAAAATGGGTCTTTGACCTTCGATGTTCAGTTTCACTCTCATATCATACTATGCATCAGTTTTCATCCATCCAGCGTGAGTGAGGACCTACAATCTGTGTGGTGTAGGAATCGGTGGTGCCATAGGTGTGAATATACCAGGGGTAATCACCGAAGGAATGGAGCTTAAACATATCCATATTGAATTCCTTCTTCGCTCTACCTATCGAGGAGTCTGCTGTAGGCTGTCGAATTCCACCTATGGTGTTCACCGGAGGAGCTCTGGAGCTCATGTTTTTGGCAGCATGTCATACACGGGCAGCAGTCTCCCTCGGCAGTTCCTTAGTCTCAAAATCCTGGCAGGTGACCGCTTGGAAATGCTGCAGAATCTGCCCGAAGTCAGCAGTCACCACCTCCACAATGCTGACAGTGCGCTCCATATACATGCACAGCTTGTGCAACCCATGGAGGTATGCTGCAGTGAACAGAACATCGTGCACAATTTCATTATGTGGGCTCGGCAATAGCCCTTTAAAAATGGGGATGATGCACTAAACAAGTACAATAAGTGTGAAGACAAACAACACACTGGGTACAGAATAAGATGACTGGCCTGCAATATATCTTCGTAATTGTGGGCAGCAAGTTTCTTGAACTCGGAGACATTGGAATCGAACTGACGGATTGTATCACGCCCAAAAATGGGTACTTGACGAAACCTGGCGAGTGTTCAGTACCGAAAGGGAACCAATTGATTGCGACTCACCGTGCATCAAATTTCTGCACCTTGCCACCCTTTGCGGCAATCAGAATTCTAACTAAATGCATCACTATTGCCTTCCATACTCCGATCTCCCACTCGTGCAAGAGGTCTGGCAGTAAAATCACAAACAAATTCGTCAGAAACTCGGCCAATCTTTCGGCGAAAGCATTCTGTTGATGAACATGAGCAACTGTGGCCATACATGCATCTAGTGATTGCACGTACCTCAGTTGGTACCCAAGACTCTGCCTGAAGGAGGTTCTCAACTGCTGTACTGTTGACTGCAAACCCGAGCTCGTAAATAAACCTGCATGCTTGTGTGACCTTTCACCATCGATCTTCATCATCAACACGCCTATGCATCTGCCATTGTCGCATGTCCGCCGCAGTGCCTAGCTGATTAATCTTCACCTTGGGAATCATACATCGTGGGCACGGGCAAGCTCCCATGTCACGAACAGTTGCCAGAAGCACCCTGATGATACAATATTAGAATTGCTTCCCTAGAAGCAATAAGACACACACTTTTCTGGGTAATCTGCTGAGTAAGTGAATAGGCGCAGATACAGCTGTCGCAGGATGCCATCTCCACACATCACAACAATACCATGATGGCATGCTTCTTCGAACCGGTCTCCCAGGAGCAATTTCCAGATGGCATGCATGAGCTCTCGATGGCAATGAGTGAGTAACTGTTTTGATGGCTCTTTACCAAAATGTGTGTAAATGAAATCCTGTACATTATCAGGCAACTGGACTGACATCTTAGCACTCTCGTTTTGCATCAATGATCCTGGAGCTCACCTTTGGGATGTATGCAATATGATGGCAAGTGCGTGAACTTGGCTTACCACGCTCATACTTGGACTGGTTCCCAAACAGTAGATATATAGGCCATAGTGATGCATTCCCGAACTCTGCAAGATGAGTAGAATCGGACCACAGCATCATCGCAGCGATAGCTCATGGCAACTTGCACCCAGGCTCAGGCGGACTCGACTGTAAATCAAGATGCATCTGGTGAAAGACAGCAGAAGAGTACAATTCACCGTACACCTCTTCTTCTCATGCATCCATGCCAGACGGCTGTCAAAGGAGTGTGTACAGCTCAAAGTGGAACGTTGCTGCTGCTGTGCTCTCGAATACAGCCCGAGTCACCTCTTCCAGGGGGCAGTAAAATATTCCTGAAATCTTGAAATCTGCAGGAGGCACGCCCCTTTGCCCCGAAGGTATGCTGATCACTACCAATGTCTCGCGCCACCCGTCTCGTGCATTGAAGATCGTGCTAGGCCCGCTATCGCCAAGTTGATGATCTATTATGTCCCACTTGGTACCGACCAGGTCCAAGACAGTAAACCGTGGGTTTGAAAGCACGGCAAGCAGATCCTTGAAATCGGACTTCGACTTTGTCATACTTCCATTCCAATACCACCATCCAAGTAGATATGATGACTTATTTGGATATGGGCCAAATAAATGTGGTGCTGGTGACAGTGACGCAATGGTGTAATCATCGGATTCATCCCTTGGAGCCTGTCCAATCACTAGGTTCTCCACCGACACTCCATCATCTGGATCTCGCAGAGGGACATGCAAGTACTGATGGACCAGGCTGAATGAATTGGGCAGGCTTCTGACCAGGTTTGGCATGTACAGCTCGGACACTGGTGTCCCGAGCGGTGCACTTGTGGGCTCTTCGCCTAGCTCGCGCATCTCCTCTGGTTGCGACATGCATGTAGGTCCTTCAGGTATCACATCACGATAGCGTGCAGGAAGCTGGTTGCAATTGGTACGAATGGGACGTCCAGATGAAGTGAGCAGTGGAGGAATGGGCAGGGCTTCAATTGCCTGCACTTCTGCAACATTTGCGTCAATCGGCGAAGTGAATTCCTCCGCTACTGGTGTATTGGCCTCCATGTGCATGTCCTGAGAGATGTGATGGAAGTTGTGAATCAGTAAGAGAGCTAGCCACTGAATGCGTGCACATACTGATAAACCTAGCACTGCAGCAGGCACTTCATGCATGCCACTGGGTCCTGCAACACCTGTGCCCGAGGGTGGGCCCAGCAACATCTGCTGGTTCAGCAGGCATTGCCTTTTTCGCGGTGGTCCTGCTGCCATCCGAGCTGCGTGCACCTCGTCCAGTATGGCACTTTGGTAAGTAATGTAGGTCTGGCATCAATTTTGGTGTCGTTGCAGGCCACCTTCGCTTGTGAAAGAGCTGTGACATATACACTTGTGTGGAAGGGACATTGGGATGGTCAAAAACAGAGAAGGTCAGGATCTGTCAAGACTTCTATAAATTGAGACACACCTACTACACAAGCGCTCGGTCACATAGCTCAGCCGTAGCACTGCTCGATCGGCGGAAATGGAGACATGCAATAACACGTTTTCGTCCGTTCACAATGAGAAAATTTTACGGTTAATTGGCCTCTATTCAGTACGTGCTGTACTCATTGGTGCTAATATACTGCTGAATGCTTGGCGGCAGGTTCAGCAGCAGAATCAGAATTTGAATGAGCCCACGGAAATTATGCATTACTCACACTACATAGTACCTTGATGGCAAGACTTGAAAGCAGTCTCAAGTATTGGCACAAGGGAGGAGACTGGATGGTGTCCTGCTCTCATCCAAGTCATCGAGAGGAACCACACCACCTGCTTGGGGCTCTGAGCCATTTAAGGTAAGTTTCCGGTTCGCTGAGACACACTCGCTGAACTCAAGCAACGGCCAGCGGCGACGATATCCTTGCCAGATAACGGCTCCGGTGATAGAGATGGTCAGCGCTGATTGACGACCATCGGCGAGGCGGCAGCCTGTGCGTTCCAGATTATGCAGCGGTTGTCCTGGTGCCTGAGACATAAGACATGGTTAGCAGTGCACCTTAGTTGTGGGGTCTGATCGACGCCATGCAAGCCTGTTCCTTATTTAGAAGCTGTTATATACACTTGTAAACAGTCGCCACTCTTATCGACGTCTGGTCAACTCTACCTGCCTACACCAGACCTCGCCCAATTTCCTGATGAAGACTATGTCTGTTGTACGGCCTCTGTGCATCTCATAGGCTGATACTTAGTGCTCATCCCCAGTGAAAAACGCATATTCCAAGAACGAACCAAGATGCACCAGATCGCGGCTTGACTTGGACTATCGCAAGCGGTCAAACCAGATCTCACCTGGTCGAACACGTGCGAGACATCCTGTGATTTGACGCGTTGATCCTGTACCATGTCTCGTCTGAATTGCACTTTGCTCGACGTAAGGCCGCCATCTGTCGAATTTTGCCTGCACGCGTGTCTCGATTAGCTATATACTATATGTTGTACTTGTGCCCAGTGTACTTGCACTTATATCATCTCTTTGCACCCACACCGAGCTCATCATGTGACAGAGACATGGACGCGTCACCGTACTCATATCGCCACCACATCTGTGCTCTTGTCCTCCTGCATCCAGTCGCTCTGACCTCCAGAGCACGATGCTTATTATACCGGCCGATTACTCTCACTCAAGCTCATCCAACAGCTCCATGAGAGCACCCACCCCTCGCGTACTAAAGACACCGCCGCGGGCGAAGACGATGCAGCGGTAAGCTCGAGCTTCAAGAAGCCCATCGTCAAGGCACCGCCAAAAGCATGCACACTGCAAGCTCAAGACGCCGATTTTATATGCGGCCAAAGACACTGTCGAGAAGTGGCTCAACAGCCTTCTCTGCCTCAATGTGATGGTCATGCCAAGCTCGAGTGCGCACAGCTGCCCACACCCTGCACAGTGCGAACTGTTCTACATCTCATTCCCTGTCTAATCTCGCAGCAGTTCCGGGAGAACAAGTTTGCACTGCTTTCTGGTGCACGCGTGGTGCGCATTGCGACACATCCGGACTATGTGAATGTGTGTTCGTCTTCCTGACTGTAATCCTCTGATGTGCCCCTATTGACGAGGTATGGTGACAGTTTCTGTGTCAGGCATCCAGGCACTTGAAATGTCCTTAAATTTACTTATCAGATGGTCAAGAGACCCCCTCTGGTGTACTTGCAGCATTGCTGCTGATTACGGTAGTAAGTACTGCCTGCTTTTCTACGTGCAAGTGTGGATCATGTTATGCTAATCTTCCGATAAGAAGGCAATCCAATACTATCCACATTCATTGAGATCCCCATGATCTTTCCATCTGCGCCTTCAATTGGGGGGCACTGACTAGCCCCTCAATCTCAAGCGGCTGGGCACGGTACGCGCACCGCATTCCAGGCTCCAAAGCCAAATGAAGACATCCGAGCAGTCCTGTCCGTGCACCACATTCGCTGATTCGCGACCCTGACATGCACGATAGACATGACCCGCATCGAGAAGTTGAGAAGTGGGGGGATGGGGCAAGTTAGGATGACCAGGTGAGTACAAGGATGTGGATGCGGACATGGCACATCGACTTCTGGCACATATACCGGGAAATATGGGGTCAGAGAATCAATATTTGGGTGCGCAGCGGGGGGGCACATGGACCGAGCGAGGACCGAGCGCACCGAGGCGATCATCTTGCACTGCGAAAGGTTTGTTTGCAGCGTCCAAACCCCCCCCCCCCCTGTAGCAGGCTCCGCGGTCACACATCTCTCTTCCAATGACCCCGACTAATGAGCTCGCCGGGCCTTTATGCACACTTCGAGTGCGAGAAGCCGTCTGGATGACCTCGACTATCCAGTCAGCCTGAGCATGAACAGCTGTGCTTGCACTGACTTTGTAGCGGACCTCTCTACCTTATCTCATTTTTTATCTATGCTATGACACATATTCACTAACTCTACTTATATTACAGGTGTTGGGCAGCATCCAGGTGTGAAAACGGGGACGACGGTGAATGCAGGGAGTGCAGATGTGTGCGATTGCGCGGGTGCATGCATGGGCAGGGGGATGGGCGTGCGCGTGCATGCAGGGGTGTGTAGGTGCGAGGGCGGGGGTATGGGCAGAAGTGGGGGTGGGGGCAGGAACGGGGGTGGGGGTGGAGGCAGGGGTGAGAGCGGGGGTGGGGGTGTGAGCAGAGCAGGTCGAAGTAAATTGCGCGATGTCGCAGGAGCTCGCACGATGGCGAGGGTGCTCACACGATGTCGAGTGTAGTCACAGTGTATTAAATCACGACAATACAATTATTATACAGCAGCTTAATATTCAACTAGATGCAAAATGCCTCGATTCTCCCGCTTGGCACTGTGCTAGCCTGCGACCACGTTTGATTGGGCTCGCGCAAGATCGCATATAGTCCAAATTTTCACGGCTGGTCGCAGCTGGTTACAGCCACGACCTCGTGCGACTTGCTGCGATCTCACAATATGCATTTTCCACTGGGGCTCATCATTCAGTTTCTGGTGCTTAAATTTCAGATGTACCACAGTTGAACATTTATCATGGGATTTGAACCCAAAAATAAGCAGAACGTGAGAAAGCCTTATATCCTTCATCCCTCCTGGATGGGTCATCCACCTCGTGAAGCATGGCAGATAGACATCCTCTGTCTATGGAAACAGAGACTAACATGCTCTGTCGGCACACCTTTGTTTGGCCATGCTGCTTTAGCTGATGTCAAGACCCTGAGTACCTTGGGTGGTTTTAGTTTAGTGATGTGAAGTATTTGTAAACAGCTATGGCATATATTTGAAGTGCACATTTCTCTGCACAGAGGTCTAAGAGCACAGCAGGAGCTGTGCTCGCGCGCAAGAGAAACTGGATATTGTATTCATAAGATGCATAGTAAAAGTGAAGAACTGCTCGTCGGTCACATTCAGTTTGCCGAGCTGTGCAAAGGTGAGGGGAGCCCGATCGAGCACATGGGTTGTAAGTGATGCTCGAGCTCAGTGCAATGTTCTTTCCACTGTGGATGCCTCCAATGGTTCGCTCGAAGGGAGAGCACACAGCACCCACAGTTCACAAGTCTCCCCACCGAAGCCAGCTCTCGTGTGATCGGTGATGGATCTCCAGTAGGTGAGGTCTTGCGCCTATGTCCACTGTTCGAAGAGATGTGATGGTGAGCCATTGCGGCTTGTCTGAGACGTAGGTATCCTCGATTTGCCAGGATGGACAATATACTCACCTCATTCTGTTCGCTTAGACCCAAATTTCATCGTCGTGCATGCAAAGTGGGATGACGTGGTGTGCAGCATCAGTTATTGTTGATTCATTCCAGCTACGGGACCCTGAACTCACTAGAACTCAACTGCATTGATCAATGTACTTGCCCACTGTTGAGTGACAGTAATATTTTCACGGCTGCCCACTCACCTTCCCTGCCTGGGCTTGTACTTCGTCATCTGTGATGGATCTATAAAGTCCCGCTCAGTGTTCGTCCTTCATGGATGTACCCCGCCCTTCTCTCGCCATGTCTGCTCCTCTCAAAGATGCGCAGCTCTTTTCCCTCATGCTCGCGACTGCGTTCTGTATCCTAGGCATGAGCGTCGGCATCGATGCCCTGGTCAAGTCCATGCGGCAGAAGAACAAACTCCGCCACAGCACAGCTGCCGGCGTATCCGTGTCCATTGACACCTCCGACATCTTCAACTCGGGCGTTGTCAACACCGTCATCTGTGCCCTCCTCACCACCCTCATCTCTGCCTCTGCACGCCGTGCATCCTCCTCTTCCTCTCCGTCTGGCTATTTGCCACCCTCATGCCCTTCACCGACTTCGTCGCAAATTGCCAGGCCAAGGTCTCCACCTAGTTTGACGGCATCGCCTTGTCCCAGAGCATCATCCAGGCCGTGCAGGTGCAGAGCGGCATCACCGGCATCTACCACAAGATTTTCCACAGTGAGTGGCTGCACCCCCTTCACTGGTGCTGAGGTGAGCATCTCTGCTGCAGTCTGCCTCACAACGGTCTTCTCATGAATCGTGTTCCTTTTTGGCATGTTATCCATGGGCTTTTTGTACGCCACGGAGTGCAGTGCTGACTGTGCACTTTATCCACTAACCTGCTACATCCCGACGAGGTCTACAGGCCGTACTGCTTCAGGCCCCATGGTCAATGCCTGAGCCTCCTGGGCAAGATCTCCACAGGTGCAGCATGTCCACGAAAGGGCCTTGGACGCAGAGGTTCCCCTGAGCCCTCATGCGACTGTGAGATCGCCTGAGTGTTCGTGCCCGCGCTTAGCACACTCTGACACTGTCTCGACGATCATTGGGCTGTCATCTTTCGGTTTCATCGGCATCTCCACCAGAGGCACCGCTCGGTGTCGGGACCCTGGACGCTGTCAAATGGGAGGCCAAGGAGCTTACCAAGTATCCCTGTGCATGTTCCACACCACGCGTGAACTGTCTAGATGCACCTGCACATTCCTTGGCTCGGTGGGAGCTGTCGAGTCGGTGTCAATACGTTATGTGCTTTTCTTGCTGCTTTGGTTGTTGCTGCTCACTGCCTGCAGGTCATCTCATCGCAAAGCATGGAATCGCAGTTCGCGTTGGTGTCGGTCCTCTGCGGAGGCCTTGGAAAGGGTTCTGTGCATGGTCCGACACTGTCATCATTATCCTTCTCGCGGTCGGTCAATGTTCGCCCCATGTCCCACTACACAACATGCGGTGCAGTACACGGTGCAGGGTGCATCGAGGCTGCTGTGTAGACTCATCCACTCTAACATATCTTTCATCATTGCCCTTCACATATGCTCTTCTCGCAGTCAGTCGATGTTCACTCCAGGTCTCCAGAACCATGATCTGTAGGTAGTATCTCCGTAGAAGCACCAGCAGTGGATAATGAATTGACTGCACCCGCAGGAACATCGATTCCATGTGGCTGACTCGTGACACGCGGTACTGCACACTCGGCCTTGGGTGAATCAGATTGATGTTTGCAGTAGGCCAGTTCACAACAAGCGCACCTGGTTGACAGGGCCACTGCCTCTCATGCTCTCGGCCTTCTCCTTCTTCTGTTGCTTCTCTGCCCCTGTCAGGAACCCCATCTCGATTTCCTCCTCATGCATGAGATACTTTCGGTAGACGTCATTCGGGATATGCAGGAGTATGTGTACACCCCTTCCAGCATGGAACTTGATGACCCCCTTCTTGTCAGGCTTGAAAAAATCCCGAGCAATCACGTTTTCATCAGGAATCAAGAGCTCGAGTTTTTCCCAGTCCTTGTCATGCAGAATGAGGTCACCGGGGTTGAGTGTAAATCTGCAGGAATACTTCAGCCACCGCATATATAGCAGCTGAAAACATTTCATCTTCAAGGCCGTTGTGCTGATGTGAACATCAACATCGCTGATTGTATTGTGTAAATCCTGATAGATAATGTGCCGTCAGCAGAGTGGTTTAGTCAAACAGAGTGCCCTGCATACTCCAACGAGCTGGTGCTTGATCTTGCCCGCAGGCATAATCACCAATGATATGCGGACAACAATCAGCTCAATACTGCTTGCATACGCCTTCTGCTGAACTTGCTTGTGTTGATCATTATACAGAAGGTGGTTCATAGTGTAGCCAAAAGGCACGGGATGTGTGAGAAGAGGAGGGGCCATGACACCTGCTCCCGGCATTACAATGACAGGGCCCGGAGTGACACGAACAGCAGGGACCTGCACGCTGGCTAAACCCCTGAGCGCGATACCCAACGGTTGCACCGCTGCTCTGGAATCTATTGGAGAAATATTGTCAATGTCGTCGGAGAGCTGGGAGGAAAGCAGAGTCTGACTTCCACGCTGCGCAAGAGCAATCTCACGATGGATATTTGCAGCATTCTGAGCTGGATTAACTGCTGATATTTGATCATTGCCCCTCGAACTCCCAGATTGCAGGTGTCTGGGGTCATCTGCAGAGTGATATCCTCAGAACTTGGGATGACAAATGTGTAAATAAATGGAGCCTTACCTCGACGTCGTGTTCCAGTTTTGCCCAAGTAGTAGTTCTGACAGCTCTCACACACGAAGCAGCCCTCCACTTCCCTGTCATTACTATGGATATAATAAAGAGGGGTCCCGGGCGGGAAGTAGGTCTGCTCGCACTCAGACTGAGCACAAATGACCGCTTTTCTGCCATTTTGACAAGAGAAATCTGCAGCCAAGGAGCCCTCCAGATAGGGACCTTGGGAATTCCCCTGTTCCATCTATCGCATAGGCAGGAGATGATGGTAGAGGAGAGGAAAAATGAGCGGCAATTATTTCTGTCTGCGTACCATCCGCAAAAAGAAGAAAAACATATTTTGCGAATTGACTTTTTTGACAGAAATCCACCGCATCGACTGCTACACAGTCAAGGCCTATCAATTGATGCATATATATTCGCCCCCTCAACTAATTACTGAGCTGATGCTTCTGTACAGTGGTGCTGAAGTTATTAAGACTTCAGTGTGACTCAGCCGAAGTTAAACTCACCGCGTCACGCCAGAGTCCTGAATTGAACTAAACCCGATGCTCAAATTGAACTAAATAATATCTCCGCTGACATTAACATTCATTAACACTCCTCCTGCAGCTCGCAAATGAGCACTTGCTTGGTGACCATGCCTAACCAGCATAAACCATTGCGTAAGCAGTTTTCTACCAGCCGATTCACCTGGTTGCTTACCTGATTTTACCCATCTGGTATGTTAGCTCCTGAGGATGAACTCAGACCATTGGTTGAATATTACTTCGACTTGCTTCTCGATGACAATCAAGTGCTGGAGAATGTCAGAGACCACATTGATACATCAAAGTACGGATTCAGGTATCCATCACATTCGCTCGGCAAAGCCCCGGAGTTCGATTTCTGATCCAAATTGGCAGCCTGTCGTCGCTCAAGAAATTGAGAAAGAAATGCATCAGGAAAACCCCACTTTTCCTTAAGAGAACACTTATATAACTTAAATGGACTTATAGTCCTTATTTAAGGGCATAAGGACAAAAAGGGCCTAAGGCATATTCCCTGAGTGTCTGAAATTCGACTTATTGAGACTTATTTCAACACTTATGGACTTAGATAAGGGTTGTCAGACCCCAAAGTCTAAATAAGTCCCTAAGAAAAAGTTGGGTTTTCCTGATGTGGGGATTGAAGAGTACACGTCAACAGAAGCATACATTCGAGACCATTCAGACAGCAGTCGCCAAGATATGAAAACGATTTCCGAAGATGGGTGCTCGAAAAATGGTCATGGTGTTGAAACAAGATTATAAGATGAGAGTACCTGAGTGCGTCCACCCATGATTAAGATCCTGCTGTGTTTCCATTGACCATCTGATCTTCAGAGATATGCTCCGGGACTACTTCAGGATCACAGAACCTGCCACCGTGAATGAACACAAAGCAAAGCACTTCAAGCGGAAGCGATTTTGGTCAGCAGGTGTCAATGACATCTGGACATTTGACCAGCATGACAAGTGGAAACGATTTGGTTTATTCTTGCATGTTGGTGTTGAGCCTTATGCCAGGTGCATTCTCTGGTTAAAAATTTGGTGGAACAATCGGAATCCTCGACTGGTGGCTCATAACTACCTTGAAGCGGCATGAAAGGCAGGAGGTACGTCAATATTGCAATGAAGCTGTAATGCACAGTAGCACCCATATTCAATTTCAGGCATCCCAATGATTACACAGAGTGATCCGGGCACAGAGAACTTCAGCACTGCTAACTGTCACACAGAGATTCATCATTAGCTAGATCCTTCACTTGAAGGTACCCTGCAACACAGGTGGATGTGGAAGGGCTCGAACGTCAAGCCTAAGATCATTTGGATGGTCTTGTGTCGTGGCTGGACACCAGGGTTTGAGACCATTCTAGATGAAGGGCTCAATCAGGGTCTCTACGATCCTCGCAATGCACTGGAGAAGTCACACCCTTTCTCTCCACTGTCTAGATATATAGACTGACCAGTTCTGTAGATTGGTCTTCATCTATCTTGCTATATCGTGGCTGCAAGCCGAGTTGGATGCATTCATGAAACGACTCAACAGTAGCCCCCGACATGCAGATAAAACCAAGATTCTACCTCACAGAATCCCTGATCTTATTACAGCGAAACCAGAAAAATACAATACTCGGGATTTTAAGGTCTAAGTCATGTCTTAATACAAGAGAAAGTCGCACCTCCTAAGATCTGTCCCATCACCAGATCCTTGTGCCCTCAGAGCTCCTTGACGAGTTTGAGCTGAGATGGGCACCTCCTGATCATCCAATTTTCCAGCTCACACTGCCAGAATTTGTAGCGCTCTCCCGACAACTTTACGATGGACTCAGACAACCGGCAGTGTCCTCCGATACGTTCTGGGGTGTCTACAGTGCACTCCTCCACACTTTTCATCAGCTACCCTTTCTCCCCAATTTTGCGGCATCTGTGCAAACACAAATGGACAGGGATCCTGAAGACTTTGTCCCTCTGCTGCTGAACCTTGCCGAATTGCCAGCATTCTCAGAGGACGAGGGGGAAGAGGGAGAACCGGATGTTCAAATTTTTGCGGACTTCTCAGATGAGGAGAACAGTGGGTAGCTTATGCTTTCATGAAGCCAAATATCCAGTAAATTGATCCTAGTACATGATCATGCTTCAGAAAACATCCTTGACTAATGTTGATCTCAGTTGCACTTCTCACTGGCAGAGCACTGCAGATGTGAAATGGCGGTGACGGCACAACCTCTGCCAATTGATCCACCGGGTGCACCTGCCGAATCGCGCATACTGCTCTCTGCCCTGCGCCACTCCTCTAACTGCCACCTTGTCACTACCTGTAACTCCTGCCACCTCTAACTGCCACAACTCTTCAGACCTTGCACTTCTAAACACCACAGATCTCGTGCAGGCGCATCTTGCAGCTTCTGGACACACTGGACCTTGTTATGACTGAGTGCCATATCAGTCTCAATCAATCAGCCACGAGAAGGTGGCTCAGAGCTCTCATCAAAGTCTCGCACAGGATCAGCAGTGGGTGGTAGAATGGGAGAGACTTGCCAAACAATACAAGAGCGATCTCGAGGCCACTCAGTCCCTGTTGGATGAAGTACAGCAGGTGCACTTGCGGCTTGACGGTGAATATCCCACAGAGTGAGACACAACACGGAGGAACACCTGGACAAGGTAAGTTTGGCCATGAAAGTACGTCTGTCTTTCGTGCTAACAGTGTGTCTGAGCAAACTGCCCGATCAGACCGCTACACTTGAAGCTTGAAGGACAGCTTGTGCATTTGCAAGCTGAAGTTGACCAGGCGAAGAAGGCTGTGGCACCTCGTGTGCATTACCAACAAAATGGACATGCTCACCCCGTATGACATCCGGAATCTCATGCCAGCACTGTCTACAGTCGGACAGATACACCCTCAGCACTCGGTGGGTCTATGGCAAGGGCCACGATGCCGAGGCAGACCTCAATATGGGACTCAATTCATGCCAGTGGTGCCCAAGGCTCAGCACTCCTCGCCATTTTATAATCCTTAAATACCATCACCAACACCGAGCAATGCCTCTGCCGGACCTACCCTCGGGAACAATGGCTGGGGTGTGAACTCTCGTATGACACTGCACCGCGCGCCCCCACTACGCTGCCTCCCATGCCCGTGCGACGTCACCACCTCATCCCACCAGGTGTGAGGGCACCGTCACTGTCTCTTGCGCTGTCACCACCACCATCGCTGTCAACGTCTTTGGCCATGTCACTACCACTGTCGCTGTCACTGTCTTTGGCCATGTTACTACTACCGTCGCCATCACTGCCTTTTGCCCTGTCGCCACCGTCACCGTCCACCAATCCTACCTTTCCCTCTGCATCTCCGCGCTCTGACATCACTGCCGCACCCCGTCTTTTGCCCTGTCACCACCACCATCACCATCCACTGCTGTCACTGCGGGAGCACCATTATTGACTGTCACCACCGTCATCACCCGGGCTATCATCATCCTTGTGCCCTCTCACCACTATCCTCCGTCATTACTGTCCTTCGCGATGTGATCTGCCATGTAATCCCCATCAGGTGCATGCCCGTTTGTGCTATGTCACCACCACTGTCACTGCTCTTCGCACACCGAGGTCATTCCCGCCGTTCACACCCCTATCGCCACCACTATCCACCAGCCTTCGTGAAGCCCACCATGAAGTCACTAGCTGTTTCATCACCACTATCCGGCGTGATCCCAAAGTGACACAGCAAAGTCTTCCACCTGCCTGATATCACTACTACCACTGTCATTCTTTGTGAAGCGACCCACCTGTCATCCCCATGAGGCATGAGATAGCTTCTTTTTGTGCCATGTCATCACCTCATCCTGATAGCTCCTTGCACGGTCAATGTGAAGCCACCCGCAGCTGCCCATCTAGCCTCCTGCTCGAGCCCATGACCACAGCACCTCGCAGCGGCCCACTACCACCCATTCTAACCTCTCATTTCTCAGTGACCCGCTCACGGCACGCGCCTGTGAACCCGTGTCACCGCGTCCTCACCTTGGTGCCCGCCACGTCGTGATTCTCTCCCATCTCGATCCTGTCATTCCCCCCAAGTCATTGCACAGTCTTCATTAATTGTCAGATCCTCGTTCTCTCAGCATCGTGACGTGTCTGTATCTCGCGTCATGTCCATGAGGCTACCGCACGCTTCGTGGTGCTCCTGCTAATTCACCCAGACCTCCTCTGGACATTTTTGAGCTAATCCTCTCGCATCCAGGGCATCCGGAGCATCGATGAGGCTACTGCTTGGTGACACGGCGCCCTTTGGCGGCCTTGCTTCATTCACCCTGACTTCCTCTGAACGTTTTTAATTGGAGCTTCGCACACCGGCGAGGCTTCTTGTGTCCGCATCCAGCACTTCTCGTGTCCAGTGCTTCCCATTCTGACCCGGTTAATACTATATTTCCTGTAACTCTGGCCAGTATAAATACATTAATGTGAAACATAGATTGAAAATGTGCACGAGCAAAAAGCGGGTAAAATGGAAATCCTGTGTGAGTCTCAAGGTACCTGGGGTCCAAATTGCTCGGCATTGATGCCGACGTGACTTGTTTGGCACAGGTCAGTCCATGGCAGAGCATGTCAGTCTCTGTTTCCATATCTGTCAGTCTGTCTATGGAATAATACCATGTTACTCAGAGCAAGACAATAAAGATGTGTTTTTGTCAGTCATTTTACATCTCCTGATGCACGCAGTCTGTTGGGAGCCTGTTGATCAGTTTCTAGTGAAGATCGCAAGGTATCCCACAAGACCTCTGTGCAATTCTGTCTCCTGAAAGGCTTTTCACAAATGGCCAAGCGAATTCTTCCAGGCCCATATCTGTATGCAACGAGAGAATCAGTGCCAATGCTGTAAGGTGAGCAATGTACTCATGAACTACGATAAAATGAGGAAAAGTAGATGACACACTTGATCTGCAAATACGAAGAAGCATCAGTAGACAGTAGTAAAAGAGTCTGGGTTACCTTTCGCAGATTCTTCACTAAAATGCCTACATCCTCCACCTGTTGGATATCTTTCAGGATGGCATCCACTTGTCATGACCAAAGTCAACCTCCACAGTGCCGAACTATCGACTTGAAGAGAACTGGTAACTACCCATCTCGCCTTGTCTCTCACCACCTGGGATCTGTGTCAATACTTGGTCATCAAGTTCAATTTGCCCACCTTTGAATGGGCCGGTAAGTAGATGGCAAAGAGCAGATCCTAGAGTGACTACATCAGGAAAAGTCAAATCTGCTTAGCCTCCTTATCTGCCTTAATAAGGAGAAGTAAGACAATCCTTCTTCTTATTCCTTCTTATTCTTCCTTATTTTCCTTATAAAGAGGAAAAAGAACAAATAAGGAGAAATAAGCAAAAATAAGGTGGGAGATTGCCTTATTTTTCCTTAAATAAGGCAATAAGGAGGTTAAGCAGATTTGACTTTTGCTGATGTAGTTACTCACCGTCATTGTGCACAGCTGGTAGAGATGCTGGGGTAAGTCAGTGCTCAGCGCTCAGCGCTCAAGCTTCAAAGCTTCAAGGTTGAAACGTTTACATCGTATTTATCTCCTGCAAGCAGGAGATACATCAACGTTATCGTGACAGCTACTTACCCCGCATCTGGATTGAAGTTGAGGTACGATCGGGATGGTGCATTTCCAAATTAGTAGGTGTAATGGATGCTTCCAAGCAGATTTTGACAGAAGTACGTAGAAACGAGCGCGAGAGGAAGTATCAAAAAGAACCCAAGAGTGCAACAAATGTCAGGAGAACAACCGGTGCTGTAGAACGAACACACCGTGACCCGCGATCACCCATGCCCCGGTACACTGCGACGAAGCACCCGACGAACATCCTTTTCCAATAGCGACATGTTCTTTGAACGGTCTCATCTTACTAGAATTGTATACGCAAAAACACATTCTGCGGGAACACGAACAGAAACCATTGGACTCCTGTAGCAAGAAAAGCTGCGCCACAATCGGGAAAGGGCTCAAGGACCGGGAGCTATTGAAACTGACAGGGCTTACTGCATCGCTGTATCAAACTCAATTATTATCCATGTCTACAATTATACCCGTGGCAAGGTGAGAAGGACTCACCAGTACGTGACAAGAACCATATCCAGTCAACGTTAGTGTAGCATGATCAGATGTGTATACACGCTACTTTTCAGAGGCACAATGAAAAAGAAAGTCTACGTTTGGCATCAGGACATCAGCAAGAGGCCAGTGCGTAAATGTGTCCAGCTGTAGACTCACCATCCTAAGTTTACTCCAAGGTAAGTCATGCCCTGTCCCGCAGATTTGAATTGCTTGCACGCCTCCTTATGCCTTGGCCAATCCTGCTTCTGACACTTCCTTGGCGGTGCACAGTAACTGGCTGACTTGCATTGCGAACAGAGTAATAACTTGACGTCGCCTTCAGGCTCTCTCCCACAGAACGTGCAGCATTTGTTGCCCAATCTCTTCCTCCGCTTGTCTTCTTTGTCCACGACGTCCCATATCGCCATGTCGGTAATTCCCCGTAGGACGAGCTTGCGGGTGGAATCAACTGCAAAGCGCACCGACATTCCGTCGTTGTCCTTAATATCAATGTTGCCACCGTGATCGAGGTACCACTTGAGGCCATCCGCCGCCCGCTCAACGAGACTTTTGTTCTGCGGTTGCCAAATCAAGGACATTTCATGCGCCGCCGTACCTCCGTACCGGTTTCTGTGATTTACAGAGGCACCGGCGTCATGTAATATTTGGCCATACTCGGTATCAAATGACGGTTTTGTCGAAATGGCATGGTACAATGCCGTAGAGCCCGAAAGGTCCGTACCGTCTACTGGAACTTCAGCCTCGGTGATGAGCCAGCGAGCAATCGCCAAATGCTTTGAACGGCAGGGCGAGTAAATGAGGGTGGACAGAAGGAGAAGGTTGTAAATTGGTACGCGCGTCGGACCCCAATGTAGGGCAAACAACTCTTTGGCTGCTCCTTCACGCGCCGCCTCTTCGGATCCAGCTCTGGATTGTATCCTAGAGACGCGATTGGCATAGTCGGCCTTGATACGTTCGAGTTCTCCCATCAACAGCATACCGCCGAATGAATCCAGGTCCCGGGACGGCTCCATGCTGTGCGAAGTGAAATATGTTCGCAGACGTTGCGACTCCACTCCTTTGAGCTGGTCATTGCTACGTGCACTCGAAGTCAGCAAAGTCAGCAACAGTGAGAAAATACATCACCACCACACACCTGGCTAACAGATCTTTCAAAGGCCTGGAGTAGATCAGCAAGTTAGACGAAGTCACAATACATAGGTTTTCGAGGGGCTTATAGATGGAGGGAGGTCGCGTACCTGCCTCCTCCTGTGTCCGCGTCGGCAGCTAATTGATGAAGCTTCGCTTGAAGAGAAGGGTCACTGAAATTCATGTCACTTGTTCGAACGAAACCTGAAAGCCTGACGTTGTGACGGGGCAGGGAGGAGGAAAAGCGCTCGTCCTGGGTTCTCTTATGGTAGTCTTACGGTTAATTACCTTCTGGGGCTTACGTAATGGCCAGTGCAGCTGTATGTAACGCATACCAATTCAGCTGCAAATTCGTCAGACCTTTACCTTCAGCATCCTGGAGCTTCTCAGACCTCAAGCCTGGCTTGGACGACTGTCGCATTGCGTTCCACTCAACACAGCTCTGAACTTGGTCACAATTAGTGACGCACACTCCAGCACGAATATTTCGGAGAACATTCCTCTAAGGGCGTTTCACCGTCCAAGTGGATTTGACGTCACAGCTTTTGCTATGAAATTCAGGTGTGTCCATCTCAGTTACGGTGTAGAGGACATATTTCATATGTCTCCAGTTCTTCCCTGAAGTTCAACGCAGTTGCAGAGTGGTGGGACGAATACATCGCGTAAGTATTCGTGTTATAACGGCCATGGTGCTGAACCGAACCTTTCAAGGTACGACACACTCAAGAAGTATGTTTACCAACTCGAGAAACAGCAGGCCGGAATCCATGACTCGTATCACGACCTCGAGGCGAATGAGGAGACTTCGCTGATAGGCGCCTCATCGTCCTTGTCTACCGATGCGGTTTTTACTCCTCTGCTTGATATGGAACTCAAGAAAATCTGTTCATTTTACGAGACGCAGGAGAAAGAGCTCATGACCGAAGTCGCGGCATTGGAACGCCTTGTCCAACAACAGGAGGAGGTTGGCCCGGACGCCGGACATCAATACATGAATGGCTCATTAGACGAGGATGACGAGGATGAAGATGACGACGACTTCGATCCCAACAGTCCGATGATCAGCAGGGAGCGCACACTCTCACCTGCTCGCCGTCGTCGCCACGCAAGATCTGTGAGTTCCGGCATAGGTGGGTCTCTCATGTTAACGTGCGCGAGCGCTCGAGACTCAGTTATGGGTAGGGAGCAATGCTAAACCTGATGCAACTGTGACTCGGAGGTATAGCATATCATCGAGTGATGACCACGCGGAACTGGAAGCGAGCATTGCTTCACTCCGGTCCACCGCGAACGAGCAAGCTGGTGGTCCCTCAGTATCCAGGTCACCGATAAACACGGCGACACGTAGCCTCGCGAACAAGTTCAACCGCTTACGAGACGCGGTGTCATCGTCGGACACAGTTTGGACAGCGAAGAACAATTATGCGCGGGACATCCAGCTGCTGTTCAAGCGGCGGATCACAAATCTCTACGTCTCGATAACATCGCTGAAGTCTTACGTTGAGCTCAACTACTCGGGATTTCGCAAGATTTTGAAGAAGTTAAACTATTCTCTCGTGCATTCATCATCTCCACTCACAGTCTTTATCCTAGGTACGATAAGGTCACAGAGAGCCATTTACAGGACCATTACTTGCATGACGTTGTCGAACAAGCGTCCCCGTTTACACAGGGCTCCAAGGACCGGCTAAACGCTACCATTAATCGGTTACTAGATCTCTACGCCAAGTGCGTCACGCGAGGTGATCATTTTACTGCTCAGAGACAGTTGAAGTTGCATCAGCGGGAGCACATCGCCTGGGAGCGCGACACTGTGTGGCGCCAAATGATTGGGCAGGCGCGGAGAGGCGAGCCAGACGGTGGGACGACTGCACTTGGTGGTGGTAGTCTTCTACTCGAACCTGAGCAAGGTTTACTCGACCTGAAGACACCGGCTGGCCGTTTGAAACTCACGGCAAAACAGCTTTACCTTGTTGTCTCCATCGTCGTTTTCGTCGTCCTGCTCAATGTGGAAACTGTGGAGGGTGTAGAAGCGAGTAGATGTCTTGCTGTCCTGGTCTTCGCCACTATCTTGTGGGCTACGGAGGCTATCCCACTCTTCGTTACCTCAATACTTGTTCCCTTGCTGTTGGTCTGTCTACGTACTCTCCGCTCTGCGAATGGGGAAGAGCGCTTAACCACACCCGAAGCCACTAAGTGAGCAGTCTGCTTGTCGTTATTTGAAGTGGTTCTCTTACACATCGTAAGGTACATCTTCTCGGTGATGTTTTCACCAACAATCATGTTGCTCATAGGAGGCTTCACTATTGCCTCGGCATTGAGCAAGACTGCGATTGATCGTGTGTTAATCACGAAGGTGCTCAGTTTTGCCGGTACGCGACCGAGTGTAGTACTTCTTGCTTTCATGTTCGTGGCGTGCTTTGCGAGCATGTGGATTAGGTATGCCGTTCTACCCCACGCCTCCCTGGGTAGATGCTCAACATACATAACAGCAACGTCGCTGCGCCGACCTTGTGCTTCTCCCTTATTCAGGTATGTTACAATATAAGCTAGGAATGTCATTCAGCTGATGAAATTACTGGCGTAAAGCCAATACTCAGAACCCTACCACCGAAGTCGTCGTTTGCACCGTGTTTGATAGTAAGTCATATTGATGCTTCATGAATAACTTCCGTATCACTGAACTGTTGTTACGCAGTTGGCTATCGCCCTTGCAGCCAATATTGGTGGCCAGAGTTCCCCAATTTCATCGCCTCAGAACTTAATCGCGCTCGCAGAGATGGACCCCCAATTAGATTGGGGAAAGTGGTTTATTGTTGCCCTGCCTGTCTCCGCCATCTCGATCCTCCTGATATGGGCCTTGCTCCTTGTGAGCTACCGACCGGCACGTTCGCCCGACGGCGAGGGCGAAATCGAAATCCGGGCGATACGTGGTACGAAGGAGAAATTTACGACAAAGCAATATTGGGTCTGCATCATCTGTGTGATCACCATTGGTTTGTGGATCTTCGAGCACTACCTGGAACCTATAGTGGGCGATATGGGCATCATTGCCATAATTCCCATTGTCGCCTTTTTTTCCACTGGTGTCCTCAAGAAGGCGCGTTATGAGTCTATGCTGCACCGTACTACGCTAACTTTGAGCAGGAAGACTTTGAGAGTTTCCTCTGGACGGTTGTCTTCTTGGCCATGGGTGGCATCGCGCTTGGCAAGGGTGTTACGAACAGCGGTTTGCTCCAGATAATGGACGATGGCATTCGTAGGCTCATCGACGGTCTCCCCTTCTACACCGTCGTTCTTGTCTTGTCATGCATCGTCCTGGTCAGTTTTCACGTCTTGACTGCTAGTAACTATGCTTATGCTGTTTATTGACCTGCAGGTCGTGTCCACCTTCATCAGTCACACAATCGCGAGCGTCCTACTTGTGCCCATCGCGAAGGAAGTAGGGAGCAACATGCCAGGCAATAGGCAAAATCTGCTGATTTTCCTCACTGGTCTTATTTGTTCAACGGGGATGGGAATGCCCGTGTCTGGCTTCCCAAACCAAACTGCGTAAGTGAACTGTATGATTAGTCTTATCTGCACCTTCCGCTGACAATGTCTCGCTGTCAGCGCAAACCAGGAGGACGATATGGGTCAATTGTACTTGACAAACGTCGATTTCTTGAAAAATGGTGTTCCCGCTAGCATTATTTCTATGCTGGTGCGTGCTAAACCTTCGATTTCCCTCTATCTTGCCGCTGAGATCTTTAGACAGGTCGTGGCGACTGTTGGCTTCCTGCTCATGGAGGCTATTGGGTACGTCGGTGCCTTTAATGCCTACATCACCATCCCTGACTTCTTTGCAGACTTTGACGCGGATCACAACGTATTTCCCCTACTAGTTCGTCCGCACTGCTTCTGGCACGAACATGTCGATCCGTGCAGTACATGCCTGTGCGATCGATTGGATTTTTACTGTACAACATACCTCATGACTTCTGCGGATGTGATATAGAGCATTGGCGCTGCCTATTATTATACCAAGGTGCGAAAAGAGAGCCCAAGAAGTATAAGCACATAGCAGAGAACAAGATGATTGGGATACATTGATGGTTCATGAAAGTGCGTGAAGGGTCGTGAGGTCGTAACGTAGTCGTGATAGTAAGCCGATCGTGTGAAAAACGAACAGATCAGTCGAAGTGAATCTTTGAGCAGAATAATCAAAAAAGTGGAGTAGTCCAGTGATAGCAAAAGAACAGTAGTACTACAGCTTCAGGCCGACACCCCTTCCTGTTACCTTCCTGAGCACCACACGCAGCACGACAGCACATACACCAAGACCAACGAGGAGGACATAAGATGGCAAATCCGATACCGACGAAGGTTCTGCGTTGTCGTCATCATCTGTGGGCGCGGACGGAAGACCAATAGCCATGGGAAGAGACCGCTTGAATTGTTGAAAAGCGGCCGGAAGAAGCGACACCCTTGAGGTTGTGTTGTCCGCTCCCACGGAGGACGATGCAACCTCTACGAGCTCAGATGATGCCTCTGCACTGGATGCTGCATCTCCAGATACAAGTGCGTTGGTTTTCGCGTTAGTCGCTCGCGACGCCTCCATTTCACGCTCGTGTTCGCGTTGTTCCAGGTCTGCAACTTTCTGCTCCACAGCCTCCAGTCGCGCTCGGAAGGTCTCAAGAAGCGCTCGAGTGGTCGTCAATTCGTCTCTGAGAATATTCTCTCGAACGATCCAATCTGTCTCCAACGGTCGCTCGACGCCGTCGGTCTGAGTGCCTGCCTCGCGTGCTTCTAGCACTGACACCGCCTCTGGTGCAGCCTCCTTCTCCGACTCGGTGGCGGAGCATGCGGTCCCCGCATCACTAGGGGCAAAGATCGCAGTTACGACGCGCCGCTCCTCTCGGCCCCTCCTGTGGTGGCTGCCCTTGCCGCCGCCATTTTCCAGCGCTACGATCGTCCCGATCGCATCCTTTTCCGGAGGTGTCTCTACCCAGGTCCCGTTGGGCGCGCTATTCTCTGCTACCCGCTTGACCGTAACGTTAGGTGCAAGATCCATCTCCTCCCACGCACGGACACCCCACGAACCTGTCGAGTCCGTGCCCGAAGGCTCGGTTGCTAGGAGCTCCTCCATCGTTGGCTCGAAAGTTTCCTGCATCGCACCGCAGACTGGGCTCGAGCTGCGGAGCGGGTCCTCGTCGATGGGATCTTCCTTATGCAGCCAGCGCGCGATGTTCGAGGGCGAGCGGTGCACTCTGCCACCCTCGTCCCCGTCGAAACTGCCTTCGGAGCTGAAGCTACCGCTGCGCTCGAACGACTCGACCATCCCTCTGACGCGACCGCTGCGATAGCGCGTCGGGGAACCTCCGCTCTCGCTTCCAATATCGTCCGCCAATAGGTCAGGAGCACTGGAGGAGTAGAGGCCGTTGGAGAAGACGTCTACGGGGATGGCGGGGGAGGCGGAGCCGGGTGAGGACGAGGGCGAGGCCTCCGTTCCCCAGATACGGCCCTTGAGCATGTTCTGACGTAGATCATGCGATGCTGAAAGAAGAACTTGGCGCCACTTCTTATTCATACCCATGCTGTCAAATGAGATCAATCTCTTTGTAAATGTACAAATCAAGCAAAAAAAATACCTCTGCAAGTCCTCATCGCTCAGCTTCAAGAACGTCCGACCACTGACCATGCGTGATCTCAAGAAAGTTGCAATGTCCTTTGCAACGGGAGTCGGAAGGACACAGTCAGACTCACCGGGGCGCGCGGCAGAGGTGACACGAAGCGCTGCCATCAGATATGACGACAGCTGCACGGGGGTCCAGAGCTTCGGGTTGGAGGGAAGATCATCAAGTAGAGCCGGAAGATGACTAAAGACATCAGGTGAAGTATAGGAAGGGAGAGTGTCAGCACGCCTTGCGCGCCGCGAACATGGACGGGCCTCATCTGCACTGGAATACCCGCCCGCACCACCATCGCTGGGATGCCCATTCGAACGAGTGGGGCTGGAACTGGGGAAAATAGGTGGGACGGGAAGGGGGCGGGGAGAAGAACGAGACGGAGATATATGAATGGGCTGCGACTTGGACGGTCTATGACCTTTGACATGTTCGGAACTGCGGCTTGCGTTAGGTGAGACAGGGACGTAGTAATGGTGCATCGCAGCAACGTTGTGGCCGGATGAGTTAGACCGCGTGAGGAGTGCACTAGTGGTGGTCTTGACAGCGTAAGGATGTGGATTGGGTTGCAAAGCAGGATCGCGTTTCGTAGGAAATGGGAAAGGATATACCAACGGTGATGAAGGTAGAGGGGGAGTTGGTAGTGCACGTTCAGCAGCCATCGTGAATAGGTTCACTATTTTGCCCAACTAGACAATTTCTCGTTAGAAAAGCGACAGGTAAAACGGTAATGTTAGACGAACCTCCGGGGGGTAATGGGGGGTAGGCTCTTCAGGAGTGAAGGAGTGCAAAGTTTGCTCGTTGCCGTGGTGTACTCAGGACAATTCTGAAAAGACTATGAGTAAGAAAAGCTCTTAAACAGGACGGAATCTGTATCCTAATGATTGAAAGGTTGGATGCGGCGTCAGATCCACCGTCGACTAAAGCCCGCGACGCCACCGACACACATAACCCCCGAAAAACATGTAAGACTGAGATTCTCGAGGCAATAATGTAGGAAAGTGATTTCCTGATACTCACTGTGGATACGTATATGAGCAACGACGGTATCCTATGGCCCAGGGAGTCAGACACAATGGATTTCTTCAATGAGACGTTTTCGTGTTATGAACAAGTAGAAAGGGGTTCTATGAATTGTCAAATCACCATTGACGATGAAGATAGTCCGGACGACAATAAATAGATCGCGCTCAAGAATCCAAAACTTGCACCTCCCGCTACCTGCGAAAGTCACCGTAACGGTAGTGCTGATCTTTATTCTGGAGACGGCGACCAAAGGAAGGAGTCTCTTGGATTTAACCGACGCAAAGATTGGACTGCGAGCGAGCAAACTACCCCTGCTTTGGCGCCAAAACAGTGTAGTTGAAACTCACAGTTAAAGGTGTATCTAGCTGCACAGGTTCTGGACAAGGTTCTCTGGGGGCATAATCTCTCTCCGGAATGAAGCAGACGGGAGATGGTGCAGATGCGTAACGGAAGTCACTGTGAACCTCGAGGAAATGCTCGGAAATCGGAGATCAGCATGGTCGGGTCACGTTCGGTGACTTTCACGCATAGTACACGTGATAGCGTGACACTCGCAGATCGGGCCGTTCCTCGTTCACCAACATATATCCACAGCTCAGAGGTCAGGCATCATTAATGTAACTGTAGCCAAACGCTACTCACGAGTTCCGCGCCATCTGTGAAGAATAAAGTAACACTCGAAAGGCCGCCAGGCGGCGGCGGAACTTGCTCGGAGACGAGAGCGGACAGAATTGCCACAAAACAAATAGCGCACAACAACTGTGTAAAAAGGACACTTTCACTTTTGGGTCGGGAGAGCTTGCTCTCCGAGCAAGAATTCCTCCGACTTTTCTGTCGGCTTCAATAGCGATACTTGCTTCCGGAATATGTTTCTCAGGCCCCGACCGTGACCGTAATGGCAGAGATGAAATTACCCTTAGTTGACGCAGCATTTGCGTTGCTGTCATTCTGCAAGAAAAGCCCTTGGTTGCACGGTAACGCTATAACGCATGGGAATAACTGGAGGTGCGTCGCTAATGTCAGGGATTCCATGACAGAGGAAGAACCAACGCGGTGTGACAGTTGTTATTCACACTCTCAGGGATATCTATGGCCTGTCAGTTTGAATAGGTATTCGTTATCGAAACCTGTGTCAAATCTGGCCCCTCGGTGATGTATCTGGTCGTTGTACTCGGACTTCTAAGACGTGTTCCTTACCGTTTTATATTCGCAGCAATTCGTAATTTGATACGGTTGGCCGCATGATAACCAGTAACTCCGCAGTTGATTCTGACTGTCGTACTCTGTCACCGGGTGTGTGCCTTTACCAAGCAAAACTTATCATGGACATCGCTGCGTGAATTTCTACCAATCACGATGGGTGGTAGCTATACGTCATACTCAAAACTGCTGTCATTTTATTCTAAATTTTACTCGTACTCTCACAGAATGTAAGCAATGACTCCTTTGAAAGGTGGTGTGCGCAGTTCGCTGACGACTGTGTTCCTTCTGAGCAGCTTTAGCCGCAGCATGTTCTGGCCTGCTTGGAAATTTGGGGCAATGCTTACAAGTACCGTCTACTCTCGACCCCTAAGAATAGCATGTTGGTTTTCTGTTGCATAGTTCGACGCTCAGGAGGTTCGTCACATCCTTGTCAGAGGTTTTCTCACTCTAATTCCACGATTATCGAAGCAGAGTTATCTTAGACTCGTTGTACATCTCGACAATGAAGCAGGACCTGATAAGGCACCTAAACGTTGTCCCTTCACTAAGCAACCCTGTTTCCCACCTGAACTTGTGGAGCAGCCCTAACCATTGTCGTGGTTCGAAGATCGCATTGTATTGCGGAACCGAGCCTCGATTCGCGCGATAGGATTCTCGTGATACATGAAACGAACTCCTACACTTAGACTCCCGGGGCATTCGACCCTCTTCTACATTGAACTGACATGAAGCAGTTTCTCCGTAGGACCCGGAGAAACATTGAAAGGTATGGGAATCCTGACTGATAACAAGACGTGACACATCGTCATGATCATCAACGTCTCTTCAATCCATTTGTTGATCGCTTCCTGCTTGGTTCTCGTTCGTACGTGCCCCGAGTGCGACCACTCCGGCAGATGATGGTGAGATTTCACCGGTTGCTGCGTACTTCGCTGTGGGCTGATGTTGGACACATAGATGGCGCCGTAAGGCGTTCCGGGAATAGTCTCAGCTTGTCAGCAGCCAGCGAGAGCCAACGTCCCGAGTCCCTCGAGAGACCGGCCCAAATGTGGGCATATGCATTGGCGCATCCGTTTCAGCTCCCTTCCCCATTCCTGAGTGAACAGTATGCCCGAGAAGCGCGACGGGAGTACTACTTTCCCTCGGCCAGAACGTCGCGGTGCGGTGGGGCGTATCAACTGAATTGTACTCACTGCACCCCGGATGGCACCATGTGATTCGGGAGCCAACGTTAGCCCGTGTCCAATTGTAGCGGTGCACGCACAGGCCACCGCCGCAACGGGAGGCCAAGATATGCTCTCGTCACACAGTGACATATCACGTGCAACAGCCAAGGTCTGTCACGTTGGTCGCGGATTGGCGGAGGAAAGCACTCGAGCATTAATCACTCCACGGCTCCTTCAAAATAAAATAAACTGTTTCCAGGGAAAAATCCCAAAAATCCTCTCTACAAAAAGCTAGAAGCACAGTCTGAATACAGAGCATGTCTGTTGCAAAATTATTCATTTAATGTGTTTTACCAGCCAAGCATAACAGAAAAGGTCATGTGATATTGGTCGTATGAACTGCATATCTTGGGCATATCTTATGACTTGGGCTACTGACCACCGTGCCCGGTGGACGGTATTGACCCCGTAGGAGGAAGTAGCCGTGGATGGGTAGATAACGCCCCACTAGCTATCTGATAATTTGATCATTCCGTATTCGGTGGTAACAGGCGGTAACACCTGCCTCGCCATCCTCGGTGACGACGTCGGACTTTCTGCCATTGTCAAGGCGAGCGCTTACGGTGCAGAAGCTCGGTCAAGTTCGAAAGGAGCACTCCATAGTGCCACCAGGTGACCACGATGCAATCAAACCGTAGCGGGCATCCGCAATCTTCTACTACGGGTAAAGGCTGAAAATACACGGATGCGAATATATTTATACAGAAGTGCGTGCTGATGGAGAGCTACATGGGGGTATTACTCGCGCGTGTACGGCTCGGGGTACGACTAGTAGTAGACGAGAGACGAACAAGAAGAGATGTCAAAGCTTCACCACGGTCGCCATGCATGTCGGGCGGGCTCGGGTACATTATCGGCTAGGATACAAATCTCATCAGTACCTTGTGAAACGAACATACACGATGATCAGAAACCAACTCACCTTGGCGTGCCGAGGGTGGTAGGGGCGGGGCGCGCTGCTCCCAGGCCGAGGATGTGGTAACAGGCATGTGTACATGTCGTGCCTCGCCAGAAAAGGGGGCCAAGTGAGGTGCGGGCTCTCCGCGCGAGCTGGCACCAGTGCGCGAACCGCCACTGCGGTTTGATGAGGACGTCGACGGAGCGGAAGGCGACGCCGAAGTCAAGTCCGATATTTGAGAAAACTGCCGTCCGCTGAGAGCGAAAGGAGGGCGATCAGCAATGGGGACAGAGCAAGTAAGATAAAAAATATTTTACGTGCTGTACTCTGGCGGAGGACCTACGCACCGTCTGTGCAAGGCCTGAGCGACGGTCGACTTTCCGCCCGCAACGTCCGCATCGTCATCTGACCGCAAACGCCTGAGGATAGTGAAGGAGTCGTCAACGCGCTGACCTTCACGCAGATCCAACGACGATATTGGTGGTAGTGTAAATGACCCCGAACGGTTGTTTCCCAGCCTCCCCGTTGGCGGTTGTATTGAGGGTAATTTTATCGACTCGAAATGCATGGGCCGAACGTCAACCTCGTAGACGGCAGGTGGGCTCGAGAGTGAGCTAGGGTAAGGAGAATAGCGGATGTTGGTTCGAATATCAAGTGGCGGAGAGTGGCGGTGCGCCTGGGCATAAGGAGAATGTAACCCGTTCATGGGTGGAGGAGTGTGATAGGCACCCTGCGCATAAGGGACGTGCAGCATCACCGGTGAACCAGCCTGGTATTGGTGCGAGTGGCTCAGCTCACGACCAGACAATGCAGAGTTGACTGCCTGAGGGCGAGTAGAAGCGCTGGAGGTTGACGCGGAAGCAGCGAGGGTAGGAGAGATAACGGTCCACTCATGCCTGGAGTCCGGAGGAATGTCATTTTGCGTGGTACGTCGCGACCTGCGCTTACCACTGCCAGGCTTGACGATCTGACCGTACCCAGGCTGATCAGGCGAGAGGCACGTACTTGGGAATGTCGGGCTAATCAGCTGAATCAGGGGCCAACGGCATCAGCGAGATGCCCTCGGACTCACCCAAACAGAGGTACGAGATCATAGCGTATTGGCCAAGCCACACTGGTCACAAAAGCGGTCAGCCTTTGAGACATGTAAGTTCACTGTGAGGAGAAACTAACAGTCGGGCTAGTCGTAGAGCAGTTTCATAAGGCATCCATGTGCCCTGAATTTTGAGGTAGCCACCCCGGACTCTACGCAACTGCGAAGCAAGATCCGGCTGTGACTCGACGATTTTAACGATATCCGCTGTCCGAACGCGTGTCAGAACACGCCACCGTCAGATCGCGTTTACCAACCTTTAGAATTACCCAGCGCTATAAATTTTCACCAGCGTCAGTTGTGTCGGGCTGCGGACACCGAGCTGCTTACCCTTCCATATCCCGGTCCACAGGACGTAGCCATCGTCCATGTCGAGCATAATCCACTGACCGTTCAAAGGATACTCGTGCACAGGTCTGCAGCAGAATTAGCAAGAGGTGAACGGCGGCATTCTCGAGCCGCTTACATGTAGCCACGGGGATCGTTACTTGTAATATAACGTCCTTTTGTAACATGGTGGTTTGGACTCGCGTACGGTCGAAATCTCGGACCGACGGTGACGGGTTCGGAGGACGGCGACGGCATATGATCCTGAGACAGCATATGGTTCACCACGACGGTGAGAACAGATGGTCGGGTTGGAGTACTTACAAGTAAGAGGCCGGAAGACATGTTCGCGGAACGATTTGCGCCGAGGGCCATCGCACTTTGTCGACAAGAAGCAGATGGTGACAAGGTCGAAAGAGGATTTAGACTCAGACAAGAGGATGATATATATGCACGAGGAAGCCGAGACTGGCGGATATTTCAACTAGCGGGGCTGCGGAATATGGAGGGTGGAAAAACACCGGCACGAGCGTCAGGCGAACTCCACAAACGACCACGCAAACAGAGGAAGAAGCACTGCACAAACGCAGGAGAGTTGCAGGCAACGTGTGGACGGTATCATGATGAAGGAGCCAAGGGCAAGCAGGCCACCTTCCAACCGTCGCCGGTGTTACTTGTTGTCACCTAGCTGCCTGCTATGTTCCATTAGAAAACGTTGCAGTGTATGGATTAGGCACCGAGCCTCGGTTACAAATAGAAAGGGGGTATGATCAGAAATGCCCTGCGCCAGTGGCAGATCTCATCTGCTCGACTGAACAGAAGGCGGGGCCCGGAACCGCGGGATGCCGAGGGCGATTCTTTTTCACCTCCGGTTCCGGCCAAATGAGCGATTTTCTTGTTGTCAAAATGTTGCCAAAGCTACGCGCCAATACGCAAGGGGGCCATTGACAGATATTGGACAAGAACCACCGAGTGTTCCGCCCGCAGGGACCTTTTCTTCACACACACGTCTCCACAGAAAAATGTCTGATGCTCCTTATGCATCCACGTACTCCCGATCAAACGGCGCGAGTGTACCTGTGCAGAGCGTCCCATGGGCTCCCATAGGGGCCTGCGAATTTGCTGCAAATACGCTCAGCCCCGGATGCACTCACCCATGTTCCGACTTCGAGTTCTGCGGGTGAAAGTTTTGCTGGTATATTGCAATCATGTGCGGCTGGACCTACATATAGGCTTAGCTCCTCCGGTCGCACTTATACTCCTCGGCGAGGCTTATCCACAGAAAGTATCGAGGGAACGGATTCGCGTCGGATTTTGTGGACCATAAAGTTGTGCGAATATTGGGTAATCTCCTGACTGCTCGGAGGCACAAGACGGGAGTTCTTGTGTGCTTCTAGCACGCGCCGGGCCGTCGAGGAGCAACGGGGCACGGGACGAGGGACGGCGAACCAGGTGAAGGTGCCCAATGGGGGTTGCAGTAACCGGGATGGGACGCCCTTGATTGCTCGCTCGATCGAATGCAGATCGCTCCGCCTCGAGGTCGCCTCGATGGCGAAGCGGGAAATACGTCACGGGGCAAGATTACCCTGAGAACCGACCAAAAATGCGATAAGCATTTGTCCGTTCACGGCCGAGGCCGGCCGAGAGGCGTGGCGTGCCTCGCGGCCTCAATACCGGCCCCGAGACCGCATGGTGCGGAACCGAGGTCGTACGACGGCGACGACGCTCCACCCGCCCGGGTTAGCGCGACTTACGAGAGAGCCACTCTTCTAGTTTATCTCCACGTTCCACGTTCCACTTTTCATCAACATCCAATGCGGCAACATTCGCCGTCGGTGACATTACTGCCAAGCGCATTTATAGACTAAGCAAACAGCAACCGTTAAGACTATCGTTCGGTCAGATATGCTCATGGAGTGAAATACCACCGCCACCACTAACAATCCTCCAACGCCTTTTTCAGGATCCTGCGCACCTCGGCGGCACCCGCCCCGCCGCCGGTAGTGTATATGACATTGCTGACCTCGAACCCGTTGAACTGGCTGGCGGCACATACCGTGTACGCGCCCATGTTCTCAAACGCCAGCCAGTCGCCCACCTGCAGCGCGTCCGGGAGCTGCGTAACGGGGCACACGCAGTCGATCGAGTCACACGTAGGGCCCCACACGCTGCAAGGGCGCAGCGGAACTGAGGCCGGGACGTGGAAGGATCCGTTTAGCGACAGCACGTATGGCTGCGGGACCTGGTGATCGAATAGAATGCAATTGAACGAACCATACACGCCGTCGTTGATGTAGTCTGTAACCCGCGATTGATCAGCATTCCCCATGGCGTCAAAAAGCACAGCCTGGCGGAGACATACACATCACACTGGGCTGCTCGGGATCCACATCGAGATCTTGAGGACTTGCGTCAAGTGCGGGGGGCGCCCGCCGCGCAATCACGTTCGCAGCGAGACTAAACGCCCTCGAGACATAGTATCTCCCAGGCTCCGCGATGATTCGGATGCCCCGCCTGTCCGGGAAGTAGCGGTTGATCGCGTCCATGAGAATGGAAGCGGTAGCCTCGAAAGTCACGTCCTCGAAGCCGCCGCCCACATCCAGAAGGGAAAACGCATACCCGGCTTCCCTGCCCATCTCGAACACGGAGCGCGCGCGCTCTACAGCGTCCGCATACGCCAACGAATCAAAACAGCCACTCCCCACGTGGAAGCTGACCCCAATGACGTCGAGCTTCAGCTCGCGAGCCTTCGTGAGTAGCCCGGGCACGGTCACCAGTGGGGCACCGAACTTGAGCCCGAGGCGGCACAGGCTCTTGGAGTCGTCGGTCAAGATGCGCACGACGAGTTTCGCGCCGGGGTGGACGCGGGCGATCTTGTACAGCTCATCCGTGTTGTCGAACGTCATCATGTCTACACCCGCTTTCGCCGAGTTTCGGATGAACGACGTGGCCTTGCACGGGTTGGCGAAAATGATGCGCGAGGAATCCACACCGAGTTCCAATACCCGCGAGATCTCGCCGATGGAAGCGCAGTCGAAGCCCGCTCCAACCGCTGCGAGCAAACGCAGTACGTAAGGGTCCGGGTTGCACTTGATGGCTAATTGACAGCCGAAGAAAGGCGTTGAGAACACCATCACGAACAAAAAAGAAGCTAGATGCATACCATAGAAAGGCTCGATCTCAGGGAGATTTTTATCCCAGCGCTCATGCTGTCTAAAGACGTAGCTGAGATCGGCTACGAAAAAAGCCTTTTCCGCGTCCGACTCGCCAGAAGCAGCGAGGTGCGACGCGTGCATGACACCATTTCTGAGGTGTATGTCGGGGTGGCCACGCAGCAGCGGCGGCAGGCCGGGCACGGTTACATCATCGTCGGCAGGGCCGTCGCTTTCCCGCTGCCGAGAAATGACAGCATTGTCGTGGGCTTGGACAGAGGATAGCAGTCCGTTTACAATTGCATTGGCAAGAAGTTTCTCTGAATATGAGCGCGCGAAGCCGGAAGAGGGGGAACACGAGACAACGTCAAAGTCGAAGTCAACTGGGCTTTGCGCAGCGAGAATATCCAGTCGAGACATTTGATCCAGCTCAGAGGCGGATTTGTAAGAACGAGCGAGCTCTTCGTTAGGATCTATAGCTTGTGCGTTGGGTGACGAAACAGTGGTCAGTGGCGGCTGGGATCTAACCGAGCGAGGTGGAAAGCGCGAGAACGCTGAAGAGAAGAAAGTCGTTTGTTCGCGAGGTACTAAACCCGTATTACCGAGCCTACCGCCCGCGGCGGATTAGGGACGGTAACTGAGCGGGTTTCTGCAAGCGGGGCAGGTTTCCTCGCTCCTTGTGCAGCGAGGAGAGTGCTCAAAGGCGAATGACGAAGTGTCGATCGAGAAAGCGAAGGAGCTGAGAGGCAGCTATCGCAATTGGGCTGAGCTGTAAGGGGTTGGGGTGTAAGTCGTGTCAGGGAGGTTCGCCTGCGGACGTGGCCACGACGCGTGAGTCCGATTCAAGCGCAATCAGCGCACAAACAAGCACATACCACGAACAGATGACCACCTGCACGAACAAAGCTTGTCAGCGACCGTGAGGCAAAATTAGAGTCAAAATGAAGGGCGCACTCGAGGGTCAAGAGACGCAGATCGTCGTTTCGCGTCTGGTCAGAAATGGTGGCGCTGAAGGGTCCCTGCGTCGTCGCTGGCAAGCAATTCGACGGCAGAGGAGTTAATAACAAAGAGAAAGACACCTGTCGATGGTGGACGGGCGTTGGACGAAGCGGAAGTCCAACACTTTTTTCATCGATTACATTGTCCCGGCGACTGCCGAGGGCGATGTCGCATCACGTGCAGTTTCCACTTTCAGAAATCTATCCTCTCCGGTTGGCTGGTCAACGTACGTCAACAGCTGCAAGGTCCGTGCGCCGAGTGCTGCTCTGCAAACTGTTCATCGTCTTCTTTGCAAGTAATTCTTAGGGTTGGACAGATACGGCAACCCGACATCCTCGCGCCGTTGTCGGAGATGGCTGTACGTTGGCGGCATCCGTCGCGGTGAAACCACGCATCTATGAATATCGTGGAACATCATTCGTGCACAAGTTGCTCATCATTAGAATCGTGATTCATTATGTGATATAATGGTAACGAACCCGCAACAAACTTCTCCACCTTAGTGAGCACCGCCCTCTCCCCTAGCACATTCATGCTCCTTGGATGCCGCAGGCGGGGGAATGGAGCTGACAACGCCATTACCAAGCGAGCGTGGAGAGGTGCCTGAGGTAGAATCCAGCGGACGTAAGGCTGTACTTGCTGTGGGCCCCAGTGGCATGCGCGCCGCGATGATCGGGCCATGTCCATGTCCATGCCAGTGACCACTGTGCACCCCATCGGTGCGGAACGGCGAGCCTGTGAGGCTGCGCGGGGTAGATGCCTGAGACACGGTGGTAGCCCATGGAACACGTGTAGCAGGCAAGGCGCTCGCAGAGTTTGTGTGGGGTATTGATGTCGGGTACAGCGCAGCGCGGTGTGGAGCGAGGGTCGGTACAGTGTTTGGGGTAGGTGTGGATGGTGTCGGGTCGGGGGAGACGCTCCAATCGAGGAGTCCGCCAAGGAAGACGTGCTGCACGACCACACGCTTTCCCAGCACTTCAGCCTGAGAAAAAGCGAGAAGCCCGATCAGCGAAGTTCATATGAGACGGAGATGTAACCATAGTCGAATGAATGTGTACCACTTCGGCGGAAGTTGTTATCACACGCACCTCATACATTTTAAACAGCCCTGAGTTCACCTTCGACCATGAAGCGACACCAGTAGCGATTGAATACAGCTGTGACGAGTGTTCGTGAAACGGGCCATGTTTCACTTCGTGTATCCGCATAATTGACATGAAATACAAGTTTGTCAGCGGCAGAGGCGGCCGCAGCACGGCCGAGACCGAGTACTCGGTCTGATCTAAGAGTTTTCGTCAACGGATACAAGAATGAGAAATCGGTAAAATTAGCAGGTAAAAAAAATGTTGCAAACCTCGGAGTTGGGCACTGCCGAAGATATACCCGAGGAAATGCGAATCATCAAGGCCCCACACCCCGTGGCTCCCCGCTGGCTCGAGGTTATATACGTCCTGGAGGCGCCAGCAGAGCCTGAGGTAGCGCACGAACACAGACAGAACGAGCTCGCGCTCGTGTACCGGGTTGGGCTCGATGTAGCGGAGCAGGGATAGGCAGAGCAGAAAGAGAGCGAACGACGTCTCATGTCCTGTGCCATAGTCCATGCGCACGGGCGAGCCGAAGGCCGTAGCGAAATAGGGCGAGAGGAAAGGTATGGCAGGATGCAAGGAAGAAGGTAGGAGTGTGTGTAGAAGAGAAGGAGTTTCCTGCGAGGTATTGGATCTAGGAGACATGGAGGGGAAAGAAAACACTCACCGATTCAAGACGCCTCCCCCAGGTGCGGAACGCGAGATTTCCAAAGCGCTGCGGGGTTGGTAGAGGTGGAATCTCATCGATCCAGTGATCGAGAGTATCTAGCATAGATAATATAGATGCTGCCGGCTGCAGGTTGTCAGCGCCACAGCTGAGACAGTGAGAGATAGCTTCTGACCTCACTAGGTGGCTCAGTCCAAGGTAGGGTGTAGCCTACGACGGACTCATTCAGCCGCCGCAGAAACAATCCGTAATCTTGGTATCCTCGAGTAGTCTTCCAGAATACGAGGTCCTCGTCTGTATGGATCTTCTTGGTGGGAATGTCTGCGCGACGAAGTTCTGCGATAGCGATGTGGCGAAGGGGAGGAAGGTCCGAGGCGGCCATGATTGAGGTTAAAGCAAGGCGTAGAACAACTAATGAGTACAGATGAGAGGTATGGATACACTTCCGATGGATGCTGGTGCGTTATACGCTCTAATGACGGGAAGACCAGATCTAGACTTGCTGGTGACGCGAGAATTCAGGTGTATTGTAGCAGAGACGATACCCTCCGAGAAAGTTGAAGCCTTGCTGCTGGCGATGACGGAAAGGTCAGCAGCAAATGCCAGCCTGAGTGTGCCCAGAAGCAAGGCAGTTATCAGATAAGATGGTGCCACTTCGCGCCTGCCCGTGACGCGTGCCACTTCGGCGTCTAACCAACTTGGCCACCGACGTCGCGTCGCGAAAGCGGCTCATAATTTGACTTCTACCACAACGTCCTCGCCCCTGTTATATATTATATTACTGCTCATCTCTCTTGATTCTATCAATTGTTCTCTAACAAATGCCTCGATATGATGACTGGAACAAGATCGAGGAGGACGAGGAGGACGAGCTGCAGGACACTGTGAACCATCTCTAGGTCTCGACATGGTGCCATTACTGACAGAGAATTACTCAGTACTACGAGGGAAAGAAAGATGTCATTCTTTTCTGCATAGACTGCTCCCCCTCCATGCTGGAGCTGCATGAGGACACCAAGTACGAGGACATGCAGACCTGCCATCTCTTCACCGCGCTCGAGGCCGCCGTGCAAATACAGAAGAAGAAGGTCATAGTGGGACCCAACGACGCTGTTGGAATTATGCTGTTCAACACGGTGATGCGCTTGTATTTCCTTCTTAGCGCTGAAGCACTAACGCCTCTTACAGACAAGGAAGAATGACCCGAAAGGCCAGGGCGCAGAGATCAAGAGGGGCAGCTTCGTCTATCAGCCCATAGATACGATCAGCGCCGAGACTGTGCAAGAGCTGATGCGGCTGCTTGATGGTTAGTACAACTCTTCAACCTAGGGTCTGAAGTAATCCGAATGTGGTCCTGTAGCCGCGAGAGAGGATCCAAACGTCCTTCGGGAGACATTCCCTCCCAAGACCGATGGTCGCATCCCCATGGGAGATGTGTTTACCAGCTGCAACTGGGTGATACGCGATGGGTCAGTATTGTTCTCCAATTTGGGATTGTTTGACTCTTACCAGGAACGCTTCAGAGCGCCAAAAACAGCCACTAAACGTGTATTCCTAATCACTGACGAAGATGACCCCCACGAGGGGTCTACCAATGAGCGGCTCATGACCACCGCAAGGACCACATTGATCGTGAGTTTGCCGTCGACGAACCAACGTGTCGGTATGACAACTGCCCGTTCTTCTACTTTACAGGACCTCGTCCAGGCAGGTGTGAACCTGGAACCCTTTTTTATCAGCACGGCCGAGAAGCCCTTTGACGTGTCGAAATTTTATTCCGTGCGTTCCGTGCCCCCAGAATTTTGCTGATGCTAACAAAAGTTCGCTGGACGATGCACAGTCAGTACTGCTCCCGAGCAACCTTGTGGACGACGAGGAATCTGATGCGACGGTCCTTCCGGAGTCAATATCCATTACGCGAATAGAGGACCTTCTTTCGCAGATGCGGTTCCATGAGGTTCCTAAACGAGCGCTATTCAGCATTCCGTTCCAGCTTGCGAAGGGCTTCGTCATCGGTGTCAAGGGGTACGTCTCGTTCTTGTCACTGTCATGCTGCCATGTCCGAACCGCGATGTTGTCTGAAGTTACGGTCTTGTCACGGAGCAAAAGAAGGGAGCATACAAGTATTTTGTGGACGTCGGTGGCAGCATGGAACTCGCCAATCCACATACATTGTATGTCGATGAGGTACGTGCCATCCCGAGCACTCATAAGATCGTCGTGGATCTGACATTGAATAGGAGCGACAAACCGAGGCAGACAAAACAAGAATGTTCTTCGGAATGGACTTGGGTGCGCCTGCTGCCACCGAGGACGCGGATGAAGACGCGGAGGAAGAATCAGGGGTCGGAGCGCGAGTTGTGCCTGTAAACAGTCGGGTACGTCGAGCAGCTCCTCCTCGACTGCAATGAATCAAACTGAGAGGTGCTTACCGCTACTTCGTTAGCCCTTCTACACCGCGGACGAAGTACGCTCATTCCGAACGATGGGCTTGGAGCCTGGTGCGTCGTGGTAGAAAGCGTCGAGCGATATTGGTATTAATGCGATGATCAGGGCTGAAGCTGTTAGGCTTCAAAGATCGCAGAGAACTCGCGTTCGAAGATAATATCAAGCATTCCACTTTCATCTACCCAGACGAGATGGTATGCTTGCAGTCGTAATGATTCCTTGTCTTTCCGGCTCATCTTACGCCTCGTGTCAAGACATATTCGGGCAGCAAGCGCACGTTCAGCGCTCTCCTGCGCACGATGCTGAAGAAGAAGAAAATAGCATTGGTCCTATCTCTTACTCGACGCAATTCGTCACCTACGTTCGGTATGCTGCTACCCCAGGTGAGCCCTGTTCCTCGAGACTCTCACGCGTGTGCGCTTCCCTTGATGTGCCAGCCACAACACAATAAGCTGTCTTAGACTTGCTATCTGGTCTTCGATGCGTCTTCACGTTTTGTTGTGCGCGTGTGAAAACGGGAGAACATTGATGCCGGATATGAAGTGCTGAACTGACTGCGATTTGATCATGTAGGCAGAGAAGATCGAGGAGGGCGGTTGGAACGAGCCGCCCGGGTTTCACCTGATACCACTGCCATTCGCGGACGACATCCGCGCGGCGCCCGTCGAGCAAAGCTTCCGGGGTGCGTCTTCTCCCCATGCCTTCTCACCCCAAGACACTCACATGCTCCGTTCGCTGTTTGTCTCCCCGCCTCACCACACCGTGATCCATTCGGATTGGCCTTGCGCAACTCCCGTTCTTTCGGGCCCGTGCGGAACCGCTGCTGTGCTTCGCGCATACAGCTTCCGACGAGCTGAAGGATGCAGCGCGCCAGTGGATAGACAAACTCAGTGTCAAGAACGGTGCGTATCCCCCGGACTCCTATCCCAACCCCGGTGAGACATACCTCTATCAGCCATCTTTACCGTCGAATCTCATGACACTTTTGTGCTTTGCTGTGCTCTCCGGTCCCGTGGCAGCCTTGGCGTACCATAACGCACAGCTCGAAGCGAGCGCGTTCCGCGAGGAATTCGACGCGGAAGGGTTTGAAGACCTCACTCTTCCGAAGTGTGATATGATCCATAAGGTCCGTTTCAGGCTCTCGCTTATACAGCTGCTCAGTGTTGACGTGGCCCTCGGGCCATCATTGTCCCTGTGCTGGAAATTCATTTTCTGCATGAATAGCGGGCCGGCCAATTGATGAAGGAGTGGAAGAGGCTATTGCTACATGACGAATCAGCCAACACGGTAATTGTCACCACTGGCTCTAAGCGCAAGGCCGTATGTCCAGGCATTGATTCTAACTAGGTATAACACTGACACACACTCTATACTCCAGGACATCAGTGTGGATGAGGCAGAGATACGTAGCAAGCACGAAGTCAATATGCTGGGCAAGGTACGTCCTCCGTTACGACGGCGGCACCGTTTGCACGTCGTTAGCTGTAGCTGGTCCGCTGACTTCGATCCCGTGTTGCAGCTCCGCGTGGACCAGCTGAAGGTTCGTGCCGTTGATATTTACTCTTTCAAGTTGTCCTTTTCCGTGCGACCCCTCTTTGGTAAGGTCCAGGGCATTGCCGCGCCATTCTGTCTCGGGCTTGTGATGTCGATTCGGGTCATTCGACTCCCCCGATACGGCTCGCGGTATATCAGCTAGTTGATTGGCTGGCGCGAGCTTAGAAGCCTCGGCGGTGCTGCGTGGATGGGGGCTGTTGTGCGGATCTGAAATCTTCGCTGCTTATTTATTGTTTGCGTCCCGTGCTGATTTCTTTCTATGGCGCCGCCATGCTTTGTCTCTCCTACAGGAATTCTTAAAGAGCAAGAGCCAACCGACATCCGGGAAGAAGGCAGAGCTCGTCGAGCGCGTCTCCGACTGGCTAGATAACCATTGATTGCAAGTGTCACCCCGGTGTCGCTACCAATTTAGTCCGCGGATCAGGGTGAGTGGTGTGGGTAGCGTGGAGGACGGTAATCTTTTTTGTTGATGCTCTGGACTGTGATCACATTGCTTCCAATTGTCTGACGTCCATAGGTTATCCTTGTCGGGTTCTTCCTGCTATGATGTTACTTTAGCGCATACATGGCTCTTAATTTTCTTTACTGTATACTGGTGTCCAGGAGGCACGTCCATATTACTGCGAATTGTTGTATATGTCATTTGATTTTGGTTTTCGCCATGCGCGATTACGATGCAATACGAGTAGCGGATGGTTGAGGACCTTCCTGGATCCTGACCTGTATGTACTGTGTACGCCACTTCGCGAGTTCGCGAGTGTTGCTCAGCCGTTTTATCTAAGGTTCTCTTTATCTGATAACTGATTGCGCAATCCATCTTATCAATTGGCAGCTTCGGGGAGTTTGTAATCAGATAACTCAATCGCCGTTGCTCCTCCCCGTTCTAACTCTGCTGCCCTACCTTCTCAGCCAAACTCTCACCGTACTCAACCCGGCACTCCGATACCAAGTCCCTCATCACTCGTAATGGCCAGCGTTGCAAATCCGCCCAACCACCAGGTGGTTACGTCGTCCGAACATTTCCAGTCGCTACTCTCCGCGGACCTGCAACGGATCTCGCTGATCAGCTTCTGGGCCCCATGGGCCGAGCCATGCAAGCAAATGAACGAGGTAGTGCTCGAGCTTGCGAGGAAGTACCCCGAAGTTCTCGTGCTGAAAGTGGGTCTCATCCATGCATCGGTTGACGAATGCTAAAATATACGTGTATTAATTAGGTCGAGGCGGAGGAGCAGTCAGATGTCGCCGAGTCATTCGACATCCAGGCAGTGCCATCCTTTGTGATCCTACGGGTACGTTGCTTCTACCGTCTCTCAACCGTCATTCGTAACAGATTGTGCCGTGCACATCCATGTAGGGCCATACATTACTGGGCCGCATTTCAGGCGCAGATGTCCCCGCCCTCACCGATGCAATTGCCACCCACGCGCGTCCACTACCATCTGTCAAGCCGCTCTCACACACCAACCTTGCACCCGCCGCGGCATTGGCCGACACGCAGGAGGATGTCAACAAGCGGCTACGCGCACTGATGAACAACGACAGGGTCGTCTTGTTCATGAAGGGTGTGCCCGACGCTCCGCGCTGCGGATTTTCACGGCGCATCGTCGCGCTACTGCGCGAGCAGGGCGTACCATTCTCGTCCTTTGACATCCTCACGGATGAGAGTGTGCGTGCCGGCCTCAAAGTCCTCAATAACTGGCCGACGTTCCCGCAGCTCATCGTCAATGGCGAGTTTGTCGGCGGCCTCGACATCGTGCAGGAGATGGTAGAGAATGGCGAATTGAAGGAAATGCTGACGGTGGCTTGATAGGTGTTATGTATCCATATGTATATCACAATGCTGCACACCCCTAGTGAATGTATGATCTGGAACTACTCGCAACCCAAGAGGTACAATATAGTACTCGATCAACAGTGACGTACGGTTGCCATCGGTATTTTCTCTGCAGTAGCTGACAGGTCATCAGCTACATTGAAAAAGAAACAGCCGTTGCTTTACTCTGACTTCAGGTTGAAGCTTCAACGCTCATTATGGTATACGTTATAAGAGCCAGGCGAGCGATGGGTACTCGCAGTTATGAGGCTCAGTGGAACTCGAGCTATAGTTTAACAACTAACCTTATCGGTACTGTCAAAGATATCGTCGCAGATGCCATACTTTCGGAGCGATTAGTCCCTCGAGCTGCAGCTGCTATGAATATCGCCTTTGAGCATCATTTATGTATGTCCAAAAGCTCACCTCAGTCCAGTCGAGTAACGACAACTCTTGGACTGCAGGGAAACGGCCTCTGACTGGAAACAAAAGAACTTCACCAACTGCTTCGCGCTCAAATAATGCTAATCAAGCCAAAATCAAGCCCTGCCAATAGGTCTGCAGAATCTATGACCTGGAGGGCAGATTGTTTTCACATCAAAGTCGCTCATGCGCTTGGAGATATTGTTGATATGAACCCACCATAACAAAATGGACTGAATTGCGAGTGCAACATCTGTATCTAGAGGAAACATGCTGAAACTGAACGGCTACTCAGGCTCGCTGTTACTGACCAGTACACAGAAAAGCACCGTTTTAACCCGAGTACATACTTACTCGTGCTGCAGCCTGAGCTACGTATAACAGCCGAGTCAAGAGGGTTTGCTTATCCAGGATCTTTGTTAAGGACTGCGGCTATTAGGCAAACGGTTCGATGGTACTGACAGTGTGATTCCAAGCTTGAAAGCTTGAAGGTTCGAGATGTTAGTAACCAGAGTCGATCGCATGCCAAAACCGGTTGCGACGAGTCGACCGTCAGTCACAGTCGGTCCCACCGAGTTGCAATTTTGTGTTGGCCAGTCGTGACGGGCACCAAAATACCATTTCCGCCAATGTTTTAGTAAGAGTATTATCCAAATGTTCTTGAAATTTGAATGTCTGATAGCTACGATTTTCAGAAACTCGCTACATACACCAGATAACGATCTGATCGTCCTAGTGCGACAGTTTAGTACTCTCCCATCACCATCCACTCATCAAGCGACATACTTTACGCGACAGTGATAACCCTCACTATTGGAAGATCTGTGAGTGTCAGCAGTTTTATCTCTGCGAGTCAAAAGGAGTTCGCAAATCATTTCTTACCTCCAACGCGTCGGTGTAGACATCGTGGGGAGCTTGTGGCTGCCTTGATTGATACCCACGGGTTACTGAGAAATTCATTCAACTCACCATGGCTTCTGATGCTCTCGATCTCAAAAACAAAGGCAACGCGTTCTTCAAGGGCGGCCGTCTGAGAAAGTGAGCACCAATCCCATACCACATGTACCTCTACCCTAACAGCATGCAGAGCGGCCGAGCTATATGCAAAGGTATGCAGCGTCATATTTCAGTCAATTTTCATCTCAATTTTGTAATTGACTAGGCGGAATCGCTTGCTCCGACTGACGCAGTGTATCCATCGAATCTGAGCGTCGCGTTGTACGAAGCTGGAGACTATGCAGAGTGCATCTGTCCCATCCTGCGTTCCTGGAAGCTGCTGTCTCCAGACTCCAATCCGGCGCTCGCGCCAAGACTTTCAACGCGTTTATGCAAAGCCCTCAGCCATGGTCTACGTGGTGGTTCAATTAGGCCCGACGTGATTAGCAAAAATGAGCAGGCCATAGCTGAGATAGAACAGGTGATATTGGATAAGCCCGAGGAGCACGCCAAGACCGTGCAACTGTGGAAGGAGCTAAGAACAATGGTAGTGGAGATGCGGGATCATCCAGAGGAAGTGCGCGAGTCCCGTAGCCGGCTTTCTCGCCTTCCCATATTCAAAGCAGCGACGTGGGTAGGATATCTCGAAGTTTAGAGAACGCTGCTCATTGTTCTTTGCGTAGAAATCCGACGTTGGAGTACCATTCGGTGAGTCATTCTGTAAGTCGAAAGCGTGGTCAATTGAAGCCGGCGGTGTAGATCGGGCAGGATCGTCTAATGTCTTTGGTGGACGACTGGGGTCCAGACCATCCCTCTCCCATCCATCTGGATGAGATGCCAGACGACGAGTTGAGCAAGATGGTGTTTCTCCTGGGAGGAGTCGGCGACGGTAAGCCTTCTGGTATTTGAACAGTTTCTACCCTAACTCCGCCGTCACAGCGCGGCACGTGTATGGGACCCTCATTGGCTTACACCGGGTTCTAAAGTCGCTGTCTGATTCCCAGCGCGAACATCTCCACGTGCATTTCACAATGTTGGACGTACATCCAGGAGCCCTCGCACGCGACTTGTGCATTCTCCTGCTGCTGCACGACCTTCTTGAATCGGAAGGTGCTGACAAGACTGTGCAGCTTGAGACTAAGGCGACTTTGTTCTATACCTACGTTGGTGTTGTTATGCCCCAGTATTGTCACGAACGGTATGCGATAGCCTACGTGTGATGTTGAGCTAACCAATGACCCTGCCCAGGCTCCAGGCTACGTTCGAAGACTTACTGGCGCGCCTCTCAGAGAGCCCACCGCGATTCCCGGCATGGATCCACGTCAACCTAGATGCGATACCAGCTCTGCGAGAGGCACTAGAGTTTTGGGCCTTGCGTGCAAACACGCTTAGCACAGAGTCCGTCTTGACGTCTCATGTCCCCCACTCTCCCTCGCAGACCCTGGAATTACTCAAGAATCCCAGCATTTCTCCCGAGTACAAGGCTCGAATCAAGACGAGCATCGCCGACAAGCGCCAAGAGGCCATCGAGATGATCAAGCAGTTCAAGCCGGCGTCGCTGCGGGCGATGGGCCTCATCGATCCTGGCCCTGGTGCTACTCCACGAGAGAAAAGCAAGTACGACAAGCGGTACGAAGAAGTCGTGGAATCGATGCTTGAGACAATCCTGGACAACGCGGGTTCGATGTCGATCGAGAAGCTTTGGTATGACCACACCAAAGTCTTCCTGCCACCGCCGGAACTGTGGTCTCGTCATCCGAAGTTTGATGTCTACCGAGGCATCCATACGCGGAAAACGATATTCGATTCTAACACTTATGGAAGCTGTGCGTTTTGTTCCGCCCCTATTACATATCACTGCCGAACGTTTTGACACGATGTTACCAGCTGAACGGCCACATCACGTCCACTTGGAAGGCAAATCCGACACTGCATGTTAGTATTTCAGTTGACCGCGTATTTGCACTCTCATGTACGTGATAGGACTATCAAAATCCTGGCCGCGATCCCTACGGCAATCTGAATCCATTCGAGGCACCTATGTTCATCGAGGATTTCAACATCGAATGTAAAATCAACACTCACAGTATAGATGACATCGAGATAGACTCTGCAACTTTCATGACCGTGTCAGATTTATTTTCCGCCGTTGCTACTGCACTGAAGAGCGTGAAGGGACAGGTAGTGTTGGAACTCTTGTGTGGGGAGCTAACACAGGAACTCTCGAAGATGAGATTCCTGGGAGACCATACTCGACCTGCCAAATTCCCCCGGTCTTTCACTAGAGCATATCTCAGCAATATTCCGTGAGCCAGATCATTCCATCGTTTGAGACGTATGCGTGATTGACCGATTGGCTGTCAGAGATTACACTCATGGCATAATTAATACCATTGTGTACGCTCTGCCAGCCGTTCATTGTGGCGAGGAGTCTGCGGCTGCAGCAACGTCGTTGCTGAACACTGGTATCTGGCATGACGACGAGGAATTTTGTTACACGTATGTTTTGTTGTTTCTGTTGCAATACAATAGGAAATTCACTTTCTTCCAAGGTATACGCTGCTTCGGTCCAATGACATACCTCGCTACTTGGGCTGTCGTTTAGTCAGCAAGGAAGCCATTCACGGTATGATCATCATAGGCAACAAGCCGCTGCCGCGTCCAATGTCTGAGCTTGCGACGCGCGAAGAGCTGCTCACTTGGCTGACGCGAGTGTTGATCTATACTGTTATACCAGGCTCAGGTGGGACCACCAACTTCAGAGCACGACTTCCCAACAATCTTGTCGCCTTTTTCGCACTCCTCGTGCACCTCCATGCAGTTGGGTACCCAGCCCACTGGCTCTCCGACTTCCTGCAATGTGTACTGGATAACGACCTGACGACCAATATCGCGCCGTACTTGGGCATATGGCCTATTCCTGTATCAGACATCGACAGTCGAGTGACCACTCGCAAGGTTCGTCTGGACCCTTGGCGAGCCGAATTCGAAAACATCATGGCCTTGTCCTGCCGAGGGCTCCCATTTTCAGTTTCGTTTCCAGCCGACTACTCGACGAGTCCTGCAGCGATCGGCATGTTCGCAGCATCTGTGGTGTCATCGTCACCCTTGATGGGCACGTTGCTCAATCCTGTGCCTGTCTTTGACCCCGGCGTCTGCCTTCTGTTTTACAAACCTGCGCGAAGAGCGTCGCCTGAGACACTGGTGTCTGCCATTCTGTTAATCTTCGAAGGGCAAAGAGAGCCTATAAAAGATGAGATATACATTCTCACAGCGCAAGAGGAGTTTGACTTACCTCGTGGAAGAGTGCGATGGATGATGAGCAAGGAGCGCATTCGTACAATGAAGAGCGAGAGATGGGTCATGCTCGCGTACCGGACAGATAGCAGAGAACCCTGTGAGTCACTGCCGTTCACGAAATTGCTTTCATTTGTAAAATTATCGGGCTCACCAAACCGTATACCTAGTCACTTCCCCTGTCTCAGCCTCCGAATGGGCTGAGGTTGCATGAAGAGCCATCGACTAGTTATCGAGCATGCCATCAGGATCAAACTTCGAAGTACGTTTTGCGTCTTGTAGTAAGTAGCTATGCACGAATTCAACGGCACGGAGCTTGACAACAGAGTGCGCTAAAACTCAACAACTCAACCGATACCTTTCCACCACTGAGTTGGTCGTAGAACCAGCTGCAGAGATACTTTTGGGCAGCGAATATGCGAGACTGTGACCATGTGACAGACGCGTTGAGCACGTGTTCGTGTTCTAACATAGTCATCGACCGAAGTCATCGCGCTCAACCCGCCCTTCCCCACAACACGCCGACTGAACGTCTCACCACATACTCCACACGTGGCAACCTTTTCCACCGCCCGGATGTATTACACGCCCTCGACCTCCGCTCGCGTGGGTCCCACAAAAGTCAGGGCGGATCGATCCTCGGCTTCCCTGCTCTACACATTCCAATCTTCCATCTCCAGCGACCCCCCCGGAGCTCCTCTCGGGCACCTTACAATCCGCATTCACGGAGTCTTACGCGTCCTCAGATCCCTAGACACACAATTGCCACACGCCCCTTGAAGAGACTAGGAGAAGCTCGACCAGATGAAGCGAAACTTTTTTGTGGGACATCCGTGACTACGATGCTGTCTTGGTCTACGCTGAATTGAGAACTCGCAGATGATTTGGTCCGCAGGCCTCAATCCTCAGGCTCCGCCAATACTTCGAGGTCGTCAATTCAGCCAGATGGTTCGATTTTCGATAAGCCTGCAGCATGTACACTTCGTCGAAGATCTCGGGTCTCAGATGGAGGGTGCGAATTGCTGACAAGGTCATACTGAGAGGAGCACTGCGATCACATATGCGGGTTGAACGAAATGCCTCCGTGCTGCAGAGTAATTGGCTGTCGGAGAATGCCTGGATTCGCACAGCGGATTTAACCCACTGAAGGGACAAGAATCTAACTGGAATACAATTTGTTCGAGCCCAAGGACCTGTTCTCAGAGATGAAGTTACAACAACTCCAAGCCAGTGTTCCGTGGAATTGAACTCCACTGTCTCCGTAAAAACCACTGGCGAAGCAATGTGTATTGACGACTCATGACGAGCGCTTGAGCAACTGGAAACCGTTTGATCACGTGCATTGAGACCGTACGCGAAAGTGACCACTGACCAAACTGACCAAACCTCAACGTTTCAACGTCCGAGACTCCAACGCTTCAACAACAGGTAGTCCTCAGTTACGGGATACCTCTACCTTAGCACACCAGTGCCTCCGAGAGAAGTGGAAGATATGTCTGTATTGCAGCTTTCTCAAAACTTACTCTCGCAAACATATGAAGAGATTCACGGGTTGAGGTGTGTGCATTTATCGGTGGGCTGATTATAGCCGCAAGCTCAAGTCTTTCGCATATGTTCTATGTAGTGCTGATGACGTGCGTATAAGTGTCTCGTGCGATAATGTGTATCTATTCTCACATCCCCCCATGTCGTTACTGTTAATACAGATGTCGCTGCTGGAGCGCGTCATGGCCGAGGCTCTATTGCATGTCCGATCCACCATGAATGCCGCGCGTCCAATCAGTCGATTTCCCAATGAGATTCTTGGTCTCATCTTCCAGTATGCATCGGATCTGCCCGATGAAAAGGACAATGTATCGCCAGATCCGAAGTCACCATTTCTGTCCAGGAAGGTGCTCTGGAGCATCACCCATGTCTGCCAGCGATGGCGGGATGCCGCTATAAGTACATCTTCTCTTTGGACCATTATCTGCAATCACGATTATGTGCCATATACCACTGTCTTGCAACGCTCGAAACCCGCACTTCTAAAGGTGCACATCCATAAAGGAGACCCCGAGATGTCTAAAACGATTCTGTCGAATACACCATACCCGCGAATACAGGAACTCTATCTGAGTGATACAGATCTCGACAACTATTGCCCGACGAATTATGCTCATTTCTTTGCACTCAGGGTGCTGTCGCTTGTTGAAGTACGGATGACGGCTGAAGGTGCTCGTTCTTTGCTATCACACGGAGGTGCACGTTGCTTAACCGTGCTGTCCCTGAATGGTGTGCGTGTTGATGCAAGTAAGTACGTCAAGAGCCTCACTCCTTTGTCGATGATCTTATTGCTGTTAGGTATCACCTTATCGGACCTGACAACTTTCATTTCGGGGTGTCCCAGACTCGAGGAGCTCATGCTCGAGGACTTATCCTTGGAACCCCCGCCCCGCAACACAACTCTCCACGTACCGTCATTGCAACACCTTCGGAGGATCGCCGTCGGTGAGCCATGGGAAGAAGGTGCATTCCTCGCCTCATGGCTCATCGCGCATGCCGACAGATCTGGGGGAGTGGCTGCCCGTATCTATAACCAGGATACCTTCCCTCTCCGGTCTGAATTCTCCTCCATTTACCCGACATCCTTCGATGGTTTGCAGACACTCGATGTGCGCGCTCTGCACCGGCCTGAGTGCCATCCGGCTCTGGTTGTGACTGCTTGTAGTGCGCTGTCCGCGCTCCGGGTCGAGTGTTCCAAATCACACAGCGGTTGGGGGAAGACGGAGGACGGGGGACCGTTCTTGTGGCGCGATTGGCCGCTGACACATGTGCAGGAGCTTCACATCAGAGATTCGGAGGACGTGCGTGAACACACCGGTCTCGTGTCGCTCCTCCCGTGGCTCGTGTCGTTGACATCGCTGGTGGTACATGCATTCGAGGCCGAGAAGCCCAGTGTACTCCGCATACTGGCAACGCCGCCCGACCTGTCTCTAGGCACGTGGCTTCCCTGTCCCGAACTCGCCACGTTGCACGTCATCGCGGAGGATGCGTCTGTAGTAGACGACATTGTCGCTCTTGCGACGATGCGAGCCGAACACGGACGGCCGCTTCACACTATCTTCCTTAGATTCCCCCAGCCCGCTGCTGACGAGCGTGCACTGGCCAACTTGATAGCGCGGAATGCGTGTGTGCAGTCCGTACAGGTGTCTGGTTTGCCTGATGTGGAAGTGAAGTGGCCGGCTCTTTGTACTGGGGGCGCGGAGATTTTCTGGCCCGCGTTGTAGTTCCTCGATTGTTGATGGTTCCTGCGCCGCTCGAGTATTGCTTATAGGTAGTTGTTTCGGTGACCACCGTCGTACTCACCAGTAGCTTAGGTAAAAACCCTAGTACCGAGATCGGAATCATGCTGAAGGGATACGCCGTGCATGTTCAAATGGTGGACGTAATGAATGCGTTATGTAGTGAGTGCACCGAGGACCAGAGTGGCAAACGACTTTATTGGGGACGTGACGGACGCGCCGCGCATTCAATATTCAGCCCGTGTGTGTGTGTTTGGTTCCAACGTCTGCCACCCAGGATTCCATTGTATCTCTGCGGTGAGTACGCCTCGTCTTTTGGGCCGATCAAATCCTCATGAAAATGAACGTGAAACAATGCAGAGTTTAGCCTGGCCTTTTTTCTACTTTGTCCCATGTGTGACCAGAGCTTGAACCTCCTTTGCACGCGGTTTGGCCCATTCTGTTTGATATATGAGTCTTTGGTGACACTCACACGTATGATGCATCATCATGATGGATTTAATTCTACCAAAAACTACACCGCACAAATGCTCAATGAGAGGTCGCAGTATCAATCACTCCGGCGAACTTAGCCCACCGCTGGAGGAGCCTGGGCGACAGGAGCACAGCTTATGTAGGGAAGCCGTGTTCAAGAAGTTTATCTCGCTTTCGACAGAATTCCTCAGCGAAAGAACGTGAAGAGATGAAACTATATAATTCCCTTCGTGCGTTCTCTCTCACACCACAATCACTAATGAACTGTGTGTCATGGGCTGACTGCGTTAATACCGCAAATCTTTGGCCAGGCTTCAAGCCATTCCTCACGGACAACAAGTGCGATTCTGCCAATACTACGAAACAGAAGGTTGATGCCGGCCTTTATCTCGAGAGCGAAGACCCCTCCAGACGATGCCCCGTCGTGAAATCTACAGCATATGTTCGTCGAGTTCAAGAGAGGGGAAGTACAAGACGATATGTTTGATATTGACATTCTGTCTAATGAGGCCGAAGGACAGAAGCTGTTCCTGATACTCGGTCCGTCTCATCCGCTGGGATAGATCTGGATCTTTTCACGCATGAGTTCAACTATAGAAATCCTCCGGAATACATTGGCGAATTCTTGTGGCGTTTCTCCCATGCCTCTGATACAGAGCGGGGGATGGATACCACAGTAATGTTGGTCACGAAGGGTTCGCCGGATTGGTTATTGACACACGAGATGGCGAAGAAATCGTACAACCGAGACTAAGTGGGGCAATACTCTGAGGAGCGCCTGGATTACGGTTGGGTATGGTGGAGGCTCTTCTTCAAACCCGACATGGATGGAACTGTGAAGGCATCGGAGGTCAAGATAGACGAATCCGAGGAAGCTCCGACTGAGGATGAACCCACTGCCACAGCGAGGGGATGGACTACGGCATCCCAAGCAAAGAGAAAGTTCTTAAGGAAAACTTGGTCGGCAAGCCGCACTTCTACACACGTGGTGGGGTAAGGCGTGGAAGGCGTGATTATGTGGCACTCGATTGCGCCACCAAGGAATCCGTTTTTCTTAAGGATGCATGGCGCGTCGCTCATGACGGAATCGAGAAGAGAGGGCGACATCCTCAGACAACCGAACAAGGTTAATGTCAAGAACGTACCCACTCTGGTATGCGACGCCAATATAGAGGACCAGGAAACCATCACGCAGAGATATCGGCAGCCTGAACTTTGGGAGATAGTAAATCTCTTGAAGATGCACAGGTACTCAGGCTATCGGATGGTCGTGAAGGAGGTTTGCTGCCCCCCTCCCCCCGGGGCGATTTTGAGCGAGATCAGGAGTTGCTGAAGCTGGTTTGGGACTGCTTCAAAGGTGAGTGCCTCGATGTTCTTATTTGCATGAACTTACGAGCAGCATAGGTCATAGAGGTGCCTACGAACAGGTAAAGATACTACATCGTGACGTCAGTGCAGACGACTTGCTAATATTCGAATAATTAGAGGAGGACGGAAACGTCGTTCGCATAGGCATTCTTAATGATTGTGAACTTTCCAAACCATTGCATGATGCAAAGGCGAAGGAGTCTGCCAAGCAACCGAATCGTACAGTGAGTTCTTAATGATATCGGTATTTGTGCGGACTCCATTATAGGGAACTTAGCAGTTCTTGTCTGCGTTCGCCTTGCAGGGTCAAAACATAAAGATCGGAGTCATCCCACATGACGACGTTGAATCGTCCCTCACTGTTCTCGTCTACCTTGGAGTCCGATGGTTACCGCACAGTTTCCACGAAGTCGGCGCTTTCTTAGCCCAATACTTCGATAACTGGGTTCCTTGGCAGGGACAACCAACGTGCGATAGCACAAAAACAGGTGCAATGACGGCCGGCAAAACCAGGGTTGGGGGAGCTGAGCTCGAGTTTCTATTTCCCGACTTGAAGATGATTTCTCCAGCGAACAACTTCTTCGAAAACATGCTTGAACTTCACTGGACACACTACAATGTCGTAGAACGGGAATGCAAACATTCGACGAAAGGTCCCAGTCGCTCAAACGATGAGAAGGCTGACAGCATGACTGGTGACGTTGACTCGGTCGACGAATCCGCATCAATGCTGGGAAACAGAAGTGGAAGACAAATCAGAGAAGATAGAGTGACGGCCTCTCAGCTTCTAACACATGGTTTGTGTCGAAGCTTTTTGGTGAAGCTATGACAAACTGAAGCAGCAAGGACCACGCGCGGGCAAACGGACTTGGGGTAAGGCGACTTCTTCCTTTTCTAACGTTGACATCTGCCACCACTTCCTATAACTGGCTCGATGGAAGGTGAAGGAGGTAGTAATTCCAGGAACGAGGAGGACTGTGTTTAGGAAAGAGGCACCTCCATTTCTGGCCTGGAGTATATAGAAGAAGGCACTGCTTCTGTGTCCAAGAAAATTATATGAAGGAGACCCTCAACGTAGGTGGGTGTTCATGCTCTTGTCTCATTTCAAAGGGCTTCTGTGTCACATGCGTTCCCTGCCTCTCCTGTTTTCCTCCCCTGCACTCCAATGGCTACATGATGCTCTGATATTGTGAGCGACAGCAACGGTAATAAGTCATTGTTGTAACGCGAAGTAGAAAGCTGTGCGCTGTGTTTTTGCAGAGATCTTGTTGCTCCATAGTTGCCGGGCGGCATGGTAGTAAGTAAGACCCTTTGGACACAGCTGGTAGACACGCGGACCAGCGCTGAACACTTTTCTCTGGATTTGCATAAGTCAAATAGTACGGTGTAATAATATATATACGGGGTCAAGTCCTCGTACGCTTTAGCGGGAGGATTAATTTTAGGCATACTAACAGGTCCGTCATCCATATGCGAGACAAGAACAAGCACTGGCAGTACGAGTACGGCAGAGAAGTACAGTAGGGGAGCTTCGAGTAAAAACTGAGTCTACAGCAGAGGTGCTAGGAACGACTGTCATTACGAATGAACAGACAAGATACGTGTACCACCGGCCTGAAGTGGAACGGGCGAGGTTACTGGAACCTCGACCGTTTGCTCCCGCTTGGACCGGCGGCTGATTGCTCTGCATCTACAAGACGTTTCAAGCGACCCTTCCCCTCTTGCGCTTTCGTCATTTGGAAATCTGGGGGCAACTGGTCGCCAATATTGTCATCAACTGGCCAGGTCTCGTTCGTCAGAGCCTGCGCCAAGACGGTCAGCGTTGGCTCGTGAGACATCAGAAGCTTTGCTGCTTCTCTGTCATCCTCGGCGTCTACTTGGGTCCTCTTCTGACGGTTTGTCCTCACCGAGGAGAGATCTGCGTTACCTTCGATCGCTCGCGTTCCTGTGAACGCTGAGTAGTTATTTTGCCGCTTGGCTTGGTCGGCAGGTAGAGGCGCATAAGGGAAATGAGAACCCTGCACAGCGTAGTAAGACCGGAATGACTGGAGGAGCTCCATGATGATATCGGTAAGCGGATGTCCTCTATCATCGTGCTTGTTCTCGCTGAATTCGAAGTTGAGCTGTCGTTCACCTTCCTCGATGATCCCACACTTTATCGCCGCCTTTTTTCTCTCTCCAGAGGCCCAATTATCGCCCTGCGGGGTACTATCGTCGAAATACTTGAATATGAACACACCGACATCGAGAATGTTGTGCCGCAAGTAACGAATGCCGAAGTAGAGGAGGACGTGAAAGAAGGATTCGAGCTCGTCCTCAACCGTGATTGTACGGAACGGATTGTCCAGTGCATGCACCGACAAAAACTGCCACGTTCCCTATAAGTTGTGTTAGTGAAATTTGCGTGCATGAAAATCGCGCAGGTTCTCACCGTACGATCAGGTTGGCGTGGACCATCGCCTTCTTCTGCACCGTCGAGAAGCGGTTTGGACAACTCCCAGTCAGCGAGGATGCCATCTCTAGCGACATCCTTTTCGCCGTTAGGGGCCACAACTTCGTGTTCGTTGATCAATAGATTTCCGCTACTGATATCGCGATGGATGATGCCCGCGAGTTTCATCACGTCTCTGTGGGCTACAAAACATTAGATCATCACACTGATAACCATGATCACGATACAAGGCTTACCGGACATACAATCGTAGACAAGTCTGGTAAGCTCTTGGCCATGCTTAAAATCACGCATAGGTCGACAGACCTCCTTCTCCACAAGACGATAATGAGTGTGCAGTTTGAGAGGATTTGTCATCGTTGGATCTGGACTCAGCCAATAATCCTGCGAAAGTGTATGCTGTTGAAGGATATCGCCATGCTGAAGCATTGTAGGAATGTTCCCGATCTTGAGGTCGTTCAGTCTGTGAAGAATGTCACCTTCCTTCTCGATACCTGCATGATCCACTCTCCATGCGTCCTTCAGCCACACGAAATCCCCAGTCTTGCAGTCAATGGCTACATAACCGCGCGTTCCTCGACCCGCCATGCTATGCGAAGAGAAGTGTGGCTTCCCAACGAGATACTCGCCTCTCACTTCATGCGCAGTAGAGTCCGCACCACCCACTGGAACGTCAATCTTCAACCTCCACCACGTCCAAGACTCGTCAAGCGACTCTCTGAAGTATTCCCGGATGTGGCCACATTTCTCGCGTCTCGGTTTCGCCTTGTCTCGCATGAGGTCGGCATCACCGGAGTGCTTTGGAATCGGTCTCGCCGTCGGATCGTCGCCTTGATCCACTGGAGAAAGATGAGCGAACCGCCACAGGAATTCGACCAAGTGTCGTGAATCGACGTAGTCGAACTTCTCAGAAATGATTGCGCCCGACCTGTCCCATCTGCACAGACGTGCCCAACGACCAAGCATCATAACAGTGAAACAGAAGCAGCGCTGCTGGCGTTCAAACAATGTGGCCGCATACTGAATAAACTGGCCTCGTTTATCGATGCGGTTGTTCGCCACGTCTTCAAAGTCGTCCGAACTATCATCGAAGGGATCGTCCCGGTTGTAGTGTCTTTTGAATTCGAAATGCAGTCGCTGTACATTCCAGTTTGGCCGATTGTCTGTCGGACGTTCAGTGTTGCGATAGAGAGCTACGTCGGGCTTCTGTTTTGTAGAATCATTCTCGTCGTATCTGTGCTCCGTTTCGACAACGCAATGTCCGGGGCACATCGTCTTCTTGTTCACGTTGTTTGCCTGAGGCATACTGTATGTCAGCTCCCACAGGTACGCATTCGAATATAAGAATGGTAACACACGAAAGCCACCTGTATCTCCTTCTCAATAGCGCCTTCCTTCGGCATGGAAGTGAATCTCTTACGCGGGGTTTTCGAAGGAGCTTTTGGGACAAAGTTCTCCAGGAAGTCGACGACAGGCATCTTGACAAACTTTCTGTGCATAGTTATGCGAAGCTGTTGCCTGATCGCTCGGACGCCTGGATTAGCTGTAGCTGACTGATCGTTGCATGCATTGAATTTGCGAGGAGAGGTGTTAGCTGAGCCGCGAGGTTGAAACATGTTGGTTATGCTTACCTCGTAGAGTTGGTCGCTTTCATATACCTCGAAGGCCAACATACGGCCACACACGAGGCTAAGTTTCCAAGTTGGGTCTAACCTTTGTTCGGATATATTCTCATGCATTGGTCACGCACTCTATTGTCGAAACTCACCTTTGCGGTCTTTCGAAGCAGTGGCGTCAGCGGGGTCAATGGTACAGCTGGCCGTTTTCTAGCGGATATATCGGCAAAACTATTGTTCTGTGAGGAAAACATGAGGTTTTCCTGTTATATGAAGGCTTCTTCCTTTGTTGCTGTGGCACATACCTACGGAGGCCTGGCTTTACGGTGGTGGCTGTTCACAAGTTGAATGAGAGGACGCGAGCACGTGTCGTCACACAAACGCGTGCGTCACAGTGTGACCCGTGACTACCACCCACTGCCACGCTGGTGGCTCGTAGCTCTGAATCTCTAGGTTTTCAGTCATCCCATATTACATCATTGTGTTTTTCGGTAAGTTTCCTCGTGTGACGCGGTTTCAGTTTGTCAAGTTCATCTCGGAGTCATCGCTAATATTCGTGTGTCAATGTTCTACTGTCTGTCGATAATCAATACACCCATCTCGGCCACCTTGCGTATTGTCAGATGTAATGCTCGTTGATTTTAGTTTGGCTGGGTAACCTGCGCGCAATTGTCCGATATTCAGCTATTTCACACAGATGGAGCGCGTGCAGATCCTAGCCCTCTTCTACCACTTTCTGCTTGACCACGAAGTTCCGTTGACCACACGATTCTACGACGACGTTCACAGAATGCATCACACGACGCCATGGATCAAGTGATACGGCTAGTGGGCGTCCCCATCCGAACTTAGAGACGCAGATGCGTTAGTATCGTCGTATGGCCGTTCGCTTGACCACCAGACTCTACATCCTTGAGCCTTTCCAATCACGCGTCACCTTCATGCTGGCACATCTTTTCCATCTATGCTTCGCCTCCTCTCGTACCGTTCCTTCTCCAGCGGTCGTCCATAATCACGAATATGGTCGACGTTGACTCCACCCGGACCACATGCGTTTCTTCTCAACTTCTCGGTGTAAGCAATGGTAAAAGCTTAGACGTACGGTGCGCGGGGCTATCCACAAATGCTCTACCTTGCTTCGATCGGCGTGGTGGCTCTGTGCCTTTCTCTAGTGCATTACGCCTGTGGGTCAGGCTGTCAGTTCTACTTTCCGTGTACACCCTCTCGAATTCCGTCATGAACGTCCAATCCTCGTCGTTCGACGGGCGCTCTTGAATCCACGCTTTTCGATACAGCAGCTCAGTACGACACCGAGAACGTCCAGTCACACCAGCCGGCGGGGGCGTGCGACAGACTTGGGGATTGGCGTGAATGTGGAAATAACCGGTGAGCTTCGTCCGTTTCGACATTCTTCGTGCTCTGACATTGCTCCCGGTCTCGATCCTAGCGTCTGCACACGTCCCTCCGCCAGTAGGTGTCGGCGCCACACACACGGCGGAAGGATCGCACGAGCCAGGATCACGAAGAGTGCATCATCGACCTTACACAAGTAACGTCATCCCCGGGGCCTTCCTCTAAGGTACGTGCTATCGATGTAGCCCTAAACCGTCCTCGGCGCGTCTGCGATGCTCGTATCACTATTTTTCTCTGTTTGCAGAGTTCTGCACGGGCTCAAAGTCGAGAGATCGCACCCCCCCGACGTACCTCCTGTCATACTCGTCGACCTCGTCACATCAGCCAGTGGTAGCGCAGGATCCCTGATAATCCTCATAAAGGCTACCTCTGAGCGATGGAGGTCCGGTCTGGTCAGCTTTTGGGTCTTTTTGGTCCGGACACGGCTCAATCCTCCCCATTTTGACCGGTTTGGTTCGGAAGAAGATGGTGCTTCCTCAGTTCTCCATCAATCAGGAGCCTTCTGGAGCTTCGCTCCGGCGCCGCTTTTCTGCGAGTTTGAAGGCCATTTGTTTTAGGACCTTCGACCGCATCTGCAGCCCAATTTGCACCGCGCTTCGCGCGTACCTCTTCACCCTCTGAAGCGCCCCCTTCGGTGGTCCGGACAGGATCAAGCCGTGGCTGGCCTGACCCTATTTGGTCAGGACATTCCATCACGGAAGGTGTTTGCGCTGAGGACCCCCATTTAGGTCCGGATTAGCTCATGGCACCAGCGATTTTGAGCCAATTTTGGTCCGGACGCATAGGATGAGGGTCATCAGGAGTCCTGTAGCACGCCGACGCCGACCTCCCACGCACTCCGCCGAACTTGGAGCCGTTCGACAAACACTCCACCCGATCGCGTGGACCCACACGCACCCATAACCCTGTCCGACAGGGCCCAGGGTCCAGACCCAGGGCGGATCGATCTTCGGCTCCCAGCACCACCCCATCTCCACCTCCCAATCTCGCCCTCCCATCTCCCCGGGCGCATCTGCACATTCGCGTCGCGCCAGGGATCGCAGAAGAAAAACCCCAGACCCCAGATGGTCATGATCACACAAGTCAAATTCGGTGGATCGACGATCTGCAATCGTGTTCAGACTGCTACTTAAACGCGCACGTACGGTTGCTGATGATACAACGGGTTTGTGGTGCAGACGAGACGAGCCAGTCGGGAGCGACATAAGCTCGAAAAGGGGGGTAAAGCATAGCGCCATTTAGGCGTAACAAAACAGACATAGACAGCTATCGCGACAGATTAGCAGCAGCGGAGGTACACTGTACTACCGTACGATAAACGCAGACACGCGACGTTAACGTACCCGAAAGCAGGGGGAGGAACGTGGCATCGAGAAGACGAGGAGAAGTCGAAGCACATGGACTACATGGAACGAGGCGTGTGGCAGAGAGAACTCAGACGTCCGATCGATTAATGTCAAATGCCATCCCTTTCTTCATCGCCCGGGCCCGCGAGGCGGCGTACCGTCGCCATCGCCCTCGCCGCCTTCACCTTCCGTTCACCAGCGCTCATCCGCGTACGCCGCTGCACCCACCTGTGGCTGTTGCTGCGGCGGCCCGCCCTCCGCGCCCGTGGGGTCTCACCATTGGCCTCCCCATCTTCGCACCCGCAGGCCGTGCCTCCTCTCTCCACCAGTAACGCCCTCCTCCTCCTCCTCCCTCCTCCTCCTCGTCCTCCCTCCCCCATCGTCCCCCCCATTTTCGTCATCCCACCGCCCATTCGCCACACCCTGCCAGGCAAGCCAAAGAAGAAGGGCATCTCAAAGAACCGCACTACCTCGCTTGATCCGTACGGCCCTTCGTCTAGCAGGGCAGTCGCCAGTTGAACTAACGAAGCTGTATCTTAATTGTCGAAGTTTTGTAGCATTTATGTGGATAATCTAATACGCAATAATTTTACAGTCTTCACCACTATCGTGTATTTAGACTATAGACGTGCTTCAACATGATATCCCCCCACAAGGTCTTCAGTGGCATGCAATATTTAAAACCACGCGTTCTCCATCGTCACCTCCCTCACGTTCTCGCACTTGATGGCGTTGAACGTACCCTATTCAAACATGCGTATGACGACGCCGCCACGCAGGTAACAGCAGTGGCACTCGAGATGGGTGCCAAGGCGTGCAGGCACCGGCACCCAGAACCGTATATGCCAGACCCCGCCGGACGCATTAAGGCACGTTATGCTGCCATCCGGGCTCCGTACAGATTCCGCAACGATCTATCCGCGTGAACACCTGCTACTGCTGCAGCGTGTGGTGCATGCCACGGCGTACAGGATGCATATGTGCGCGGGAACCATGACCCGAAACTCGATCTGTAGCATCTGCACAGATATGTATCTGTAAGGTGACGCTATCTACATGCCCTGCTCTATAAAAACAAAATTGTAGATAATAACTGACAAAAAACCGGACTCGCCGCGCTCCGTAGATAACAAGGTGCCAACAGCAGCATCCTAGTCATAGCACGGCGTACAGACAACTTTTTGCGGAGGACAGAACACTTTTTCGTCGCAGTGGAGGGTAACTGTGGTGAACTCCAGGTCTTCGTCGTTAATCTTCTGGTTTTCATCCGAACTGCATATCTGACAGACCACCTCGGCGTGCACATTGAACTCGAGGGGTCCTTGGCGATCCAGCAGCCCGACTGGCACTTCCACGGCAATCGTAGTCTCTGACGTCTGTTTCAACTGCGGTTTCAATGTCTGCCGTCTCAGCATAGCCAGCTTCGACATCTGCAGTTTCAACGTCTGCAACATCGGTAGCTTCGAAGTCTGCGGCTTCAACACGTGCGGCTCCTGCGGGTACGTTTCGAAGGTCCAGATCCCGATAGTGACACGAAATTCTGGCTCCGGCCTCGGGTCTGACTCAACGGTGCGAAAGTCCATCCGTTGTACGTCTGCCATTAATTGGCCCGCCGACTCGTAGTAGATTTCGAAGTTTGGGGGGAACACAACTAGCTCGCAGTCGATGTAGAGCAACCATTGAAATCTGACGGTCTTTCTACAGCATCCGGTTGTTAATCTCTGGAAGGAATAGAGTTAGAAAGAGGGTGCTTACTTATGCAGAGAATTCGGTATTATCTCCCCACGAGGATCTATCTTCAACTTCATGCCTAAGTCAGCATCTGGACTTGCCTGCGGCATAACGGATGAATATTTCCCCGCTATGACTCGGATATATGTGTATAAGCGGAGCGATTGACCGCAGATCTGAGCGCACGGAATGCGAAAACGGACGAGAGAGTAGAACTGAGCGATGAACAGTGAACGCAGAGCGCAACGAAGTTATATAGACGTATCCCGCAAAGCAACCATTTGAACGGCATACAGCGAGAACAGCGCGAAACGCCACTGAGGGCCCGAAGTTGAAGCAACATGACCAAAGCATCGGGCAATACAAATGCCCAAGAAGCGCATTGTTCTGACTTGCATTGAATCGAACAACGGAAATCGATGCTTCTCCCGGGGTGTTTCAACGAGTACCTGCATGATGCCAGTGCTTGCTAGGCGTAACATACATAGAACGGACGCTTGGCGATGTCAGATTAGAGGACAAAGCAAGCTTTGCAGATCCGCAGTACTGTGTGTTACCGGCTGTTTTCAAATGGACTGTGTCAGCTCTAAGTTTACCAAAGGTTTAACAATGAGTAAACTTTCTATGTCTTGAGAAATGTAAAGAAGGGTGATAGCTCAGCTTGGATTCCATATCAGAGTCCACTCCAGCTACGAGTCGGTGGCTGTAACAAGCGCTCAGATCTCAGAATCCAGATGCGATCTCAAGCGCCATCTGCTCAAGCCGTTGGCGATTCAAGCAAAATAGTACTATTATTCAAGCATGAGTACTATGCGACCGTTATTACATATTGACGAAGGCATTCAATATGGAGTCCGAAAGACCAACGAAAGACCTATCCAACCCGCACAACAGGCAAACTCGGCATCAATTCGCGCGCTTGCAAGTTTTCAAGTGTAAACGCCAACTCCTTGCACAAGGGTTTCGCCTTTAGGCGGGTTTGGAGGTCTATAGTTGCACGCAGTTTGAAAAGGCGACCTCCTGAACGGGAGATCAAATTCATCGGCACCGCCACAATGAAGTGGAGCATCAACATCACAGTTCTATCTTGCCCGTCGGGGAGGACGTACGAGCACTGCTGCATGCTAATACCTTGAGGTGCGTGGGTCGGCGTGAAAATTAGCTTCTTATCCAATATCGCAGCGTGATAGTGAGCGGAGAACTCGGGTTCATTCCTTGGGTCGATGGGAGCTACGATCAAGTCGATATCGATGTTTTTGATGTAATACCCCATCAGACAGAGGATCGAACTGGAGGAGCCAAACGTCGTTTTGCCATCAGGTGTGTAGACAATCCGCAGCCGCCAGGGGTATTCATGAACATGGCTACATTGAAAGAGTAACACTCAATCAAGGTAAATAAACTCGATGGCGATGGAACTTACTTGTAAGGAAGATCCCATGTAGTCCTATCTTCATCACGGAGATCAACGTCCACCGAGATCCTCGACAAGAAATCCTCAGCAGGCTTGTCTGAGTCATCTTCCAGGCTCGAAGGGCATGCCGAATCCGATTGGAATGTATCAACGGGGGAATCTTTATAGCAGGTTGTCAGTTGAGTCGATTCCATGTTGGTCGGCATGAGCGGAGAGGGTAAGCAGAAAGTGAACTGAGCAGAGGAGAAATATCGCGATTATAACGTGGCCAGGAATGCGCACAAATTGCTTTGGAAATCAGCACTGCAAAGAACCCCGATGGCGAGGCATGAAAGTACAAAACACAATCAAACACCGTGGTCTCAAAAGGCATCTAGAACCCGTTTTTTGGTAACATTTGCAACAGGACTACCACAAAGCCGATGACATAGGCGCTTTGATTTTCTGGGTTCGTTACTTTGAGATCCTGACTTCACCGCGGCATTGACTGCACTTCCAAGCCTTGTACTCGTTTGTGGCGAGTATTCACCGTGTACCAGAGTCCAGAGTTTGCGAGCTGACAGTAGAATCACTGTAAATCTGTGTCTTGTACGGGGTAAAACATTGACAGCAGAGGCCACACGCGGGCCGCCGGGCGAAATGCATCACGTGCAAATGCCACGCGTGTGTGGCACTCCCGCTTGCGCACAGGGAAAGTCAATCAGGAGGTTGCTCAGACAAGGAAAACGCCTTACGAACGTTGATAAATAGCAATTGTACAGATTGACAACATGAAGAACAAGACGACAAGAGGGCCACACGAGATCGTGACTTTCAAGTTTCAACGTGGCTGATCAGCTTGGCCAGCTGCAAGTGCTCCATCACGACGTCCACTGTACTCTCGCAGATAGCTTCAGCCTCTGACTCAGGACCTTCGCAAGTCTCCAGTTGGAGTCGCGCTTTTACGCGGAACTTCCGGCACGGGCATTTGATGAACAGCCCCATCGGGATGGGCACCCAGAATTGTAGCAGCCACATTCCGCCCGCCGCGTCCTCGCCACACATCAAATCCGGTGGAATGTATACACTTGGCGAGACAACAATTCCTTCCTCCGGCTTCATCTCGTAGTCTTGACCTACAATTATGCAGGGCGCCATTCGGCCGATGAACCATATCTGACACCGTGGCAAGGAGCGGCCCTGCGAGATTGAGTAGAAGTCCAGATTGAGTGTACGGATAGGGCACACTTTGTAAGTGCTGCTTGTGGGTTTAGCATCCTTAATGATGAGGGAGCATTCCCATGGAGAAAACGCGCTGCCACTAAATGTTAGTGGCGGGAGATCAGGCATATGCAGTACCACTTACCGATGATCTAATTCCCAGAATACCTTGCAGATCTCTTTTGGTCGAAGTTGTACGGAAAATCGCGGGTAGGTAGCATCTCTATTCGCAGCTGCAAGACCAGCCTTGGCTGAGAGAGCGATGGTCTGTGGATGGTCGGACTTGTTGCGCTTCGTTTCCGAGGTCTGGGTGTCATCTTCGCGCATGGCTAGAAGTAAGAAGAAGATTGTGACAAGGCGGCTTCCAAAGGCTCACAAAGGGGATTCAGCAGATCTGAACACAAAGATACGATCTGCAGGAGGAGAGTTTCGTGGACGATTCCAGCGTGATCCATAGTCGCAAGTGTCGACGGGTTCATACCGCAATGCAACGACATCCTGATCGACAGCATTGGGAGCTGCACACAATTTTGAGAATTTCTTACGCTCTACGCCCGCCACTCACCACGACTCGGAGAGGGTGGCCGCTTGAGGCTCGAAGGGGCTGTGCACCACACAGCCTAAAGCGCGGTTATATCACTACTATCGTTACCCCAGTAATGCAATCACGATTGCATCTCTGTCACCGTTCCTTCAAATCGAGCCCATTTTCCTTCAAAATTTATTGAATCAAATACAAAACATATAAACTACCTTCTGTGTGACTCCCAATTTTTTTTCTGATGTTGTGCGACCCCGAGACCGAACGCAGTGAAGAGACTCGTTTGCACGCAACAGCGCCGAATCTGTCACAGATCGTCACGCTTGCGGACCTGCCGTACCTTTGTTCTCACTTCACTGTCACGCCTGAATCACTCCTGACTCCGAGTTGGACCCCCAAGTTGCGCGGCCGAGGTATTTGGCGTCATACACATCTACTGCTCATTTTTTGCTGATTTGTGGTGCAGCGGAATGTGTCAAAAGGACGAAATTGCACAACTAGACCAGATTGCAATACCTGGGTAACGATAGTATCCGTAGAATATAAACTGTTAAGAAAGAACAGCTGCATAGAGAGCGCACCCGCGAGTTTCCCGCGAGGGGTACAAAGTTCACTGCCACTTACTTCAACTCATCCTACCAGTACGCTGCCACCGCGGGCTTCTTCCTCAGAAACCTAGTAGAGTTAAGGACATCACTGGGCGGTAAGTGTTCTTACGGGACCAAACCGTTTCTAATAGATGACGACGGATCAGTGCCAAGGAACAAGTCATCGTGAATATTGGTGGTAGAACAGAAAATAACAATATGAACGACACAGAAGCCAAGCAGTACGTGTAATGATAAATTATTAAATAGTATAAATAAGCATGTTGAATGGATGCGCTAACGATGTTGCAGGTATTGGAGCTTGAGAGAAGAAAAAGTCAAGTGTCACGCAGAGGCTACTTGGCCCTTGCGCGTTTGTTACTGGAAGCTGCAACTGGTAGCTCCGGATCCGCTATGCTCTCATGCGTGCGTTTTGTCCCTGTTCGCTCATAATGTTTCTCCGTCTCGTAGTTGAAGTTTGCATGCAGCTGATGCCCTTTCTTGTCGTTTATTGGCCACACGTGGTCTGTGATGGTATTGGCTAGAAGAGTCGACATCGCGGCGTGGGATGTCAGACGTCCTGCGAACTGTGCGTCCTGAGTGCGGATGATATCATCAACCTTTGCCTTCATGAGATAGTAAGGCGACAAATCAACACTGGCTTTCAATTTCTCCCACCGGCGTAATGTTTCATAATCATAGCTGGGGCCAGCGGCTTCACGATTACTATCTGATTGCGGCGAGCTCTCACCAGGGGTTGATATGGTGTAATGAGCTTTGAACCAGCCCAGAAGTCTAGTCATTATGGAATTCAGAGGGTGCGAGTGCCCAGTACCATCGTCAAATTTGAGTATCTTCTGTTCATGCCTGATCACTCCAGTATGCATAGCCTTATCCTTGAAGAGTCCGCAAACGAATCCTGCATTTGCGACATCCCAGAAATTGGCATCGAAGAACCAGTGAAGAAAGCCAGTGACATCGAGGAAATTGTGGGCCAAGTAGCGAGCTCCGTAGTACAGCAGGACGTGAAAGAACGATTCCAGTTCATCTTGGATGACGATCGTTCTCCACGGATCGTTCAGCACATTGACCGACATGAACTGCCGTGTACCCTAAGTAGCACACTATTAGCAACTCGTAACGCGACGCAAACTGGAATCTAGATACTCACTGTTCGGCCAGGTTGTCGTGCACTCCGATTGGACGTGTCGCCTTCAAGAGGAATCGGCTTTGACAACTCCCAGTCTCCGAGAATGCCATCCCTCACTGTGCACGGTTTCCCGAATGGATCAACGGATTCGTATTCATTTATCAGCAGATTACCTCCGCTGATGTCGTGATGAGTGAGATGAGCTTTCTCCATTGCTTGCTTATGAGCTACACGATGACTTCAGTGAATAGAGCATTGTACGACGGACTCGAGAAACGTACCTTGCATGCAATCGAAGACAAGCGTCACCAGGATCAAAGTCGCTAAGTGGACGGCAAACTTCCTTCTCGACAAGCCGATAGCGAGTGTGCGACTTGAGTGGATTCTGCATCATCGCTCTCGATGCAGGAGCCTTCCAGTGATCCTGTGACAAATTACGCTGTCGAAGGATATCGCCGTGCTGTAGCACATCGCCATGCTGAAGCAGAGTGGGGACATTCCGAATCTTGAGCTCGTTGAGCCTATGGAGAATGTCACCTTCCTTCTCCATGCCGTCGTGATCCACCCGCAATGCGTCCTTCAACCAAACGAACGTCTTTGTGCTACAGTCTAAAGCAACGTATCCACACGTTGCTCGTCAGCTACGCCTCTTGCTGAGAAGCGTGACTTGCCGACAAGATACTCGCCTAGCACTTTGTGGTCGGCGTCTGCCCCCGGAGTGTCGTCTTTGATGTCGATCAGCAACTTCCACCACTTCCACGATGGATCAAGAGATTCCGCAAAGTACTTGTGCGCATGGCCACACCTCTCTTCTACGGGCTTAGCCATCTCCCGCATCAAGCGCACCTCCTCAGAGTTCGGCTCAACTTCTATTGCTGTCAGATCGTCCCCTTGTTCTTCTGGTGAGAGATGAGCAAAGCGCCACAAGAACTCGCAGAGATACAGTTCGGTGATGTAGTTGAACCTCTCAGTGGCGATGGCACCCGATCTATCCCAGCGAAATATCCGCGCCTCGCGACCAAGTATCGCGACAGTGAAGCAGAAGGCTCGCTGCTGGTGCATCAGAAGCATCTCGGCGTACGATATGCACTGGCCTCGCACATCCGCCCGCTCCTGACTGTCAGGCTCCAATTCGCTTTTAGGCTTGTCATTCAATGGATCATGCTGTTCGCTGAGCCTCTTGAATTCAAAATGAAGTCGCTGAATGTTCCAATTTGGCCTGGCATCCGTAGGTACTTCATTGACGGGATAAAGAGCAGCATCGGGCTTCTGCTTAGAAGAGTCGTTCAAGTCGGGTTTGTATTGCGTTATCGCCACCTTGTAGCACGGACACATATCTGCATCGTTCACTGCGTCTTTCTGAAATATGTTGCGGGTCAGTATCTACAGAGCAGGCGGGAACGAGATGTCAACGTACGAAGGGCTCGTAAAAGTAAGCCTCGATGGCACCTTTCGAGGGCATGCCAGAAAATGCCCTTTCAAAATTCGGCATATCAGGGGGTTCTCCTGGAAGGAAGTTCTTCATGAAGTCGCTGACGGACATCTTGACAAACTTCCTGTGCATGGTTTCACGAAGCTGTTGTCTGGTTAATCTGGCGCCTATGTTGGTAGTAGCTTTATGGTCGCTAAGCACGAAGTGTTTAGATGGAGAGGATTGAGCCTGGGGGGAAATTTGGGACATGATGGATATGCTTACCTGACAGAAGAGGTTGCGTTTATATGCCTTGAAGGCCAACGTACGGCCACACACGAGGCCAAGTTTCCAAGTTGGGTCGAGCCTTTGTTCGGATATGTTCTCATGTATTGGTCACGCACTCTATTGAAACTCACCTTTGTTGCCTTTCGAAGCTCTTGGCCCAGTGGCGTCAGCGGGGACAATGGTACAACTTACTGTTTTCTGGCGGATATATCGGCAAAACTATAGTTCTGTGAGCAGAACATGAGGCATTCCTGCTATATGAAGGCTTCTTCCCTTGTTGCTGTGGCACATACCTTGGGAGGCCTGGCTTTACGGTGGTGGCTGTTCACAAATTGAATGAGCGGACGCGAGCACGTGTCGTCACACAAACGCGTGTGTCACAGTGTGACAGGTGACTATCTCCCCACTGCCACGCTGCATCAGCAAAAACGGGAATTTTCTCCAAAGAGATTATAAAGGCATAATTCCATGTAACTTGCGGAATTTTTTCACCAAGGAATACATTGCATCGTAAACCTGAGCCAAATTGCAGAGTTGCCAACTTGGTATAATTAGTTATAAACTCTCGAAGAATTTTCCAGGTTATGAAGCTCATATAACTTCCTACAAAATTTAGTGTACCACGTAGGCGCAGACCATCCTAAACAGACCGAAACCAATTCATCCAGATCGGTCTCACAATTCTCAATAGTGGGAGTATTTTAAATTATGTCACAATATATTATTGTTACTGCTACAATATTTACAAGACATACAGGGTACTCTACATTAGACCTAATTAGGCCGACTCACCGCACCAAAACCTGTGTGCCCATCAAAGTGCAATAATGAACAACACTAAAAATCAACATGCTTCAGCCATGGACATATAATAATAGAGCTTGACATAGAACGCACTGCATGTCGCCGCTCCGCTCCGGCGGCGACGAGTGGCCAACCAAGCCTGACAAACCCAGCAGATCTGTACAATATAGATACCAAGTTAACCGCATGTAAAGGCACTCACCTGGGAGGAGCACCGGCAGAGGCTGCAAATTTATATGCAAGTGAGGGTGGCGAGAATTGTTGGCGGACGGTAGTCGCGGTGTGTCGAGATTAGCCTCAGACTTGCCTCAGACATGTCTCGAAACGGCTTCAGATCTTTTCACTGTGAGGGCCTGGACAAAAGCTTTTCGTTAATGCATGCATTTGGTGCGGTATTCGGGGGCCTGAAACAACGGAAGAGCAAAGTTCGCAAAGCGCGAGTAGGCGCCCAACAGGTGCCCCTTACAACGTCCTATGTAGGCTTATGTAGGTGTCTAGAAATTCTTCCGACTTCACAACTCGGTGAGCAACCATTTCCTTGGGTTACATTGCATGACAACTCTCCCACAATGTGCATTTTAATTGTAACTTGTGTATCAATTTCTGTACTATGTAATCCTCTTTATAGACCTCTACTACCTTTATTTTGACTACTAATCGGCGTAAACGTTACTAGTCCGTTGTAACTTACACAACACCTACTAACCCGATGTATTCGGTGTAACCTTATATAATATTTTCCCGTTTTTGCTGATGGTGTTCATCTGTCTGTCGATAATCAATAAACCCATCTCGGCCACCTTGCGCATTGTCAGATGTGATGCTGGTTGATTCTAACTTGGATCGGTAACCTGTGCGCAATTCGCTCGATGTTCAGCTGTTCCCCACAGATGGAGCGCGTGCAGGTCCTGGCGCTCTTCTGCCACTTTTCTGCTTGACCACAAAGTTCCATTGACCACAGGACACTAGGACGACGTTCACAGAATGCATCACACGACGCCATGGATCAAGTAATACGGCTAATGGGTGGTCCCCATCCGAGCTTAGAGATGCATATGGAGACCCTGTTAGTATCGTCATATGGCCGTTCACTTGACCACCAGACTCCACATCCTTGAGCCTTTTCAGCCACGCATCTCCTTCATGCTGGCACCTCTTCTCTATCGGTGCTTCGCCTCCTCGCATACCATTCCTTACCCAGGGGTCATCCGTAATCACGAAGGTGGCCAATGTTGACTCCACCTGGACCCCACGTGTTTCTTCTCGACTTCTCCATGTAAGCAAAAGTCAAGGCTTAGACATACGAAGCGCGGACTATCCACAAATACTCTATCTCGATCCGAGGGACGTGGCGTCTTTTCTGGGCTTCTCCAGTGTATAATACCCATGTGTCAGACCGTCAGTCGATCTTCCTGTGCTCACCCTCTCAGTTCCCGTCATAAATGTCCAACCATCGTCGTTCGACAGGTGCTCTTAAATCCCGCTTTTCGATGCGACAGCTCACCGAGAACGTCCAGCCACCGCAGTCAGTGGTCGCACGCCGACTCTCACCTCACTTGGAGCCGTCCAACAATCACTCCACCCAATCGCATGGACCGACACGCACCCATACCCCTGTCCCACAGGGCCCAGGGTTCAGACTCAGGGCGGATCGATCTTCGGCCACCCCATCTCCGCCTCCCAATCTCGCCCTCCCATTAGTCTCCCGAAGGCAGACTGACACTCTGCTTCAACCTTCATTCCTCAGGATATCCATGTCTGGCATCTGCTATCCATAAGGTGGTCCTTATCGGTAGGTTGGGTATTTTCATCTCCGCAAATCACATGCACACGCGACGTGTCAAAATGCGTTCTCATCTACCCATGCAAGTCTCGTGTTTCTGCCGCATTCTCATAGCTCTCTGGTACACAGGGTGTTCTCCTGTTATGTACTGTCTGTAGACTGGATTTTGGTTTCAGAAAATCTATGCCTGAAGGCCCTCAGAACAGCTAAATCCACTAGTACTGTATTTTAGGTGGGGGATAACAGTATGCTGCACTGTTTACAACCATGGTAGTGGTAGCCAGAGTGACTCCCAATTAGTCTTCTGGATTTCTTCAACAGTCTTATGCTAGAAGGAGGAACAAAATTATTGGGATGTGACAGTGTCCAAGTTCAAGCCAGAACTTTCACATCCCATCCTCAGTAGTTGCTTCTCTTGTTACACTTTGGATGTGCTTCTTTTGCTTGTCTCCTACAGCTTAAAAGGCATGCCATTTGACTGAGATATCTCGAATGTAACAACATCCGCTTCCCTGGAGTATGTAGTATCTGCGCACCGTGAGCTTGCGGCGAGCACTTGTTCTCTTATTTCCAGCTCCAACTCATTCTCTTGCAGGCGAGTTGATCGGTCACGCAATTCCTTCCCTGCAAGTCCAAGCTCCGAACGAAATTGGGGACCTACCGATAAGCCCCCCGCGTTAAAAACTAGACTACCTCCCATCTCCCCGGGCGCATCTGCACGTTCGTGTCTAAAAAAACCCAGACCCCAGATGGTCATGATCACACAAGTCAAATTCGGTGGATTGACGATCTGCAATCATGTTCGAACTGCTACTTACACGCGTGTGTACGGTAGCTAATGATACAATGGGCTCGCGGGGCAGACGAGACGAGACGAGCCAGTCAGGAGCGACATGAAATCGAAAATGGGGGAATTGGGGATAAAGCATAGCGCCATTTAACCGTAACAACCAGACATAGACAGCCATCGCGACGGATTAGCACCAGCGGAGGTATATGCACGATAAACACAGACATTAATGACAAGCGCAGACACGAAACAGGTGGATGTAGGTGGAGAGAGGTCGAAGCACATGGACATGGAATGAGGCGCGTGGCAGAGAGAACTCAGACAGAGAGCGTCAGGATCATTACAGCGCTTTGCAAGTATATGCGGAATCGCCGTCGATGGATTTTTGGCCTCAGGCGCCCCGAGCTTGCCCCGAGCCCAGGACCCCAAACTGTTGTAGTGGCACGTTACTACCGGAAGTCTAGCGGAGGATACCGGGAGGGCCATCGGTGACGCGAATTTCCCAAAAGCAGTTGTCCGAGGCATGCCCGAAGCTTGTCTAAGCTCCTGCATTAGGATGCCGTAGAAAACCCACGTGGGGCGATTGGTTGATGAGACACTCTGGGCACGGTCTCTCTGGTTTTGGCTAGGCTCGGACTCTCGGACCTGATCAATTGGGCAATTTACCGGTGGCTGCAGTGGCTGAGCGGTTTCGAGTCCTGAGCTCGGCGCAAAATCCATCGACGACGATTCCGCATATACTTGCAAAGCGCTGTAATGTCAAATGCCATCCCTTTCTTCATCGCCCGGGCCCGCGAGGCAGCGTACTGTGTATGTATCTATCGCTATCGCCACCTTCACCTTCCGTTCACCAGCGCTCATCGGTACGCTGACACAACCCACCTGTGGCTGCTGTGGCGGATAGCCCTCCGCGCAGGGCAGCTCATCCTCCGTTGCTCCGCGATGCTCACCATGATACCATCGGCCTCCGCATCTTCGCACCCGCCGAAGCATGCCTCCTCTCTCCACCAGTAACACCCTCGTCCTCCTCGTCCTCGTCGTTGTCATCTTCCTCTCCCCCGTCTCCCTCATTATCTTCGCCGTCCTACCCCGCCGGACTAAGCAGCGCGCACTTCGCCCGCATTCGCCACCCGGTTCACCCACCCTTGCACCGGCGGGGCGTCCGCCCCCGCACTCGCATTACGCCCGCTAGCATTGAATGCTGACGAACTCGTAAGGGACGGCGCCATCGTCTTCCGCTGCAGCACAGACTTTAATATCAAGAACGTACCCACCATGGTTTGCGACACCGATATAGAGGACCAGGAAAGTTCAGGAAACCGTCACGCAGAGATATTGGCAGCCCGAACACGGGGAGACAGTAGTCTCCCGAAGGCAGATGGTAGACACTCTGCTTCAACCTCGTACCTCTGCATTCTACAACTAGGAGGTCTTGATTGCCGACCCGGCACATCACATGCTCACACAACGTGTCTGCAAAACACGTTGAACGACGAACATGTCGCGTTTCGAGCGCAAGAAGTCTCCATTCTCCTCTGCTGCAAATTTTTATCATACCGGATGGGTATATTAGTTGGGATTGATTTTAGAGACTTTGCTGTCTCATCTGCTCTATACTGGTCCAAGATGGTGTTACATTTTTGAATCTCATAAGAATTCTCCCATTGGATGCCTTCCCGTAGCCGTTTAGAAACGTTCTAAACTAAATTTCGTCTCTAAATCAGGCCGGCACGTCGGCAAATTGATCTCCGCATACCGTGAGAGCAGAGTGAGCTCTTTCTAAACCTTATATCTGGAAGGGGGGGTCGACCCCCCCTTCCAGATTCTAAACGTCTCTCTAAACGATGATTTCGGTCTCCGCCCACTCGCAATGCATCTTTGCCTATATTTGGTGCTGCATATTGCTTACATCATGCTGCCGCTCGTCCTCCGACCCTCTAGAACTTGGTTTGATCATCATCATGTTGCGACGCTACGGTTTCACAAATCCTGCTGTTCCGACACAGTGGGGTGTTTCGCAGTCCGCTTTGTGATTTAGAAGTGCTCCAAATCCTACGGGAAGGCATCCATTTTCTGTGTCCTGCTCCCAAGCAGTACCATCACCCATCCACCGCAGCACCTCACCGCGCCGGAGATGCCCAAACCAGGGTGGACAGGACCTTCAGGAAGACTTTCGTGACCGCGCCACTCCATCACGTGGTATTACAAGGTTTAAGACTCCGTGTTAGAAGCACTACCAAACTTTAGGCTCCGTCTAAATTGTCCGACCTCTCGAGGCGCGTCAGACTTGAAGCAGACTATTAGGAGACAGTAAAACCTTAGAAGACGCACATGTACAGACACTACCGGATGGTCGTAAAGGAGGTTTGCCGCCTTGGACGATCTTGAGCGAGGTCAGGAGTTGCTGAAACTGGTTTGGGACTGCTTCGAAGGTGAGTGCTTCGATGTTCTTATGTGCATGAACTTACGAGCAGCATAGGTCCCAGAGCTACGAACAGAAAATACTACATCGTGGCATCAGTGCAGACAACTTGCTAATATTCGAATATTTCGAGGATGACGGAAACGTCGTTCGCATAGGCATTCTTAGTGATTGGGAACTTTCCAAACCATTGCAGGATGCAAACGTGAAAATTCTCCTTTTCTGCTGCTGCTTCTGACGTGAGACCCGAGGTCGTCGGTCGTCCAGAACTAATTCCCGGAGGGGGGTGTCATTTCGAAGTCAATGTCGTGAACGTCCTACTAACTGTTCTGCGGGTCTCATTCTTTGCAGAAGTGCAGCGGCATTCATCATGCCAAGCTACTCCCATTTTTTTCTGCGCAGGTGGGCCAGAACTGTTTGACTAGCCCGCGATGGTATTGACATTAGTTGGCGAGTTCAGTCTCAGGTCATCGACTTCTGACTGCGTTCGCTGGCTCAGACAACCAGCAAAACCGCTGCCCAAATTGTCTTCTTCTCGTGCACGTCTCGCAAAAACACGCTAGTCTGCCTTCCACGCGTTCTTCAAGTGTTCTTCGTGATGTCACTGCCTGCAGTACGCTGCCGCCTCGTGAGAGATTGTGCTAGAGCTTGTGATCTAGGAGACGCCGTAAATTGCATACAAACGCGTCGATATCCTCAAACTTTGAGCTACTAGACAGTGGTAGGCAATTTGCTCGTCCTCTGGTACGGTTATACTTCCTGTGCTGCAAAAATTGACGGGCTCTTTGAACTGGCTAGCGGCGATCTACTACGGTCTCAGGCCCACACCTATGGCAGCGTGTTCTTTGCGGACTATTACAGTTGGAGTCTACGAGACCGCAGCGCAGACACTGTTTCCAGATATTTCTTGGGGAACTTTTTCGCAAAATGCTACTCGACGACTGGTGACGTCATTGCCTGCAAGCTACCAGACTGCTGAACCGCGTGAGACATTTGATCCTAGTGACGATTGAATATTGATGTTCCCGCCTACTGCGGTGATGGGAGTGTTGCTGTTGTCGATCAGCTCACTTTTCGAAGATGTTCGCTCGTCCGACTGCCTCTTGGCCAGCATCAAACCTCAATAGCTGCCGACTGAAGTTATGTTTCGCATTTTCTGGCCGTACTTCGAGACACGAGCGGCATGTGTCTACCGATCTCATTTCTTTACCTGCCGTGGAATCTGGCACAACACTTCGATAGTTGCCATCGCGGTAGCAGTGGGTATCAAAGCGCGTTCTCCTGACTTCTCTACTAGGTCTCTATCATTCTGGATGTGCGTCCACATCGACCGCGTGCTATGATGACTTCATAGATATCGATGACGCTGGTCAGCAGACGGACGAGTTGACCTTCGAGATTGCTCAAGCCGACCTAATTGGGCTACTCTCAGTACGGTAGAGGTGAGCGTTGCCTCTGATGTGCTGAGATTGTCTAGAGTATACGTTTCTCACTTTCCCAGCTAGAGAACTACGCCTAACCGACTGGGCATTTACCAGGATAGTCCGTACTCCGCGCTTTGTGGACAATCACGATCACGTGGTGTGTGCCACACGGAGGTTAAAAGCGCAAGCAAGTGGCTGCCTCTGTTCAATTTCTTCCACCACCACCACCACCACCACTACGTTTTTACCACTACCACCACCACCATTCACTCCTCTATCAACAACATCAGCGATGTCCAACTCCAGATCACACGCTCCCAGCCCGTCCACCTTACCCGCCGAAGCCGACCTCTCCTTGCCACCCACTCCCCATAGCGTCACCTCCGACTGGACACCCTTGGCGGGAGAAGAGAACGCCGAGCCCAAAAATCCACGTCGTTCAGACGACGACAACGAACTTCACGCGGAGAAGGCTGAGGGGTTCATCCTCGGGCCTATGCCCGTCGAGGACTTCCTCAACTTCCTCCCTGCGAAGCACACGGCGCGGAGGCCGTCAACGGAGGGGGCATTCAACAATGTCGACGAGCCTGATGTGGCTTTTCAGCTGGTGAGTGGCTCTGTTCGGCGGTGGGGCCCTGGTTGATGTTGACATACGATGTGGCCACAGTTGGCAGCCATCGGGGGCCACGACCGTTGCCCAGGGTTCGAGTTCAAATACAATGTCCTGGACTCGACATCCATTAAGCCTGCCCTGGTTTGCGTCCCGAAGGACTCGATTGGGTCGGACAACGAAGCAACTGCGAAGTACGCAGCGGAGCTGTTCATAGACGTACAGAGCAGCGACCAGGGCGACTTCTTCCGCGACCCGAAGCCCTTCGCTGACCGCCAGCGACACAAGTTCGTCCTGACGCCTCAGGACGCGGAGAAGACTAACCGGGTGAAGGCGCTGCAGGCGATGGGCCGAAACATCCGATGGGCCACCGATGCACTGATGCACCAACACCGGGTGCACTATTTCTCGGTGTCGATCCACGGGCTGCGGGCGCGCCTGATGCGCTGGGACATGAGCGGGCTGATCGCATCGGAGTCGTTCAGCCTCCGGGAGAAGCCCGAAGTGCTGTGCGAGTTCTTGTGGAGGTTCGCGCATGCGTCCACGGTCGAGCGCGGATACGACCCGACGGTGGAGCGGGCGTCGAGCAGTGAGGAGTGTCTCTTCCGGCGGCTGGTTTCTTGCCACGTCCGGGAACAGCTAGACCTGAAGCTGGTGGACATTCCGGAGGAGGAGGTCAAGGTCGAGGTCCGCGAGGAGTACAAGGAGCAGTGCGCGCTTCTTGAAAAGACCGTGGGGCAGCATTACGAGGCCGGGCGCGTCGCGGCACTGACCATTTGTGCGGAGGACGGGAGATTCAAGCGCTGTCTCGTGTCGAGGCCGATCGCTACGAACTTCTCGATGAGGAGGGGTGCGATGCGAGGATACTGGGCGGTGATGGACGGCCGAGTTGTTTTCTTGAAGGATACATGGCGGCAGTACGTCCTTGAGCCCGAAGGCCGCATACTGAAGGAGCTTGAAGCGCACGGAGTGAAGAACATCCCCCATGTGGAACACGACGGAGATGTTCCCAAGGTGATGTACTGTGACGGCATGCTCACGCGGTTCTCGGCCATGGCGAACTTCGAGAGGACGACTCGGAGCAAAGCAGGCCAACAGCCGTGTGAGTATCTATTCGTCACGGTTTACTGAATCTGAGCTAGAACTCATTCATCTCTTCGTGCAGCTTTCCAATGCACCGAGACGGACTTATACCGAGAGGCCGAATGGCTATGTCATGGCGGCGCTCGGATTGTGGTGCACCCGCGGGTCCACCACCGTCTGGTCCTCAAGGAAGTAGGCTTCCCACTTCAGACGCTACGAGGCACAAAGGAGCTGCTCGAGGCGACGCACGACGCGTTCCAAGGTAAGCCTATCACCAGCTTTTGACCGTTCTGTCGGCTGATACAGATTTCTCTGGCGACCTAGCGCTCATCGCTGCGCACGACAATGCGCGGAGGATCCATCGAGACATCAGCGCCGGCAACGTCATGTTTTATCGGAAGCCGTACGAAGATCATCGCACAGGTTACCTGATCGACTGGGAGCTCTCGTCGAAGGTACAGGAGGACGGACAGGCAACGGACAAGTACATCGTGGTACGCATCGCTCTCTTCGTTTCTCCCGTCCATGATTGCTAATCCCATCCCGACAGGGCACGCGCATATTCCTGTCACAGCGTCTCGAGGCGAGAAGCCAGCGGAGGCACATGTTACAGGACGACATGGAGGCACTCCTGTATGTCGTCGCGTACTGTGGCCTCCATTGGCTTCAGCATCCTGCGCATTCCAAGGACATGAGGCAAGTCGTTCAGGCCATGTTCCACAACCGCAAAGAGGTCCATGCCGGGGATGTACCTGAGATAACGCACACCACATTCCAGACGATGGAGCCGGGCAAAGGCAAGCTGGACATCAAGGAGAACCAGACGTACATTGACCTCCCGAACTTCAACGCGGATCTCAAGGATTGGTTGTCACACTCGATGGACCTCAATCACCCGCGGGATCCCAATGAGGCGACGCAGTGGGACACGCCCGAGCCGTGGAATGATTACTGGAAAGAGTTCTTGGAGCGTGAACTGCCGGAGGATGACAGGATCCGTAAGCAGGATAGTTCGTCGATGAGGCCCAAGTTCGCAGTGAAGGCGATCTGTCACCGTGCCGGGATCCATCCAAACAAACGGAAGACACCGCAACGCCGAGGACCGACGGACGACGGACATGCAAATGATGCCCCAGGGAACGGCAGGCCAGTGAAACGCCTTAGGAGGACGGCGAGATAGAGCGTGGCAAGACGCTGTCGTTCTACGACGCATTCAAAATCTTCCTGCCAATGGCGATTCCCACTTTTCTGGGTACAGGATGTGCGCTCGACCCACAGCATCGGCACATTGTCGACTGGCTGGGCTATACTCTGCGGACGCAGATCAAGTGAGCTCTCAAACAGCACAGTACAAGCGGTTGCGCTGTACACCATCGTCCCGTCTGGTCCAGGCCATGCGCGTCGCCGTGCATGTCTTTCGCGATCGGCGCCCTTTTCCTCGAATGCGCCTCACCGATGGAGGCGGACAACTCGACGACCTTTGAAGCACATCTTGGAAACGCAAGAATCTCCGAGTGGTGTAACGCAGTGGGGAAAGGTTTTACGCCACTGCGTTCTTTATACCCTCTAGCTTCTTTATACCCTCTAGCTTCTTTATACCCTCTAGCTTCTACCCTCTAGTTTCTTTATACCCTCTGGCTTCTTCATACCCTCTGGCTTCTTTATACCCTCTAGCCTGTTTTTGTTTGTATTTCTGTATCAGTCTTGTTATTGTCTCTTGTTCTCGGCATCTCTCTCGTAGCCAAAGCTGGCCGCGCAAATGATATTTGAGAGACTCTAGTAGTAGTCGACCAAACCACGCTGCTTTTGAAGTGTCGAGAAAGCAAGGAAAGCAGATCGCTTTTGTGACCGACTGCGCCCAAGGTGCCTTACGCTGAGGAGGGGATTGGAAGTCTAGTGATGAACACTCGCGTAGCGTGAGTTGGGCGCTGTCCCAACGTAGGCCAGAGACAGCCACCCCGCTACATCGACGTCGTCGCGGCCCTACCGTGACTGTACACGACCTCCTTGCATGTCATATCTTGGGTTCTCTCCACCCTTTCACGCCCCTGGCCGCCTCGCGACACACATCGTCCGTTATTCTGATGAGACGACCCACCGGTATTCTTATCCTCACCAGCGATAGCTTCGCTCTGGACACCGCATCAACGAACGTAAGGCCCGTCCCGAACTCGAGTCGCAACGCCGTGTCGCTGTTCCCAGATCACGTGATCGTCGTGTCGCCCCTCCTGAACCACACCACCTTGCGATGAGAGCACTTGACGCACAACCTGTGCACCCCATGGGCCTTTGCGAAGTTTTGCTCTACACGGCTGGCCATGGAGAGCTCCCCGAGGACAAGCTCGCGCAGACTTGAGCGCTCGCGACGGCCGGATTGCGTTATCTTATCGCGCGCGTATCGCCTCTTCTGCAGAATCCAGCCGTCCGTCCCGACCAGTCGAGCCTCCTATCCGCACCCTACATCAAGCAGGAGTCGTGCTCGTGCAACAAACACCACATTCCATTTCTGCCCCCCATATCGCAGAGCAGCAGCACACGATGTCGACCGCGGAATCGTACCTCGCACACGCGTGCTACGGGAAGGACAAGGTGCGCGTGTTGCGCGTCGTGCGCGAAGGCGCGTGGCACACCGTTGTGGAGTACTACGTCCAGGCGCTGCTGGAGGGCGACATCGACGTGAGGTGCGTCTTCTCCCTTGACACAGATAAGCCCGTCTGACGCGGGGAGCGGCCGCAGCTACACCGAGGCGGACAACCGCGTGGTCGTCGCCACAGACTCCAGTGCGTCCCACGCGCACCGCTTCGCTCCGCACTGACGCTCCCTCCTCTCCCGGGCAGTCAAGAACATCACCTACTGTACGTCGCCCCCCCACCCGCCCGCGCTCCCGCTGACCGCTGACGCCGTGCGCGGACAGACCTCGCGAAGACGTCGCCGCACGTCCTGCACCCGGAGCGCTTCGCGCTGCACCTCGGGACGCACCTCGTGTGCAAGTACGCGCACATCCGGAAGGCGCACGTCGCGGTCGAGCGGCTGCGCTGGACGCGCATACCCGTCCGCGGCCAGGCGCACCCGCACGCGTTCGTGCGCGACGGCGAGGAGCGGCGCGTCGCGAGCGTCGAGGTGCGTGCGCCACCCGACACGCGTGGAGGCTGAGTGAGGCTGATTTGCGGGCATAGGTCGACGCGACGGCGGGGAAGGACAAGATCGTCGCGACGGTCACGTCCGGGCTCACCGGGCTCCTCGGTGCGTCGCCCTGTTCCATTCTGCGTGCGTGCTGACCTGCCGCGGCGCAGTGCTGAAGTCGACGGGCTCGGCGTTCGAGAACTTTGTGCGGGACGAGTACACGACGCTCGGGGAGGTCGACGATAGGATATTTAGTACGGCGGTGGACGTGTCGTACGTGTTCGCGCCGGTGCACGTCGTGCCCGGGGCGGAGGCGGGGCGCGCGGGGGTGAGCGTCGAGGAGGCGGAGGAGAAGGAGGCGGGCTCGGCGTGGGACGGGGAGCGCGTGGCGGAGGCGGTGCGCGGGGTGACGCTCGAGGTGTTTGCGCAGGACGAGAGCGCGAGCGTGCAGGTGCGGCTGCCTCCCTCTTCCCCTTCCCCGCTTCTCTGGTGCTGACTGTGCGATTTTCCGTTGAAGGCGACGCTGTACAAGATGGCGGCGCGGATCGTGGCGGAGAACGCGCGGGTGCAGAGCGTGACGTATAAGCTGCCGAACAAGCACTACGTGCCCGTGGACATGCGCTACATCGGGCTGGACAACACGACGCCGTGCGTCCGCTCTCCTCTGAATTCTTTCTGCTGTCTCCTGCATTCTGGCTTTCGTCCGTTCTTCGTTCCTTGCTTTTCGCTGCGATGTTCGGCAGTCGAGCGTTCGCTGTTCGGCGTGCGCCGGGCAAACCGGGCCCGCTCGGACGCGCGCAGGTACGTCCCGGTGCCACGTCGGGCGTGCGGCGCTGCGAGATCAGCGCGATGCGCGTCGCCACCGGTGCCGATGCGCACAGCACACGAAAGGCGATCTCGCCGATATATATATATATATATATGACACGAGATCTTCGAGGGTGGTGTCCGCGATTGACGCGTGTATGCTGATGAATCGTTTTGTTTGTGTGGCTTGCAGGGCGAACGCGGAGGTGTTCCTCCCGCTGGACACGCCGAGGTGCGTTTTTCTCTTGGTGGTGTGGATTCTTTGGGCGGTGGGCTGATGCGAGATGGTATAGTGGGCTTATTACTGCTACCATTGCGCGCAAGTAGCTGCGGGAACGACCGCCGGGGGAAGCGGGAAACGGGAACGGGAAAAGGACAAAGGAGAACGCGATGTGCTACATACTACGTGCGGACTGGCCGGTTCGGAGGGGTTGGACGTGGTGGCCATGGGTGTACGGATATACGTACATATAGGATACAGGAAAGAAGTGGTAGATGCGGGTGCGGGTGAGAAGTTCAGAAGCGCATTATGAGTGCGCTTCAGCCGGCGGGGTGGCCATGGGTATGTATTATACATGCAGACGTACGGCTGTACAGCTACACAGGGAGAGAAGGGATATGGCCGTCTGGAGCTGCGGGTGCGTCTGAGAAGGTGGGAAGCATACGTGATCATGGGCGTGTGCCGGAACGAGGTGCGGCGGGAGACGGCGTGGCGATTAATGAGGGCGAGAAGGGGAGAAGGGGAGAAGGGGAGAAGAGGCGGTTCGCGAGTTCGCGAGGAGCGGAAGGGGGCAATGCGATGCCCGGGAGCGGGGGGCACGGGCGTTGTCGTGGGTGACTGGTGGCGCGCGCGGGATCCGCGAGCCCATGTGGAGAATTCGGAAGAGCTGGGGGAGGTGTTCGTGGTCTTGGGGTCTGTTCTCGGTACTTGCTGGGCCGGCGCTGGTGTTGGTGCGTTGATAAGGAGGGAGAGATACTTGCTCGAGTGTTCAAACGTTCAAGGTCGAGAGTTGCAAGATACTTGTCGTGGGAGAAGCTTGCCCGCGAATCTCGGAGTGCTGCGATGCGGCGTGTAGGTTGGACTACTCTACGGTGCTCTCCGAGAGGTATAGGCGTCATCGTGGAGCACTGCTGGTGCGCTACGTTAACGTGCGGGCGAAGACGTGGCGATGGCTCGAAGATTTAAATTCTCCAGTGATCGCACTCTGACTGCGATGACGTCGGTGTGGGCGTGCGCGTGAGGATGATCCGGACGAGGTGTGTCCGGTTAGATAACGCAAGGGGGGGGCACAACGACCAGCAAGGAGTCCTCGCCGACGCTCGACGTTCGGTATCGTTTGATGAGCGGGACAGACGCAGCGAGGATGAGGAAAGCGAGCGAAAAAGGCGATTTGTCGACTGGACGACCGCGTAGCGCATCCGGGTAATAACTCGGGCCACAGATGCGGGATTCGTAGCTACAGATGGTCGTTCTCCATGGCAACTAGTTGACACGAGGGGATTCAATGAAGATAGCGGCGGGCATCTGACCAGCGAAGAGTCGGGTTCGCAGCGTGGACAGCCTGCAACTTGAGGACGAGATTACCGCCTGCGCAGGGGAAGGAGAGGTCGGGCGCGCCTCGGGATCGCGACGGTGGCGTGCACCCCAGATCTGAGGAAGCAGAGGGAAGGCGGACGCGCGAAGCACCCCGGATGATGGGCCCATATCACGCGTCGCACCGGAGCGCGGGCGTGTCAGCTCTCTGCGGGTAGCGCGCTTTATCGCGCGCTGAATATTGTCCGGGAGGCGGTGGCGGGTGATGGACGCTGCGCACGGGGCGTGGACGGAGCGGGCGGCAACAGGTCTGCTAGTCCTGTCTTGGCGGTGATGTCGACCTTGATGCATGATGTCGCGAAACGGGGGCCGATATCTTCCTGTTGCTACCCTGTTCTCAGAGGCGGGCAGCCCGATATAGAAAGCGCACCGACGGGATGTGGGCAGTCGCTGTGGAGCGCAGGGCACGGAGGGCGCGGGGGGGTGACGTCGGGACGGACGCTATTTTTAGACGAGATCGGAGGGGATCTTGCCAATTAATGAGGGATGGCGTCATAGCTCCACAAGAAAACGGGCAACAATCGGTGCATCGCGGATGGTGACGTCAGGGGCGCTCGAGGGAGGTCTATTGGCCTGTGGGAGTCGGCACCCGCTGCACTTCTCCACCAACGTCCACCACCGACTCCCATGGCCGGCGATCACAAGGCGCGTCCAGTCCCCCGCTCCATCCCGCCCTCCCACTGTCACTCACTAGTAGTTCCCCACAGTGTCCAGTCTGCCAGTCTACCTTCACCCGCCCGCAGCATGTCGCTCGGCACATGCGCTCCCGTGAGTCCCCCCGACCGCGCGCTTCCATCTCCGCTCACCCCGCCGCCCCCAGACACGGGCGACCGCCCATACAAATGCCTGCACTGCGGCGACCAGTTCGCCAGGAGGTGCGTCTACCCCCGCCTTTGTCTTGCCCGCCGCTGAGCACCAGTCTCTCCCAGCGATCTCCTCTCGCGACACGTCAACAAGTGCCACGCGGGCGCGAAGCCGCCCACCACCACCGCGCCCAGCCGCCGCAAAGGCCCCGCCGCCGCCTCCCGCGCCACCACCTCCAAGCAGGCCTGCGACCAGTGCGTCCAGTCCAGTCTCCCCTGCGACGGCTCCAATCCCTGCTGTCAGTGTCCTCTCCCTTCCCCTTCCCTTTTGTTTTCGTTTTGGCGCCCGGGTTCGGTGGACGGGTTTTTTTGGGTCGTCGTTCCGTGGCTGCGGGGTATCGATGGCCCCTTGACGTGCGTGCTCCCACGGATCGCCCCTTGCGCAGAGCTCTCTCCCGTCGATCCGCTGATGCGTGCGTGTGCGTGGAGGCCGTCGCGCTGTCTGTGGTTTGTCGCGCAGAGTCTGGCACGCCGTGGATCTCTGCGTCCATCGTTCAGATGCGTGTGTGCGCTCAGACGGGCACGTCGGTTGACTTTTTTGACTGGGGGCGCATCGGGGCGCTGTCGGGCTTTGTTGTTCTCTGAGAGTTTGTGGGTTCGTGGACTCTTCTGTATGGGTGGTTTGCGTGCAAACAATCAGTGGCCCAGCAGGAGGTGGCCGCGTTCAGGTCCTACGATGCATGGTTCGTGTGATGAACGACGACGTACCTGCGGCTGAGCGCTTTGTTCTTCTCCGCAAGGTTCCTCGTTCCTAGACCGTCGGCTCTGTGCAGATGGCCTACGTGCAGACCTGGAGTCGCCTGTCCTGTGCCGCGTCTCTGTTCTCGGTTTTGTTGGAGACGCACCATGGCTCTGTGTGGCCGGCCTGCGTGCAAAACTTGTAGTGGCCCAGCAGTGTCTTCGATGACGAACGAGTGCCGTTGGCAACAACATACCTCCCCTTGATGTCCCTCCTAGAGCCCGTAGCTTCCCGTTATCCATTCTCCCTTTTTTGGCCTGTGACCAGCCGACGCTGACACCCACCCTCCCAGCAAAATGCGTCCAGCGCAAATGCCGCTGCACCTACGTCAAGTTCCACCGCCAAACCGCGCCGCAAGGCCCAGGCCACCCCGTCCCCACCACCAGCGCGCTCCCAGGCCGCCCCCAGCCGTCGCTAGACGACTTCGTGCTCGCCCCACCGCCGCCGCCGCCGCCGCCTTCCTCGCACTTCACCTTCCCCTCCGCGTACCCCCCGCCCGAGTACCTCGCGCAGCCCGGGCCATCGCTCTACCCCGCACAGACCTACTCGACGCGCGAGAGCCCGGCGCCGAGCGCGGAGGGCTCGCCGGACCTGATGGCGCGCTACCAGGCACAGGCGCAGGCGGAGCTCTTTGGCCACGGCGCGATGGGCATGCCTGCCCCCGCCCCCGCCCCCGCCCCCGCGGACGCGCTCCCGGGGATGTTCGACCCGCAGGGCGTGCAGTTCGGGCGGTACGCGCTGCCGGTGGCGCCCGCGTGGCCGGCGTACCACGTTGCGGAGAAGCCGCCGCCGCCGGCGCAGTCGCAGTACGAGCAGTCCTTTCGGGACGGCGGGGAGGCGATTCCGGCCCATCCTCCCGCGCAGCACGCACATGGGCACGCCTACCGCGGACGCGCGCGCGCACACGTCTTTGGGGGGATAGACGGGTATGCGGGCGCGCGCGAGCGGGAGGGGAGCGATGGGGGGTACGAGGGCTCGATCGCGAGCAGCCGCAACTCGAGCAGCGTGCACTTGCCGTTGCCTGAGCATGCGCACCAGGGCCAGCAGCAGCAGCAGCAGCAGCAGAGGTATGAGGAGTACCGCGTGCGCGCGGACGGGGCGGGCGAGGGCGGGTTCTCGAGTGCGTTTGGGCTGATGTCGCTGGACGACCCGAATGTGCTCGCGGGGCTCGCGGGGGACGCGTCGCCGTTCTTTGCTGCGCTCCCGGGCGCGCACCCGAGTCAACACGCGAATCCGAACCAGAACCAGAATCAAGGCCAGAGCCAGAGCCAGAGCCAGAGCCAGAATGGGGGAGGGATGGCGACGCCGGATTTTCTGGCTGCGCTCAAGAGCGGCGGGCCGCGCGAGGATAACAAGGAGATGAGAGATTTTTGGAAGATGTATATGAGGACGCCGCCGACGGGCCCTGGCCCGGGACCTGGGCTGGGAAACGCGAACGCGAACGCGAACGGGAACGCGAACGGGAACGGCGCGTCGGTGCTCGCGCTCGCGACGCCGACGGGGGCGGTGCGCAGGCACTCGCGCGTTGCGAGCCTGCCGAGCATGAAGACGCCGCCGGAGCCCGGGTACGCGGGGCACGGGCACGGGCACGGCGGGGAGGACCTGACGAGCTACGAGGAGGCGGTGCTGGCGCGCCGGGCGCCGATGACGCTGAACCTTGTGCCGAAGCGGAAGATGACGGCGCCGGCTGCGGCGGGGTTCGGTGCGGGGGGGCGGAGCGTGAGTGCGGGCGCGGGCGCCCCGTTGGTGAATGGGGGGTCGGCGCTTGCGAATGTGTTTGTGGGCGATGGGCAGCAGGGCTATGGGGTGGGCAGCCACGTGCGGGGACAGGCTCCGCTGCCGCCGCCGCCGCACCAACAGAGCGAGGCTGGCGAGGCGGACGGGGTGCCTGCGTATCGGCCTTCGTTCAAGCGGCTTGCGTCGCAGACGTTGGGCCCCGAGTGCGCGAAACGGGCGCTGCTTGGTCCGGCGGGGTGGGACGATGAAGATGAGGGGGACGACGGGGGAGGGGAGGAGGATGGGGAGGACGAGATGGAGGTGGTGGGCGGTGAGGAGAGGAGGCATGGGTCGGGGGGTGCGAAGATGCGCAGGCCGATGGTGAGCATCGCGGAGCGGCGGCGGAGGATGAGCTGCCCCACGGGCGCGGAGGGCGGGCCGCCACTGCAGCCGCAGGTGGGTGCGTCGGCGTACCGATGAGCGCGATGGCGATGGATATACACGGTTTGCCGCCTCGCGGGCCCGGGCGATGATCAAAGAAAGGGAATGACATTTGACGGTATTAATCGATCCGGACGCTCTCTCATATGAGCTCTCTCTGCCACGCGCGCCTCCATGTGCTTCGACTTCTCCTGACTCCACGTTGTGCTCCTCCCGCTTGCTTTCGTGTGTGTGTGCGTGCATATGCTCGTTAACGTCGCGTGTATCTGTGTTTATCGTACGTATACCTCTGCTGCTGCTGCTGCTGCTAATCCGTCGCGATAGCTGTGCATGTTGTGTTTTGTCACGCTTAAATGGCGCTACATATATGCTTTTATTCCCCCTCACCCCCCCGCCCCTCCTCCCCCCTTTTCGAGTATATGTCGCTCGCGAGCCCGTTGTATCATTAGCTACCGTACGCGCGCGTGTTTGAGTAGCCTACAGTCCGAACTGCACGATGGCGGATCTCGAATCGATCCGCCGAATTTGACTTGTTGTGTGTGATTACCGTGTTGGGGTTTTTTTGTCTGACCCTGCGATCCCTTGGCGCGGGAGCAGAGGATGAAGATTGGGAGATTGGGAGGTGGGGCGGGGTGGGGATGGGAGCCGGAGATCGATCTTGCTGTGGGTCTGGACCCTGGACCCTTGGCCTGTGGGGTGGGTGTGTGTGTGTATGTGGGTCCACGCGATCGGGTGGAGTAACTGGTGCGCGGCTCCAAGTTCGGCCGCGGTGCCTTGGCGTGAGGTGGGTGGGCATCGGTGGGCCACCGCGTTGCCGCGTCGAAAAGCGGGGTTTAAGAGCGCCCCGTCGGACGATGATGGTTGGACGGTTATGGCGGGAATCGAGAGGGCACGCACTGGGGGAACTTGAAGGTCGACTTGGCGGTCTGACCCTGCGCGGGCTTGTCGTTGGGGAGCTCTCCATGGCCGGCCGTGTAGAGCATAACTGCGTAAAGCTTAAAGGCTCATGGGGTGCACAGGTTGTGTTGTCGAGCATGCTCTCTCATCGCAAGGTAGTGGTATGTTCGGGAAGGGAGGGCGACGCGACGATCACGTGATCTGCGGCGACACGGCGGCGTTGGCAACTCGAGTTCGGGACGGGCCTTTACGTTCGTTGATGCGGCGTCCGGAGCGAAGCTGTCGCTGGTGAGGATAAGGATACCGGTGGGTCGTCTCATCAGAATGACGGATGATCTGACCTGGGTCGCGAGGGTGTGAACTGAGGGTGGAGAGAATCCAAGATATGACATGCAAGGAGGTCGTGTACAGTAGGGCCGCGACGACGTCGACGCAGCGGAGGTGGCTGTCTCTGGCCTACATCAGGGATTTGAGAGTTCTCCGTTGCAGCCATCACATGCCAGATGGAGACAGGATGCTCCTTATCGTGCCATATGGAGCCAGATGGAGACAGATAGAGCCCATGGAGAAAATCCCGGTTCCTGATGTACGTTAGGACAGCGCCCAACTCACGCTACGAGAACGCTACGAGAGTGTTCACCACTAGACTTCCAATCCCCTCCTCAGCGTAAGGTCAGTCAGTCACAAAAGCGATCTGCTCTCCTTGCTTTCCCGACATGAATCAAAAGCAACGTGGTTTGGTCGAGTACGACTAGAGTCTCTCAAATATCATTTGCGCGGCCAGCTTTGGCTGCGAGAGAGATGCCGAGAACAAGAGACAATGACAAGACTGATACAGGAATACAAACAAAAACAGGCTAGAGGGTATAAAGAAGCTAGAGGGTATAAAGAAGCTAGAGGGTATAAAGAAGCTAGAGGGTATGAAGAAGCCAGAGGGTATAAAGAAACTAGAGGGTAGAAGCTAGAGGGTATAAAGAAGCTAGAGGGTATAAAGAAGCTAGAGGGTATAAAGAACGCAGTGGCGTAAAACCTTTCCCCACTGCGTTACACCACTCGGAGATTCTTGCGTTTCCAAGATGTGCTTCAAAGGTCGTCGAGTTGTCCGCCTCCATCGGTGAGGCACATTCGAGGAAAAGGGCGCCGATCGCGAAAGACATGCACAGCGACGCGCGTGGCGTGGACCAGACAGGATGATGGTGTACACTGCAATCGCTTGTACTGTGCCGTTTGACAGCTCACTTGATCTGCGTCCGCAGAGTATAGCCCAGCCAGTCGACAATGTGCCAATGCTGTGGGTCGAGCGCACATTATGTACCCAGAAAAGTTGAGGATCGCCATTGGCAGGAAGAATTTGAATGCGTCGTAGAACGACAGCATCTTGCCACGCTCTATCCCGCCGTCCTCCTAAGGCGTTTCACTGGCCTGCCGTTCCCTGGGGCATCATTTGCATGTCCGTCGTCCGTCGGTCCTCGGCGTTGCGGTGCCTTCCGTTTGTTTGGATGGATCCCGGCACGGTGAGAGATCGCCTTCACTGCGAACTTGGGCCTCATCGACGAACTATCCTGCTTACGGATCCTGTCATCCTCCGGCAGTTCACGCTCCAAGAACTCTTTCCAGTAATCATTCCACGGCTCGGGCGTGTCCCACTGCGTCGCCTCATTGGGATCCCGCGGGTGATTGAGGTCCATCGAGTGTGACAACCAATCCTTGAGATCCGCGTTGAAGTTCGGGAGGTCAATGTACGTCTGGTTCTCTTTGATGTCCAGCTTGCCTTTGCCCGGCTCCATCGTCTGGAATGTGGTGTGCGTCACCTCAGGTACATCCCCGACATGGACCTCTCTGCGGTTGTGGAACATGGCCTGAACGACTTGCCTCATGTCCTTGGAATGCGCAGGATGCTGAAGCCAATGGAGGCCACAGTACGCGACGACATACAGGAGTGCCTCCATGTCGTCCTGTAACATGTGCCTCCGCTGGCTTCTCGCCTCGAGACGCTGTGACAGGAATATGCGTGTGCCCTGTCGCGATGGGATTAGCAATCACGGACGGGAGAAACGAAGAGAGCGATGCGTACCACGATGTACTTGTCCGTTGCCTGTCCGTCCTCCTGTACCTTCGACGAGAGCTCCCAGTCGATCAGGTAACCTGTGCGATGATCTTCGTACGGCTTCCGATAAAACATGACGTTGCCGGCGCTGATGTCTCGATGGATCCTCCGCGCATTGTCGTGCGCAGCGATGAGCGCTAGGTCGCCAGAGAAATCTGTATCAGCCGACAGAACGGTCAAAAGCTGGTGATAGGCTTACCTTGGAACGCGTCGTGCGTCGCCTCGAGCAGCTCCTTCGTGCCTCGTAGCGTCTGAAGTGGGAAGCCTACTTCCTTGAGGACCAGACGGTGGTGGACCCGCGGGTGCACCACAATCCGAGCGCCGCCATGACATAGCCATTCGGCCTCTCGGTATAAGTCCGTCTCGGTGCATTGGAAAGCTGCACGAAGAGATGAATGAGTTCTAGCTCAGATTCAGTAAACCGTGACGAATAGATACTCACACGGCTGTTGGCCTGCTTTGCTCCGAGTCGTCCTCTCGAAGTTCGCCATGGCCGAGAACCGCGTGAGCATACCGTCACAGTACATCACCTTGGGAACATCTCCGTCGTGTTCCACATGGGGGATGTTCTTCACTCCGTGCGCTTCAAGCTCCTTCAGTATGCGGCCTTCGGGCTCATGGACGTACTGCCGCCATGTATCCTTCAAGAAAACAACTCGGCCGTCCATCACCGCCCAGTATCCTCGCATCGCACCCCTCCTCATCGAGAAGTTCGTAGCGATTGGCCTCGACACGAGACAGCGCTTGAAGCTCCCGTCCTCCGCACAAATGGTCAGTGCCGCGACGCGCCCGGCCTCGTAATGCTGCCCCACGGTCTTTTCAAGAAGCGCGCACTGCTCCTTGTACTCCTCGCGGACCTCGACCTTGACCTCCTCCTCCGGAATGTCCACCAGCTTCAGGTCTAGCTGTTCCCGGACGTGGCAAGAAACCAGCCGCCGGAAGAGACACTCCTCGCTGCTCGACGCCCGCTCCACCGTCGGGTCGTATCCGCGCTCGACCGTGGACGCATGCGCGAACCTCCACAAGAACTCGCACAGCACTTCGGGCTTCTCCCGGAGGCTGAACGACTCCGATGCGATCAGCCCGCTCATGTCCCAGCGCATCAGGCGCGCCCGCAGCCCGTGGATCGACACCGAGAAATAGTGCACCCGGTGTTGGTGCATCAGTGCATCGGTGGCCCATCGGATGTTTCGCCCCATCGCCTGCAGCGCCTTCACCCGGTTAGTCTTCTCCGCGTCCTGAGGCGTCAGGACGAACTTGTGTCGCTGGCGGTCAGCGAAGGGCTTCGGGTCGCGGAAGAAGTCGCCCTGGTCGCTGCTCTGTACGTCTATGAACAGCTCCCCTGCGTACTTCGCAGCCGCCTCGTTGTCCGACCCAATCGAGTCCTTGGGGACGCAAACCAGAGCAGGCTTAATGGATGTCGAGTCCAGGACATTGTATTTGAACTCGAACCCTGGGCAACGGTCGTGGTCCCCGATGGCTGCCAACTGTGGCCACATCGTATGTCAACATCAACCAGGGCACCACCGCTCAACAGAGCCACTCACCAGTCGAGAAGCTACATCAGGCTCGTCGACATTGTTGAATGCCCCCTCCGTTGACGGCCTCCGCGCCGTGTGCTTCGCAGGGAGGAAGTCGAGGAAGTCCGCGACGGGCATAGGCCCGAGGATGAACCCCTCAGCCTTCTCCGCGTGAAGTTCGTTGTCGTCGTCTGAACGACGCGGATTTTCGGGCTCGGCGTTCTCTTCTCCCGCCAACGGTGTCCAGTCGGAGGTGACGCTATGGGGAGTGGGTGGCAAGGAGAGGTCGGCTTCGGCGGGTAAGGTGGACGGGCTGGGAGCGTGTGATCTGGAGTTGGACATCGCTGATGTTGTTGATAGAGGAGTGAATGGTGGTGGTGGTAGTGGTAAAAATGTAGTGGTGGTGGTGGTGGTGGTGGTGGTGGAAGAAATTGAACAGAGGCAGCCACTTGCTTGCGCTTTTAACCTCCGTGTGGCACACACCACGTGATCGTGATTGTCCACAAAGCGCGGAGTACGGACTATCCTGGTAAATGCCCAGTCGGTTAGGCGTAGTTCTCTAGCTGGGAAAGTGAGAAACGTATACTCTAGACAATCTCAGCACATCAGAGGCAACGCTCACCTCTACCGTACTGAGAGTAGCCCAATTAGGTCGGCTTGAGCAATCTCGAAGGTCAACTCGTCCGTCTGCTGACCAGCGTCATCGATATCTATGAAGTCTTCATAGCACGCGGTCGATGTGGACACACATCCAGAATGATAGAGACCTAGTAGAGAAGTCAGGAGAACGCGCTTTGATACCCACTGCTACCGCGATGGCGACTATCGAAGTGTTGCGCCAGATTCACGGCAGGTAAAGAAATGAGATCGGTAGACACTTGCTGCTCGTGTCTCGAAGTACGGCCAGAAAATGCGAAACATAACTTCAGTCGGCAGCTATTGAGGTTTGATGCTGGCCAAAAGGAAGTCGGACGACCGAACATCTTGGAAAAGTGAGCTGATGGACAACAGCAACACTCCCATCACCGCAGTAGGCGAGAACATCAATATTCAATCGTCGCTAGGATCAAATGTCTCACGCGGTTCAGCAGTCTGGTAGCCTGCAGGCAATGACGTCACCAGTCGTCGACTAGCATCTTGCGAAAAAGTTCCCCAAGAAATATCTGGAAACAGTGTCTGCGCAGCGGTCTCGTAGACTCCAACTGTAATAGTCCGGAAAGAACACGCTGCTATAGGTGTGGGCCTGAGACCGTAGTAGATCGCCGCTAGCCAGTTCAAAGAGCCCGTCACTTTTTGCAGCACAGGAAGTATAACCGTACCAGAGGACGAGCAAATTGCCGTACCACTGTCTAGTAGCTCAAAGGTTGAGGATATCGACGCGTTTGTACGCAATTTGCGGCGTCTCCTAGATCACAAGCTCTAGCACAATCTCTCACGAGGCGGCAGCGTACTGCAAGCAGTGACATCACGAAGAACACTTGAAGAACGCGTGGAAGGTAGACCAGCGTATTTTTGCGAGACGTGCACGAGAAGAAGACAATTTGGGCAGCGGTTTTGCTGGTTGTCTGAGCCAGCGAACATAGTCAGAAGTCGATGACCTAAGACTGGACTCGCCAACTAATATCAATACCATCGCGGGCTAGTCAAACAGTTCTGGCCCACCTGCGCAGAAAAAAATGGGAGTAGCTTGGCATGATGAATGCCGCTGCACTTCTGCCAAGAATGAGACCCGCAGAACAGTAAGTAGGACGATCACGACATTGACTTCGAAATGACACCCTCCTCCGAGAATTAGCTCTGGAAGACTGACGACCTCGGGTCTCACGTCAGAAGCAGCAGCAGAAAAGGAAGATTTTCACCTTTGCATCCTGCAATGGTTTGGAAAGTTCCCAATCACTAAGAATGCTTATGCTAACGTTTCCGTCCTCCTCTAAATATTCGAATATTTGCAGGTTGTCTGCACTGATGCCACGATGTAGTATTTTCCGTTCGTAGCTCTGTGACCTATGCTGCTCGTAAGTTTATGCACATAAGAATATCGAAGCACTCACCTTCGAAGCAGTTCCAAACCAGCTTCAGCGACTCCGGACCTCGCTCAAAATCGTCCAAGGTGCGGCAAACCTCCTTCACGACCATCCGGTACATAGTGTCTGTACATGTGCATCTTCAAAGAATTTACTGCCTCCTAATAGTCGCGCCTCGAGAGGTCGGACAATTTAGACGGAGCCTAAAGTTTGGTAGTGCTTTCTAACACGGAGTGTTAAACCTTGTAATACCACGTGATGGAAATGGCGCGGTCACGAAAGTCTTCCTGAAGATCCTCTCCTGGTTTGGGCATCTCAGGCGCGGTGAGGTGCTGCGGTGGATGGGTGATGGTACTGCTTGGGAGCAGGACGCAGAAAATGGGAGAATTCTTATGAGATCCAAACATGTAACACCATCTTGGACCAGTATGATAGAGCAGATGAAGCAAAGTCTCTAAAATTAATCTCAACTAATATACCCATCCGAAAGAAACAAGAGTACATAGGTACGTTCTTAATATCAAACTCAACCTTGTGCCCAAGCGGAAGATGACGGCGCCGGCCGGCCGCCGTCCCTCACGAGTTCGTCAGTATTCAATACTAGCGGGTGGAATGCGAGTGCTGGGGCGGGCGCCCCGCCCGTGCAAGGGTTGGTGAACCAGGTGGCGATGCGGGCGAAGCGCGAGCTGCTTAGTCCGGCGGGGTGGGACGACGAAGAGAATGAGGGAGACGACGGGAGAGAGGAAGATGAGAACGAGGAGGACGAGGGTGTTAATGGTAGAGAGAGGAGGCACGCTTCGGCGGGTGCGATGATGCGGAGGCCGATGGTATCATGGTGAGCATCGCGGAGTTAACGGAGGATTGAGCTGCCCTGCGCGGAGGGCTATCCGCCACAGCGGCAGCCACAGCAGCCACAGGTGGGTTGTGTCGGCGTACCGATCAGCGCTAGTGAACGGAATTCAGGTGAAGGCGGAGATGGCGATAAATACATACACGGTACGCCGCCTCGTGGGCCCGGGCGATGAAGAAAGGGATGGGCATTTGACATTAATCATGAATCCGGACGCTCTCTGTCTGAGTTCTCTCTGCCACGCGCCTCGTTCCGTGTCCATGTGCTTCGACTTCTCTCCACGTACACCCACCTGCTTTCGTGTCTGCGCTTGTCATTAATATCTGTGTTTATCGTACATATACCTCCGCTGCTGCTAATCCGTCGCGATAGCTGTCTATGTCTGTCTTGTTACGGTTAAATGGCGCTATGCTTTATCCCCCAATTCCCCCCTTTTCGAGTTTATGTCGCTCCTGACTGGCTCGTCTCGTATCGTCTGCCCCGCGAGCCCGTTGTATCATTAGCTACCGTACACACGCGTGTAAGTAGCAGTTCCAACATGATTGCAGATCGTCGATCCACCGAATTTGACTTGTATGATCATGACCATCTGGGGTCTGGGGTTTTTTGACGCGAATGTGCAGCTGCGCCCGGGGAGATGGGAGGGCAAGATGGGGAGGTGGAGATGGGGTGGTGCTGGGAGCCGAAGATCGATCCACCCTGGGTCCTGTGGGACAGGGGTATGGGTGCGTGTCGGTCCATGCGATCGGGTGGTGTGATTGTTGGACGGCTCCAAGTTCGGCGGTGTGCTGAGGTGGGCGTCGGTGTGCGACACCGACTGCGGTGGCTGGACGTTCTCGGTGAGCTGTCGCATCGAAAAGTGGGATTTAAGAGCGCCTGTCGAACGACGATGGTTGGACATTTATGACGGGAACCGAGAGGGTGAGCACGGGAAGATCGACTGACGGTCTGACGCACGGGTATAATACACTGGAGAAGCCCAGAGAGACGCCACGTCCCTCGGATCGAGATAGAGTATTTGTGGATAGCCCGCGCATCATATGTCTAAACCTTTACTTTTGCTTACACGGAGAAGTCGAGAAGAAACACGTGGGGTCCAGGTGAAGTCAACATTGGCCACCTCCACGATTACGGACGATCCCTGGGTAAGGAAGGTATGCGAGGAGGCGAAGCACCGATAGAGAAGAGGTGCCAGCATGAAGGAGATGCGTGGCTGAAAAGGCTCAAGGATGTGGAGTCTGGTGGTCAAGTGAACGGCCATACGACGATACTAACAGGGTCTCCATGCGCATCTGCATCTCTAAGCTCGGATGGGGACCGCCCATTAGCCATATCACTTAATCCATGGCGTCGTGTGATGCATTCTGTGAACGTCCTCGTAGAATCCTGTGGTCAATGGAACTTCGTGGTCAAGCAGAAAGTGGTAGAAGAGCGTTAGGATCCGCACGCGCTCTACCTGTGGGAAATGGCTGAACATCGGACAATTGCGCGCAGGTTACCTAGCCAAACTAAAATCAACGAGCATCACATCTGACAATGCGCAAGGTGGCCAAGATGGGTGTATTGATTATCGACAGACAGACGAACACTGGCACACGAATATTAGCGATGACTCCAAGACGGACTTGATCAATTGAAAATCCATCGTACCAGAAAACTTACCAGGAAATACAAATGATACGACATGGGATGACTGAAAATATAGAGATTGGGGGTGGGCAATGCCCGCAACGGAAACGGGCTATTTGCACATGTTTGTTCCTCTATAACGTCCGGTTCCACTTCCATTGCTCTACGCCCCTGTCCGCGACTTCTTCCACGTCCATAGAAAAATTTATCTGTATGCCTGATAATTCATGAAAGATGCATGGGCAAAGTTTCTTTGCGGTGCTTTTCCAGATTCTGTGGTTGTTAAGCAGAAACTTCAATATCTCTGAGGAATTGCCCTGCGGATTTCTTTTCAAGCCAAAAAAAAATTAAGTACCACAAAGGATGTGTAGCCATATGTCTCATGAACAAGCTTTCTCGACAGTGAAAAAGGATTGGTGGAGGGAGTGAAAAGATGCATGGGCCGCCGTCACAGGAGGAGTTTGATCCTCAGAACACGAGCGCTTAACAGTCCGAACTACGCTAGATCTCACTCCACATACCTCGGCCCATCTCTCTACCCTTGAATCTTCGCGATGGGGCGCACTGCGGCTCAAAAGGCTCACATACAGTGCCTGAATGCACTTCACCCTTTTAGGCAGCCCAACGTATCGATCAGGAACGCTGAAAACCGGCCACCTGGTAGAAAGAACACGAAGAACAGTGAAATTCAAGCACACTTACTCCGACTCACCAGTGATCTGGCAACGAAGGATTCAGAAATCTGTAGGTTACAGGAATTGCTTGCTGCAGCTACACACCATGCTTCTCGCCTCTCTGCGGATATTGCTAACCGAGACAAGACATTGAAAGCACTTGAAAATGAAGTTCTAGTGCTCAGGCAGCAACTGGAGGCTCGGGTCTCATCTGGAAACACTGCCCTAGTGAAACTCTCTGGCGCTCGAAAGGATTTACAGAAATCCCGCGCACGCAATCTTCGTCTGGAATGAGAAAGACGGACCCTGCGCTCGAATCTTACTGCTAAAGTGTCTACTCTGGAGAACCATCTTGCACTTGAGATTACCCAGAATCGTGCTTTGTCTGCTGAGTCTCTTTCTTGGATTGCTGCTCTCACTACTGCTTTGGAGAAGTGCTATGCAAATCTAGCCTGTCAGAAAGCCATATCGGCCTCACGACGGAAACAGGCTTGTACCTGGGAGAAGCGGGCACATCGCGCTCAACAATCCCGTGTGCGCTCTCAGTGTTCCTTAAAGAAGCTTTCGGTCTGGCACCCCACGTCTTCCCGGGTGTACTCACCTGCAGCACGACGACTTGCTCGGCAACTCATGAAGGCGGGTTGTGCAGGAGACAAGATCAAGTATGCGATCACGGCATGCGGACAAGCCTTCGGTATCAAAGTGGCCCGAGGTATCTCACGTCGTACAGCAGGTCGCGCGAAGCAGGAGGCAGGTGTATACGGTTTGATGCAGCTAGGGAGGGAGATCAGCAATGCACCCGGTACATTTTCCGAGTTATTGAAATACCTTATTCTTATTCTGTTGATAGCTTTCGGAGAGAGTACAGATGGTACCACACACCGCAAGATTACGTATGAAGCGAGGCACATTACACTCGCTGTACCTAGTTATGCTCCTGGTGTAGATGATTCCGACAAATCAACTTGGACATTTCGCACGCGATTTGCAGAAGTTGCTCCTGTGCTCGATCATACTGCACAACGCCAATTCAAGGGCTCACAGCAGCTGGCGGAGAAAATCTCGCAGACCTATAGCAACAGTCCTCTGGCCACTCGTGAAGGACAGTCTATGGAAACTGATAATTGGATACGCAAACAAGTGATGCAGAACATGGATCATGCAGTGGACAGGAAGAAGAAATTCAAGCTGTGTCAAGATTGGAAAGAGGACGTGACACGCCGTGACCTTGGGCGTGAACGGATGGATGTTCTGTCGTCGGCAGAGCTTGTGACGGCCATATGTTCTATCTCGGCAGATGACATTTGCCAGGTTGCTGGTGATGCAACAGAGTTGTAAGTCGGCATTATGGAACTTTGTTTGCTAGTTAACCTAGACAATCAATAGGTCACTGGAGGAAAAGAGCAAGATTAGGCTCAGACTACTAGAGAGGCAACTTGGTGACATCTCTTTTAATGAACTCCCCTCGACTCAACAACGTCTCATTGATCTCTTCATCTTCAGTGGTTGTTGTGGCCACAAGGATCTCAATGCATTCAAGTATGGTGTTGTCGCGATGGGAATGAAATGGGAGAACATGGAGCTTCCACTGCCAGTCCTCCTTGCAAACAAGGCTAATGATGCTGTTATCAAACTTGGCCAGAATGCAGATAGTGCCGCTGTGCAACGTGCTATGGACTCCAGTGCTCACGGTGGCGTCAAGCTTACAGCTTTTGCAGGGGCACTCTTTCGACACAAGAATGATGACACAGGAGATCAGGACTGACATCGCATCTTCATGGCATTGCGAAAGAAGGAGTTGCATGACGAGAACACAAATCGGCGATTTCCTGATACGTCCAACACACGCTATCAGGCATATTCGTATGGTGCCTGTGAACTTGTTGTCTACCATCACCTGTACGTCGAGCTAATGGAAGAGATCTGCGACAGCAAGGCCAAGCCAGGAGTCAACCATCTCGAGAGTAATGTCGCAAAGGGATTGCAGGATGCCTCGACTCTTGCTGAGCTTGCAGCCATGGCACTATATGGTGTCTCCGTGTTGTGGCCTTATCTTAGCCAAGCCCGAGGTGATGGCTCGAAGATTGTGAACCTTCTTGACCTCACGGAACTACACCGCAAACTCCCCACCTTCTGCAATCATATTGCACTCCACCCTACTCTTCTTCTTGACTCTAATGCTCCACTGGATGAGGTTACACTTAATGGCAAACCATTCATGGACAAGATGCTACTCGCTGCTGTGTGCATGCTTGCCCCTGATCTCCCTGGGCTCACGTGCATGATCAGTGCTATGTTCTCTGGTGCAGCAAAGGGATGGGTACAGTTCACCACAGAATTCACTGTCGGTGGACCATTTGACTCTCTGACATCTGCAGAACGTGCACTAGTCTTCATCCCATCCACCAATAATGCAAACGAGGGTGCCCTCGGCTCATGGCGTGTCCATGCTCGATCACGTCCTAGCAGCACAGCCTCCACATTCTCTAGTCAGGCACGCAGTGAGCATAACAACACCGAAGAGTTCATTGTGAAGTGCTGCAATGAGGATGACCAAGGGTATGTGATGCGAACTGTACGAACAGCTGACGCTAGCGGTGAGAATGCACAGTTTCGAGAAGAACTGATGGAGAATCAGTGGGAGCATGCAGTCCAGTATCGCAAGAAGCAGGAGGAAGATCAACGAAAGAAGGATCGAGAGAAGGAGAGGTTGCGAAGCATTGGACTCATTACTGACTGAGATGAAATCCATAGAATGACTGTTGCACAACTCAAGGATCAAATTGACATACACCGGAAGTTATTCAATGATGAAATCCTCCTCAATACAACCCAGAAGAGTCTGCCCAACAAAATTATGAAGATGTATGCTGTGCTGGCAGCAGTGACAAGGAACAGTGACTGGTATGTGCTTGTTGAAGCTCCCATCATTTTCATGTTATCAGACTTGGCCCAACTTCTCCTTAGTCTTGCAGACAACCGGCTAGACTTGCATCAGGAAAAAGCCCTGACCCAGGTAGCGCCCAGCCAGTCTACACCGCCGTTTAGGCCAAAGCTCGGGTAGATAGTCAATTTCTGAGATCAGAAGACAGTTTACAAAAAGATCAGATTGGCATCATACAGACATTTTTGGGACATTATGAGCGGGATATCTCCCGGATAACTCGCTGCTCTCAGCCTGATATCCTCCGTTCACACTCCTGCTGAGCTTTGCCCTCCATGAAGACTTCACTGAGATTTCCCCCAAAATCTGCCTGGCAGCGTCAACCGTGAGAACCACTGGAATGCCACATCTTTTCCCGGCATGGTCTGATGTCAAAGTCTGCTTCTCTCCTTGACCAAGCCTCCAACTTCTCTTCTTGTCATTCGTCCTGGTCGCGCCCACGTTCCAGCGCAGTCCTTGTTCTGTTCTACTGCCCATTGCACATTTTCAAGCTCAAGTGCCTTTCTTCTGCAGTGTTTTCTCTGTTGTGCTGGACTTCTTGGTCTCTGGCAAGTTGGGCTGTGACCAACTGTGTCCGTCTGGCCTTGGCTGTTGTGCCGGCTCCTGCACCAATGTCATCTCTGCCCAAATGCGCAAATACCCTGTACGAGGTGCCTTTCGGTGCATACCCCACCTCTGTGCCCTGCTGACTACCCCGCGAAGGGTGCCTGTCGCCGAGGTGTGCACTTCTACTCTTCCTCGAGTTTAGCACACTTGCTCGCTAGGTGATGGGGTCACCATCTCACAGAATCTGACGGGCCGCGGAGAGTGCTCCACAGTGTGGCACGGTGAATGCCCATGCTACACCGTATACAAGTGTAGTACTGTAGCTCCTACAATAGTGTCCTGTAGTGTCCTGTAGCATACAGAAAACCAATATATTTGTTATTTACACCCTTAACTGCAATATAACAAGCTGCGCAGCTGTTATGGAAACAAACAACGATGAGGAGCCATGCCCTGCATGTTCCCGAGCTCAGCGGGAGATCACTTGCTGAGGTCTCACAGCTCTCGCTCTCTCCGGAGTCTCCTGGGATATGATGATTTCTATCTGGGTGATATCTGTGCCAGATCCGGAAAGAGTCGTGGGATCATCACGCGATATTTGGACCCGGATCTCAGTCTGGACTCTGGCCAAAAGGGTGGTGTACATACAGCTCTGTAGGCTCTGTAGGTTCCACACAGTGATATGTAGCTGACATAGGTTCCAGTAGTACCCCCTTATCAATACAGAGACCTGTGTTGACCATGTAATTTGTAGTGTTCTCTATATTACCTCAATGATTATTTAGTCTGTGCTACTCATGTGAATGTCAACATGGTTTCCGTCACCACACACTGGATAGATTGGCCATCCCAACTCTAACATATTTCTGCTGTAGCCCTCCTCGCAGCAAAACAGTGATGACAATCCTGACTATATCAACAAACAGGCTGGAAATTTGGAGAAGCGCGCTGAGGCGCTGTCTCATTGCTATGTCGCGATGGTTGCGTCCACTGTCGCTGATGACAGTCGGCCTCTCCGGCACATTCTGCAGCCATCGGTTATTGGCCGCAGACCACCGCGGATTGCGCCATTGGTCACGTGGTATGTTCAGTTGTGAAAATTCTTCGAAGTTCAACTTGCTGAATGTTGCTCTCATACATACTTTGAAACTTTGTGCGTTTCTCTCATCTGGTGCTCTTGGCTTTTTCATCCTCCAGTAACCAGTCATTACATCTGCAATCGACCAGCACAGACTTGTGCCCTGCATGCCGTCAACTCACGTCCGGAGTCCTTGCTATCCAGCCCGTTCGCAAACGGGAAGTCGGGATGACAAGATTCGAACCTTCTGGTGTCACCAGTAGTGCATCTATGTGGGCGTTGTGCATGTTGGCGTGCGGTGTCTCTCACAATTCTGTTCCTCATGTTTGCGTGTCGCAGCTGCCCCCTTCTGCTCTCCAAGGATGCAAGATAACAGCATCGATGACTCCTGCAGTCATGAATGGTAAGAGCAGCCTGAGTCTGGGATCCTGCACACCAGTACATGACACCTTGTGCAGCTCTGGTACTTGTGCGCCGTGCTGGCCAGAACTGACCTTGTTCCCGCTGTTGCCATTGTCATCATGCACATGCAGGACAAAATCTAAATGAGGACAACACTCCTCGAGAGTGGCACGACAACCAGGTGCATCATCGCGACACGGTGTGAGAGGCGTCATGCATGGTGCCTTGTCGACGGCCTCCACGTGCACTGACTTGATGAGCCCGTTGCTCATACAGTTTCTACAGCCAACTCTCCCTATAAGTACCCACTTACATGGCTAGTGTTAAACCTGAGGGGGCTTATTTTCCTTCACAGACCAGTTACTGCTAGCCAATAATGTCAGTGGGCACGCTTCCTCTTCCTTGCTTATCACCGTATGCAGGTCTGTTCTTGTGCAGCATATAGATGATGCAGCCATCTGTGTCACCACTTTCTTAGTCAGTGTCCGGCGGTGCTTCAAGTGACTCGGACGACAATGGTAAGCCCTCAGCCCAAATGTACCAGAAGCACATTGATGTATTACATAGTCTCTGTATACTCCCGGGCTCCATGCCTCCTTCAATAGGCTCACCGGTACCATGTAGATTCTCTGTCGCAACTCCACTAGCAATTGCTGAAGATTGCATGATGACTCGCATGTCATGCATGTCCGCACGGTGGGCCTTACCACTTCCCTCCTCTCGGGTGCATCGCTGTCCACTGCTGCCCCAGTCATTCTACACTCTGGATGCAAGATGATCACATACCAATGATGACGACAATGACAATAACAACGATGACACCAGGATTAGGATCACCATGAATACGAAGATTGCACATGATACTCCGCCCTCGCCACCGTCTGCAACTATCCCAGTTCTCATCCTTGTCTGCTACAGCTTCCCTAGCTCCGTATGATTAGCCTGTGGGTTTGTGCAGTGATATGGTGCAAATATATTTATTTCATACAGTCTGCTATTGTGAAATGGGTAAAAATCTGAATAGTGAATATGGAATGATAGGAATAATGCAATGCTACTGGTGATTACAACCGGACCCGGTAGAGCTACATACGCTTGAGTGATTGCTACAGTGGCCTACATACACTTGGTGGTGGCTACAGCCGGCTATATTTTTGGGGACTTGTCTACCGGGCTACGAGACCTACATAGGCTACACAGCATCACATAGTTATGTGATTTTTTCCTGATCAGTGGGGAATACCCATGCAAATACTGTGGAAGACACCCTGATCCACGATACCCCGGACCTCGATACCATCATGGACGACGTAGATACTAACATCGGGCTTGAAGCTGACTATGACATAGACATGTACTAATACCTAACACTTTAAAATACTTGACTCTGTGCTATAATGGAATTGCTGTGCTTCTTGGCATCAAATTCAGGGCTCAAAGTCGAGTTTGCTGTCTTCAGCGCTGGTAGAATTGCCGCGCCGCGGCGCGCATTGTACTTGCTATAGTATGCTCGCTCTTTCCGCTCCTCAAGCTCAACAACTCATTCCCTTGGTTTCTGCTTTGGTACATGGCTTCTATACATGCCTAAGCTTGTCTGAGCAACTTTTCAAAAATTTTAGACCACTTTGAAGCTCACGCAGAAAACGGTGTTGAGGTACCTCGCTGCTTACTTCTCGCATGACCCATAACTCCAGAACTAGTAGGTTAAAAAAATTGGAAATTTCTGAAGTATGTAGCGGGATATGTCACGAACATAATTTGTCTATAGCATTGACCGTTACATGCCATAGATCTTTCACAATTCGAAGACGGGCATTGGAACCGGGAGGTTAATGCATTTGGCATGGAACAAACATGTACAAATAGCCCGTTTCCGTTGCGGGCATTGCCCACCCCCATAGAGATTCCGAGCTACGAGCCACTCGGCAGCATGGCAGTGAGTGGTAGGCTGTGGTAGGAGATAGTCACCAGTCACATTGTGACACACGCGTTAGTGTGACGACACGTGCTCGTGTCCGCTCATTCAACTTGTGAACAGCCACCACCGTAAAGCCAGGCCTCCCAAGGTATGTGCCACAGCAACAAGGGAAGAAGCCTTCATATAACAGGAGTGCTTCATGTTCTGCTCACAGAACTATAGTTTTGCCGATATATCCGCCAGAAAGCAGTAAGTTGTACCATTGTCCCCGCTGACGCCACTGGGCCACGAGCTTCGAAAGGCAACAAAGGTGCGTTTCGATCAATAGAGTGCGTGACCAATACATGAGAACATATCCGAACAAAGGCTCGACCCAACTTGGAAACTTGGCCTCGTATGTGGCCGTACGTTGGCCTTCAAGGCATATAAACGCAACCTCTTCTGTCAGGTAAGCATATCCATCATGTCCCAAATTTCCCCCCAGGCTCAATCCTCTCCATCTAAACACTTCGTGCTTAGCGACCATAAAGCTACTACCAACATAGGCGCGAGATTAACCAGACAACAGCTTCGTGAAACCATGCACAGGAAGTTTGTCAAGATGTCCGTCAGCGACTTCATGAAGAACTTCCTTCCAGGAGAACCCCCTGATATGCCGAATTTTGAAAGGGCATTTTCTGGCATGCCTTCGGAAGGAGCCATCGAGGCTCACTTTTACGAGCCCTTCGTACGTTGTCATCTCGTTCCCGCCCGCTCTGTAGATACTGACCCGCAACATATTTCAGAAAGACGCAGTGAACGATGCAGATATGTGTCCGGGCTACAAGGTGGCGATAACGCAATACAAACCCGACTTGAACGGCTCTTCTAAGCAGAAGCCCGACGCTGCTCTTTATCCCGTCGATGAAGTACCTACGGATGCCAGGCCAAATTGGAACACTCAGCGACTTCATTTTGAATTCAAGAGGCTCAGCGAACAGCATGATCCGTTGAATGACAAGCCTAAAAGCGAATTGGAGCCTGACAGTCAGGAGCGGGCGGATGTGCGAGGCCAGTGCATATCGTACGCCGAGATGCTTCTGGTGCGCCAGCAGCGAGCCTTCTGCTTCACAGTCGCGATACTTGGTCGCGAGGCGCGGATATTTCGCTGGGATAGGTCGGGTGCCATCGCGACTGAGAGGTTCAACTACATCACCGAACCGTATCTCTGCGAGTTCTTGTGGCGCTTTGCTCATCTCTCACCAGAAGAACAAGGGGACGATCCGACAGCAATAGAAGTTGAGCCGAACTCTGAGGAGGCGCGCTTGATGCGGGAGATGGCTAAGCCCGTAGAAGAGAGGTGTGGCCATGCGCGCAAGTACTTTGCGGAATCTCTTGATCCATCGTGGAAGTGGTGGAAGTTGCTGATCGACGTCAAAGAAGACACTCCGGGGGCAGACGCCGACCACAAAGTGTTAGGCGAGTATCTTGTCGGCAAGCCACGCTTCTCGGCAAGAGGCGTAGCTGGACGAGCGACGCGTGGATACGTTGCTCTGGACTGCAGGACAAAGATGTTCGTTTGGTTGAAGGACGCATGGCGGGTGGATCACGACGGCATGGAAAAGGAAGGTGACATTCTCCATAGGCTCAACGAGCTCAAGATTCAGAATGTTCCCACTCTGCTTCAGCATGGCGATGTGCTACAGCACGGCGATATCCTTCGACAGCGTACTTTGTCACAGGATCACTGGAAGGCTCCCGCATCGAGAGCGACTATGCAGAATCCACTCAAGTCGCACACTCACTATCGGCTTGTCGAGAAGGAAGTTTGCCGCCCACTTAGCGACTTCGATAACAGCAAGCAACTCGTGACGCTTGTCTTTGATTGTATCCAAGGTGCGTTTCTCGAGACCGTCGTACTATGTTCTATTCACTGACGTCATCATATAGCTCATGAACAAGCAATGAAGAGAGCTCGTCTAACCCATCGCGACATCAGCGGAGGTAATCTGCTGATAAATGAATACGAATCCGTTGGTCCACGCGGAACACCGTGCACCGTCAGGGATGGCATTCTGGGAGACTGGGAGTTATCAAAGCCGATCCCTCTTGAAGGCGACACGTCCGATCAGGGTGCGCGACAGCCTGACCGAACAGTGAGTATCCAGATTCCGGTTTGTATCGCGTGACGAGTTGTTAATAGTGTGCTACTTAGGGTACATGGCAGTTCATGTCGGTCAATGCGCTGAACGACCCGCGAAGGACGATCGTGATCCAAGATGAACTGGAATCGTTCTTCCACGTCCTGCTGTACTATGGAACTCGCTACCTGGCTCACAATTTCCTCGATGTCACTGGTTTTCTTTACTTGTTCTTTGATGCCGATTTCTGGGACGTCGCAAATGCAAGATTCGTTTGCGGACACACCAAGGATAGGGCTATGCATACTGGGGTGATCAAGCATGAACAGAAGACGCTGAAATTTGACGACGGTTCCAGCAACCCGCACCCTCTAAATTCCATAATAATTACACTTCTGGACTGGTTCAAAGGGCATTACACCACGTCAGTGCCTGGTGAGAACTGGCCGCAATCAAGTAGTAATCCTGGATCCGTTGTCCACGGCTATGACTGGGAGACCTTCCGGCGGTGGGAGAAAATGAAAGCAAGTGTTGATTTGTCGTCCGACCATGTTATCAAGGCAAAGGTCGGCGATATGACCCGCGCTCAGGATGAACGGTTCGCGGGACGTCTTGAATCCCACGCCGCGATGTTGACTCTTCTAACGAACGCTATCAAAGAGCGCGTGTGGCTAATGAATGACAAGAAAGGCGATCAGCTGCGCGCAAACTTCAACCACGAGACGGAGAAACGTTATCAGCGAACAGGGACAAAACGCACGCATGGGAGCATAGCGGATCCAGAGCCACCAGAAGTTACAGCTTCCAGTAACAAACGCGCAAAGGCCAAGTAGCCTCTGCGTGACACTTGACTTTTTCTTCTCTCAAACACCAATACCTGCAACATCGTTAGCGCATCCACTCAATATGCCTATTTATACTATTTAACAATTTATCATTACACGTACTGCTTGGCTTCTGTGTCGTTCATATCGTTATTTTCTGTTCTACCACCCAATATTCACGACGACTTGTTCCTTCGCACTGATCTGTCGTCATCCATTAGAAACAGTTTGGTCCCGTAAGAACTCTTACCACCCAGCGATGTCCTTGACTCTAGTCTGTCATTTGGACTGCCACAATGTGTTACAATGTTAGTATCACCTGTGTGATCTGTTCACTTGTTAGCGGAAATTTGACCTGTATTCACTACAAATTTGGGCCACAGCGCGTATACTTTTCTTACTCCGACCTTGGGCAGTGCTTGACATGGTAGTGTTTGCCAAATGACAGGAGAAAGCGCGTTCTGTCTGCGTTCTATTGGACGGGTGACGCTAGGACCACTTGTACGAGCGTATGGCGATATCTTCGGCCAGTCTCTCCGTCGCTGGACTAATACGAATTATTTTATTCCAGGCCTTCAATTTGAATTACTGGGGCATGGAATACCCCGGGATAACGCAAAGACTCTTCGCACAAAAGATGAGACTTAGAGAACAGTGAAGTTAGTGTTTTTCCGGCATGGGCGACGCAAGACGCTTCACGCTACCGGACGTCCAGGCATATCCAACCTGCCCGTATTCATCAACCCCTTCTACAGCGCCGTGTGTCAGGAGTCGACGACTTGACTGGACACGGCCGCACCCGTCCGTACTGACCCTCGGAGGTGCACCTTCCTCATCTATCGCGACCGATTGATCCGAGGGCGTAGCGGCATGTATACATCCGACCGCGGCGCACACAGAGTTGCGCTATCTCTTGAGCTCCATCTTCGTCTACGACGAAATGACAGATGACCAGCGCCTCGCCGAGGAGAGCCTGGCGATGTGGCTCGGTACTCTCTCATATGTCGAGAGAAGAGAGCTTCCCCACGTTGTATGTACTCTGGCACTGACGTCTGGGGGTATCGACCAACAGCGTAGGGAAATGTCTTCACGAGCCCTTCTGCCCCAAGCGCAGCATCGCGTCCGAGAACGGTAGGCGCTACGTCGACGAGGCCGAGCTTGCCAGCGCGGTAAGGTGCTCAGCATGGCTGAGTATAAAATACGAACGAATGCAGCTTCGGAATCGAGCTGCCAGGTCCACGACCCCGTATTTGGCCGAACGCGCGACACGGTGAATGATCCCATCAGCTGGACAAATGAGTGATCTGCCGTTCTTCCAGAGTCGCAGCGATCGCATGATCGATGGCTCACGATCGATGCCCTTTCCTATGACATGGAGGAACCTCGCCACGAATATCCTCACGGTTGTCATGAATGAGAAAGTGCTCTCCCTCCAGACTGCAACCAGCTTACCTTGCAATGCAGCAAGAATGGCATGGCTCGCGGCGGACAAAGTGGCACTGGCCAATCGTTCTTGCGGAAAGGTCAACGACGTGAACTTGCCAGCTAAGCCACCATGTAGCTCGACGTGAGGTAGACCATTCGTGGAACAGCCGACAGCTCGCGCGCGCACCGTATGTCGAAGCTTTAACACTTGATTACACTGAAAAGTCGATGAGAACTGATGTTCTGAGCTTGGTCCAGGTGGAGTGAACGTTGGCCACATACGCGATTACGGACGAGCCCTGGGGAGGTACGGCACGCGAGGAAGTAAGGCATCGATGGAGAAGCGGTGCCAGCGCGGAGAAGCAAGGCGGAAAAGGCTCAAAGTTTAGTCTCCCGAAGGCAAACCAATATTGACCTTGCTGAGGTGGGGAGGACGGTCAGAATAAAGGTCTGCTTTCGAACGCGCCCCTCCAACCGTAGTACAGCAATTCAACATGCCGAGCCGATGCCGAAGCCCGGGCCGCAGTGCCGACCGTGAGTTCCTGATCGAAAGAGATCCAACGTGAGATGTACAGTACCGACGCTGCCCTTCGCGTCGACGAGTCCACGCAAACCGTGCACTTGCGGCATGTTTCCGAGTCGATTTCAAGATAATTCTGTTGAGGATGTGCCTTCTTATGATACACCGCAAGCTATGTTGTCCATTCTCTCGTCTTCCGCGGACTCAACGTATACCGCGCCTCCTACAGTCCTACTTTGTTAGTACCTCAGTCTGTGTCTGCATCCAATACTCCCTACCATTTCCCTAGTCCAACCCTTAGCCGATGTTTGCACTCGGAAAGTCCTACCTTCTATGGCCCGACAGTTGGTTTTGGTGCTGCATCTTTCGCCACGTCTGCCTTCTCATCCCCTGTTTCCGTACTCCCCATCCCCTGCTTCCCTACTCCCCATGTCTATCCCGCAGAGTCCGCATCCACATCGTAGGCCGATCCCGCAGACCCCTGCGACTCCAACTAGATCACGACGAAAGCGACGGTCGCGCCAGACACAGGCCGGCGACGCGTCGCGTTACACCAGATCTACGGGACGCGTTTCGGAGATCATTGTGCTTATGTAACTCCGAAATCGTGTACTACGGTTCGGACCCTTCGAACGAAAGCAGACTACTCAAAGTTCAGATTCCAGCGATGGAGTGCACATACGACGATACTAGCGGGATCTCCGCACGCGGACTGCTAGGTGTAGATGCGCCTATTATGCCTTTCACTGGATCCATGGCACCGTATGATGTACTCTGTGGACGTCCTTGTAGTTTCTGGTGACTAACGGAATTTCACAGTCAAACGGAATGAGTGGCAGAAGTGCGCTAGGACCTGCAGCTGCGACGTACTCCATCTGCGGGCAACGCACAAGGTGGCCGAGATGGGTTCACGGACTTTTAGACGAACTTGTCATGCAGTGGCTTATCAGTGAGGAGTCAAAGATGGACTTTAACCAGTGAAAATTGGTTGTACGAGAGAACTTACAAAAAATTGCACGGAAAAACAAATATGGAGATTCCAAGCCGGCGCCATTGGTGCTTGTGTCACCGAGCTGTGACACACGCGTTAGTGTGACTTGCATCCCCAGCATTCAACTTCACCGTCGTAAAAGCCAGGCCTCCATGGGTATGTGCCACGGAGACAAGGGAAGAACAAGGGAAGAAGCCTTCATAACAGGAATGACTCATTTCTCCTCACAGAACAATAGTTATATCCGCTAGAAAACAGCCGGTTGCCAGTGTACCATTGTTCCCGCCGACGCCACTGGCCGAAGAGCTTCGAACTTCGAAGGGCCGCGAAGGTGCGTTTCGTTCCATAGAGTGCGTGACCAATACATGTGAAGGTGAGCAATGGAGAATAGCCGAAAATAGGACGGACTTAAGCTGGCCCTGTGTGTGGCTGTACGTTGGCCTTCGAGGTAGTTTAAAATCTCCGCTCAGTTGATGCTTCTCCTCGCAAATTCAAGGCGTGGAATGAACAGTCGTCAACTATAAATCCAGGGCCCCAATAAATCAGACAACAGCTTCGCATAGCCATGCACGGAAAGTTCGTCAAGATGCCTGTCGCCGACTTCCTGGAGAACTTCGTCCCAAAAGCTCCTTCAAATACCCCGAAAACAAGATTCACTCGAATACCAAGGGCAGACTCTATTGAGAAGAAGATGCAGGTGGCTTTCGTGCGTTATCTTTCTGATATTCAGATGTATACCTGTTGGAGCTGACGTACAGTATGCCTCAGGCAAAGAACGTGAACGGCAAGCATATGTGCCCTGGATATTGCATTGTCGAAATGGAGCACAGATACGACGAGTATGACTCTACAAGTCAGACGGCCGACGTAGCCCTCTATAGCGCAAGTGAATGTCCGACGGACAATCGGCCAAACTGGAATGTACAGCGACTGCATTTCGAGTTCAAAAGACAATACAACCAGGACGATCCTTTCGATGATAGTTCGGACGACTTTGAAGACGTGCCGAGCGACCGCCTCGATAAACGAGGCGAATGTATTCAGAATGCAGCCACGCTGTTCGAACGCCAGCAACGCTGCTTCTGTTTCACTGTTATGATACTTGGTCGTTGGGCACGCCTGTGCCGATGGGACAGATCAGGCGCAGTCATTTCTGAGAAGTTCGACTACATCAAGGAACGTTACCTGGTCGAATTTTTGTGGCGGTTCGCTCATCTCTCTCCAGTGCAACAAGGCGACGATCCGACGGCGATACCGATTCCGAAGAACTCTGGTGATGCCAATCTCATGCGGGAGAAGGCGAAACCGAGAGACGAGAATTGTGGCCACATCCGGGAATACTTCAGGAACTCGCTCGACGAGTCCTGGACGTGGTGGAGGCTGAAGATTGACGTTCACGTTGGTGGCGCGGATTCTACTGCGCACGAAGTAAAGGGTGAGTACCTGGTTGGAAGACCGCGTTTCTATACGATTAACATGGCGGGTCGCGGAACTCGCGGTTACGTCGCTGTCGACTGCGAGACCGGGAACTTCGTATGGCTGAAGGACGCGTGGCGAATGGATCATGCAGGTATCGAGAAGGAAGGCGACATTCTTCAGAGACTGAACGAACTGGAGATTGGGAACATTCCTACAATGCTTCAGCATGGCGACATCCTTCAACAGCATACACTTACACAGGATCATTGGCATGTTCCTACATCAAATCCAATGAAAACAAATGTGCTCAAACTGCACACTCATTATCGTCTTGTGGAGAAGGAAGTCTGTCGACCTATGCGAGATTTTAAGCATGGCCAAGAGCTTACCAGGCTTGTCTGGGATTGTATGTCGGGTAAGCCTTGCATCGTGATCATGGTTATGAGCGTGACGATCTAATGCTTTGTAGCCCACAGAGACGTGATGAAACTCGCGGGCATCATCCATCGCGATATCAGTAGCGGAAATCTATTGATCAACGAATACGAAATCGAGGCCTCTAACGGCGGAAAGAGGATTGCTAGAGATGGTATCCTGGCTGACTGGGAGTTGTCTAAAGCACTTCCCGACGGCTCAGAAGAGAGTGATGGTCCACGACAACCTTATCGTGCGGTGAGAATCTATGCAATTTTAATGCACTCAACTAGTGTTAACACGAGCTGTAGGGAACGTGGCAGTTTTTGTCAGTGCGTACACTGAACAATCCATTTCGCACGATCACGGTTGAAGACGAGCTCGAATCGTTCTTCCACGTGCTCCTCTACTTTGGCGTTCGTTACTTGCGGCACAACATTCTCGACGTCGATGTATTCATATCCAAGTATTTCGATGATGGTTACCCTATTGGCGATGATTGGGTCTGTGGAGACAGAAAGTGGGCGGCGATAAACAGTGGGATCATCAAGGATTGTGAACGAAAGCTCAAGTTCGAATTCAGCGAGAACAAGCACGACAGTAGAAGGCATCCACTCACTGGCATCATCGTGGAGCTCCTCAAGTCATTCAAGTCTTACTACGCTGTGGGGGATTCCGATACACATTCAGCTGACGTCCCTCTATCTGATGATGAAGCCGGACAGGAAAGTGACGATTCAGCATTCACAGGAACGCGAGCGCTCGAAGTTAACGTGGATCTCTCCTCCATGCGGACAAACCGCCAGAAGGAGATGCAATTGAAAGCCGAATTTGACAGAGAACAAGCAAAGCTTTTGAGATCCCACGAACCGACACTGGCCATCTTGGTGCTGGTTCTGAAGAACGAGATCTGGCCAGTTGATGACAAGATTGGTGACCAGTTGCACCCAGATTTCCAGACGATGAAAGCGCAAAAGGAGAAAGGTCACTTGAAACGCCCTGTGGATGCAGAGCAATCGGCCGCCGGTCCGAGCGGGAGTAAACGGTCGAGGATCCAATAGCTTCGCCGATTTTACTTGAGACCTGTGGTACACGTATCTATCTGGGTTTTTTCATATTGTCCATTAGGACGCACTTTTTAACTTGTTCTTGCTAGAATTTCCATAGGCGTGCTTCTGCTCTATGTATGGTAGAATTATTTAGAGGCTGTAGTTCATCTTCATATTTATGTCAGTGTTCACGCGCATCATCCCTATGTCACGGTGGGAGTGGACCCGCCACATAGTCTGCATTGGACACACTGAACAAAATCGATTAGCACGATGTCATCGTGGAGGTCTAGTGTTGCGTAAGAAACTCAGAGCGTGTTATTAACGTTAGGTTATTAACAGGCTAGGTCCCATAGGTATTTGACACACTGTTTTTAACGTTTAAAACATGTTGTCACGTGACATTTTTCGGCGCGCTGTAGGCGGCAGATTTCTCAGTATATATCTGGAGTATCTGGAGGCTGCGATTTAGAACGCCTGAATGCCATTCTACTTGGCGACCCCGTACGCTACCAGTGGAACTCCCAGTCTGCATCTGAAGAGCCATTCCCTCCGGGAAGACTATCCGAACCACCTTCGACTTTCTGCCTGTTCTCATGTGCCGGTACATTTGGCGTCGGAGGATCGCTGACGAGCATGTCACAAAGATCCGATTGCGACAGGTCAATGTCTTCCTCCAACACAAAGACATTTGCGCGGCATTTCTCAAGTGCAGATTCCCGAGGTTTGTCGAGCCACGGCTTGGACTCCCCATCATCCATATCACCATCCTCAGGAGTGACGGCTTTAGCAGTGGTAGTGGAGTGAGGATCATTTTTTACCTGCTTTTTGGTGTCGTCAAGCAATAGGCTATCAATATTGTAGAACTGAACACTCGGCCTGGGATTGGAGTTCGGGCGGACCTGGGAAATGAAATGATTATGGCTCCGTATACAAACCTTTTGTTCGGTACACACCCTCTTTGCAGATCGGTAATATTGACGGACTTGAGCTTCCGAGACCATCATCGCAAGTTGCATGCGATTTCGGAGTGCCGGATTCATCCAAGTAAAGACGGAAGCGGTGCGCTCATCCACCATTGAGAAAAGAGAGGACGGATATGGAAGGGATTGGCAGTAGAATTTCAACGCCTCCAGGAAGCCGAAGGGCCTCTGCTAAGGCTTCCTTGACATAGGCAGGGGATTTGTCAAAGTCCTTGTTGGTACCAATCCAAACCTTCTCAGAAAACATATGGGTAATGACAGTGGGCAGATGGAATACTCAAGTCCGACATTTTCAAGATTTGTTGAGGATCCTCGATCACCGGCACCCGTAACGAGGAGCAGAACTCGATCCAAAGCCCCCTGATGTGGTTAGAAATATGGCCTATAGGCCTGGAGCAGAGCAGAGCCTGTATTTCCATGGTACAGTTACAATTACTCAACTCAAACAAAAGGACATGAAATATGAAGGGGAAGAGCGGCTTTCAAGTTGTAACAGAGCGTCAGGTCTGACGGTAAATCGATGAGAGCTTGTGACAAATCCTGGTACACCCTAGGGACTGGCGTGGGCCTATTCGGGCCTATGGGACTTATTGACCTTTTTGACATAGCTATTTGGACCTCATGTTTTTAACATGTTTTTAACGTGTTAAAAACACGTTTAAAACATACATGTTTTAAACATGACAGTTTTACACGCAACACTATGGAGGTCGTCCGAGACACACTTAGACCTTAGGTCTCATGATAACATCGTAAAGCCGAAGGTGTCGATGACATCGCGGATCGCCGACGGCCGTATCCAAAGATACTTGCAGTGCCATCAAAAGGAGAGAGCAGCGTTCAATATACTGACAGACTTTGGGAAGAGCCTGATCGGCGGCTTGAGACAAGTCATTTGTGGATAGGCCGTCAGATACGGATATTCTGAGGCACGACACCTGTCCCTGGCATACTGATATATCAGACGTGGTCATAAGAAGTCGGGACTGATACATTGACAGTGATAGTTACTACAAGCTCTGATATATCATACAGTGGTTCCTATAAGTGTTAGGGCTGGTGGTTTCCCAATCAGGAAACATATATTAGTCAGCACATAGGTATGTCGGAGAACATACTGGAATCTCCTAGAATTACTGTGTAGTATAAATATATGGCCCCAACCGCATGAGCCCCTCATGCGCTTGTGACCCATGGCCTAACAGCCGAGTGAGTAGTAGTGATCAACCTCACAATAATAAGTCTCTTGTGTGCGGTGCTCCCCCTCTCCTGACGCCACTCCCGGCCCTTCCTTGTGGGTCTCCGGTGCCGCCAATCTCATCGCTATTTTGGTAGCTTTGTTAGATCCCCCAGATCTATTCCCGATCGAGCGGCAAAATCCCGCCTTCCTGTCGCGCCCTGTCGCGCCCGTGCCTTCCCCTCTGCTTGTAAATTTATTCATAGAATTCATTGTGTATTCTTTCGTGCTATAGGTTTCCTTTTAGGACTCACTTCAGTGTAGAAAGCAAAAACAAATATTTTTTCATACTGCTCTCGTAGGAGAATATCAATGTCCATAAATCAACGACAAGCTTGTAGAGTTACTGAACCAGTCACTAGCGAACCGACATGTGAACCATTGCGAAGTGGACCTGCATGATGATCACCTAATGTGCAGGAGTAGGAACGGAAGTCGAAAGACCTGCCGACGTGGAAGCAGAATCATTCATTGGAGGGGGTTCCTGAATCGTAGGCTCAACCGAATCAGCATCTACGCTGATGTCTCCTCCCGCCTGCAGCCAGGCAGGTACACAACGCCATACCGATCTGCAGTGTTTCCTCATGGACAGTCGGATGTCTGCCTGGTGGTAAGCATATGCGATGGCACCTTCCAGGTGTTCGTGTGATCGCGCGGGGATCGTGTCTATCAGCTTCAGCCACCACCGCGCAATCCAACCGTGAAATGAGATGACTCTGCACATCTCCTCTGGCAATTGGCGGCATTCCTCCATCCAGCGATAGGCTCGAGCATGGGCATTGCACCATTCAACGTGGAGCTCTAGCAGTTTTCGTGAGCATTCAAGAAGTGAGAAACGCGAAATAAATTAATATCCAACCTTCATGGATGGTGTTGTCCATCGCGCTGCTGCTCCCTACACCATGTCTCCGCCATATCCAAGACAATGTCTTCCAGCTCTGAGTTTCACCCAACATCCCATCCGTCATTCCGTGTACGTCTTCACCTTGCAGCGGTCCCAAGTCGTTGGGCATCAAAGGCTCGTGGAGTAAGGTAGCCAACGAGTTGATGGCAGAATAGGCACGGCAATAATGCGCTGCATCAGCGTTGATCTTGTCCTGCACACGTGCGATAACCATCTTCGCACGAGTGAGATACCGTTGCCCATGGACAAAGTGGTCTTTGAACTTGTACAAGTGAGCACGCACACGAAGATGTCGCCGGAGTTCGTCTAGCGCATCGTATGCTTGAGCAGTCCTCAAACGCAATTCATACCTCTGAACACGAGGGTCACAAAGGGTACCCGAGGGCAACTCCGATGGCAAATAGAGCACCATGTCTTGCGCGAGGACCTCCTTGACAGCTGTAGCAACAGCTCGCGCACGCAATGTGACGGTGCTAGGCATATACAGCTGCTGGATCTCCGCCAAAGCCTCTATCTTGTGATGAAGACCATTGCGCTGCTCGATGATCTTGGCCCGTTGGAGATCTGTGGAGTGTGCTCCGAGGCCTGCTGTGTCCTGTCCAAGGCGATACCTGGTGAGAGAACTATAAGAACATAATTGGAGATGTGACTGCTCGCACTTACTGCTGTTCCTGTAGCTCAATCCTGGCCAATATCATAACGCTCGGGGAAACCAACTCATGCAGCATGCCGCATTGCTCACCCTTCTCCAATTCTGCAGCCTCCTCGTTGGCTAGCTGCAGGTGCACAGCTGCTTGAGTTATGGCTGTATTGATGCGGAATATCAGCTGAACGTTCTGTAATACGAAGGCGAGCACATACTTGGACGAGTCGCGACAAATGGGTTGAGTTTCGATGGGTCCTTCTCCCATGTCTCTAGAGCAGCTCTCCACACATCTCGATCCTCCTGTGCCATGGCATTGTTGAGTTCTGCGAATGCAAAGACCTGATCATTGCGCTCTGGCAACGCAGCTTTCATCCTCCGAAGAAACAGAGTAGCTTCAACATCATTAGCCTACAGGTACAGAGTCCTCGTTGAGATTACTCATGCATTCCACATATTTTCCTCCAGTTATAGTCTGCAAACGCATCGTCGAGGAAATCGCGCTGCGAACCAGGGCCCATCTCCTTCATGCTTGAGGAGTACATATTTGAGTCTGACCACGGTCGCTCAACACCCTCACTGTCTGTCTCAGCAACATGCGGGGTCTTGTGGAATGAGTAACTGTCTTGACATGACTGTTGATGGGCGTGGATATGGAACTTCAGCACAAGGAAGATGAACTTGTGATCCTCCATCTGGAATGGACATGATTTGTATATAAGGTGTCGTTTCCGCAAGTTTTTGGACCATTGACATGCGATATGGTAGGAGACGATGACATCGTGCGGAGCATCGATGCCTAGAGTCGAAAAGAACATGTAATCCATATTTACATGACTATCCCACACTGATCAGTACGAGAGCATGAACAATCATAAACGTAAGCTTACCGCTCTCCTTTTTGGAGGTCACCGACACTGCATGGCAGTCTCATGTTATGGCGTGTGCATGTAACTGCACCAACACCACTTGCTACTGTACCGGCGACCGAGCCTTTCATATTGGCCAACTTGACTGCGTCATGGTTGTTGCAAGTGCTTGGCTCTTCTGTCACGAGAGAATCGTATGTGGTCAGATAATCCTTGTAGGTCTTTTCCTCCACGAAGTACGCGTAACCATGATTGAGCCCAGGGTCGATGGTGTCTGAAGACACCTTCTTACATTTGAGGTGAAAGTTCGCGTCAAGCCCGATGAAAAGCCGGTATAGCCACCTATTGCTGTGCATTATTTCTTGGTGCAATTCGATCGAAATCTATATACCAAGCTCACCTTTGATCTTCTGGAGCTTCCTCCCAGTCAGGAGGCAAATTCTTTCCAGGGTGCAGACAGGCTGGGCAAAGAACTGCGCATGCTCCAGGTTTGGTTGCACGTACACCTCCAGGATCGTGGCCCTGACCTGCTCGCTTCAGCATCTTGAGATGCCTCCACATGCGCATGATATGCATGAAGGCGGGATATCGATCCTATACTTCGTCAGTGACACATAAAGTTGGAGCTTGACAGTCATCACGTACCTTGGGGGTCTGCACACCGGTATTATCAGTCAGCGGGCAAGGCTCTGATAAAACTCGTAGCCAGATGTCTTCGACTGCGTGGTTAGGAGGTGGGCATATCGACAGAGTTCAAAAGTCGCCGCAGTCTTGGGGTTTGTTGAGGTGGCAGGGAATAGTCATGCGCGGAGAAGTTGTATGGTATGGACCTCAGCCATCTCACAACCGCAAAAATCCAGTCCCACTGCATGTATACCAGTAACATTGAGAATTAAGAAATCATCACCGGTGGCTTGCACAGGCAGACGGCATGGCTGTCCAGCATGGTGGCCCAGTTGGATTCGTAACCCAAGGTCCTTTAACGAGACAGGCTGGAAGTGAGAGCCACACCATCTCTGCAACAGAATCACATATAAGATCACCATGTCAGAAGATGATAATACTGTACTAACCTGCATACGATGGAAAGGATTGACTTGATGGAAGTTTACAGCACATGTGCGGCAATAAATGGCGATTTCGAAGCAATCTTGGCAGCGAATCATGGCTGGTCCTTCCTCGCAAAACTTGCAGCGCCCAGAATCGAAGCCACAATGCCCCTCGAGACGCAACATCTCGGTGAGGTAGTTGTCGATCTCCGGAACCCATTCCCGGAGAGGATGATCCTGTGCACTACTAAGCAACAATTACTTCCAAAATTTTGGAGAAGACTTACCCCTGCACTGCATCAACGGGGTGTTTGTCCAGACAACTTTTCCATGTCCTCCAGATACTTTGCGTCCAGGTCAAAAAGATCAATGTCCTCATTCACAACCTCAGAACTCGCAGGACCGCAGAGCTCTGACAAATCAAATGATGGCGCACTTTGTCCGCCTGCATTCGTGGTGGGAGTACTGTAGAACGACGTCTGAGCGGTGACTTTGTTGCCTCCAGATACATATTCCGTGTGCCACACAATGTCGCGCTGAGGTGGACCCAGGTAGTGAGTGTAACTCTTTGTGCCATCAGCACTGACATCTAAGACAGTGTACTGCTCAAAGTTGGCGGTGCGTTTCTTCCTGGCCATAATGGAGACCGCTGCAGAGCAGATGGACTTCAGTCGTGCCCATAGTTTCATTTTGTCAGTGAGCATTCAGGCAGGTAAATGAGTGCGGGTGGGAGGAAGGCACAGGAAAAAAAATCACACCATCGTGAACACCATGCAGCTGACACGAAAAAAGTCGAACATAGCATGCATTGTCAGGGGTGACTGCAAACTGAATGGGAATTTTCCTAAAGATGAAATGCTAAGTACCGACTGAACATCTTGATATATCATACACTGGTGGTGAATTGCACTTGTTCGCTTGCATCCGATTCTTGATGCTGCCCTGAGAAAGTACTAATTTGGAATTCAATGTCAGCCATTATAATGCGGAATTTTGGCATACTCCCTGCATACCTGCAACAACGCTGCACATAGCTCGCAAGAGCGATCTACAACATTCAAACGACAGTGAATATCACCTATCAAATTGAACGAAGCTGTCAGATATGTCCAATAAGCTTTGTCGATGCGCAGACTGTGTGACCTGCACCGCTCGGAAGCTTAGTGATCTACAATGTTCGAACCATGGCAAATATCACCTATCAAATCGAATGAAGCTGTTAGATATGTCAAATAAGCTTCGTCAATGCATAGATTGTGCGACCCGCACGGCTCATCACTCGCATATCATATAGCAGATGCATCCTTTCAGAGACAATTTCACATTACAAAAATTATTGGGACGACGATTACATTCAACTAGGTGACGTAACATCAAGCATTTCACACTACAAAAATTATTGGGACAACGATTACATTCGACTAGGCGACGTAACATCAAGCAAACCGCCTCCAGTGCACTCTACAGCGGAAGTCAGTGAAAACACTGACCACCGACCTGCGCCAACACCCACAGCACATCCACCAATTGCTCCAACCATCCGGCAGGCCTTCAAACACTGCACTAGCAAGCACGTCTCCTCGTCATTCACAAAAAAATGCCAAACTCTACGCCCACTCATGCACCGCAACACCGAAAGTACATCGCACTGACGCCGCCATCATCCCGATACAGTGACCAACAGTCACAATGATACTAACTACATCAGAACGGTGACGCATCATCCCATAGACTAACCTCACCACACGCCAGAATCATGACCTTCAGAGCCGAACAAAATGTCGGCATGAGTCTGCCATGCCAACTATGATCAACATACTCGAGGTAACCTGCAAAGCGACAACATACCTTCGACTCGAGCAGCAGCGATGCAACACTGCACGACTGACCCCTACACCACACGACCGACCCTACACTGTGATCAACATACCCGAGACAACCTGCAAAGCGACGACATACCTTCGACTTGAGCCACAGTGATGCAACACCACACGACCAACCCTACACCACCATAGGGAGGGGCACCCACAGGCACAGGTATGAAGATGATGTACCTTACTAACTGAGTCACTAAAATTTTCCATCAGGCGTCATCCGGCGATGAAGAAGAAAGAACACTCACCCAGACAACAACAAGGAAAGATAGACAGACACCAGCAGAGCCAAACAAAATATCAGCACAAGACTACCATGCCAACTATGATCAACATACCAAAGACAACCTGCAGAGTGACAACATACCTTCGACTCGAGCGGCAGCGACGCAACACCACACGACTGACCATGCACCACCATAGGGAGGGGCACCCATAAGTGCAGATAAAGACGACGTACCTCACCAATGGAGTCACTAAAAATTTTGATCAGGCGTCATCCGGCGACAAAGGAAAGAGAAAAAAACACTCACCGAGACAATGACAAGGAAAGATAGACATAACACAAAGCATAAATGACGAGTTTCCACAACACTTCCCCATGCCAGGTATCCCCACCTTTCACCATGAGAGGGCAGTCACAATATACCTCCGAAGGGGGGAAGGTGCCTGAGCATCCCTCATTACGGCCATGAGGCAGGCCCCCAATGGAGTGTCAGTCTACTACATCACGGCTACAAGCAGCCTGGCAAGTGGGTACTGAGCAGCGCTGAACACCGATCAAAGTGGTCATAAAGAGAGAGCATGTTCAAGGAAGGACGGGTTCATATAGTACCTCAGGGAAGGTTTAAACTCCGCTGAGTGGTGTGACGAGTCTCTCACGTGCATCAGCCAAGAACCAATGAGCGAACGAATAAGCGTCCTACTGAAATTTCGGCCAAGTGGCTCGGTTCGACGGTTTGCACTCGAGCACGATAGAAATACAACATCAACATTTTAGTATAGGACATACGAGAACCCTTGCGAACATCTGAATATTTTTTTGGATGATGAAAGCCGTGTGTGAGGGTGTTCGAGCACATTTACATACAGCCACTCGCAACGCCGAAGTGCGATTCACTCTGGCAGATGCTCGCGCCTCTGGCTCCTTGTCCCTCAAGATTAACACAGTGCTCTGGACTGTAAGTTTGTTGCCCCCCTGCTACAATATATTCCCCGTCTACTCTAACACATGTTTAGATGTTGGAATGGTAATTCTACATTGCGGTGAGCCTCGTCGTACACAGATAGACCCCCCAATCTGACATCTAGCTCCTTAGTGAGGCAGCAGATGATCTTGGCGCCCCATTCCAAGTACAAGTCTCCTATCGTGTCACCTCGCGCAGCTTCAAAACTACACTGCCATGCTGCCATGCGGGCGCTGACCTCCTCTCGTGCCAGACCTGCTTTAGCATCCCATCCACTGTCCTCTTGCCAAGTCTCGTAATAGCGCTCCTGTCCCTGTGTAACCAACTGGTTCCACTGGAACCCGTGGATTTGGATGACCATCCACTGCAAGACTTTAGAGGACCATGTGTGGTTGGGGGGTTAAAAGGCGTAAGGGTGAGTCCATAGTCCGAGGTCAGGAGTTTGAGCGATGACAGGTCGGAATTTCAGCAGAAAGTCTCACTGTGCATACTCCATGAAGAGCGGTGGTGTGTTCAGGAGTGATTCGGTGAATGGCATTGTATAGTGTCCCTGGCGCACAATGTACCGTTTTTGGTTTTGTCAGCTTCGTGTAATGCGACCTCTGTTCTGATCACGGTGAGCATTCTGCGTGATATTATAATATTCATTGCCTACCTCGCTGTGTGATTATAATTGTGCTTTTGATTCTGAACGGCGCACTTTTTGGTGTCATGCGTGAAATACTTAGCCCGACGCCCCATCGTAATGGTTAAGTGCACAAAAACGACTGACAGCTTTTGTGTTATAAGTTTTCTTCAATGCTCACATGGTTATTCTGGGAACAAGGCATGCATTTTGACAACATCACGTATAAGTATCGCATTTGTCCATGAGCGAGCATGAGAGGGGGGGGTGTAGGAAGAAAGACATTGGCGAGAACGTAAATACTGTGTTAGTACTATGCAAAAGTAAGCAGATAGGTGCACATTGGCGCGACCAAGAAATCAGAACGACGCGGCACACATACGAGAGCACAGAAACAATGACAACGAAGACAGGCCTGCCATGCAAACATCCTTGGCATCCATCACAACACTTGCACCGTGCCCTGTGTATGGGCAACATTGAATGCACTGAGTGCAGAGAAGTATGACGGATACTTTTTGCAGAAGGCACCGGGAATGCCATGTATGTACGCAGCTACAATGCTCCTGAAGAGTCGATAAGTCACCGCTGAATGGCAATGTTACATTTGTACATACCAGTCATTGAAGACACCCACAACGCGTTCATGCATCATGCAGTAAAATGGAGCGTGGTCGTTAGGCTGAGCAGGACATGGGAGCTCAATGCCCGGTGCTGCGGCAAAGCCGGGGGGGATCTCAAAACCTCCTGGACCTGCAGGAGGGACTGCAGCGATGGCAGCAATAGCAGGAGCACCAGCGGCAGGGCCAGCAGAGGCCTGCGCAATAGGCCCGGGACCTGTGACAACTGGACCAACAATGGCCAGTGCAGCCGAAGCAGCAGCAGTGACGGGAGCAGGGATGATGGCGGGGGCAGCAGCGACGATGATGGGGGCAGCAGCGATGACGACGAGGGCAGCAGCGACGACGACGGGGGCAGCAGCGATGGCAGGGGCAGCGGGGTCATCGACAAGAGCAGCGCCAGCACCAGGACTCAAATCCTGTTGCTTGAAGTCCATTTCACCCACGAACTTGCCATTATCACCAACTGGCTCATCCAGACACATGTCTCCGATGCACATTCCAAGGTCATCGAGCACTTCTGGGTCTCCTGTCAGCGGCAGGTCAGTAATGCTGTGGAAGTTGTCGATACTGTGACTCACCAGGCCTCGGATAATTGCACTGGCAGAAGTCCTCTGGAAGGCAGTCAGCGCAATTCAGTGTGCAATGCTCGAAGTACGTACCATTTTCGACTGCAGTAACCCAGGCCAGGGTATATTCCAGCGCAAGCCGGATGGATGCCCAATCGTGCCCGGGAGTCTGGGCAGAAAAGCCCTGGGCTACCGGAAGCAATTGCAGTGGAACGAACATTTCACTTACGAGAGAGAGAGAGAGAGAGAGAGGTGAGTGGAGGACTGCCGAAACTGATAAATCCAGGCTGCTATATAAGTTACTGCTCGAGTGGCTCTGAGTTGTGCATATCCGAGCCCAATCAAGGCATTGTACTCAACACCTCCATCAGGACTGCCAGTGAGTATGTATCCGAGCCCAATAGAGGCATCACATTTGATATCTCCGTCATGGCACCACATGAGGCCCGGGTATGTCAATTAAACTTCATTTTTGACTGCCTTGTACACTCACCCATCAAACACATCCATGTCAGTGTCAATTAACCTCACAGGGTTCAGCCTCACCTCGCACACGAGCATCAAGTGCATGTCCCAGTACGTCGCTCTTTGACTTCTCAGCCTTCTCTCTATGCTGATCACAGCTCTTCGTGATGGCTCTGCTGCCTTGGGCCAACGATACAGAATTAGACTGGCTGAACGAGCAGCTTTCACGATTTCTTGACCACCAGAAGCGCAAGAAGCTGCAAAGCTTCTTCCAAGTCTTGTACACAGACTGGAGCACACAGTTCCCAGAGCGTATCCGCCTATTTCCAGATATCGACCCAACGGCTCAGCTGACCACAGAGCAGGACCATGCACTGACAGATGCTATTGCTCGCCGACAGAAGGTAAGTTGCACTTATACTCAGTTCAAACAATTCTCACATGGATATTAGCAACTCTACAATTGGTACAATAACCACAAGCCCAAGGGACGCTCAGCAGACAAGACCGCAACCACCATCCTCAAGAATTTCATCTCGAAGGATGCCGTTCAGTCCAAGCGCCTTCCGCAGGAGGTGGAGGCATACTCCTGCAAGTATTACGTAGAGAAGGTGCAAGCTTCTGTCAAGGCGAAGATCAAGGAAAAGAAGATCAAGAAAGGCGAGTTGTTGCATGTCGTCAGGCGTCAAACGCAGGCAGCATACAACAAGGAGACGCCAGAAGTCAAGGCAGAGATTCTGGCGGCCGTGGAGCAAGAGAAGGCAGCGCACGAGGCCGACGCTCTGCAGATTGAGGATGCACATGCTCAGGGAGAATGCTCTCCAGTGGAATACCAAAAGTAAGTCGTACATTCGGGCTTCTCCATACCACCTGCCTCATGCAAGTTTGCAGAATGCTGGATTGCATGCCATCTGCAATAGAGCAGTTTTTCGGTGCCTTGGCTCGAAAGACCGGGTGGAAATTTTCTGTTTTCAGAGGAGGACCTAGCCCAGTAGATGGCGGGAACCTCAGATCAATGGTGTATGTAAATTTGCTCCTTGTGCTTGCACAGTCATGCTAATGATAGCATCAGATATCACGTCGGGGACAGTCCCAATACCATCAAATTTTGCGATACCATGCACAACTTCGAAGCACACTACATGGAATCATTTGGGCATTTCCTGACATCAGTGTATTGCGAGTAAATATGCTTTTCCCTCATCTTCAATGTTCACTTATTCGGGTTTCAGCCCTTGAGGTCCGTCGTAGGCAGGCACTTGTTATGTCACCCCAGGCAGTTCAACGCCGACCGAAGATGTGACGGTGCTTGACCTCGATGCCCTTCGCTATAGGATGGAGGGTGAACCAAGCACTGAGGAACCTCAAGCCGGGCCATCCTCAAGCACATCGTCCAGGCCCTCACCCTCCGATGACGAAGGAGAGCACGATCTGCTCTCCGACGTCAGTCCTAGGGGACCAGTGCAGCTTCCACCATCGCCAATGCCATCGGATGACAGCAGTGCTCTCACGAGTGTCCACTACACTGCTGCCCGTGATTCGGATTCTGGAACCTCCGGACGATCAAACCCTGCTCCCGCCATCCCCGACCCTTCACCTTCTCATGTCTGTTCACCTGTCTCTGTGAATGCCACTGTGACATGGGAACTGGCCCCTGCTCTGTGGCAGTTCGACGTTCTGCTGGCTCCATTCCAGTTTGACCTAGATCTTCAGCCGCTGTCCCTTAACGACACATTGCTGCGCATGCAATGGGATGATGCAAACAAATTGACAGGTGCATTCAACTTGACATTTTCCGCACATGCAGCGGTGCCATTTTCACTAGACAGCAGCTCTGAGACGTCACTGGGAGTTCCTCTTCGTGCATCATCATCCAACATGCACACCAGCTCTCCGTCTCCATCCGTGTCTGTTCTATCTGCGCGGTCTCCATCTGCGCTCTCTCCATCGGCGCTCTCTCCACATGTGCCCTCACCACCCACACCCTCTCCATCTGTGCCCTCATTGCCTGCCCCCTCTCATTCCATGCCCTCTCCATTAATCCCATCTCGTTCTGCACCTTCACTTACACTCACCCCATCTGGACCCTCCATGCCCATATCCTCTGTGTGTGCACCTTCCACCTCCATGCCATCTCTGCCTAGATCTTCAGCCTCCGGTGTCCCTGCTCCATCGGTCCTGGTTTGCCCAGAGCCAGTGGATGTGTCCTTGTCTGCACTTACAAGTGTGAGTTCTTCAACCTGTGGATGCTGCCGAGTGCCTCAAAAGCAACATGTTCATGAGATTCCTGTGGCGATGGAGGCTTCGCCTGCAGCTTCTGAGGGTCCATCAGCTACAAGATCAAGTCACCCAGCCCGGACACGTGTTGCACCGAAACAGGCCGATGTCTATTGGTCACGTAGTGGGAAGCAGCAACCGATTGTCGCCACGGGACAGGACACTGAGGTACCAGCTCGCGGAGGGAAGAGGTCTGCAGGTAGGCAATGCAGGTAGGTCTAAGCGACATTTGTAACATTTACAAAGCTGACCTGTGCACATCTCTTAGTGGGCCTCCGAGGAAAAAAAGAAAATAGGTGAATTGTGAGTGGACAGATAGATCGATGGGGAGGAGGTGGTCCGCGTTATTTCACTAGAACATTTTTGTTTTTTTCTTCTGCATCTGTCATTGCCATTTTTGGTTTGCGTACCGTTGGTAGTTAGCCATTAGTGCTTAAAAGTACAACTTTGTTGGGTTCATGGTGTTCTGAACAAGCAATAAAATTCATTCTAATAGCTGATTAGCTGAGATCTGCGTGACTTCAAACTTCATTGGGAAAAGGTGGCTTTGGCGAGTTGAACAGTCTGACTTAGCAAAATTTCGCAGACCCTGATATATCAGACTGTGACAATTACAACAAGAATGCGGTACCTACGCACTGTCTGATATGTCAAACCACGATAGCTGTCATATACATAAGATAGTAATCAATTCAACAACATTGTAGTGTACAACACAGAATACCCGATGCGGCAAACCCCAAACTGAACATTGGTGATACCTACAGTACTCGGGCGAAAAAGAACACTGAAAAGAATAAACGGGAGAACCAACTGCACACACCAGGACAAGTTCTTGAAGGTACTTACAGTACACCAAAGTTAAGGGCACAGCCACGCGAAGGAGTAAGCAGAAGGGAGTGGCAGGATAAGTAAGCAGAACAGAAGGGAGCGGCGGGATATGACGCACGATCAGAGGATGCGGTCTATTATGGAAAGAGGCGGGATGCGCCCCCGAGAATATCTACAATCTCCGATCTGCTAGATCAGATCAGGGGGAAAGAAGCGCTGAAACCGTAGGGCCCGGAGAGCCGGAGAGCCGGGCAGTCCAAGTATTCCCAATAGGGAAGGACCATTTGATTTGTCATACATGCCGGTCTGATGTATCAACACTGGTAAGCTGTAGCTACTACTGCTGATGTATCGAACCTGAGTTGAGCTTTCCGTGGTTTGATATATCAATATGACACATAGGCCTGAATCTGCAAGTTCGAGGGTTGTTATTTAAGCATTTGAGTTGATGGAGGAGGTCGGGAAGGTGCTCATGGAAGGATAACTTACGGGTGGGTGTAATCCGCTGGAGTAGCGCAGAGCCACCACTCAGCTCGACGCGAGGTAGACCGTTCGTGGATAGGCTGACAACATGCACACACCGCATGCCAAATGTTTTATACTTGCTTACATTGAGAAGTCAAGAAGAATGAATGTTCTGAGCTAGTGAGTGAACGTTGGCGAACGTTGGCCACATTTACGATTACAGACGAATACTGAGGAAAACAACCGTTCGAGCGAGAAAGCGAGACATCGATGGAGAAGCGGTGCCAGCGTGAAGAAGATGCGTGGGTGAAAATGCCAAAAGATGCAGAGTTCGATGAACGCGCGTATTACGATACCAACGCACCTACATCGCTAAGCTCAAATAGGCGCCGCTCATTAGCTATATTACAGGATCCATGGCATCGTTGATGTACTCTGTGACAGTCGTCGTGGTGTTGTGTACCCAACGGAATTTCGTGGTCAAGCAGAATGCATGTCAGGAGTGCGCCAGGACATGGAGGTTCGGATCACTCCCTCTGCGTGAAATAGCTGAGTATCCAATGAGTTAAAAACAAGTTACATACCGAGCCAAAAATTACACAAGCGTTGCATCTGACAATGCGCAAAGTGGCCGAGATGGGTTCATTGATCAGACGAGCTTCGGAGTCATGCACTGGCACACGAATACTTATCAGCGATGATTCCAAGATGGACTTGAGCAACAGAGACTTCGTCGTGCGAGAGAGCTTACAAAAAATACGAGGATACGATGACTGAAAACATAGACATTAACCCGGACTCCGAGCTACAGTTGCGGACAATCAAACACGGTAACTATTTTAGTCCAATTATGCAGAGTCCGGAGAGTGCCGGAAACTTTCGGAAACTGCACAAATGTGATGCTTATGACTCAGAGACTCGATTTGCACGAGCCGATTTCACTAATTCTTATTATTTCCTGTTTTGGACCCAAAATTTTGGCCAACCCCGTAATTAATTAGATAAAAATACGAAAAAATATGCAATCGACTCCTTTCGATGAGTAGGGGATGATGCCACAAACAGATGAAAAATATACATGCAAAAATATGGCCATAGAAAATGCACAAAGTGCACCTAGAATATGGAATTTGTCATTTAAAGTTAGTCTCAAACACTCTTAGATAGCATTCTGACCATTGCCAATCTAGCTATGACGAGCGGCTTCATGCCGGAGGCAGTTTCAGCTGAAATCTGCGCGAACATGTGAGAACGCCTCAAACATGTGGCGTGAGAACAAATGTGTAAGTAGCGGTAGGATCCCTTACGGAAGCTGGTTGGGTGAATTTCGGGTGGATTCGCAACGTTTGAATGAATCAGAGGTTGCGGGTGACTAGCAGGTGGCCAATAGTGCTTAGTACGATCGCAAAGTGGCCTATAAGTGTCGAAAAAATCGCCCAAAAATTTGGCCATCCAAAAACCTCGTGGGAAAAACTATCTGAGTGCATTTTTGGGGGTTTTAGACCTCCCTGAGTCTGAATCTGAAGTCCATTTGTCTCAGAAAAATCTGGTTCAGGCGCTATCAAATTTACCGCGTTTGATTGTCCGCAACTGTACCAGTGGAAGGTCACGAGTCACACTGTGACCTTAGTGTGACGGTACGTGCTCGCGTCCCGATAGTTCAACTTGTGAACAGCCACCACCGTAAATCCTGGCCTCCGTAGGTATGTGCCACGGCGACAAGGGAAGAAGCCTTCATATGACAGGGAAAGCTCGTGTTTTCCTCACAGAGCAATAGTTTTGCCATATCCGCTAGAAAGCGGCCAGTTGTACCATTATCCCCGCCGACGCCACTCGGCGAAGGCTTCGAAAGGTGCGTTTCGATCAATGGAGTGCGTGACCAATGCATGAGAACATAGCCGAACAAAGGACCGACCCAACCTGGCAACTTGGCCTTGTGTGTGGTCATACGTTAGCCTTGAAGGTATGTAAACACAACCGAGTTTACCAGGTAAGCATGCCCGACATGTCTCGCCCTTCCGACGAAATTGACACCTCTCCCCACCACCACAATAAATTCAACAGATACTCAACTACTACCAAACTAGACGCCAAGTTGACTAGGCAGCAGCTTCGTGAAGCCATGCACATGAAGTTTGTGAAGATATCGGTCAACGAATTCATGCAGAAATTCGTCCCGGCAGCCCCGTCACCAGCGCCTCGGAAGAGTTTTTCTCGAATACCTGGGGAGGGTGCCCTTGAAAAGAATATGCAGGCGGCCTTCGTATGTTATCTTCCTCCTGCTCAGACACGCTGCTTGAGCTGACCTGCAATATACTAGGCAAAGAACGTGAATGATAAAGGCATGTGCCCTGGATACCAGGTGGCCGAATCAGACAGCAGATACGACGAGAACGATTCTACCAAGCAGAAGCCCGACGTGGCTCTCTATCGCGAGAGTGAACTTCCAGTGGACAACCGGCCGAACTGGAATATCCAGCGGCTACATTTCGAGTTCAAGGGACGCTGTGACCAGGATGACCCTTTTGATGACAAGTCGGAGGACTTCGAATCAGTCGGAGACAAGCGTGAGGAACATCGAGGCCAATTCATACAGTATGCGGAGAAGCTTTTTGAACGTCAGCAGCGCTGCTTCTGTTTCACTGTTATGATGCTTGGCCGCCAGGCGCGTCTGTGTCGATGGGACAGGTCTGGGGCCGTCGTTACAGAGAAGTTTGACTATGTCAAGCAATCTTACCTGCGGGACTTTTTGTGGCGGTTCGCACATCTATCTGATGTGGATCAAGGCTACGATCCAACGGCGATACCAATTCCAAAGGATTCTGCTGAAGCCGATCTCATGCGCAAGGCAGCGTCGCCCACAGACGAGAACTGTGCTCATATCCGGGAGTATTTCAGGAACTCGCTGGACGAGTCCTGGACGTGGTGGAGGCTGAAGGTTGATGTTCATGTGTCGGCAGCAGATTCTACCGCACACGAAGTGAAGGGTGAGTATCTCGTTGGGAAGCCCCACTTCCTTTCACATGGTATGGCGGGGCGGGGGACGCGCGGTTATGTTGCCATCGACTGCTACACCAAGAACTTCGTTTGGCTGAAGGACGCATGGCGAGTAGATCATGCAGGCATCGAAAAGGAGGGTGACATCCTTTGGAGACTCAACGACCTCAAAATCGAGAACGTTCCCACCGTGCTTCAACATGGTGACATCCTTCGGCAGCGCACACTCTCGCAGGACTATTGGAAAGCCCCACAGTCCAACCCAGCGATGATGAAGCCACTGAAGTCTCACACTCACTACCGTCTTGTGGAGAAGGAAGTCTGCCGCCCTATGAGTGATTTCGACTCAGGCGAGGACCTTGTGCATCTTGTCTGGGATTGTGTGCAAGGTGCGTCTTTCATACTTTCAGCTGCCAGAGCCTCATGTTGTCTTCGGTAGTGCACAAAGACGCGATGTTGTCTGCCGATCTCATACATCGAGATATCAGCAGTGGAAATTTACTCATTAACGAACACGAGATCGAAGAAAATGGCACAAAGTGTGTTGTACGAGATGGTATCCTCAGTGATTGGGAGCTTTCAAAGCCTCTTCCTGGTAAGGGTTCGGTTGATGGACCGCGACAGCCTGACCGTACAGTGAGTATCTGAAGCTCTAAATACACAGCTGGTACTGACGAGACGGAGAAGGGAACTTGGCAGTTTCTGTCGGTGCACGCGCTGAACAACCCATATCGGACCATCACTATTCAAGATGAGCTCGAATCCTTCTTCCATGTCCTCCTATATTTCGGCATTCGCTATCTCCGCCACAACTTCGCCAGGGTCGGTGAATTTATATATTCATATTTCGACGACGGTATACCCACTGGCGATGAATGGATCTGCGGAAGCGAGAAGAAAGCTGTGATTAAAGGTGGGGTCATCGCTCAGGGAGAAGATGATCTCAAGTTTGGATTTAGCGACGACAAGGGCGACCCTGGAAGACATCCGCTCACCGACATTATAATGGATGTCCTCTCGTGGTTCAATTCATACTATCATTTAACATCCACGTTTTATCCCAACGTCGGTGGTTCTCGAGCAGGCGCTGGTATAATGCAGGCGTCTCCGCGTACCACGAAAGTTAGCAAGTCTCGGAGATGTGCTCGGAGGGATGCGCGCAGAGTCAACAAGGAAGTAACTCGCAAAGGTCGGGACCCCGAGGAGGATAAAAGATTGGCGAAATATCTAGAGTCACACGACGAGATGTGCCTCATTTTGTCGGACGCCTTAGACAATGAGTCCTAGCCGACCGATGACAAGGCTGGCGACTTGTTACCCCCTGACTACCAGATTAAAAAATTGAAGGAAGGGAAGGGCAAGTTAAAGCGCACTACAGAGACCATCGCAGAGTTGGAACTTCCTGTTCTCGGTCGCAGCAAACGGCAGAAACGCGGGTAGCCAACCGTATTTGCTTGTGGCCCCTTCCAACCCATGGTATGGCTACGTTTCTTGTTTTTGTTTCCGCTTTCAATGCTCGTCGGAACTTCTTGTCAACAAGTTTCTGCACTACATCTGGTACATGCTGTTGCTGTTCCCGGTATTTATATTTGCGTCCATTGTATCTTAGGCCCACTGATGTTGGTACATGTATCCTATTCTCCACCTGAATGACAGCGATGCCTCGCCGTACGACCCAAACGTGCTCGCGTTGGCAGCGACAATGAAGTTCCATAAGCGCTATCGCTCAAAGAGGTTCGTCTTGCAGTACAACATGGACGACTCATGGACAACTCTCATGTCTGTTGCGCACAGTACTACTGTGGGTCAATAATTAAGACTACCAGTGTGTTCTGCTCAAATGAATATTTCAAACGGAAACGCCTACGCGGGTATACCATACACTCTTATCACGTCTTATATTCGACAATTACTTACCCTTTGGTAGTCCCACCGTTATTTCAGCCGTAAGATAACTGATTTTGTGAAACTAGGCACAAATGGCTCCTGAAGGTGTCCGTTAGCGACTTCGTCAACAAAGTCGTCTCGGAAGTGAAGTTCGACGAAGCTTTCACTAGCATACCTACAATCGTTCGTGCGGCAAAGTCAGCGGTGCGAACTTGCGTGCCTATGCGGGCTCGAGACGTCGATAAGTGGGGGCTAAGGGTTAGCAGGCACTGCGCGAAGAGGGTGGAGGTGGCACGGACGTTGGTCGTGCCCTTGACAAGTCGGCAGACCAGCTTGCAGGTTGTTTGCCTGGAAATTCTAGCATAGCTAGACTATTCGCATTATCGTAGAAGGACAATTATAATACGTGAACTCACTTTCTACATACACTTAAACAAAGAGGAGAGAATACCGTATTGTCGCGTCCAATTGGTTTGTGTGCGATGCGGCCCGCCTGAGTCGACGTCACAACCACGCTCAGCCAGTTGATATGTTCCTGAAGGCGGGCTCGACGTAGTACCAAAAATTACGCAGTCACCGTGAGCGTCGTGTACTCCCGCACGAAGTCCCCGAACACCGAGTCCGTCGACTTCAGCACTGCGCCGCGCTAGGCGTCAGCACGCACGGCGAACGGAAAAGGTGGAGAGGGCACCGAGGAGCCCGGTGAGCCTATGTTAGGATCATTATCTGGGAGCCTAAGTCCCCCGTGGGAACTTTGAGCTACGTGCCGGAACGACGGCATCCTCTTCGGCACTGAACTACAATTCCCAAAACGCGAATGCATATGTTCACGTCGCGCGACCACCGTCCAGGAGCTCGTCTCCTCCTCCACGCGCTGGATTGGTTCCGCCCCGTTGCAAGCTTGTCGGTCTGCATCTGGCGTACTTCAACGGTGGATGATAATTAATTGAGGCGGGTCATGATCGTGAAGGGTGTCTGGAGTCGTTAACTCCTGGGTACACAAACTTGTTGAAGCAGACTTCATCTTGGAGAACAGCGTGGAGTACAGCCGCGACGGAGTCTGCTAGTGCGCGCCCGATGTGATACAGCCATGGTGATCCTTACTCTTGTGTTCTGGTACGAAAATCCCGCCGTGCTGATTGCTCAGTATTCAGTGCTCAGTGCTCAAGATGGCAGCGCCCCATTCAACAGCAGGTGTTTCTCCCTGAAAGTCGAATGCACGGTCAACGTCGTCGACGGATTACCGTAATTCACCCCTTTTACCTTCCCTGCACCGCGCCCGACTCTCAGTTTCCTGCAGGACGAACGCCGGGTCCAGCAAAACACCCGTCCAATGGTCGAAGTCCTCGGTCTACCGACCAGCCCTTCACTACGACGACGCGCCTGACAATACCTATCTCTCTGTAGCCTCTTATTCTAGGCGATCGCCCAGGATCGTGTGATTGTCAAATATCTCTATCTTCCAGCGTGCCCCTCGGGCTGACACGCTCCAACTATAATACGGAAAAATAGAGCTTTGGAGTCGCTGGCCCCTATGTACATGTGAAGTGAGTCCTCATTGGTATGCCCCCTCCCCTCAGGCCTGACTCCAATTGCTCTCAAAAAAATCTGTACTTTGGAGGATCGTGCTGAGTATCGCCTCAACGGAATCTGCCACCGCGCCGCTGGCGATCCTCACTCCTCTCCTGCTGCAATACGTGATTCCCGCTGTGCCAATTGAACTGTGCTCAAGCTGTACCCAGATCCAATATCGCGGCATTCCTCTCTGAATGTCAAATGCACGCCCGTTGTCGAAGGACTGTTATAACCAAAGTTGGCGCAGGCATGCTGCACCCCATATATTCAGCGCTCACTAAAGTGACGAACGCCGCCGTGTCCAGCGAAGCAACCTCACAACAGCCGAAGTCCTTCAGCTACAAACCAGCCCTTCACTCCGACAACGCGCCTGTCGATACCTATCACTCTCTAGCCTCATCCTGGATCCTGTCAACGTCACTTTCTTCCAGCCTCTCCACAGCGTGTAATGGAAGGCGCCTACCTACGGACCCCTACTCTTGTACGTATTTATGCAGCCTGGACAAGGCGTGTGGACTGTCCGCGGTGCCAACGCTCCACTCCGCTTTCCTTTCCGTTATTGCCTTGCGGGTGTGGCTTTGCCCGAGCATTGCGGCGCCCCGCGTCGGACACTCAGAATCGACAGTGAGGGGGCGCACGTCCGATGGCAAGGCTGTCCGGGCATTATTGCGCCCTGCGTCGGACCACTCAGAATCGACGGCGAGTGCGCGCACGCCCGGTGGCAGACTCTCGCTCTATCGGTGAAAGTCAAGCGGTCTGCAGCTGGTAAGCCCCGCTCTTAAACGTCGTTTAAGCATCTGGCTGAATTGTACGACCAGTTCTTCGTTGCGCCGCGCCGCATCGCGCAATATGTATCCTCGTAGCCTCTGACGATTTCTGCAGAAGCGAACTTGTGAAGACCATACAAAGGCCTCCTCTGTCTTCGACTGTGAGGAGGACTTGGTCGAGCCACGTTACACAGAAAAATCGGACGCGACCTGAACGAGGTTCCCGAAATTACGTGTCACGCCCCGATTCAAGTCCTTTCCAGACACGCTGGTGCATCGACCTCATCTATTAGACGTCGTGTCAGTACTGTTCTCCCCGTGCATATGCTCGTTATACGGATCACCGGATGCTCACTGTACAAGCATCAAGAGGTGAGCATTCCGCGAGCACCAAGGGGCGGCCATCCTACCTTCCTCGTGAAGCAGCACGCGCTCGCGGCCGACCATCATCACCCCCTCCCTCTCATCCGGCGCCCGGCGCGACCTTGTTGGCGACACGGCGAGACATATCCCTCGTTCTTCGCCCGTTGTCAATATCTAGATGTCTAGATGGCGTACTCTTCAATGCTCCGATGTAACTACGTCTCGCTCTCCTCCTCTAGCGCGTTGCCGCGGCTTGTGCTGAACGTGCTCTTATCCATGTTAGGCCCGAGGGTCGCTTGGAGTGGAGCATATACGCAGGATGGATGCTCCTGCTGTGACCTCACGCTGCCTGGGACGCCTCACAGTTTTGGCTCCTCTAGCCTATCGCGCCCGCGCGAGTTCGACGGTGCATCCTTGACTTATTCTCATCGCGGCAGGCCCCGCGCAAGCTCGATAGCAGACTCATTTAGTCTATACTGGGCAACGCTCTTCCCGGAGGATGCTGGCGACGAACGTCAAGCAGTCTTCGATGTCGCACTTAAGAGGTTTGTTGAATCTCTGTCCGACCAGTCCTTCGTTCCGTCGTGCGACTCTGAATGTGCAGCCTGTTAGCTTCTTACGATTCCGAATTTTGGAACGAGGGCCGTACAGATACAGACTCCGCTGTCGATGACGAGCCACGTTGCGTCAAGTTTGCTCCTGAACTTCTCGGACTTATTTCTTCTGCGTGTTGTGCACCCGCGGTTTCTCTAGTCCATATAAAGAGCTCTTGATCACATTGAACTCTAGGTGCTCTCTCGATTCTAAAGGGCCGCCGGTTCCCGGCATGAGCTCGCCAGCGGCCCTGCAACGGTACAGATGCCAGTGCAACGGATGAAAAGTCGCAGTTCATTTGAAGGCAACCGCGCATGTCCACTGCCTCGACTGGGATGTGTCGGCTGGAGCAGGATAGCAGTGGCTAGTGTGAATGGACGACGGGCTGATAGTTCTCGGTACAGTCGTCCTCGGCGATCAGCGCTACGGAAACAAAACACGACGGGGGCTGATGCCCACGTGTGAGACCTACGCGCATTTCATCAGCGTCGGACATGGCGTGCGTCTTGACTCGTTCTTCCCTCTCGCCTTAATTTTCCTGCACATACCCATCCCACGAAATCTACCCATTCCTCGGCCAACATTTGTAGCGGCTCACCACCATCGAAATGCTTCGCGGAGATCCTCTCGCCTTCCGTCCCCACTTACACCAGCTCCTTTGGCATCTCCACCTCTCCGTCGGAATCATGTCGTCCTTGCTGGGACGTCACGCTATACCGACACTCTGCCAAACTCGGATCCCGCACTGCCGGGCTCATGTGGCTGCTACAATTCTGGGTGCCCATCCCGATGGGGCTGTTCATCAAATGCCCGTGCCGGAAGTTCCGCGTAAAAGCGCGACTCCGACTGGAGACTTGCGAAGGTCCTGAGTCAGAGGCTGAAGCTATCTGCGAGAGTACAGTGGAAGTCGTGATGGAGCACTTGCAGCTGGCCAAGCTGATCAGCCACGTTGAAACTTGAAAGTCACGATCTCGGGTGGCCCGCTTGTCGTCTTGTTCTTCATGTTGTCAATCTGTACAATTGCTATTTATCAACGTTCGCAAGGCGTTTTCCTTGTCTGAGCGACCTCCTGATTGACTTTCCGTGTGCGCAAGCGGGAGTGCCACACACGCGTGGTATTTGCACGTGATGCGTTTCGCCCGGCGGCCCGCGTGCCAGTGTGGCTTCTGCTTTTCCAATGAGTTGTCAATGTTTTACCCCGTACAAGACACAGATTTACAATGATTCTACTATCAGTTGGCAAACTCTGGACTCTGGTACACGGTGAATACTCGCCACAAACGAGTACAAGGCTTCGAGGCGCAGTCGATGCCGCAGTGAAGTCAGGGTCTCAAAGTAACGAACCCAGAAAATCAAAGCTGTAGTGCCTATGTCATCGGTTTTGCAAAAAACGGGTTCTAGATGCCTTTCAAGGCCTCGTTGAGACCACGATGTTTGATTGTGTTTTGTACTTTCAGGCCTCGCCACCATCGGGGTTCTTTGCAGTGCCGATTTCCACAGCAGTTTGTGCGCATTCCTGGCCACGTTATAATCGCAATATTCCTCCTCCGCTCAGTTCACTTTCTGCTTACTCTCTCCGCTCATTCCGACCAACATGGAATCGACTCAGCTGACAACCTGCCACAAAGATTCCCCCGTTGATACATTCCAATCAGATTCGGCATGCCCTTCGAGCCTGGAAGATGACTCAGACAAGCCTGCTGAGGATTTCTTGTCGAGGATCTCGGTGGACATTGGTCTCCGTGACGAAGATAGGACTATATGGGATCTTCCTTACAAGTAAGTTCCATCGCCATCGAGTTTGTTTACCTTGATTGAGTGTTACTCTTTCAATGTAGCCATGTTCATGAATACCCCTGGCGGCTCCGGATTGTCTACACACCTGATGGCAAAACGACGTTTGACTCCTCCAGATCGATCCTCTGTCTGATGGTGGATTACATCGAAAACATCGATATCGACTTGATCGTAGTTCCCATCGACCCAAGGAAAGAACCCGAGTTCTCCGCTCACTATCACGCTGTGATATTGGATAAGAGGCCAATTTTTACCCCGATCCACGCACCTCAAGGAATTAGCATGCAGCGGTGCTCGTACGGCCTCCCCGACGAGCAAGATAACACTGTGATGTTAATGCTCGACTTCGTTGTAGCGGTGCCGATGAATTTGATCTCCCGTTCAGGAGGTCGCGTCTTCAGACTGTGTGCAACTATAGACCTCCAAACTCGCCTGAAGGCGAAATCCTTGTGCGAGAAGTTGGAGTTTACACTTGAAAACCTGCAAGCGCGCGAATTGATGCCGGGTTTGCGTGTTGTGCGGGTTGGATAGGTCTTTCGTTGGTCTTTCGGATTCTACATAGAATGCTTTGTCAATATGTAATAACGGTCGAATAGTACTCGTGCTTGAATCATACTATTTTGCTTGAATCCCCAACGGCTTGAGCAGATGGCCACTGAGATCGTATCTGAGCGCTTGTTACAGCCACCGACTCGTACTAGCTGGAGTCACTTTGCACGGACTCTGATAGTAGTATGGAATCCAAGCTGAGCTGGACTCTACTATTGCCCTTCTTTACATTTCTCAAGACATAGAAAGTTTACTCATCATTGTCAAACCTTTGGCAAACTTAGAGCTGACACAGTCCATTTAGAAACTGCCGGTAACGCACTAGGCTACAGTACTGCGGATCTGCAAAGCTTGCTTTGTCCTCTAATCTGACATCGCCAAGCGTCCGTTCTATGTATGTTGCGCTTAGCAAGCACTGGCATCAGGCAGGTGCTCGTTGCAACGCCCCGAGAGAAGCGTCGTTTTCCGTTGTTCGATTCAATGCAAGTCAGAACAATGCGCTTCTTGGGCATTTGTATTGCCCGATGCTTTGGCCATGCTGCTTCAACTTCGGGTCCTCAGTGGCCGCTGTTCTCGCTGTATGCCGTTCAAATGGTTGCTTTGCGGGATACGTCTATATAACCTCGTTGCGCCCTGCGTTCACTGTTCATCGCTCAGTTCTACTCTCTCGTCCGTTTTCGCATTCCGTGCGCTCAGATCTGCGGTCAATCGCTCCGCTTATACACATATATCCGAGTCATAGCGGGGAAATATTCATCCGTTATGCCGCAGGCAAGTCCAGATGCTGACTTAGGCATGAAGTTGAAGATATATCCTTGTGGAGAGATAATATCGAATTCTCTGTCTAAGTAAGCACCCTCTTTCTAACTCTATTCCTTCCAGAGATTAACAACCGGATGCTGTAGAAAGACCGTCAGATGTCAATGGTTGCTCTACATCGACTGCGAGCGAGTTGTGTTCCCCCCAAACTTCGAAATCTACTACGAGTCGGCGGGCCAATTAATGGCAGACGTAAAACGGGTGGACTTTCGCACCGTTGAGTCAGACCCGAGGCCGGAGCCAGAATTTCGTGTCACTATCGGGATCTGGACCTTCGAAACGTACCCGCAGGAGCCGCACGTGTTGAAGCCGCAGACTTCGAAGCTACCGATGTTGCAGACGTTGAAACTGCAGATGTCGAAGCTGGCTATGCTGAGACGGCAGACATTGAAACCGCAGTTGAAACAGACGTCAGAGACTACGATTGCCGTGGAAGTGCCAGTCGGGCTGCTCGATCGCCGACTCGGAGGAGCCCTCGAGTTCCATGTGCACGCCGAGGTGGTCTGTCAGATATGCAGTCCGGATGAAAACCAGAAGATTAACGACGCAGACCTGGAGTTCACCGCAGTTACCCTCCAATGCGACGAAAAAGTGTTCGTGTTCCGTCCTACGTAAAAAGTTGTCTGTACGCCGTGCTATGACCAGGACGCTGCTGTGGGCACCTTGTTATCTACGGAGCGCGGCGAGTTCAGTTTTTTGTCAGTTAGTATCTACAATTTTGTTTTTATAGAGCAGGGCATGTAGATAGACCGCTGGACTTGGATGCGCAGGATTAATAGGATCAGATCACCAAGAATGACCAGGGAGGGATCTTCATCTTCTGAGAGAACCGACGACCCACGCTTCGCAGTTCAAGCTCACAACCCACCTTTCTCTGCGGAAAAGTATACGGATAGCCTTCCAGGTTTGCATCCTCGACCGGGCCCCGCGTCACCTTACAGCTGCATATCTGTGCAGACGCTACAGATCGATTTTCGGGTCATGATTCCCGCGCACATATGCATCCTGTACGCCGTGGCATGCACCAGGTGGACGCTACGGCAGTAGCAGGTGTTCACGCGGATAGATTGTTGCGGACGGAGCCCGAATGGCAGCATAACGTGCCTTTATAATGTGTCCGGCGGGGTCTGGCATATACGGTTTTGGGTGCCGGTGCCCGCACGCCTCGGCTCCCATCTCGAGTGCCACCGCTGTTACCTGCGCGCCGGCGTGGTCATACGCATGTTTGAGTAGGCCACGTTCAACGCCATCAAGTGCGAGAACGTGAGGGAGGTGACGATGGAGAACGAGTGGCTTTGAATATTACATGCTACTGAAGGCCTTGCGAGGGTATATCATGTTGAAGCACGTCTATTGTCCAAATACACGATAGTGTTCAAGACTGTAAAATTATCGCGTATTAGATTATCCACATCGCATAAATGCTACAAAAGGTTCAACAGGCGACTGCCCTGCTAGACGAAGGGCCGTATGGATCAAACGAGGTAGTGCTGTTCTTTGAGATGCCCTTCCTCTTTGGCTTTCCTGGCAGGGTGTCAATGGTTGAACACGGTACAAATAAGGACGCTACTTACGGCGCAAGCCACCGACGCGTTTCTGCCGCGGAACCGCATCGTTTTCCCCTATCATCTCCTCAGGGACATACGTGAATCGGTGCCCGCAAGCCGCGCACGTACATCGCGAAAACCCGCCTATATCCATCATCTCTGTCCAATACTGTTTCCTCAGTTCCGCGATCTCCACCGCATACGGCCGCTCAGTGAACGGCGCCGTGGCCCGTGGCGAGCGGACACGGGGCACGGGCTGCTTGTCGAGCGCATGTTCGAAGGCGATGATTGCGTCGGGGACGAGACGCACGCCCGTGAGATCCGCACCTTCGATGTACCCGACGATGTGCAGGTATGCTGTGAGCACATTTATGATGTCGAGTGGTTTGTTCTGGCGCACGAGGGTGCAGATCGCTTGTTCGATGCTCGTGGACATGGCAGAGTGCGTGGAGACTGATGTGTATGGGTCGAAAGTGCATGAAGATATGGAGGCAGCGGGATGGAGGTCTTTATACGGGGTTTGGTTGGTGTCGGAGACAAAGACGACGCCACATCAGAAGACAATGCGGGAGGGACAAAGCGCGTCAATATCAAAATATCGACGCACTTTGTCCATATCCCCGCCACCTACACGATTTCAAAACCATTCAACCGTATCCATTTCATCCAGACGTTGCTTCGAGGATCGTCGCAGGCCGCAGATCACCCAAGGTGAGGCGCTGATGGTCTGGACACGCTCATTTCCAGTTGGGAACGAGCTAACGAAGACATAACGTATACGCTGAGAAGGTTTCGTTGAGGCATCTAGGAGATATACGTGCAAGAGAAAGACAGTAAACGCAGCACGCAACGTCTGTGATCATGATGATGGACTCGAGGACAGAACATATTGCTGATTTCAGATGTCATGTCGGCCAAATATATACAATTTTCCGCTTGGACGACCTCTAACTTCGAACGCGGAGTGGCGCGAATTCTTAGGATAAAGCCTCGAATATTACTTCGTATATCGCCCCTCCTTCACTCCCGCAGCGGTGGGACGGGGCCTGGTAGGACCCTGGAATAATATCCTCCAAGATGTTAGATCCAAAATCGCCAAATTTTGGCCTTTTTACCTGCACACTTTTTGACCCAAATCCGCATATGGAATTGGATGGCCCGAAATGCGCGTCATGACGTCAGGATCGACAAGCGCTTTTGCCCGAAGGTCGGCCCTTTTTTGAGGGCCACTTCTACCCGCATTCAGATCGGACATATTGGAGGATATGCCGGGGTCCTTCAGCAATATGCAACGAGCCAAACCGTAGCCAAACTCTGCCTACTTGCACTTTGCAGCTAGAATATACTCCAGACGGTCGACAAATCCTGAAGCCTATAATCTGCTACAAGCTTCGTGTCTACCAGAGTTCCTGGTGCGGTCGTTTGCACTCGAGCCTCATTGCGCCCAACGGAATGGGTCCTCCTTGGAATGTCGCCCTTGCGATGCTCAATATTCAATCCTGACAAGGATCGGGCAAATTGAAAACGGCAGGACTACTCTACTGACGACACCTGTATATACACCATCATGCTTGCGCTGCATTCCAGCTGGGAAGTGTTTCTTCTCAAGTCGTTCGATAATTTTGCCCTGACAACTGGGACATTGTGCAATGCTTTCGTTTTCTCGGTCTCGCGGTTCCCCCACTCCTATCCCTGCGTAGGTTCGCTTATTGCCCGACTCTGATTGTTTTCGTGCTTCAAACACACAGTCTAGCTTGTGCCTCCCTGATCGGGGGATACTTTTAGCGCAGGCTGAGGGTACTCGGTTTTCGCCTGAATGATGTCTTGATTACCATCGCTATTTTAGCCGGACTACGTCTCTAGTCTGGGAATGTAGTAGACGGTGATGCCTTCGTGGTCGTTCCTGGCAGAACACAAGAGCGTGCTCATCGTCATCTGCAGCTTCTCTCTCCTGACGACCTCGATGACCATATATTTGGATGTCTGGCAAAACCGGACGAAGGATCTCGGAGCAAGTCAGTCTACCTGAGGTGATGATTGCAGGCCCTTCAAGGTCAGCAGAACTGCCTCAGTGTAGTCGCACGCACGAACATTGGTGGTGCGCCAGGACCATGCGGATGTGGGACGCATCCTCGCGCCATCATATCACTATCGTCGCCCAGCGGCGTGCTGTCCGACGATGTATGCTGTCCTGTCTGTTTCTGTGAAGGGTCTTCGCCATACTGATTGCCGTGAAGGCACATCCACTAAATAATTGTACATGTGTAGTACTACCTCGTGCAAAATATAAGAGCGCGTCAAGCATAACGATGCGGATGCCCAAAAGCGCGCAATTAAATATCCATATCCTAAATCATTCGTTCGTAGCAGTGTCCAATGTTGCTACACATCTGTCGCCTCGCCTCGAAAGAGCTCTTGCGCTACCACTGCCAGAGCGGCCAGAACATGTGTGTATTCCCCATGCACGCTGCAGCAGGCCAACGCACCGCGGGCGTCACTCCGCGCGACTGCCCGTACTGGACGGACTGGACGTGCTTGATCAGATTGAAACCTGGCAAGATGCCATCATCAATCGCACCTGGGTCATTGCATTGAATGACCACATCGCGGAGGGGACACCCAGCGCGTGCTCGTGTCGCTGCAAACTCGGCCAGCGCTTCGCAAATCATGTACGACTCCGAGTCGAAGCAGATCTGCAACGTAGCCAGAGAGGGGCAAGGGAGCGGATAGGTTGCAAAGGGGGAGAGGGCATTGGTTAGTGCGCTGAGAATGAATCTGAGCCGGTTCAGGCCCCCCACGTACGTAAATACTGATAGAGATGGGAGGGCGCGGAATAGAGTGGGTAGGCCTCCAAAGTCGGAGACGCACTTGGAACCGGTGACATGGAGCTCCGTGATGGTAGAGAGTGGCCATGAAGCCCATGGAAGTATACCGTCGGGGACCGTATGAAGCTTGCGCAACCGCGGTATCCCGCATTCAATGCGAACGGCGGCTGAGGAATCTGTGGCGGTGACAACTAGAACGAAGGGGGAAGAAGTCCCCACGTGTAAAATTGTTGAACCATTCAGAGGTGGTATGTTGGGGAGAGACAATGTGCTAGACGGACCATCACATCGAAGACCGAAGATTCGAGTGGATAACTCATCATGGGATTTAATGTGAGTGAGAAACCAGCTGAGCACACCAATAGGCATCTCTCCGATACTAAGTCTGCGCAGGTGCTTCAACGTGACCGGGGGACGATCACTAGTAGAAGGTACTACTAAGAGAGGCGCGTCTGAAACGATAAGCTCCTCCAGCCCGGGACACGCATCCAAAAAATCTGCCAGGCCTGACAACAGCGACGTTATATAGTGTTGAAACCCGCCGTGATTTGTGCCTGGCGCTTTCTTTGAGTAGATGCAGAGATGTGTGAGACTGGGGAGAGGATTTTTGGGAAACCACGACATCGATTGCATCGTCAGCGCTCTGAGCAGTGGAACATCGCCAGCAAATACCGTCTGCCCAGGAGATTTTTGAACAGACTCCATTGTCAGGACCTTGAGAGCCGGGGCAGAATGGTGCAGGCCAAAGAGGTCGGGGGTGTGCTTCACATGAAGCTCCTCGATGCGAGATAAATTTGACTCGAAAAAATGAGATATCGTTTGCATTTGACGCGCTGACATGACTCGGACATGGAGCTTTAGAGATGCCTCTCGGGATCGCTCCAGAAATGTCGGAGCAGCACGAAGTAGAGGATCACTGCCAAGGTGATCGCCGATATGCGTCCAAAGAAGAGGTCGATCTAACAACAGCACGCGCCACCGACGGCAAACATGCGTCAAATCGATCAGTCTAGGGGAAGATCGAAGTGAGGAGAATGGCCACTGGAACTCGCCAGCCGACTCGTTGATAAGAGCTACAGCATATTGGAAGATGATACTGAGGACGTCGTTGGGACATTGGTTTATGGGAGAAAAAATATTAATTGAACTGCGGACAGTGGAGAGAGTGGAGGCGAGAACTTCTTCGAGAGTGTACAACTATCGACCAAAACAACACGGTGAGATCCCGTTAAAGCACGGAAGAGAACACTAAGGCTCACCGTATCAAGGCTATAGGTGGTGCATACAGACGAGTTGAATTCAGTACGAAGATACGATTGAACAGTAGTGAGAGCTACCTTTCATGTCCACCAGTCTTGCGCAATTTCGATACGAGCGATTGTGCCGTGCACAGGGCGCGTGTCAAGGAAGGGATATGCTCCATTTGTCGAAATTTTCAGAAATTATGGCAACAATTGCGTATGCTTGCCGAGCGAACACGACGGCTGATTGCAGGAGACTCCTGCGAACAATACTGCCGCGGCTGATAGCGTTGCATGCATGATGCAGCCACAGTGCCTGCCGTGGCCCGTATAAGCGCTGGTCATGGCGCGTACTTGCAGATCCCGAGGCAAAGGTGGCGTTCAAATATTCAATATTCAATATTCAAGGGTCGTGTTCATCGGAACACACACAGGCAAGCGTCGACGTGCTGATCATCGGGCCTGTTCGACGTCTCCGGGCCCTTACTGCCTGCTTTAGATATCTGGCGTCGTTTTGATTTGTTTATTATCTAGCCTGAGGAACATGGGCGGGTTCACCTTCACATGTACGACTAGGTGCAGGGACTCACTAGCACTAGAAGCGAGACAACAAGAGTCAGCATTCTTCTCAAGTATACAGCCTGAGTGTAGCCCAGAAAGTTGACTCTTGCATATATCCTATTTAAAACATCGCCAAATTCGCTCAACGCAGGTCGACCTAAGAGCGATTTTCCGCCTGGCCACGGCTGAACTTTCACGCACATCTTCAAGCCGATTGAACGCTGCTTTGGGTCAAAGACTGACCGGAAGGGCATACGGGACACATGAAGGAGTCTCGGACATGAGGGTGGACTTTACTGAAGAGCTGTGGTGTATCGTACTGATTTTTGGGAATTTCTAGTGTTTACTGCATAGGTACTCGAAGACCGGTTTCTAGAGCTTTCGAAAAATTCTGTAAAACAGTCATACTGTGCGTGAAATAAACCTACTAGATGGCACCTTTGAACCACCCGGTATAAAGTGAGTACAACGATCAGGGACAGAGCATACACCGAAAGTGTTAAATTTCAGACGCAGGTCCGATATCTCCCGTTCGCAGTAGTGTCCAATGCGATCAAATGTCTGAATCCGTAGCATCGGAAGAGCAATTGTTCCTCTCGTAGCTCAGTGATCCTACCAGGATGGCCAGAACTTGTGCGTACCCCCATTGCACGCCGCCGCAGGCCAGCGCACGGTGGATGTCGCACCGCTCGACTGTCTGTACTGGACCGACTGGACGTGCTTGATCAGGTCTAAACCAGGCAGGACGCCCTTGTTCAACATGTCCGGGTCATCGTATTCCACGATGACATTGTGGAGAGGATATCCAAGGCCCGCTCGAGTGGCGACAAATTCTGCAAGTGCGTCGCAAACCGCGTACGACTCTGAATTCATGTGGACCCACAATGTGCTGAGAGAGGGGCATGGCGGGTGGGGTGTGGGTGTGCTGAGGGTGCGGGATAGTGAACTGAGAACACCCCTTAGGCGAAAAATGCCTCCGCCGTTGTATACCAATATTGACAGAGACGAGAGCGCGCAGAATAGGGCGTATAGACCTGCGCATTCTGAAACCTCCCTGGAATCGGTGATGTGAAGCTCCGTGATAGTAACGAGTGGCCATGACGCCCAAGGAAATACACCGGGGCCCTTATACAGGATGGGCGCCCGTGGTATCTCGCATTCGATGCGAACGCCAGATGAAGAATCCGCGGCGGTGACAAGCAGAATAGAGGAAGATGCTCCGACATGCAACAATGTTGAGCCGTTAAGAAGTGCTATGTCGGGGAGGGGCTTGTCGGGATCATATTTAAGACCGAATATTCGAGTGGATAATGCACTGTGGGTCTCGATGTGTTCCAGAAACCAGCTGAGAACATCATTACACATCTCTCCGATACTGAGCCTCTGCAGGTGTTTCAACGTGACCGGAGGATGATCAACGGCAGGGAGAATGAGAGATGCGTTCGCAACGATGAGTTCCACCAAACCAGGACAAGCACGCAAAAAATCCGCCAGACCCGACAACCGCAGAGTGTACATGGGTTTGATACTGTAGAAACAAAGGTGGGTGAGGCTGGGGAGGGGATTTTTGGGAAACCATGTCATGGAATGCATCGTCAGTGCTTTCAGCAATGGTGTATTTGAATGGAATAGCATCTGCTCAACAGATCTTAGAACAGAATCTAATGTTAAGACTTTGAGAGCTGGAGCAGAATTTTACAAGCCAAAGAGGTCCGAGATATAATCCACATGAAGCTCCTCCATGCGTGATAGATTCAATTTGAACGAATCCGACCTGATGTTAATATGACGCTTGCCTCGGATATGGAATTTCAGAGGTGCCATTCTGGAGCGTTGCAAAAATGTGGAAACTGCACGAAGTAAGGGATCGCTGGAGCGATCGCCGATATGTGTCCAAAGAAGGGGTAGGTTCAACGCCAGAATACGCCACCGTCGGCAAATATGCGTCAGGTCAATCAGTTTACTCGAAGGTCGGAATGAGGAGAATGGCCACTGGAACTCGTCAGCGGTGTCGTCGATCAGAGCGACAGAATACTGGAAGATGAGGCCGAGGATGTCATCGGGACAATGGTTTATGGGACAAAAGGAGTTGATCGAACACCGGACTGTCGACAATGTAGGGACAAGAATATCCTCGAGGGAGTGCAACTGGTGTTATATGGTCAGGGATTCCGCTCCGATACGTGGCACAGGAAACATAACGACTCACTATATCAAGGCTATACACGGTAGTGTATACAAGTGCATTACCATCAGTATGAGGGCACGATCGAACAACGATGGGGACTACCTTTCACGACTCCCGGCATTGAGCAATTTCGACACCAGCTCTTGCGCCGTACAGAGGGAGCGCATCAAAGATTCGGAAGGAATCTCCTCCATTTCTGGGCAATTTCAGAAATTATCGCGATGATTGGATAGTCTCGTTGAGTGAACGCGACGACTAATGGCAGGAGATGCTCGGTGTGCAGACCAACTGGTTGTTGCATCAATTACAACTTGCCTGCCTGCATGCACGAGTCAAAGTGACTCGTAGTGAATATAAGCGCCCGAACATAGCGCCAGGACTCATCATCCTCGATCACTACAACAAGTGTAGCGCAGATCCCACAGCACCAAACACCACCACCTCTTGATCTGCTGCCATATCCTCCCAAGATTTGAGACTGCACACAAACAATACAACTCACTTGCTCCCGCAGATCTAGTAGTAAATGTATATAAGTGAACATAAAAGCAGTAAACGCGACGCAAACACAGAATTAGCGAAGCAGCGACATTTACTCCTCCTTCTTTCCCCGCCGTTTTTCCGCCTCGTCGATGGCAGCCTTGTCCGTCTGCGGATCTGCAGCAGCTTGGAACGGAACATAAATCAGTGCGCGCACACGGCAAACTCCGGAAGCCGCTCCGAGGGCCCAAATACTCACCGCCGAACATGCCACCCGCCTTGAATGGCCGCTTGAGGTCACCCTCTGCGGCCTTGCCGAGAATATAGATCGCGACGGGCTTCGCGTCGTACAAGTTCTTCATTCCCATGAGCGCCTGCACGAACAGCGGCTGTGTGAACCTGCGCGCAGCACATTCATAACAAATTTAGTCAGGGGGTCGGCGCTCGCGGGGGCGAACAATACGCAACGCACTTCATGTAGAGATGGAGGAAGCACATCATCGCGAAGCCGATGTACACGCCGCGCACGAGCTTGGACGTCTCCGTGAGGTCGTAGTCGCGCACCGTCGTCGTCACCAGGTTATTGTCGTCCTTCGCCTGCAGAAGAGGGCGTGTCACAACCGGGATGATACCGCCCGCGTGAGGAGACGCACCATCGGATTGGCGGGTTCGACTGCGCGGCGTATCAGTCAGGAGAGGTAAGAACAAATCAGAGACAGCACACACCATATTTGAGCACAGTCAGGTCGTTCTTCTCCTTAATCTGCACCGCTGACACATCAGCCTCGGCCAACACGCAGCGAACAGCGAGCAACGCACCTTCATAGATACATAGTAATACACCGCGAGGATGATGACCTGCGCCGCGACGTACCCGATACGGGCGTAGAGGAGCACCTGGGGGTCATCAAAAGGGATTTTACGAGCCACTGCACACGTCACGCGCGAGGCGAATTCAGCTGCTCGTACGCGAAAACAATTCGACTTGAATAAACGAATGACCTTGCATGGCACCCAGAGAGATGACCAGATTCGACATTGCCGCGTTCATGATGGTATGTTCCGAGAAGAGAAAACAAGAGAAGAGCGAGGAGAGACGATGGACGAGAGGAGATAGACGGCGACGTGTACCATTCAGTGTCAGCAAGCGCCCGAAAAATACACCACCCGTGACGGGTGACTGTCGTCGATCGCAGATACCTATCACACGGTTGTGACAAGTTGGACCTCTAACAACACAAGAAGGTTGTTCCGTTCCAACGTTAAAAGCTAACCAAGTTTACAAGCAAGTCAGGGTGCTTAGACAACACGCCAGTATTAAGATTATCAACACGAGTGTTCAAGTTCTTTCCGAAGAATGAGAAATAATTGCCCAGCCAAACGCACACACCTCATAAAACTTCCGTGAACCTACTTTCTGCAGGTGCAGGTCCGGCAGCTGCACCAGTGTCGTGCTCGGTGTCCGCAGGCCCTGCAGCAGCATTGTCCTCGTCCGACACCTGTGGCACACGACCTTCGGGAGCCTTCTCCTGCTGCCGCTTGCTCGGCCTGCGAGCCATGCTCGCCCCCGCGACCGCCGCACCATTCATGCCGGCCTTCTTATCGACCTACGAACACACATCAGCATTATGTATGTCCCAAAACGATTCCACGTACCGGGTACCCATGAGCACCAAACTCCGCGTCGCGCGCATGCTCGTGCTCGTACTCAGGCGGGCCCGCTTCCACGGCCTCCTCCTCGCCTGCCTCCCGCGCCTGTTCATATATCTCCTCGTCCTCCACGTCGCGCTCTTCCTCGACACTTGATCCCTCTTCCTCTTCCTCCCCGCCTTCCTCCTCGCTCACATATCCCGCCGCACGCACCGCAGCCGCGACGGGCCCGCTGCGCTCCATCGTCTCGCTTGCGGTGAGGTATCGGCCCGAGAGCATCCGCAGGTCGTTCCACCACTCGAGCATGTCGTCATGCGAGCGCCCGCGGAACGCCCACGCACGCCCACTCCCCTTCCCGTTCCCTATCAAGGAGCTCCTCAGTACCTTGAGCGAGCCCGTCCTCGGCGAGCCCATCCCGTCGAGCCGCTCCTCGATGTGGAACTTGTGGCTCGGCGCCGACGGCGCAGATGCAGGCCCGAGCGTGCACAGCGGGAGGAAAAGGCTCCACCGCGGCTTGTCGGAGATCGCAGGGTCAGACGACGCGTACTCGTGTAGGAAGCCCGCGGGAGTGAGCACGTAATAGGCCTCGCGGTATGACCGGGTGTATCGCTTCTTCCGCTCGAGAAGTCCGACGTGCACCGCGACAACAGTGGGGTCGTCCTTGTTAGGGTAATTGATGTTCTGTGGGTCGCGCAGCGGCGTCTCCGGGTCGACGAGATGGTCCTCGCGCGCTGCGAATGCGATCCACTCCTTATCAGGAGGAAGTGCAGCCATATCGTGCTCGAGCGTGCGGTAGGTCTCCCTAATGCTGGTGTCCATGCGTGCCCGCCATTCGGCAAACGTCGCCCACGCCGATTGCAACGCCTGAATGAGTGACGCCTCGAACATTGCAGAGGAAGACTGTGTTAACAGTAACGACTTCTGCAACGCATTCTCGGTATGAACTTGTTTCAAAAGCTGCCGCGCTACCGCCTGGTTTGCCACGTAAGGGTCAGTGCGGGCTGTCACACTTAGGGGTGTATTCTTGTGAATGGAGACGTTCGTTCCGAGGTCACCGATGACTTTGGCAGATAGCTCACGTTCTTTCGCGACCGCCGTCGCCAGTTTTCCAGTATCGTTCTGAATGTTCTGAGAACCGTATCATTAGAGTTGGTTTAACTTGTGCTGACCAAAACAATTTACACACCTTAATGTGCGCTTTGATCTCAACGCGGAGCTTCTGCAAATGTTCCACGATGGATCCCTCGACAGTGCGTCCCAGACTAGCATGTTGGTCTGCAATGGCGCGAGTCTTGTCCCGAATACCATAGTAGAGATCCTGTTCGTAGATGTAGCCATGTTTCACTTACACAGCATAAAACACACCTGCACGCCGCCTTCGCCCAAGAACTGGTTCCCCGAACGGAAGGGGACCTGTATAACCGCGCCGAGCTTGGTCAACTCGCGCGCAACATTGTTCTCAATGTCCGCGATGCCCTCGAAGTACGCAATGAGCTGCTTGACGATGATCTTCCAGGCGATGAAGCGCTCGATGAGGATGTCAGAGGGGCGGAGGTCGTGGGGGGCGATGTTCTTCTTGATGAGGGACTGGCTGCGGGAGACGCTAGAGCCGTGCTTGCTGGCGCGGGACAGGGATGTCCCGCGAGAGAGGGAGGCAGAGTCGTTCATGGTGGTGGGTGTGGGGAGAGTTGTGGAAGGTCAGTACAGGGGGTTGCGGGGTATATGTACTCAGCGTTGGCACGCACGCCCGGACTCGGATGCAGTCCCGCCTCCAATGATGTCATCCCGCCGGCCTTCCCGCATATGGAATCTCTCCAAAAACATATCCTCTCACCTTACACTTCAAAAATGACTGTACAAAAGTAGCAAGTACTCTATCAATATTTACAGCACGAACAGTTTCTCGACCGAGGTCACTCATATTGTCTGTGGTCACCCAAATTGACATTACCTACAGCGTCAACACTGTAAGCGTGGACAACACATGCAAAACCTACGGGGTACATGTGGCGCAACGAATCACGTACAGGTGATGCTGCAAAGAGACAAACACTGCATCGCTTTCACGTAAATGCACCTCCGACTCATTCTTCTCTTGCTACTGTGGTTGAATGTCGTAACACTTCAGCGAGATCCAAGACAAAACGCCTTCCTCCATGCTCACTCGATGTGAATCAACTTAATGTGGATACTGCAGACATTGGATCGGCCGTCAGCACCAGGCTGGACGAGGCACAAGGCGATTAAATCGTCAGCTTTAGCAGACTAAATTTCTCTCATCGAAGATCTACGAGCGGAGGATGATACGCCGAGCTATGAAGTACACTCGGCGAAAGTGAGTATTCACAGAAACAACGCAGCCGACTCATCCGGTCCTTGCGAGCTGAGAGCATCAAACCGCCCAGCGGCATTCTGTAAAGCGCACGATCAGGATGACAATGCTGGCATGTAATTGACTCATTTCTTGCACATTCCCATGGCGAGCTTCTCATTCCACTGTGAAACGTAAGATCACATTCTTCACGAACTCCTGCAAAAAAAAAAATGCTACGCGCCAGATAAGTAACATCGACTTGGCGAAAAGCCGGTGTATCGTGATTTAATATTAGAAAATGATATGCAATCAGAGGACGAGCCAAACTAGGTTAGTCGCACGCGGGGATAAAGCATGCAGAATGCGTAAAATATATAGCGCTGCGATGGTCTACTGCACGTTGTAGCCGACAAGACTCCTCCGCCCGACAATTTCCCCAATCTGGATAAAGCATGTGTGCAATCAGGGGTAAAAGCGGCCGAGACAAGGAAGGAGAAGAGATATCAGCATCCCAGCTGCACTGTCACCGCAAAAAAAACATACCTTGAAGATACTGTACGCCTCAAGCGCGTACACACCCACTTTCGCCCAATCGCCGGACCGAGCAAGCTGGCGCCAGTACGAGGGGTTGATAGCGCGAGACCAGAGGGTGGCGTACGCGCTGGTGAGGGTGGAGAGAGAGGTGGGAGGTTGGAGCCGCTCAGCGACGTACACCTGCTTAAGGACCTCACGCGCGACGGCGAGGTTATAAAACAGCGGTTCGCGGTAACCTAAAAAAAATCCAGCACGAACATAGAAGGCCCATCAGCAAAGTCATGTCCAGTAAATCCACGTTCAAAGGGTACCGGCGACGGTCAGTGAAAGGTATGCGCACCCCCGAGTAAGTTCCCAAACTTCTCCCCTAGGGGGCCGAGATACTTCTTGCCGGCCTCAAACGCCTGGCCGAGCTGCTTCTGCACGCTTGAGAGTGCCTCCTGCGCCTTTTTCTGCGCGTCCGCGCCCGAGGGACCTGACGACGTATAGCGCGCCTGGTGTGAGCGGTGCAGGCGGGGATGTGTGGGGACGCGGGGACGGGCCTGCGAGAGACGGAAGGCGACGGATGGCGGGCGCACCATGGTGGACGAGAGGTGCGATGGGGCTGACGACGGGTCGTGGACGGTGACGGTGACGAGCGAGAAATTGTGGAAGGCGCCCGGCCGACGCGTCTTCCGCACCCGGCCGATGCCGCCTCAGCGCCTCTCAACTTCGTTGTTCATGCGGCCGCGCGCCGCTCAAGTCCAACTTTCGACTTCGTGCTGAACTGTTATCTCGACTCTAGTAGGTGATGTCTCTGAACGGTTTACCAGCATTGATTTTATCTGTATTCTGTTACAAGATCAGGGTATCCAACGATGGAATACTACGGCCATTCTCTGTCACAATCTTTGTCCGAAGCACAGTCGCTCGCAACAAGTTTCTGCGGTGCCAGTCGCCGGCATGAAAGGTGCGTTTACTTGTTACGCTGTCATTGAGATCTTGACTTGATCCAACAAAAACACATCAGCATCGCTATCGTGAGTCGGAAATTGTTTGTCCAGTGGTGTTGTACAGGAAATTCACTGTGTCCTTTGTTGACGACAGTTAGAGTCTCTCGACCGGATCCTTGTTTCCGCTTTGTCAACTGCCCGGAGCGCAATCAACGCTCTCTCGACAATCAATACATGCCCCGACGATGTAGTCGGTCTCATCCTTCAGCATGCAGCGGTCAATGTTGAAGCCCGATTTGGTCTTGGCTTCCGGTGGCCGTTCGCCCCGCCTTGCCCCACTTGGGAGCTCATAACTCTCACTCACGTCTGTCGTCACTGGCGCAGTCTCTTGTTAAACTTACCGTTGCTATGGACGCACATTGACATTGGTAATCCTCTAGCTTACCGTGACCTAGTTTCGACTTTCCTGCAACGCTCCGGAGCAGCACCCCTGAAAGTGTATATTAAGAAGCCGTCACTCTATTACAGTCTTCCGGGTGAAAGTGAAAGCATTGAGACACTTCTCGATGCGTTGTCACCTCGGATACAAGAACTTCATGTCCATCGTGACGCGCTCGGCTTAGAAAGGCCCTTCCCTGCACTCGAAATCTTAACACTGGAGTCGGCTGGGCGACTTCCGGCGATTCTCTTCGACGGGGCCGCGCCACAGCTCAGAGCATTAACAATGATATATATTGTATCGCTCCCCACCAATCACTTTCCTAGTCTCACTCGTCTTTACGTCGGCAATTTTGCTTGGCTGAGTCACCTTTACTCGTCAGTGACATTGTCTCAGCTTGCAGTGTTCTTGCGTGGTTGCAATGCGCTAGAGGAACTGGCCGTCTATCGCATGGACTTCGAAGTATCGACTGCGGACGACGCACTTCCTCCCGTCGCCTTAGGACATCTGTGCAGGCTTAGCCTTGGATGCACATCTGCAATAGTGACCGGCTGGTTTTTCGATCATATCGAGGCTTCCCCTGCAGTCGCCATCCGCGTCTTCGATCTTGGACCCTTTCATTATCATGCCGCATTGGCCGTAACGTACCCGCCGCAATTACGCACCCCAACGTTGCTGCATCTGCGACAGTGCTTTGAGCCGGCCGTCACCATTGCAAATTCTTCGTCCGCTGTCCGCTTCGAATATATACCACCGTCACCTAATTGTGGATGGGGCATATTCCCGTGGTCATCGTGGCCAGTCTCCACGGTGGAGGAGCTCCATATCGACCACTCTTCAGGTGAACCTGAAGCAGGCTTCCATCTCTTGCTAGACGTACTGCCATCGTTGTCCCTGCTGGTATATCGTGGCAAGCTTAAACCGCTCATACACCTTCTCGGCCTGTTGTCCGCCTCACACGGTCCACCGGGACCGCTCTGCCCCGCGTTGAAGACATTGCATATATCTTTGAAGGCGGACTTGTCGGCCCTTCACGTACTCGACGACTTTGCGGCAACTCGCGCTCGCTCGGGGTTCCCCCTCTCTGAGGTTATCATCGAGTACAGTAGCCGAGGCGCCCTCAATAACGACCTCTTACCGGGCTTGTCCCTAATTAAGTCTGTACAGTGCGTTCGATAGAGACTATCTCCCGGGACGATTTCTACGGTGAAGTGGCCGGCAGTGTGCGTTGGTGAAGAGCACTTATGTTGGCGGTCCTGGTAGCTCCAGATTTGTCTTGGCTTTCGCGTCATGGAAAGCACGATTCTCATTTTGACATACCCACATGCATGTACTAGGTCAACGTGATAAGTGGGAACAGTAACTGAAGAATAGAACACCATTCCTCGTCTCGGACGCATTAATTCCGTGATACTTAAATGAGCTATCGTCCCTACCTCATTGTGTCTTGGGATGCACTGAATATTTACGGTGCATTTTCGCCCCATCGTATATTGCGCAACCCTTGTACATGTACGATCTTCGTAGATCATAGGCAGGACGCCGTGACAATTTATTTGGCGACGCCGCCAATTTGCCTCTTGTTTCAAGCTTCAAGACTCTTGATTTCGTTGCTCACTGACTCAAACATCGTCTCACAAGTCCGATGTAAAGTTGTGTAAGGAATGGTTGGCAGGAGCCCGGGGCATTGCCGCTTAGCTAATTTCTTATTTAGTTACTTTCCTGTACTGTGATAGTCATATGTTTGCGGCCATCTTTACGGTAGCTGCAGTGCTGAACATGTAATTGCAATACACAGAGCGTTTCGAAAACATGGACACTACAACATTGTTAAAAACTGCTCAGAGAACGCGCCTGAGTACCGTGGTCTTGGTCCCTTTATTCACTGCCGCTATGCCATGCATCGGAAGGTTTCTACAAGCGACGAGTTCAGCATAACGAGTGCACTCACCTGACATGCCCCTCACACGCGTTATCGGGTTCTGACATACACAGAAGGACCTGCGCCATCGTCGGCCTGTTGCCCGGCTCTGCATCCAAGAGTCGGTTGCTGATCCGAAGCAACCGCTCGCGCGCCGGCGATAGTATACAACGGCGGCAAAGTTCTTCAACGACTTTGCCGCACGACCACAGATCTGCGCGGATCGGGTTATACCGCCCTCGACCAACCTCCGGAGCAATGTATCCTTTCGTCCCGACATAACGTCTGAACGTATGGCACGGGCTATTTACGCGAACGGACAAACTAAAGTCGATGATGGTGAGCCGTCCATAGTTCGGCGGGATGATGATGTTTTGCGGTTTCAGGTCTAAGTGCGCGACACCGTGGCCATGCATGAAGTCAACGGCTTCGAACAACTGCTGTGCGACAAGCCATAGATAAGAATCAGGATCCTTGAGCGAACTGAGCGGGCCTCCTGCAACGGGCATAAATATGATCATCCCCCCATCGATCGGCCAGATGCGAACAGGGCGTATGGTATGGTTAGTTGGGGCATCGATTCTACGGAGGTATTGCAGAATCTCCAATTCCTTGGCTCCGTCTTCCACGAACTTGAGATATCCAACGGCAGAATCGTCCTCCCGTCGTACAACAAGCGCAATATGGGGGTGCTGTCAAAATTCTCAGTACACGTCGATATCAAACGCGGGACATTCCGCAAACATACTCCGAAAGCAACATACGACACCTCATAATTATTATGATCGAGAATCGACCGGAGTTGATCGCTGTTGAAAATTCCCAGATCATCTTCCTCTTGGAGCTCCGATCTATCTGAGTTTGAAGACAACGAAGGTCGCGTACTCCGCCGAGCTCTTCCCCGATGATTGAGAGACCTCATCCTTGAAGCGACTTGCTGAATTGTTAACAGACTTTCGCGTTTCAACTCATCGAGTTCACCCGCAAGCTTACCCAGGAGTTGCGAGAGATTGCACATTTCACCGAAGAATCGGACGGCTGCATTCGCATCTGTAAGGTCGAAGTCTGCCCGAGCAATATGGACCTGCGGCAGTGGAATTTTTATCGGCGGAATGGGAAGAAATTAAGACACTACAATCCTACCTGTCTCCCTGAATCTGCTTTGGTCACAATGTACCTTGATGCGCACAAAGAAGCTGCAAGGTAAACCGCTACGATGAAGAACCGCGATTGGGAACGATCCTTTAGGAGGTAGCTGCCCGTCCGGGCAGCAACGATGGCCTCTAGCAGCATGCGGTGTCGGTCTTGTTCATGCTTCTGCGACATAACGTCAGAAATGACGAAAGGACAGAAATGTGTGCGGGAGATAACGTCGGAGTCGCTGTCTGGGGTGAACTTTCTCCATGGTTCTGTCATGCCGCGTGTGGCAATGAACATTGGAAAGCTCCACGAAAGTTGTCTCAAATTAAGCTATGAGCTTGAGATGCAATTTTCAAGTATGAGGTCGCTTACTCTTTGTACTGGAGAGGGTCCTGCAGAGGCCTCCGTGAGAAGAAGGGAGGGTGAATAAAGTAGACCATGAAGGACCGTGCTTTCAAAGATGAAGAGGTATTCTGCGCAATTCGTTCTGAATCTTGATGATAACAGCGCAGGACATTGCAAAAGGCGACAAATTCTCCGTCGTTCTGTACAGCCACAGAATCAGCCAAGCTGGGCTCGAAAATCGAGGAGAAATGATCTCTATAGGTAAGCGCGATGCGAAGATGTTCACTGCTGTTCTCCTAAAAATAGTCCTGGTGAGAAGGGTTATAGGAAATGAAGAGGACAAACGAACTCGGTACGATCGTTTCCTCGTCAACTGGGTCTCTATGTCTGATATTTCGCGTGGCGTAGGTTGATTGTCACCCACGAAGACCCCACCGTTCTCACGGATATCATCCGCCGACCAGCGACCGCGATGAGCGACGGTGATTTGCAATCGGCTAAACAAATCGCTGTAATTTTGCTGTAACTGTTCGATCGCCATGTCTGTCTCGTCTAGTGGTGCTGTAAGTTACCCCCTTCATCGGTACAACAACAACTCACCTGGTGGGAGCATAACTAGCACGCAGGCGAAACCCACTTTGAATTGCTCAGCCAATTTTTCTATACGTGTGTAAGAGTCGAGCGGCTCCAGATTGCTTTCATCCACATATGATTCTACCGCATCATTCCGTACTGGTTCTTTGAGTTTGAAATAAGTGAGCTGGGTAACCGTAAGTAGTGCGAGTTTGTTCTTCAGGGGGACGGAGAAGGATTTGATCCCGTGGTAGATATCCATCACGCATTCCTCTCTTTCCATGTAAACGGGGACAACGTTGCCCTCGACTAGAACATAGAACTCGACCTGAGCTGTTCGCAATGTCAATGTTCCCGCGTTTGAGGAATGAGGAAATCACTTACACATATTGTTGTCTAGTAAACCCGCCACCAAAATTCCCACGCAATGAGGGCGGAGATGGGTAAGTAGATGTGAGAGCTGTGATTGAACGTTGAACTCCAACCGGCGAGGTCGCTTGTCCCTAAGTCTGTCGGCCAGTCACGGTGCGTGTCACTTCAACGAGGATTGAAAAGGCCTGGTCTGAAAGGTGGGTCAGTACAGTCTCAAAGCAAATCAATGCGAGCCGGATGAATCACGGTGGTGCCTCAAACTTGCGGAGTATTTACTATGCCCATAGTGGTCACGGATGAGTTTCGTGTAGGGTAGGAGGCTCCTAGCCTCGTTGGCTGTCCGTGGACAGAGCGCTTCTCCTTGCTTTGCCTTGCCTCGTGTTTATCGGACGCTTTGGATCTGGTGCTCGGCATCCTCCGGCGCGCTTCAGTTCTGCGCTTGGGTTTGACTGTACGCTTCATATCTTCATACACTTCATTTCTTCGTATGCTTAGATTCTGCATCACTTGGTGCTTTTCCTATCTCTCATTTGTCTCTCACGACGTATATATGGGATTATGATCCACCAGCCCGGAATGTAAGTTACTAAGTATACACCCATGCGATGCCTTGCATATTGAAGTAATGACGGCACCACGCCCCTTCGCCGTGAGGAGGTGCGAAGAGAGGGTGATGATGCGCAGGCGCATATTCCCAGCACATTCTGCCGCAGTGCAGGAGTGCTCGCTGGTGCGTGTGAATTACAACTTTGCATTTAAATTCTTAACTTCGGTGGAATTGCGGAGGAGCCTGGCCACTCCCTTCTTAGTTCTTGAGAATTGTTCACGCCAACTCTCCTGATGTGCAAGCATTCCTCTGTGCGTAGCGGTTTGTTTTGTGATTCGTCCACCTGCGTATCTTACTCTGCATTCACCAGACACTCATCCTCGTTTGCAGGACATGTCTGGTCTGCTTCTAGACTACATTGACACTGCTTTCCAATACTGCCATCTCGTCGCGCTCATGTCACACGAAGAACGCTGCAGTCAACGGTATGGAAGCGTCCTAACGGACGGGCGGAGTATTATACAGTACAGACACACCTACGCTCCGAGACATACTGCACCAAGTAAAAACGGCCTTCCTCGATGGTTTCTTGTTGAGAGTGGGATGGAAAAGATGAAAAGTATTGTATTGCAGAAAAGATTTCGTGCGGTACGCTATCTCGTCGTGCCTCGGGTGCTCAGAAGGCGAATCAAAGGCCTGAGGAGATCGCGGCTAGTCAGACGATAACATGCTCCCCGAAGGTGGTCCGTCACTTGCCATCATTTCTTCTGTCTGCGCCCGTAACCTGTCTGAATCATATCCTCAAGCAGATGCCGCTCATGGAGGACTTTCTCTTCAAGCCTGTTATCTCTCGATGGTTTGCCCACATTGGCCGGCGTGTCGCTATTCGTCCGCAGGATATTCTGAAGTGGATTTCCACTGTGTTTCCTCAAGGATTCCTTGATGACCTTCCGGAGAGTATCCCTCGCCACAAAATACACTGTCTGCACTGGCAAGCCCGCCTGGGCAAGAGTGCGGTGCACGCTCTCGTTCGTCTCTCTCATGTATCTTCCGCGAGCCTCCTCGTATTCTCCAATCCGGGAAACGTGAACCGCTTCCAGCCCATCTTCCTCCTCGCCTTCATCATCGGCATTGGCCACCCGCATCTCCCTCTCAATAGCACCTATCTGTGCATCCGACTTTGAGCGAACAATGTACGACGGGATCTGGAAGTGTGCACAATATCGGAGCAGGGCGACATCTTGCTCTGTCAAACGGTGGTCGAAGAGCACGACGACGCAGTCGAACACGAAGAGACCTTCCTCGTTAAAGTGCTGGGAGTCTGGGACCTCCAGCGTTCCAATGCTTGGCATGTCATACCAGACGAGCGGTCTCTTGGGGTCGGGATCCTCGTATCGGCCGATGACTCTCGTGGTCTCGACGAACCCTGTGGGGGCCGCTCTGTTGTCCCTGTTCGAGAGGCCGCGGAAGGCGTTGATCAGGGAGGATTTTCCGCTTCCGGAACTGCCAGCGACGGCGATATGGAAAGCGCCCTCTGTGTACTGCGTTTTGGTCTTAGCCGTGCTGATCTGCTGGGAGGTTGGCCAGGCCACGGGCTGAATGCTCGCTCTCCCCTGCTGTTTGGCGTCTTCGTGGGTCACTTGGGATAGCGTCGTATCTATTTGCACGCACGGGGCATCATTCTTTGCTTCACTGGCTGTTTGGTCCTGGATATCTCGTCCTTCGTCTGCCATCCTTGGGGGGCACGAGGCTCCCGTCTCTTCTAAATTGTCTACCTGAGCTTGACCATCTCGCAATGTTTCGTCAGCTGTCCCTGCGAAGGTTCCGTCGTAACTTGCGAGCTTCCTTTCCACCTCGGCCAGCCTGGTTTTCATATCGGCCAATGCGGTTCCCTTGTCTGCCAATATCCTCTCGACATCTGCGAGCCTTTTGTCCTTGCTCACCGATGTCTTCTCCTGCTCTGCCCATATCCTCTCCCACTTGGCCATCCTCTTCTCCATGTCTAAGATTCTCGTCTCCTGTGCAGCCCACCTTACTTGCTCTGCGTCAAGTTGTTCCTCTGGCTCCGCAATTGGTGTCCGAAATGCTTCTTCCATCTGATTCATTTCCTCATCCTTCCTTGTTTCATCTGCCTTATCCGTTTCCTCCGCAGCCGTAGCTTCCTCTGCCTTCCTCGCTTCCTGGGTATGGACTGGTTTCTCCGCGCTCCTTGTCTCCTCCTTTGGGATAACCCCCAATAATTTCGTTCCTTCGTCTTCGCGATCCCTCTCAGCTTCTGTCGCCTTCGTTGCTTCCTCCGCCCTGATTGCGGCCTTTATCTTTCTCTCAGCCTTCTTCCTTATTTTCTTCTCCCTCTTACTAACGCGTTTTTCGTCTTCACTCTTCCGGATCCTTTCCTCCAGAGCTTCGAGCACCGGATTGGGTTTCAAGGCCTCGGAGTCGATGGTTGAAGATACAAGCTCTGTCGACTGCAGTGTACACATCTAGTTCCACGCGGGAACAGTCGCGGATGAGCCGCGTGGAGTCAGGGTTGGATGCGAGACTCAGGGCACTCACTGTCAACGTTGACGTTGCTTGATCGATAACTTCACGTGTGCATCCAACGTTAGCGACAACCTGAAGCCAACGATAACTCAGCGCAGTCCAGTAGTATGTTGTCGCTGACTGCACCTAGCAATATACGGCGATAGTAGTCGTCGTGGGAGCTGGGAGAACTCGGCGCGTGTAACACCCATGGTGCTTCGACGCACGGAGACCACGACGTGTACGGGCTTCTGCGGTTGTGTGAGAAAGACTTGCCCGAAGTGTCGAAATGCTTAAAGGCTCGGGAATGCACAGCGGATTGGCGCCTTCTAGCTCGGCGCCTTCCAGCTCGGCGCCTCCCCGCCCTAAGCCCAATTTGGAGTGCACCCGCCCTCGGCGCGCACTGTGACTTCCCTTTCATTTCCCTTTCATTATTGATCTCTTTATTTGCGGCTCCCACTGCGCTAGTAACTGATGGCCCTGTGATCACTACTCATCCTTGTGCGGGTTGCTCGGTGGAACGAAGCAGCATCATCCGAGACTATTGGCATAGGAAGTTCACGGCGATGTGGCATTTGGCACTGGCACTTCGCAATGGCACGTAGCAACAGGTGAGTACATATTTCTACTTTGTGGTCACGATATACTGTATGTGCAGAGCAAGGTTCCTACCTCAAATATATGCATGCAACGCCTTGCCAACACCACACTCCTCCATATTGTCGCCGCGGACCACGCCCGTTGTACTGCATGGAGCCCATCTTCGGCGTGCGCACGTGCGAAGAGAGGATGTTGATGGCGCGGTCACGTCTTCCGCGCACATTCTGTCAAAGGGCGTGATTTACAACCTTGCACTTACATTAGCAACTTCGGTGGCGTTGCGTGCTTTTTCAGGAGATGATGCAGGTCGATGGTCGAATTTTGTACCGTAGGCTCACCCTTTTCATGGACATCCACATTCTATGTCAGAGCATACAAGTTAAAACGCCGGACGAATTGCTGAACATCCTACGACACAAGATGTAACCTATAATACAAGATATCCACCAGGGACCAAACTATGGAGCGAGGGCCGGAACAAAAGAATATTTCAGTTCAGAGTCGCTGCTGCGATATGGTAAGTACCTCCATCGAATTTAGAAAGGCCTGCGAAGAATGCTAGTTAGGCGAAGAACGCTAGTCAGGCGATGATACCTATGATAGGGAACTTACCACCATTTCTTCACCCGGCGCTGGTAAGCTTTCTCGAGCATGTCATCAAGCAGATACTGCTCATCAATGATCTTCTCCTCCAGCCTGTCGTCCCTCGAGGACGGCTTCTTGCCCACCAGGGGGAGGCTCCGGAACACACCTCCACCTCTCTTCTCCGAATATTCCTTAACAACTTTTCGAAGTATATCTTTCTCCACCAAATATACAAGCTGCTCCGGTAAGCCTGCGTCAGCGAGAATGCGCTGCACGCTGTTATTCGTCTCTTTGATGTATTCCTCACGAGCATCTTGGTAAATCCCATCTTGCGAAACCTGGACGGTGTCCCACTCGTCATCGTCATCGTCAGAGTGCTGCTTATCATTCATAATGGCGGAAATTTTAGCCTCGGACTTCGAGCTGACGATGAAGGATGGGATCTGAAATCGTGCGCAATTCTGCAGCAGGCCAATGTCCGTCTCGGTAAAGCGGTTATCGAACAAGACGATAATGCAGTCGAAAATGTACAATCCCTGTGCATTGAAGTACTGCCAGGCTGGAACCCTCAAAGTGCCTGCGCCCGGAATGTCGTACCAGACAAATGGCTTGTTGGGATCAGGATCGACGTATCGACCGATTACGCTGGTAGTTTCGACGATCCCTGTGGGCGCTGTTTTGATGTTGGGCTCCTTGCGCGTTCTGTTGCCGCTGTTCGATATGCCGCGGAACGCGTTGATCAAGGATGACTTTCCGCTGCCGGCGATACCAGCAATAGCAATGTGGAAAACCCCCTCCTTGTACTGCACGTTTTTCTTCGTCAGCTCAATCTCCTCTCTGGTTGGCCAGACGATAGGCTGTATACCCGCTTTCAGCCGCCATTCCGCGTCCTCGCGAGCAGCTTGAGCCTTCGTGACTTTGGTCCTCAAAATTTTGTCCTTAGTCCCTTCTTCTCGCCGAGCTTGCCTCTCGGCAGTATTGTTCTTAAGCAGAGCTTGAGCGTCCGTCGCGTCTTTGTCCAGGGATTGATCTTGATCCTCGGACGCTGGTATCCTCTTCATGCCTTCCGTCACCTTCTTTTCTACAGCGGCCAACTTGGTCTCCATCTCGGACAACCTCCTCTCGTCTTCGGCCTGTCTCCTCTCCAGAGTCTCGATTCTCCTGTCTTTTCTCGCCAACCTCTTCTCGCTCCTGGCGATGGCTAGGATCACCTCCTGACCATTGTTCCAAGTGTTCTTTAGCTCTTACGCCATCTTCTCCATAATGCGATTAGCATGTGGTGCCACACTCACCTCGTCTTCCTTTCTCTTCTTGGTATTTGCCAACCTTTCCGCCTCATCGATCTTATGTGCTTTCCTTGCTTCCTCCGACTTTCGCGCCTCCTCTGCACTCGTTTCCCAAGCCATCCTATCTTCCTCTAAGGTCTGCATTAAATTCGTCATCCATTCTTCGTCCGCGGACCTCGCCGCTTCGCGTAGTCTTGCCACGGCTTCCAATATTGCAAGTATTGGGTTTCGTCTTGGCAGGAACCTCCACCAACTCAATGATTGTGCTCCACCCATCTGGACACCGAAAAGGATAGCGGATCGATGTAAGTTGCATCTCTGCAACGGAGTAGGACACTCACTGCTGTTGGATACACGAATTATTTAGCAATTACTTTGCATGTAATGATCTACAGGTCAAGATCGGTCATCGCAAATTGCCGTTAATTCCTGCTTCGCTCACCTGTGAGTACAGCGCAGTATCCTCGAGAGGCCTGGTGAAGCAAACCATGACAGAGTGGTGGTATACTGTGCTGCGCACTCCGGCGCAAGGATGCCATGAGGCGCACGGTTGTTCGCGGTTGCAGGGGTATTAAACTCTGAGCTTGTTCACTTCCTGCACCCTTCACGCTTCCTTTGACTTCTTCGCTGAACTGACCCCTTCTTCGCCTTCTTTGCCTCGTTTTCCTTTCGTCGTTTCCGCCGTCTTCTTCTGATCTTCTTCGCGCTGTTTTTTCACTTGTTTCGAGAGTTGGTCCGCATTCGGTCGACTAAAATATAGGGAGGTTCAGTTGGTTGTGATACTTACATTCCAGAGTTCCGTACATGACTGAATGACGGATTTAGATGAGCGGACGATATAATACTTATGCTCGTTACTTTGCTCGATAGATAGCGGCTGTCCATGAACAAGTTCTCTGTGGACGATAATCTGAAGTTCATGATCGGTTAGCGCAGATTCATGAAAGCCGGTTGTTGCTGGCTATACCTAGCGCCATTGCGGCGGTTGGAGGAGCAAGCGGAGGCGCCTATGAAGCAGGATAAAATTGCACCCGCGGAGACCACGAGGAGTACCACGCGCGACGGAGCATTTCGAATATTGCAAAATGAATCTTAATGAATCCTTAACTTTCGACTGGCGGAACTCGGGATCTATGGAGGAGGTGAGAAGTCTTTTCGCAGTGTCGGACGACGCCGAATCTCCCGCCCTGATGCCTAAATAGGAAGTACCCGCCGTCCTGGGCATTCGATGCGTCTGATCGGCCGATGGCGCCGCGCCGTGACCATCGATCTCTTTCGTAGTCTTCGCCCTTCTCTCTATCATTCTGCCCTCATCACTCGACCTCTCCTTTATATTTTTCAGGGCGTACACCACGACATTCCGCTGCGACTCCTGACGTGCGGTGTGCGGCGGAGACCGTCGCTTTTCTCTCGCGATCGTATCGACAGAGAGAGCAGCGGCGTTTCTCGCCGTCGAGCTGTAGCTCAGAGCGCAACAAATAATACAGGAATAATAAGAAGATTGTGCGCATTGTCGATCAGAAAGAGATGATGTGAGCTACGGCACTCTACTACTTATGTCCAAACACCATCCTCCGTTTTGGACGATAGACCAGCTACTGCTGCACGACATTCGCTCAACTCGCGCATATTCCTCTATGCTTCCGACGCAGATCGAATTACCCTTTGCAATGCCAGGGCGGCGTAATGCTCTATCGTCTTGTTTCTCTGATCCATGAGATAGTAGTCTGAGGTCGCTGGCTCTGTGATGTAGCAGTGGTGAGCACATCCCCACGACTTTGTACGTGCCGGTGCCAACACCTTGTCACTGCGCTGATGAATGGGATAGGTCAAACTGCTTTTAGTATGTCAAAGCTCATATCGAAAGTAATCCCACAACAAAAGACGTAACTGTAACAACCTGCACCAGGCAGAAAAACAACCCTACTAGGGATAGAATTTTGGAGCAGGGGATGGGAATAACCACATGGTATCGCATGTTAATATCTCTGATGTCTCCGTCGTGCTGAACGCAGTGTACTTATTTAGAAAAACCTGCGGTACCACAGATAAATCAGACGATGGCTTGCCCCGCAAAAGTAGCGGCAGACTTACCACCATGGTCCCGCAGTACGCTCGTAACCTGCTCGGAGCATGTCGTTAAGCAGATTCCGCTCGTCGATGATCTGATCTTCGAGCTTGCCGTCCTTCGAAACTCTGTCTTCCCTAGACGGCTTCCTGCCTATCAGGGGGATGTTTTGGAACAGACTGCTACTGTTCTTCCTCGACGATTCCCTGACAACCTTTCGGAGCACATCCTTATCCACGAGATAAACTCTCCGCGGCGGCAGGCCGGCAGCAGCAAGATTGTGCAGAACGCTCTCGTTCGTCTCCTTGATGTATTTCTCGCGAGCCACCCGGTCATTTCTGTTGTAGGATCCATGGTCCGCGTCCCATTCATCTCGGTCTTCCTCATCAGAATCGGACTCGGAGTCCTGCATATCCTTCACGATGGCCGCAATTTTGGCTTGCGATTTAGACCCGACGACAAAGGATGGGATCCCGAATCGCGCACAATTCTGGAGGAGGGCGATGTCCGTCTCTGTGAACCGGTTGTCGAACAAGATGACAATGCAGTCAAAGATGTACAACCCCTGCGTATTGAAGTACTGCCAGCCGGGAATCTTCAGTGTTCCCGCGCCCGGAATGTCGTACCAGACGAACGGCTTCTCCGGATCGGGATCGACGTATCGACCGATGATGCTTGTGGTCTCGATGATCCCAGTAGGCGCTACTTCAAGGTTGGATCCCTTGTTTATCCCCTTGCTACTGTTCGAGATGCCGCGCAATGCATTGATCAAGGAGGACTTGCCGCTTCCGGCAATACCTGCACTCTCTTTGCCGCCGCCGAAATCTCCTCTGCGCTCGGCCAGACGACTGGGTGCGTATCGACTCTCATCTGCCGTTCAGCTCCTTCGCGCACAGCTTCGTCTCTCGTAGTTTCGGCCCTCGCACTATGGTCGTTTCTGCGTTCCTCGCGCATAGCTTGATACGCCTTTGTTGTCGACACTTCACCAAGAGATCGACCTTCCCCCACCGGCATCCTCTCCGGCGGTTCTCCTTCTGCGGGTTGGGCCTTCCTCTCTGCAGATTTCTGGTCCATTGGCCTGGTCTTCACATCGGCGGACCTCCCATCCTCCTCGGCCAATCTCCTCCCCTCGCCCTCCCACCTCTTGCCAGCTGCCAGGATTGCATCCTCGTCGATGTCCCACTTGTCGTTCAGCTCTTGCATCATTTTATCTGCCATGATCCACGCTTGTTGCTCCACCCTTCTCGCTTCTTCCCTTTTCTGGACCTCTGCCAACCATTGCTCTTCGAGGTCCTTCGCTTCCTCCGCCGTCATCCAGTCGTCTTCGGTCTTCTTCATCTGACCTATCAGCACCGCAACCGTTAGAAGGATAGCGAGCGCTGGGCTTGGCCTTACGAGCCACGGATTAGAAGATGCCCAAGTCGACTGTGTTCCGCCCATCTGGAATGCATACAGTTGAATGCGTTGGTCTCAATCACATTTCGCCCACGGATGGAGGGTACTCACTGCTACTGGGTCTACGAATTATACGTGCACATTCGACGCGTGAGCGATAATCTAGAGCTCGAGGTGGGTCAGAATACGTTGCTGCTAATTATCGTTTTGCTTGCCGTTTGCTATGGTATCGCAGGAGCTTGCTACGGGACGAGTGCAGGAACTGCCGGAAATTAATCTCCGCAGCACCGTGATATGGGCACTGCGAAACCTGGCGCAAGGACACCGTGAAGTCTGCGAGCATACACGCCTTGCAGGTGGATCGAGCTTGCAGATGAACACGGTGTGTGCGATTCGAGACAGCGCAGTTGTGATAGGGCAGAGAACAGCATTTGCATAGGGCTGTTGCCGGATCGTTAAGGTTCTAAGATCTGAAGTATGAAGTAAATTTCATCTCAGGGAAAGCATGTTAACGCCGCGAGGCTATCCTGCCACCTAGAAGCGTATCCTTTTGAAAGGTACCAGACGCGGATTGGCACTCGGGTACCGTGGCCAGCAAAGTAGGGATGATTACTAGTACTCGTGGTTGGGTAGGGACTGTCGTTCCCGCGAAATGAGGCACTTACAGCGAAAGTAAAACTTTCCGCTTCGGGCTAGGCCTATTATATTGCCCTCTTCGCTGTGTCCTTAGCATCTTGGTGTCTCATCGCGCCTTCGTCTACTACCCTTCGCATGATTTAGCTTGCCTTGCTCTGGAGTCTGCTACCTTCTGTTCCTTGGTCATGTCCTCGCAGCAAGTAAAATATCATGGTGAAGGTCACGAAAGATCCTACGGCACAAAACATAGCCTACAATGATCTGCACAGGCCAAAAAATATTCTTCCACGAAAGATCGGATCACGAAGTGGACGGGAAAACCGTATGCGCTGTTGTGACATGCGAGATATCTCCTCTTGGGCTGAAGCGCTATGAAGGACTTGAAGCGACGAATACGAATCAGATGACGACCCGTGCTGCTTGCTAATTTTGTAGGAGACTTACCATCAGATCATCCTGCGCTCGTAGCCCGTCTGCAACATGTCGTCAAGGAGACGTCGTTCGTCGATAATATTCTGCTCGAGCCTGCTGTCCTTCCACCAGCCTCCTTTGGGCGCCTTACTGCCTATCAGCGGGATATTCTGGAGCATACCACCGTCCTTCTGCTTCGAGGACTCCTTGACAACCTGCCGCAGTATATCCTTCTCCACAAGATAGACTCTCTGCTCCGGTAAGCCCGCATCAGCTAGATTGCGCAGCACACTGTGCTTCGTCTCTTTGATGTATTTCTCGCGAGCCACTTGGTAAATCCGGTCTCGCGAAACCTGGACGGTATCCCACTCGTCATCGTCGTCGTCCGAGTCAGAGTTGGAGTGCTGCATATCATTCATAATAGCGGAAATCTTATTCTCGGATTTCGAGCTGACGATGAAGGATGGGATCTGAAATCGTGCGCAATTCTGGAGGAGGGCGATGTCCGTCTCGGTGAACCGGTTGTCGAACAAGACGATGATGCAGTCATAGACGTACAATCCCTGCGCATTGAAGTATTGCCAGCCGGGAATCTTCAATGTACCCGCGCCCGGAATATCGTACCAGACGAATGGCTTGTTGGGGTCAGGATCGACGTATCGACCGATGACACTCGTGGTCTCGACGATCCCAGTGGGTGCGACCTCAACTTTGGACCTGCGCATCCCTTTCTTGCAAGCGTTGGAGATGCCGCGGAACGCATTGATCAAAGACGATTTCCCGCTTCCCGCGACGCCAGCAATGGCGATGTGGAATAGGTCCGCTTCGTACTGCACGATCTTCTTCGCCGCCTCGATCTCCTCTCTGGTGGGCCAGACGATAGCTTGTATACCCGCTCTCCACATCTTCTCCGCCTCCTCGCGAGCAGCTTGGCTGTCAGTAACTCCGTCCGTCGGACTTTGGTTTCCGCTTGCTCGGTGCTGAGCCTGATCCTGGACCACATCTTCTTCAGCGAGCGTCTGACCGTCCAATGCCGACACCGTCCTCATCCCTTCCGCCGTCTTCTTTTCTACGTCTGCGAGCATCTCAGCCATCCTCTTTCCTTTTTCCTCCAACCTTCTCTCCTCGTCAGCCCTCATCCTCCCCACGCTCTCGAGCATCCGCTTCTCTTCGTTCTCCCACCGCCTCGCCGCAGCTGCTAGCAGGATCTCCTGTTCGGCGTCCCACTTGACCTTCAGCTCCTTCACCATTCTCTCCGCCACAATCCTTGCCCGTTCTTCTAATCTCATCTCATCTTCTTCCTCCCTCCTCTTGACGGCCGCCACTCGCTCCTCTTCAGTTTGTCTTGCCTCCTCCGCCTTGCTCGCATCCTCTGACTTTCTTGCCTCCTCCGCTTTATTTTCTTCGTGGGCCTTCTTCACCTCTATAATCAGTTCCGTCATGAATCCCAGCATCACAAGTACAGGATTAGGTTTCGCCACTGGGGCGTCCCACCAGGAGGCAGGTGATTTCTTTGATTGCGATCCGCCCATCTAGACCCAAAGGCGGACGCATCAGTCTCAGATATATGTCCTGCGTGAATGTAGGGGACTCACTGTCGTTAAATGTGCAAGTTACGCGTGAATAATCTGTGTGTGGGTGAAGGCCTATGCGGCTTGCGATCGGTCAAGGTACGTCGCGGACAAGTAACCTCGCTCACTCTTCCGTGCAATACTGAAGCCACTGGAGAGACTCTGGAGTGGGCAGAGGTAAGTTCGCTGCGCCAGATTGATATTCTGGTCTGCGAACCCCGACGCAAGGACACCATGAGGCGTTCGAATGCTCGTGGTTGCAGATGGATTAAACTCTGAGCTTGTGAGATGAACATGCAGGTACCGATGCAGATATCGACATAGCACACAGATGAAATGAGGCGGCCGTTGACAGAGCTCACACGGGAGTATCCTATGAGTCTTGCTCGAACGTCCTAAAGTGCGGAATATACTTTACAGCGAGCGATAGCTCTGCACAGTGAGACACTGTCCTAGCACAGGGAAGATCAAGCACATGGTTTCGATGCAGATATCAGTTGCCGTTGTCACAAGGTCCGATCGCTAGCGTGGCGCAGAAGTTGATCTAGTTGCAACGGCATTAGAACACGAAATACGGTCCGAAGAAGATACTTACATATCACGCCTTCACTCTGCGTTCGTAACACGCTTCAAGCATGTCACTGAGCAGCTCCCGCTCATGTATCATGCACTTGTCGAGCTTACTCCCTTTCAAAGTCCCTCCTCCTCTGAGCGGTTTTTTACCCTTTTCAAGACTCCTCCCGGCATTGCTCCTTAGCGATTCCCTGACAACTTTCCGCAGCGTATCTTTCGCCACGAGGTAAACTCTTTGTTCTGGCAAGTTCGCCTCCGCAAGGCAACGACGCACGCACTGAGAAGTCTCGCGAATGTACTTCTCACGAGCTTCTTGGTAGTATTTTCCGCGGGCAACATGGTCCATGTCCCACGCGTCTTCGTCGTCTTCATCGTCGCTGTCCTGCATATCTCGAATGATAGCATCAATCTTGACCTCCGACTTCGAGCCCACGATGTATGATGGGATTTTCATGCGTGAGCAGTTTTCGAGGAGTGCGACATCCGCATCTGTGAAACGATTGTCGAAGAGAACGATAATGCAGTCGAAGACGTAGAGTCCTTGGGCATGGAAGTACTGCCAAGCTGGGATCTTCAACGTTCCTGCGCCAGGGATGTCGTACCAGATGAATGGGTGACGGTGATCGGGATATCTGCCAATGGCGCTGGTAGTCTCTATGAATCCAGTGGGGGCCGCGTCAGGATCCTTGCCGTTATTCGAAATGCCACGAAACGCATTAATCAAGGAGGATTTACCGCTCCCAGCGACGCCGGCGATGGCAAGATGGAATACGCCCTCCTCGTACTGAACTCTTCTCTTCGCGGACTCGATATCCTCCACAGTCGGCCAGACGACGGGCTGAATGCCGGCCCTCCACTGCCGCTCTACTGCTTCGCGGGCAGCTTGATGCTTCATCGCGTCTTCATCTGCAATTCTCCTCTGATATTGGGCCTGTCTTGCTGTGGAATCTGCCATCCTTCTCTCCTTGTCTGCATACCTCCTCTCCTCATCCGCCGCCCTCCGGTCCTCCTCCGCCTGTCTTCTCTCTGCATCCGCCAGTCTCCTGTCTTCTTCCGCCTTTCGCCTGTCCTCGTTCGCCTTCCGTGTGTCATCCGCCTTCCTCTCCTTTTCCTCTGCGCGCTTCTTCGCTTCTGCTTTCTTGAGCAATAGCGCTTGCGCTCGCAGGTCCTCCATGACCGGGTTTGGTTTCGCTGGTTTAGAGCGGCGCCACCAACTCACAGAAACCCCTGCTGTACCGGCCTCGTCGGGAGAATTTCCGCCAGTTGACTGAGATGCGCCCATCTGGATGGTAGAAATGGATTTTCAATTTTATTTTCGTTCTTCCGTCACAAAACAGCTAGGACTCACCGCTGTTCGATATTTTACTCAAGTGTTATAAAGGATTTGGTGACCTGAACAATTCAGTCATTGAACGCACTTGACGATGATTCCTGGACCCGGATCGCTCACCGTGTAGTGGAGTGGTCAGACGAGTTTGGAAGCGGTCAGATGGTATATGTCTGCAGATAAATGTGCAGCACCGCAAGCTTCGGCACATGTCCACCACGAGGCTGACCGGCGCAGGTCTATGAAATATGAGCTTCTGTGACGGATGTGCCTGCACTATACAGCATGGGGATTGGATCTGCATAACCCGGTTCGTCAAGCACATTTGAAGGAGCTTTGACAGGTCGTCCTAGGGAAGCCCTGTGAAGTTTCAAAGAAGTTAGTCTCCCTGGATGCGTGACTCCGCAACAATATTGGAGAACCCTCGATCACCTTCAACCCCTGGAACTTAAGTACTCGCCACTTCGCAGAGCAGTGATGGTGGACAGGGATTACACACAAAGCGGTGACAAAGTATCACGTCCACGTGCAGGTGACGCCACGCGATTTTCGACGGACAGTCAATGATCAAATTACTAAGATGATACAGGACAAGATGATAAAGCTGTGGACCCAACAAACACACCATTATTGCAACGATCACACCGCGAGTAACACCAAAACAGCTGCAAAATCATAACTTAAACCTCTAGCTCGCCCCGGGCTGCTGAGCAACTTACCCACAGAGGCAAGCAACTCCGCCTGTATCTCCCTACTAATAGAGAAATGCTCATTCAGCGAGGTTTCTGAAATGAACTTAACTTATACTGCGTGTGTGCCACAATCTCTCGCTCTTTCCGATACAGCTCGCGACGGACAATCCGCAACACATAGATTGTATGATGGCCGTGAGGATAAACATACCAAAGATGATGAGCCTGATCACGACCAGGTCGGCCCTGCGGGCAGACTGTACCAGCTGCAGATCAGAGCCCAGGAGCACCCATGCACACGCTCGTAGCAGAGCAAGGACAGCAAGGCACGCTTACGCCCAAATCTGTACACCGCACACCGCGGAAGGTGCCGTCACATAAGGGCACCGGGACGGCAGCCCTGCGCACGGCGAAGGCGAACCAGGGCCACGGACAACTTGGAGGTATGCGAGTGACCGCATGTCGAGCATGGGAGCCCAGCACTTATACATGCTGTATTCGAACACATCAGAAACGGAAACAGGCTGGGGAAGTGGTGACTGTAACGTACCAGAGGGCACAAAGTTCGCCGAGAAGTGTTCTAACTGCTGAGGATTGCAGTACCCGGCATTTTGCCCCAGACAATCCCGCAGAGAACCGCAAAGAGTTCGTGCCCAAAAAATGGCATTGAACACAAGGCAAAAAACAAATCGAGATAGGGAGAACCCAGCTATGAGGCATCTTAAGCGGAGGTAGGTATGCACGCGGGAAGGAGAATGCCCCGGAAACTCACTCGTGAATACTGCCTGCTACTGGCTGTAGCCATTCAACGACCTGCACATGGAATACACCGAGTATCGTGAGCAGGATATCCATTGCTGCGGACATCACCACGTACCCTGCGCCCCATCATCAGTTGAAGACGTACTTACTGTACACGCATCGATAGGAACAACGTACAGGTCCATAAAACCTCAGACGCTGGCAACGTAGGAGAAGAACTGCATTCCGCAGCATATCGCCATGTCCTTGTCCAAAGCAAATATAGGAACGTTCGGAAATTGTGAGTGTCAATGTCACTGAAATGGTGAAACGGTGCCATAAGTACTCTCAAAAAGGAAGCGAGGTCTTCGACACGCGGCGCCGACTCGGACATACAGCGTGTCGCATAATTGTGTGAAACTCCCGGATTTCTCTGGTTTATTTGGCCGGGGCAAACAAACCCATATCCGGTAGGTCGGGTGGATGCAAACAAATCACGGCTTCACTCTGCCTTGCATTCGTCATTTGTGCCACTTGGTGGCTCACAAAGTTTTACAATGTACTGGGTACGTGTTCTAAAGTGCTTCCGTATGCTTTGCTTCTCTTAAGTGAGGTCCTGTAAACCAAGATGTAAGTGGTCAAATTTTGGGCGTAGTCCCCGATGCAACCCCGACCTTCCCCTTATGGCTTTGTTTGCGCAAGACAAATAGCGCACAAAATCCCAAATTTCACGCAATTATGCAACACGCTGTATGAACATCCTCCTCATAACCAAAGCCGTGCTGCTTGAAGCATCGATGCAATCCTTGGCGTGAAAATGCGTACAGTCACTTCGTGGCAGCAGCTGGACGACGCCCGCTTCCTCATGTGGGCAAAGCATCGACTCGTAGGCGAGTTCGTTGTCGCGCCAGACTTCGTGAAGAAGTGACCCTGATACCTCAAGTACGTATATTTTATTCTAATGCCCCATCAATTGTATTCTTGACTGTCAGACAGCACCCGGTTATGATGCAAAATATGGATTTTTCTGGATGTATACTGTATTGACTTTATCGAGGTCGAGTCTTTTGCAACTCCATGTCCTCGAAAGTTCCTCACGTCCCTTTCCTTCTCCGTGTTGATTATCGGCGCGTACGTTCACTTCCCTGCTTCGAGTCACCGTCTGCCAGCTCCGAGTCTTGCATCGCCATTTTAATGAGGGCCTAACACACTGTTGTCGCTTCGAATGATGTCTGCGGAACGATCCTCGAAAGAGTACTTAAAGGTGAGCTTTTGTCTGCGACGTCAGGAACCTCCGAGACTATGGCGATGCTTCTGACTCACCGATATGATTTGAATGGAATGGGAACAGCATCTGACGTCACGCTATCTGCACGATCAGTCTCAACCTCAGACTGTATCGGCATGTCTTGCCTGCATGCCTAGTCGACCGCATTATGTCGCCGTCATCACAGACTGACAGGGTAGATCCATCTCCGAATGTATGCCGAACGTACATAGCCAGATTTAGACTCGTCCGCGTCGAAGAACACGACTCAGTGCAGAATACTCGTCTCATTTCGGGTGAGAGAGGCAGTCAAGCTAGGGGATGTCATATGTTTGATAAGCACTCGAGATCCACCATTCTATGTTACACCTAGCTATGCAGACAGGATGTACAAGATTACAGGCATACAGACATATCAAAATATCAAGGTGAAGGAGCATATGCGACATCGAAAGCGACGAGAATGAGAGCATAGGACTGCAGTAACATCGACAACAGCCTGAAAGACAGCATGAGAGCATAGCGACATCGAAATTCACTCAAACGAGGGGCACGATTCGACTCAGACCTCTGTGCCAGCAACAATGACGGCGTAATGATCAGGCGATGGTAGGGGAGTCGGCTGGCACATCACCAGCAGCAGGCTGAGCATCGCCATGATCAGTAGTGGCCTTCTAAGCAGCAGCCGCATCAGCTGCAGCCTGTTGAGCCTTCAATATCACATCCTGTGCGGTCATCATCCACTCCTCAAATTGTTCCGCAGACACCTTTCCCCTGAAAATTTCTTTCTCCTTCTCAAAGAGTTCCTTCAGCTGCCCATGCTGATGACGAAGGCGAACTAGGAATGTCGCGAAGTGGAATGCCTGAAGAGGGTCCCCGAGGTCGAACGTGCAGACGTTTCGCTCTATGATATATATCTTTTTCTGCAATGGCGAAACGACCGGGCTCAGATCTAGCTGTCATCGAAGTGAACAGTGCACTGACCTTCATCCCCGGTGACTGCCACGAAAGTAGGACAGCGCCTACCTTGCCGTTCGTGACCAGAGCAAAGACCGGATATCCCTCGATGCCGAGCGCAGCAAGGAATGTCACAGAAGCGACGCAGTAGAACCGTCCCTGGTTAAGGGACTTGGCCTGATCCTCATCCCAGCGTTTGTACTCTGCAACCAACACGGGAAGCAACAACTGGTCTCTCGTAATTGCTTCCGGGTCCCTGCGAGGTATATTGTCGTGCTTGATCGAGCTCCCCGAAACCAACGGACTACAAGAATTTACGAATGGATCTCCCACACGATTCCGCAGGGTAGACTGCGCGGACGGTGCACGAGAACGCGCGGAGGTCGTCTTCGGCGTGGAGGTCGTCTTCGGCGCGGAGGTCGTCTTCGATCCGGATGCCTTCGGGTGAGCCTCAACGGCAGGCGTTGGCGGTGGATGGGATGAAGTTTGAGATGCCAGTTTCTCAGGTTGGTCCTTCTTGCTTCGCGTCGTCAGGGTATGCTGCACAAGTGCCTGTTTATTCAGAAACTTCCGAGTGGCTGGGGAGTCCTTGTCGTCAAATGCATCTTTGATGCCGCTGACCACAATGGCGTCGCATATGCCCCTGAGTGGCTCCGATGCAGCATGTTTCCTGAGTATGTCAACCATCTCGCCAGGATTTTCAGAAAGTGAGTTAACTTGAACAGAGAAATGCAAAGCCTGGGTGGATGCTGCGTCGGCCTGAACCTGAACAGCAGTGCTATAGCGGAGAGAGTGTCCTTGCACCGCTAGGCAATGAACATAATAGCTCTCTGCAAAGTTCTTCTGCTGTTTAGCCAAGCTCTTCTGCTTCTCTGGTGAGTTGTCGTCAAGGATGAAATCTATGGCCTTGTTCCGAGGGAATATGAGTTCTCGTTCTAACCTGCATATTGAACCATGAGCTTGATGATGTATGCATGACGACAGAGCTCACTCACAGAAGGTAGGGAGAAACAGTGTGCTCGGAATCAGGGACACAGAACTGGTAAAGCATTCTGTCCCAGTCATGTCTTGCCTCTGCTTCATTAACAGGAAGGCCAGACGAGGCTGCGTGGTGAGTGTAAGCACCCATTGATGCATAGAGGATGGTGGAGAATCGATTAGATAGGATACGCATGTCTGCTTCATCTAATTCCACCGGTTTCTCCTTGAGGGCTGAGTAGTTTTGAAACAAGTGCTCCAAAACTTGTTGTACTGCCTCATCTACTTGCGGCATTGCATCCTGATCTCGAATGAGGACAAGGAACAGATATCAGATGCACGATCTGAACACCCACTATACTTGACCACTCCACATTGCACCAAGCAAACTCAACCACGATCTTCTTGTAAGTGTCGATCTTCTCGTTGATTTCATCGGCATCCTCAGCATCGTGAGGCAACTTGATCAGAGCAATCGGAAATGCCTTTCGCTCAAACAGCCAAGTGGCAGGCGTCACCAACCCGTCGAGTGCAGTTTTAACCTTCTTGGCCAACCTGGAGACAGAATCAGTGGGGCACAGTGGTACCTCACGAATACAAACACTCACACGGAACTCGACCTCTCGCTGCGCGGTGCGACGGAATCACTCCTGCTCTTCGGAGCTTTCGATTCCTGCTTTTGCGACGCCTTGTCAGTCGCTGGGGTGCGTGACCTCCCCTTGGTCGCAACGGCTCCTTCCTTGACGCGGCTATGTGACTTTCTAGAGCCACTTCCTGTCTGAGAGCCAGCGCTTCGAGTAGTGGGTCGACCTCGCCTGTATTAGCAAGAGGATGAGCAGATTAGTCGTGAATAATAACTCGGGAAAGGCCGCTCGTACCCTTGGGTAGGTTTCCCCGGGCTCTCGAGGATCATCGATAGGTCGCTCATATCTGACGCGGGGGACATCGACAAGTCAAGTTCAGCCTCGGGGTTGCCTCTGAGATGGGAGGTGGGTGAGTTGCGCACATCTATTGGCATCTTATCAAGCTACTCACCCATCGCTGCGTGTATCGATCGTACTTGCCCAGTTCGCTATCCGTGTTCCCAAGTCACCATTGTTGCAGGAATCCTCACGTTTCTCGAGATAGTCGGATCTCCAATGGAACGCATCGATTACCGGTCGATGCTTCGATTTTGACACTATCCTCCGACAATGCGCATCTAGACCGAGCACAAAATGCGCTAGAGCGAGCGCCGATTGTGGGTCCGTGAGATTAAAAATCCCAACTGTCATCCCGGAGTGCGAATGTGTAGTGGCACATGCGATGTGTACAGCTGGCTGCAGGTTTATCAGTATCAAATCAGAGATCAGACCGGGCAAACCAACCAAGTAATTACCATCGGCTTCCGCGCCGACCCAGCCCAACAAGATACGGGCTACAGCACCAGTCTTCGAGACCTCGAATCCGACCACGGGTTCATCGATATCCCAGACACGTCGCTGGTATGCGACACTTGTGACCAGGGCTCCGATATTGTCCGAATCAGCCACACAGATCACAGGCAAAACAGCGAATAACCGCCGACCGGACCCACGCAGCACATGCGCATCAAAGGGGACGTCGATAGCGGGTCCACTGAGTTGCTCGGAGGTTTCATCGGTGCTATCCTGATCGTCAGTGTAGTCACCCTCCGAGTATGCAGTAGAGTGAGTGCCGTCAATAGAGGTTCTCTCTGAGTTGTGAGAGGATGATGCATCTGCACCATCCTGGTCGTCTTCTGGCTCCGAGGACGCGTCGACATCCATGGCGTCCGAGGACGAGCAGGAGTGGACGAATTGACTTTCATCCACTATATGAGAGATTAGGAGAGTGGCAGTTCCATCCAGGATGACCTGGCTCGATCGTGGCGATAACCGTGGTAGAATGAACGATACTTCGTCCCTGGAGTGGCAAAAAAATCTGAATCGAGCAATTCCGGAAATAAAAATACACGAACATGTAGCAACACTCAGGTGAGCATGCTATTCCGATAACTTTGAAGAACAAAGACCACAGAGGAACAGTTGGTCGAGCGCGGCCACAGTCTTCGAGAGATTCGAGCTCACGAAGAGCCGCCACAGTTGACAGAACTAGGTCGAATACCTTATTGACGCGCGAGACAGACTGTCCTTCGTGCTGTAACTCTCGTTGACGCGGCGAATTCTCACCGAGCTCGTTCAAGAGATAAGAAGCGAGCGGGGAGACGAAAGGCCATGGTCCAGTAGAAATATAATCGGGAAGAGGTTGGGTGAGCAGATGAACAACCTCTTGGACCCTAGGAGGCCAATCCGAAGAGTTAGCTATATCGTGGAACACAGTAGATGGGCAGAACATTTTTGTGAGAGGTACGCGTTTGCCTTAGTAGGTTGTGGCGGTGGCGGCTGCTGAAGACGCGGTGTGACAACCTGTGACACTCGCGAGTTTGAACGCCCTGAATCTAGATTAAATCTAGATAAGTGTTCAAGTAAGTGGTTCTGCACCCGCTTATGACGGGCGTGGTTACGCCACATCTTCTTTAATTAACAAGCAGACCAGGCATCCGTCATTTTGCTTGGCTACGGGGCGGGCCAAAGCTCAATATGTCAGGGTCATAGCACGCAGATCGCCCAAGAATCCGGCCCTTTGTGCTTTACAGGATTTCTAACAGCGGCGCTTTAGCGGTGACCATGACAGACCTCTGCTATAAAGGTGGGGGGAACCAGTCGACCAGTTCCTCTCATCTTCACCGTTTTTATCATGAGTGCACCCGGGGTGAGACCTTTCGTGCTTGCTTCGGTATTATACTCAGACTTATGCTTAATCGTACTAGTCGAGCACAAAGCAGGATGCGCATAATCACTCCGCCTCCGGTGATGATGAATACACTCCCAGAACACCTCGTCGCACTCCAATGGCATGTCAATTTTGCAGAGGTGAGCAATCCTGTCTGGTGCCCCATCGTCCATTCTCGAATTTTGTCAGGCCGCAAAATGAAGTGCGATGGTCGTCAAGTGTGCTCTAACTGCAACCGCCGTGGCATCGCATGCACGTATGCGCCAGTGTAAGTGATTTATCCTGAATCAGTCTCGCATTGCGCTCACCGAGTGCTGCAGTGAGTCTAATAAAGTCAACTAGTTGGTGTTTAGGGTAACCTTGCATGACTTATTTCATTGTGCTTCTTTCGTTAGATTAGCGATTAGCTAGCACCACCTACTTGTGAATGGGTTTGCTCAGTGTTGAGTCTTTAAATTATGGAATTTGATTGTCTAATATACCAATTGGATTATTACTAAACTACGCTGTGCCAATCAGAGGGATCAGTACCGGAGCGAACATTGTCTTCCAAGTCTCAAAGGCTCAAGAGAGCGGGCAAATAACACTGAAAATAAGCAGCGAACACAACAGGGACATTCCGCCGCTACCAGTCACCTTCACAAATCTGATATCCCGATTTCACATGTTAGTGTCATCCCTCGTCGACAGTCACGCGCGAAGGTTTGTTGTACAAGAAGACTTCATAGCTTAGACGGAATCTTTCTTTCAGGAAAGGACAAACACATACCCGCAGCGATTCTGGAATTTTGTGCAGTGGGGTATCTATTGTACACGTGTTTTTTGGACCCACAAGCTGACCAGTTCTCAGCTGAGGTTTTCATTGAGGAGATAGTTCCGCTAGTATGAGAGTTGAGACTCGCCCGCGGAAGCAAGGACTATGACGAATGAGATGTCCAGCAATCTTTCGAGCGAGATAGTTTGTAAAATCAATTCATACACATACGTCAAAGATAAGCCTGACGTGGTACACCTCTGGAATATACACTGACACGGTGAGCGTTATTAAGAGGAAAAGACCAGAAATTACATACAGTTAATTAGACAGTAGGAAAAGAAAAATCATGTCCTCACCAAGGCGTCCAGTAGTCGGGGCGCGCTGCGGTAGAAGACGTGGGCCAGTGTGGCTGTGACAGTATCCCATCAGCACGCATTTTAACCGTCTCGACACAACGTTCCAAAGCAGTTCCGTCAATGGCTTCTCCATCATATCCTATCACAACTTCGCGAAGGGGATAACCGGCGTTTGCACGAGAATCCGAGAAATGAATGATGTTGTCGAACATTGGCCGTGAAGTGCCGAGATGCACATGCAAAATCGCAAGACCGGGGCAGCGAGGCGGAGTTCCTGTCCGTGTTGGAAGAAGATACAAAAGAGAGTGAAGTAACGAGTACTGGGGATTTGGTGCAGGTAGACATGAATGGTGGCGATACACAAGCTTCGATAAGGATGGGAAGAGAGAGAGATTGAAGGTGCTGAACAATTCTGCTGCATGAAAGTCGGGTAACCCATAGTTGGCAACGTCAACGTAGAGTTCTCGGAAGTTGACCTGCGGAAACAGCGCGCATAACGTCCGTGAAATTTCATCTACTCGCCAATACTGGATGTTCCCCACTTCAAGTCGTATTCCAGTATGTACGTTGGCAGCAGTGACTACGATGTGACCATCCTCCGGAGTTCCGGACCATCGCATGCCGAGTGTTGTGAAATCATATCCCACGACAAGGTGCGAAAGCACCCTCACAAGCACTGCTGCTCCGTGGATAGTTGTCCTGAATATTCGAATTGAAACGCCGGCGGGCATCGTGATGTGCCGAAGAAACCATGAGCTCCAATCCGGAGCTGACCCGTCGAGGACAAGTCTTTTAAGACGGCTTAGGGTAGCACCCGGAAGATCGTCGCTTGCACTGCGCTCCGGCACTGGAAGACGTGGAAATATGAGGATGATATCCTCTAGGCTGGGACATCCGGAAAGAAAAGTTACGAGGTCACGTGATGGATAGTATTGTCTTCGAACGACCGGAACGCTTACGAGATGGTGGCAGAATAGATGTTTCAGGGACCCAAATCGATTATTGGGTAGCCAGGAGGTATGTAGTGTTAGGACTTTCAGCCTGGGTGCGTTTCCCCTAAACAGAACTGGGCGAAAATCTGAAGAAGTCTGATCATTCCCAATAATCGTTAATTGCTCAAGCGCGGGAGCACCAAAATCTAGGCTAAGGTGGATCCTTGTCTTGGAAAAAGAGCGCATCCGAAGCTCTTGTATACGTGTGCTATTTGACTGGAGTAAATCATCCATGAAGGACGCGCAGGTCTCCGTCAGCAGCACCTTCAGAGGTGCAGACTTCGAGCGCGTCAGAAAGATCGGGAGTGAAGACTGAAGCGATCCACGAGGAATATCAACGATATAAGTCCAGAGTGATGGACAGTTTATACAGATCTCCCGCCAATGATGACAGACTTGGGTTAAGGTGGTCAGTCTTCGCGTAGATCTCAGCTTGGAAGAAGGCCAATCGAATAATTGCCAGGGCCTCTCGGGATCTAGAACATGTTCAAATATGTGTTCAAGGAGTTCTGGAGGGATCCGATTGACAGGACAGGCGCCGTTGAGTGAGATTCGAACCAGCGATAACGCACGAAGCAAGAAACGTTCGAGGGATCGGAGCTGAAACGTTTGTCAAAGGAATCCGTATCGCAACCATGATTGAGGTGCTCACAACACTAGTGCTGTTCAGGGCGCAAAAGAAGGTCACATAGTTGTCGTTATCGTATGAATGATTTAACATACCTCATTCGATGGCGTTCAGCCAGCAGCTTTGCCAAAAACGCCTCAGAGTCAGGCCAAAAGGTGAACTGTGCTTGTTCCATCCTTCTGAAAGATTGCTTCAGTAAACCGTAATACGATCGAACACTCTGTTTGCTCACCTTAAATTTCTTGCACTAGCCTCTGGTGGTTGTCCAGGCCAGCGCGACCGTCGGGGAAAGTAGACGCTCGAGATTGGTAACTGATCGTCTGGATTAGGAAGGCATGAAGGAACCCGCTTCGACGAAAGCCTTCTGAAGTTTGGCTATGGCATCCACTTTCTCCAATAGCGTTTATAGTAAGTCTCCAATACAGTAAATACGTGCTTAATCAATTCTAAGGGAGAGGCGCGACATATCTTTGAACCTCCCTACCTAAACACACATTGAGGTGCGAAGAGATACATACTAGCTAGGAAGTTGATACGACTAATAAAGTTTTAAAAGGGTGAAACGAAAGACACTTTCTAGTATATAGCAATCGCATGAGCATCCCCAGAGCATCCCCAATGACGTCGAATCGCGGCTGTCAAAGGACTGCATAGCACAAGCCTATTCTCGTCACCACGGCGCCCAGTACTCGTGCGGTGCTGCAGTAGACGTGGCGGGCCATTGTAGCTGGGAGGGCGTCCAGTCCGCACGCATTTGGGCTGTCCCGGAAGAGCGCTGCAAAGCGGTCATATGTGCATCTTCTCCATCGAATCCTACAACCACTTCGTGCAATGGGTAACCAGCTTCAGCCCGAGCCTTCGAGAACTCAACGACAACGTCAAACATCAGCCGCGAACGGCCAAGACGTACGTGCAGAGTAGCGAGATCTGGGCAGTGAGGTGGGTTCCCTGCTTCTGATGGGAAAAGGCCTGACATTGAGCGCACAAGTGCGAGGTCAGGATCTGGCGTACGTGTGGGGTGGTGATACACAAGCTTCGACAATGACGGGAAAGCAGAGAGTTCGAGATATGGGAAAATGCACGATGGGTCAACCGACCTCCGGTCCGGTAGGCGGTACCCAGCAACGTCGATATGAAGTTCGCGGATGTCCGTCAGCGGATACAACTTGCACAGAAATGGCGAAACATTGGCTATTGAAGTGAATGGTAGGTGCATTTCAATGCGCATTCCTGTATGAGAGTTGGCAGAGGTCATTTTGACTCCAAAATTTACCTGCATGCCTGAGAATTGAATGCAGAGCGACGTAAAACCACGCACGACCGGAAGACTCGGAAGCACACGTGCGAGCCTCAGTACATTGGTAGCTGTTGTCTTCATTATACGAATGGAAACACCGGCGGGTATGGAGAGATGGCGAAGTAGCCATGCGTTCCGTTCTGGGCGCGGACCATCCAGAACAAGCCGTTTCAGGCGGCTGAGGGTAACACTTGGACTGTCCTCTGCAATGTCCTGGGCAACATGATTATACGGAAGAACGAGGATGACATCTTCCAAATTTGGACATCCAGATAGGAATCTAATGATGTTGGAAGACTGGAGATTGACTGCATGTGAGGTCGAATGAGATTTGAAGCGGCAACAAAGTTGCTTTAGAGACCGGAAACAATTGTTAGGGGTCCAATACGTGTACCACAAAGTTAGACTCTGCAGCTTTGGTGTGTTCCCCATGCAAAGAAGAGGATGAAAATCCGTAGAAATCGGACCATTCCCCGCGATCGTTAATTGTTCTAGCGCGGGAGCCGCAAAGTCCAGTCTGCGATGGACATTCGTATTGGTGAAAGACCACACAAACAGCTCTTGTATTCGTGCGCCATTGGTTCGAAGTAAATTATCCATCCAAGGTAGGTCGTCCGCCGTCAAGAGCACCTTCAGCGGTGTGGATTTGGAGCGCGACAGAATGATCGGGAGTGAATGTCGAAATGATCCAGGAGAAATGTCAACGATGTGACTCCACAACGCTGCACAGTCCAGGCAGATCTCCCGCCAAACGTGACAGACCTCGGCTAAGGTCGACCGTCCTCGTGTAGACCTCAACTGGGAGGAAGGCCACCGGAATGTCTTCTTCCCTTCCACGGGCCCCAGGACGTCTTGAAAAATGGTTCGTAGGATCTCGGAAGGCAATCTATTAATGCCGGAAGCATTGTTCAGTGAGGTCCGGACGAGTAGTAGCGCGCGATGTAGTGTATCTTCAAGAGACCACAGCTGAGAGGTTGATCAATTCAAGAAGCAATCTTAAAATTCGACAAAGAACTCACTGCGCCAGCGCTTTCACAAAGGCGGAAAGTAATAAGCATAATATCTCAGTTGATGCAGGGATGTCTCCACATACCTCATTCGACGACACTCACTGCGAAGCTTGTCCAGAAATACCTCTGAGTTGTCGCAATTAGACCAGAAGGTGAAGGACGTCGGTTCCATCCTTCTTAGATGGTGTGGGTTTGAACGAGGTTATACGCCTACCTAGAGGTCCGTGACTCAAGCGAGCTGCGGACATAGCTGATCTCTCGGCATCCCGATAAGGAAGTCGTAGTGTTCGCGTTTCTACCATTCTGACGTGCTTACACGCACTCCCACCTTGTATAAATATTACAACGGCGCCCGGAGCAAGAAGATAGTTCTTAACAAGATATACTAATACTAAACATACATTAGCACCACTCCTGCGGGTATCAATGTATCAGGTTTGACACGTAGGGGTAAGCAGCCAGAGCGCAGTCCGCCAGTGTAGGATATCGGTATGTACATATACACAGACACCGGCTGTGGTTAAAGCTTGATACAATAAAGAGAGCTTGAAGTAAATGGGGATGCAGATAGCCAGGTATCGCGGGTGCGTAGGATATGTGCGTATGAATAGCCGCGAATAAGCGCGACATCAATAGGTCTACGGGTGGATCCACAGCCCGGCCTCACATCTCATCGCACGCCCGCGCCTCCGCCCTCGTACGCCGCGTACGGATCGCTATACTCGGCCACACCTGTGTGCACCCCTCCTTGCGGCGCCTCCGGTGCACGGAGCGCAGCGAACTGCGCTGGCGTGAGTGTCCGCGCCGCGGGAGCATACGCTGGAGCGGGTTCATACACCGACGCATATGCCGAAGGAGGACTGTGCGGCGCGGACATCGGGAGCGCATAGCTGCGGGGTGACGCGATGCGCTGTAGGTCTGTGAAGGGGTTCGGCATGTCACCCACGTCTGTCGTGACTGCCGCACCAGGCCGAGTGGCGTTATCGAAGTAAAGGCTCGCCGCGGGCGCAGAGACTGGCGGTGGGGGTATGCGCCGTGTAGAGATGGGTGGTGTAGCGACGGGACTGCGGTATGGGTTTCGCGAGGGCGAGGGGACAGCAGACGCAGAGTGGGGTGACGCCGCAGTGTTCTGCTGTTGTTGTTGCTGTGGCTGTGCACGGCGGGGAGAAGGCGCATATACTGATGCATCGCCGACATAGCCAACCGCGCGGCCGCTGCTATCCCACTGCTGGTGCATGTCGTTAGTGCGGTTGAGAGAGGTGGTAGAGGGATCGGGGTTGAAGGGCTCAGAGGCGGGATCGTAAGGCGTTTCATATGCAGCGGCCAGGATCTTTGTTTGTCTGTGAGTTTGGTCAGCCATGGACAAGTTTTCAGATGCAAAAAAATTCGCACCTGGCTTTGCGGCGGTCGTAAATGACCAAAGGCTTTACCTGGTTCATGCGGTGATATATGTACCACATGGCAACGAAGGTAATTATGATGGTGATGATCAGTACAACATCCTTTATAATGTTGGACTTGGAACTGTTGCTCCCGTTCTGAGACTGCTCGAGGGCGACACCGAGATAGACGGTGATAAACTGCTTCGGAAGCGAGAAGATGGCTGCAATAGTAAACGTCCAGACGGACATACCGCACGTCGAGAAAACCGCAGTGGTAAAATGTCCTGGGATCGCGCTAAACCGGGCAATGAGTGCGATTTTGAAGCCGCCATCGCGTACGATCCTCGCTAAGCAGGCATACGATAGCTCCGACCGCTCAAGCTTCTGTCCCCGTGCTGAACAGCAGTACCTGAACGCGCTGGACGGCGGGTAAGCGAGCGGAATCAGGGGAAATTTTATGAGCGACGCACTAAAAATTGCCCAATTCGCCGATTAGCGTGCCAGCCGCCACGATCCCGAATCCTTCCCACAGCCCCCATACCAATCCAGCTAGAATGGCAATAATCTCGTGCCCAAACAACGGAGGGAACGAAATAACGAACAGAATGGCGATGGGGATAAGCCAGCCTGCTGGAAGTCTGAGGTGAGGGTGTCAGCACTGTCGTAAGAGAGAGAGAGAACGTGACAAAACACGTTATACGTAACAGGGAGCGAGAGAATGGCGTATACGTCGAGCTACGAGAATCCAGCATGCAGAGACAAGCCTCGTCTGTACCACAGGTGGTATAATCACAGCTACTGCAGAGCATCGGTGCATGCTTCGAATCTACAAGAACCATTTATCCGTGACTTCACACTTCCGCTACGACCTTGCATCACAAGGTCAAGAAGCACGTCGATGAGAAGCGCATCATCATCAGGAGACATGACGACCAGGTAGAACCATTCTACCGACGGTCGAAGTGCGAAGGCACAAGGTACCTCGATGTCTACGCGTCCTCGCCTCTACGTATCGCGGAGCAGACGCCGGCACCATCATCGCCTAACAAAACGAAGAGAAAGGCTCACTTATGCATCCAGTTCGCTGCAGGCTGCAGCCAGTTGACAATCTTCGTGTGGAACGCGGTGAACAAAATAATGAGCACCAGCGCGACCGCCCCCGCAACGTAGTACCACAGCCACTCCCGCCGTAGCCAGAACCTCCAATTCGCAATGGCTTTCCAGTCGAAGATGGACGTCTTCGCCAGCGCAGCCTCCTCACTTGGCGTAGGGCTTGGTGTGCGCGTGCCGTCGGGCACTCCCATGGCCACCACAACGCCCCCGCCCTTCCCCTTGGTTGCCAAGGGCGTCCGGTCGCTATCCTCGCTATTCAGCGACATTGAGCTCGTCTGCGGCGGGCCTGCATTAGGTGGGTAGGAAGCTTGTCTCGGATAGGGCCCGAGAGGTATCGAAGAGTCGTTGTAGCCCGTGTAGGTCGCCATGCTAGTAGTGGAGTAGTAGGAGGAGTGCAGAGAGTCTGCAGGTGACCGCCGTAGTGTTACTAACCCGGTTCGGCTGCGTGAATTAAGCGGATTCACTCGCTGTCCTTACTGTTTGTACTTTTGTAGCGACCCAGAGTCGTGAAGAAAGACAGAGGCGCAGCAGGAGGCTATGCGGTTTCACGTCGTACAGGATTCCACGTGGCTTCTTGCAACTCAATAAGCCCTTGACCGCAGCCGCGGCGCGGACGACAGCGTCACTGCATCCACGACGGCCGTCTTCCATCGTTATGTTTTCTGCTCACGCGTTCTCGGTGCGCAGGACGCCGGCATCACCGCTTATGCATCATGACCCCCCCCCCCCCCAATTATTCAAGTTCGAGATATCTCATCGGCGAGTCATCCTCGTTGAAAGATCTCAATTGACTTTCGCGTATTCGGGACACTGGAGTCCGTGCTGACCTGGAACTATAGTATAACTATATCGAAACCCGCTACCAATGTCTCGTCCGTGTCCGTGGGCGTCCTTCGCTCTTCGCAACCACAGCAACGCTGCGACTCGTGCCAGAACAATGACACTGCTGTGACTGCGGAATGCTCTTGTGCTCAGGTTGGGTCTTGTATCGTAGGCGGGGCCTCTATGTATGGCGTCTCTGACTCTGCCATGGGTGTGGGTACCACGCTTCGCTCAGTTCTCGTTTCCGGTGTCAAGGACAGACGCGATGAACGGCTGGTATACCAGAGTTGTGGTGGAAGGATATGCCCACACCAACTCAAGCTTGGCACTACCGGAGACGAGCCGGACATCGATGCTGAGGATGAGGACAAATCTTCCTTAAACGATTCGCAGCAGCGCTTCGACAATACCGGATGGAACTGTCAATGATGAACCGCACAACGGTTATTAGGTTTGGCGGCACCGACCGCGCAGCTTCGCCTTCTCATCTGTGCAGGAATTCGTGTCGCGGCCGAAGTCAGTTTCGTACTGTGATCAATCCGCACTCGGCAACACCAGCTCGCCTCCATACTGTTGATCAGTCACGATCAAGGGAGCAGGCTCGTATCGGGGTCTCTACGTATTTCCGAGATATTTTGAGCCTCTATTTGCCAGGTCGTATTGACTTGGACGACGCAATGTCTCACCAACGTCTAACCCCACTGTTCGTTGTAGTCAGGCGACGCTGTGTTGGAACTGCCGGACAATTTTAATCAGGTGTAAAGTTCCAACTTCTCAGCGTTCGACCCTTCGATACCACTTGCTTACCTTATCTCACTGGCACCATCAAGCAGAGACAGCTGTTCGCTGTCTTCCCACCCTACAATGGTCGCTGCTACTTAGCATCTTTGACTTCGTGCTCTCATGCTGGTCGCGCTCTAGCTGCTGCCCAGTGCGGAGGAGCCGCTCGGACTTCTACGACCAACACTCAGTATGACGGTCGCAGCACTGAACCCGCGACGTCAAGGTCGCAGACATCTTCTCCAAGCCAATGATCAGGATCTCAGTCGCATCTGCGGTCTTTGCGCACTGTGTGTCATAATAGGACTGGAAATATATCGACCTTACTTCCACACCAGCGACAGCCTGCGTTCTGGATCTATGCATATTCGTATTACAGCGGATAGTCGGATCATGGTGAAAGTTTTTACCGTCCGATGGAAGCGTTGGCTGCCCGGGCGGTGTGAAGTTTCATATTGAGTATATGTACTTCGTGTTTAAATCATGCAGGTTCCTCGTTGATTGCGAAGTAAATAGGTTAACGTTATCTTCTGACTAGACTAGCGACCAACCGCGAACAATGACACACTCGCTGGAATTATGCTTGATATTCAGTTGTGATCGAAGCAGTATGCCTTGTATACTCGTGCACATCTCTGACGTCTTTTATTCTTAATCATGGTTGCATGTGTTCTCGACGGACTCACACTCGCTTTGAAATGGTTCGCTGGCGTAGAGGTGTCGGGTATGGATTCAAGTTCACATGTATCTCGCACCACGGAACGTCTGCCTAGAGCTCAGTTGTCGCATAGAAATGAGCACTGGCGCTTTCTCGGGAGGTTGTGGAACGAACAACATGCCGGGATGCTAATGTCATTAAGGATTTTTTCGTTAGTCGACTATGCATTGCCATGCATTTCAATACCACTTTTTGATTTTTGTGATATAATGACTCGTCCGCCAAGGAACAGGGTAGCTTTCGCATGGTGTCGCCAGATCGTATGGTATCGAGTTGCCTCAATTCGGACGTCGTAAACTTGGGCCCGGCGATGTTTGCTGACGGAAGGCTCAGTAGCCATTGTGCAAAGTGTTCCTAGGAGCCGGCGGCGGCGAAGAATGCTTCATGCAAAGGACTGATATGGCGAGTTATCGTAGAGTAAATTCAACCCTGTCGAATATAGGCGTACACGAGCAGTACTCCCAACTTAAGCTTAAATAAGTCCTGTGCAAGTGGGCGATTCGAACCACGTCGCCTTCCGTATTTAGACGAGGTATACGCGTGGGCGTTTCTTTAGCCGACGTGTTGCACGAGCGGAGGCGCTGGTGCCAACTGGTGAGTACATCATCATTCGCACAGTACACAGTTCACCAGCCAAGGCTGAACAGACTTTCTTTTTTTCACCGCTATAGAACATGAATGCATCAAATTTCACCCCTTGGCCTGAATGGTGCGGACACCCTGAGGTTTTCTTAGAGAAGATTCGGAGTGAACGGCACAGGACAAGGTACGCCAAGGCATTCATATAACTAGCCACATCATGCTTAGCGATTTTTTGGGTCAGCATGGATGAAGTAAGTCCGTGTCTTTGGCTAGCATATGTCTTCTGACCGCTGCGTTAGTTGCTGTCGCTTGAGCGCTGTCTCTGTATGGCATTGTCTCTCGTTCGAAGTTCCACATGCCCCATCAATAGGCTACCCATAGAAATTCTCGGGGATATTTTTCTACTCGTGATGCGTCCGGTGAAGCCTAAGCACGCGTTCATCTGGAATTCTTCCCGTCTGAGGCACACACGGGGACTCACAGTTTTGACCAAAGTATGTCGTCACTGGCGAGACGTCTGCACTAACTTCCCATTCCTCTGGAGCCATATTTCTGGCGCACCCCGAGATGCCGACCCTCCCATTCCGCTGTTTCTGCAGCGCTCCAGACCTGCACCGTTGACAGTGTATCTGCCTGCGAACTCAATTCCTTCGGCGTTATCTCTATTAGAGTTAGAGTCAGAAAGCAGTCGCATACAAGAACTATTTGTGCACTCCTTCACCGAGGTCGCGGGCCTCCGTTATTCTCCTGCTCCAGCACTAGAGCACCTGACGCTTCGTGCTGACTACGTGGTTCCTCGCGCTCATCAGCACATCATTCTCTTTGATGACAACGTACCTCGGCTCAAAACGTTGTCCATACATACCATCGATTGGCTTCCGAGCAACCATTTCGCGTCTATCACACATCTGTGCTGCTATTTCAGTGCCAACCACCGCCCTTACGACGGCCCACGAGCATCTGACCTCCTTGCGATGCTTGCTGGTTCTTCGAGGCTGGAAGACATCGTCTTCGTCTTCCCGACTTTCGCACTGCATCCACAGAACTGCGGAAGTCGCCCAAATGCTAAACTCGACCATCTACAGCGACTAGCCCTCGGTGGAATGTCTCCGACGTGGTTGTCGTGGCTTTTCTGCCACGTCGACATGCCTGTGAATGTCGCTATGCGAATATTCCAGGTGAAGTCTCGGCATATCTTCAGAACTGTGCACGTTCTGGCTCAAGCTCTTCTGCAGCACAGTTCCACGCTTCTGGAGCTTCGAGGGTCACCAACCTCGTCTTCTGCCATTTTTGGAACAACCGCCGCAGGTTATTCCACGGGCATCCGTATCGACGTGAATGACGAGGATCATAAATTTCTTCATACTCCATCACTGCTGAGCCAGCTGTGCTCGCTACGCGGTGTGCAGGAACTATACATTGATATCGTCGATTTCACCTCAGAACGAACAATAGATCTGGGTCCGCTGCTCCAGTTTCTGCCCTCGCTTTCGAAATTGGCATATCGGCACCGTTCACCTTCATGGCAGCTGTCCTCAAGTTTGCTCCGCTTTCTCAAGGATTGTCTGGGAGCAGAGGGCGGAGATTCGCCGTGTTGCCCAGACCTTGCTGTCCTACACGTCATTGTCGGAGACTCACACTTGATATTCAACACTGTGGTAGAGCTCGCAGAGGCTCGGGCAGATGCTGGGATTCCTCTACGCGAAGCTGTCGTGGGGTACGAAGGAGACGGATTAGACGGATGCGCTTTGGGACAATTTGTCCAGAGGGTTGAAATGCGTCCGGACCACAGGCTGTCCAGAGCACGATGGCCCACTGTGTGCACGACACGGACTCATCGGTACTGGCCGGCGTGGTGAAGGTCGCACTTGTAAGTTCGGGTTCACTACGCATATTCATCCTTCCAGCATTCGCTCACTCCTTCGATCGTCTCAGGCGCATTTGTTTCTCGTCTATATTTCCATTCTGTTTTCTGTTGAGGTCTTTTCCATCCATAGAAATACTTGTGTATATACCATGTAGTCTAGCCCTCGCATATCATGTGGTTTAGCCCTCATTCTCCTTGCGACACGGTGCATCTATTTTTTTATTGACCACTGCCGCGACAGAGAAGAAACTCCGCAGATATGCGTCTCTTGCACTTTTATTCACTTTTATTGTTGACTGTCGATGCTATAGGCGATTCCAAGCTGGATGTTGTCCGAGTCCACAATCCTCGCCGAAACAGTTCTATCATACGCCGTTTACCAAATAGCCACGTCAACTACACCAATTACGTCAACTACAAGAAAAAAGTAATTATCAGTACGCTCGAAATAAGGCATGAAAGAATACACCCACCCATGCGTCAAGAGGTCCCTCAGCATGATTGAATTTCCACCAAATCAACGTATGATTCCAGTTTACTTGCATCACAGCTCTCAGTCATCCCCGATGCAACCTCGACGATGCACTTGCGCAGCGGACGTCCGCAGGCACGACGGTCGCATGCAAACGAGACCATATCATCAATCATCGTCGGGATCTCACCAACGCAGACATGCAGAGTCGCGAGGTGCGTGCAGGGGCAGGGCGCAGGATCGGGACCGGAGCTAAGGGGCAGCAAATGCTTGAGCAGGCGCACGAACTGGTCCTTATTGCCCTTACTGTACACGAGCACGGACAGCGCGGGCAGCAGCGCGAACAACGCGGGGAAGTCGAAGAACTTCTGGATCCAGCCACCGTCGATGACTTGCATCTCCGTGATATTCGAGAGAGCCATGCGGTTGGCGAGCGATGCCAGTAAGGCAGACGTCCAGCCCGGGTCTTGGCTTTCCTCCACATGCTCGATCATGTCGTCGATACGGAGCTCTAACGAGGTGTTCGCAGTAGATAATGCGACCCGGACGAGAGCTTTCATAGAATTATCCTTGGCGGGAGCGAGCTGTATATGAAGCTTGCGTAGACCGACGAGCTCAGGCAGATGGGGGAGGACAGGTAAAAGGGTAGTCTCGATGCCACTACGGCAGAGCCAGAGAATCCGGACTGTTACATCCCCTGTAGGTATAGTGACATGGTGCAGAAACCATAAAACGAGGTTCAAGGACACGCCTGCCAAAATGATAGTCTTGAGATGCCTTAACCTGATGATAGGCAATGTGGCGTCTCTCAGCCCCATGGGATGTCTAGGATGAATGAAGACATCTTCCAGTGCAGGACACTTCGCCAGGAAGGACGACAAATTGTAGAGTGTCCAGTTTGCACGAGGCAAACCAGGCCGTTGGATGAAGGATGAGAGGTATAGACGTGTAAGATTCGTGAAGAGATTTGCCGGAAGCCAGGAAGATGACTGCAGCGCCAGCGAGCGTAGCAATGGCGCTTCGCCTTGGAAAAGCTCGATGAGATATGGCCTATCGGAGATGGGATTCGACTGAATTGCCAACTGATGGAGAGCAGGAGCAGGGAAGTCGGTGTAGATCCGCGGATCCAAGAACGAAGTAATCCACAATTCCTGAATCCTGGCGCCGTGGGTTCTGCCAAGGTGCAACATAAACGGACTGAGGGCGTTTGTGGTACTGCATACTTTTAACGGGACATGCACAGAGCGCTCAAGGAATACTGGCGTGAGGGATGTATGATCCGGAGAGTCGTGAATATGACTCCAAAGAGCGTGATGGCTTAAGCTGATCTGCCGCCAATGATGGCAGACGTGCGAGACTTCTCTAAGACCTTTTGTGGATCTTAAAGAGGTCGTGGGGGAAATCCATGTGAATATGTCGCCGTGCAGCTGTACTGGCTCAAGAACTTCTTCAAATACATGACTGAGAATCTCCGGGGGTAAACGGTTAATAGGACACAACGTATTGAATTGGCGTCTGGCGGTCAAAGCAGGAGCATCTACAAGATCTTCGCTGCAGTGCATCTGTTAGGGTAGTCAGCACAATGTCTTCACTCGTGCACGTAGTGATATGTAACTCACCGAAGCGAGGCTGAGACGATGCAGTCATCACGATTAGCCTAGTGAGCTCGCAGCGGAAAATAAACAGGCCCACCTAATATGAGGGTCACTATGTCGTCGTCCGCCAAGCCCACGGTGTCACACTTAAGTAACCTTTACAGTGTTTTGCATAATTGCGCAAAACTCGCCAAAGTTTAAAAAATTTGGTGAGGACAGAGCCTAAAACGGAAGGAGGAAGCTCGTGATCGAGCACCACCATCCCCGGGCCAGAGAATCTAAGAAAATCTTCACTCTTGATACCAGAACCTCACAGCGCTCTGCAGCTAGCTGGGAAGCAACCAGCAAAAAGTAATTTTCTTGAAAGGCGACGGGAAAGCCAAACGCGGCTCGTAAAGGAGCTTGATCAACTTCGAACGAGGAGTATAGCACTGAATCCACCGCTGGCCTGAACGCATTCGCATCCTTCCCCGCGAACATATCGCCCTCTGCGCCTGAGCTGTGTCTCTGTCTTTGATGACACGTTGTACCGCACAGGCGTTCTTCAGCGGCCTTCAGGGTGAGCCCTGCGATGGCTCCGTGAGCTCTAGGACGACCAGCAGGTGAGCTCACGTCTGGAACGTCCTAAGCCCTTCTGGCGCTGACGACGCCCTGTCGGCCGACAGCACAGGAGGGCGTCCGATCCATCCTCCGCGAGCCCTACGTGGACGCCAGTGCGGCGACTTGGTCGGCATCACGGAATAGTGGTTTTATGACCGTTAATTAGCGTGCCGCACCGATCGCCAGGGTGAGCTCACCGTTTGGGAGGAGTAGTGATAATCGCAGGACGCGCTAAGCCTCTCCAGGTGATCGTGCGCGGACCTGTTCGCACACGTACAGGGCGCACCAGGTCAAAGTATAAAGGTTCCGCGGCGCTGCCGCTACCACAATGACTGAGACGAGCCTGCGTTGTTCTCTTCCCATTGACCGTTGTTGCGATGGCTTTTGCTAACGCTTCGCTTGGGACTGGGCGACAGGAAGCGCGTCGTGTAGCAACTGCCTCCAGTCGCTCTTCGGCCATTTCGTCAGAACAGGCAGAACACACGTCGTTGATGGACATTCACTGTCGTATTAATCGTTCTGATGGATGCTGCGTATGCTATATGGTGCCCGGAACTGTAACACTAAGTGGCACAAAGTGTACTCTCAAAGGTACACCTCGCTCCCAATATGTTCTCAGACCTCAGGCCGTAGGAGTAGAATATTATACAAGAAAGGTCACGGAGGAATCTGATCAGCTTAAATTCTATTCCATTTATCCTACGGGAACGGCAGCGCGACCGTGTACGTCTCTGACTCCCATTGAGGCGGCTTGAGGAACTGGCGAAAACATCAGGCGGTCAAGTTACAGCGTGCCAAATGCAGGCGCATAGTCGACTCGAACTCACGACAGCGTTAGGGAACACCTCATACTCAAACACTGGATCGTACTGATGAGGACCTGTAAGAATTCTGAGAGACGAGGAGTAGACGCACGCAGCTTGAGCTCCCGCAGAGGTTTGGTGCGCTTGAAAACCGAGAGCCCGTAGATCTCCAAGGTCTCAGTGTCCTTTACGCATGACACAAGGGGCGCAGCACACGTGAGTAACACACCCCGCACACTCAGCGCACGACACACCCACATTCTTAAATCGGAATCCAGATATCGAAAACGCGGTGCCGGTACCATCGGCCATAACGTCCCCGGTCTGGGTGCCGAGATCGTGGCGGACGAACACCTGCTCGAACTTGGCGTCGAACATGTACGGCTCGTTTCCGCCGTTCAGGAACATCGCCATCGAGCGCTCGAACTGTATCGTGTCTGCCGAAAACACCAGTGCTAGCAGTCAGCTTATCGCTGCAGTGCACGCCAGAGCTTCGCGCGTACACTTCGTGTCCGGCATCTTCTCCCCGTGCGCGTTGTACTCTGGCTCCCCCGAGCCCGTCGGCGGGAGCTGCATCTGCGGCGTCATACCTTCCAGCTTGACCTTGAACTGCATCTGCTCAAACGGAAAAAGCGAAGAGTATGTGCCGCGCCCGCCATGGACGAGCACGACGTACACGACGCCGCCCTTCTCCTCGAAACGGGGCTCCGTGGGGTTCGCGCCGGTGATAAACACGTACGCGGTCACTTGCCAAGCGATATTGTCCTTGAGCGGCAGAACAAACTCCTTGCTGGAGCATCGTGAGCAGTGGCTACAGAGACGGGTGCACCAGCGCAGCTGGGGGCGTACCGGATGAAAAAAGCGGTATTGACCGGAGGCGTCAGTTGGTCCACGTATAATGGAGACGCGGCACTGGCGGGAGCAGACATCTTCTCCTTCTGGTCTATGAGAACGTGAACGGATCGTTGAGAGTCGCTGCGCCTGAACGGGCTTATATATGCCAGGAAGGGGGAACCGCAGGTGAAATGAGGGTAGCAGAAATACCACTGAGTAAGCTACACAGCGAGGAAGCGCGCATCCTGCTTAACCTTCCATTCACGCAGGACAGCCAGTGCCGCTCTTTCGACTCCGTGTGCCACTTGGAAGTGTCAGTTAGCATCTGCGCGCCGGTCCGCTGACGCATCTGAACGTATAAAATGCAGGGAAACTCTCAGAGACCACGTGAAACTGGGGAATTCGATGACAGGATGAACGCTGCAGCGGCAGCTGAGGCGGTGTAAAAACGACAGCTTGGGAAGCCTCTTTGGTCGCAAGTTGGAGAATTCCTATGACAGGGTGTACGATGCAGATGCGAACAGTAAGGTGAACGAGTGTACGAAATAACTGAATAGGATCCGGTGTACGCGTGAGAAGGACCTGCAGAGGACATGCAAGAGACGATCACGACGGGACACTTATACACTTCTCAATTTCGCTACAGCCGGATCATTGAGGAGTGAATTGCCCGCAGCGAGAAGATGATCGGAGGATCCACGGCACCGACGACAGTGGCAGTATAGTAAATTCCCCTCACTCTTCTAGTACCGCACGCCTGTCGAGTTAGAGGCGTCATATATGATACGCGTAAGATCTGGCATAGAGTCTGTCACCCCTGGGTAGAGATCAACCGCTGCTGCCCATATATTCATAGCCCGTGTAAAGTGCAGCAGACGGTGAAGACTATCTCTCGGCAGGTCATACCAGAGTGAAAGTGTATGCGTCTCCCAGTAGAGGGCGTGATGTCGCAGAAGTATCCGCATTGCGGTTTTCAGACATAGTAAAGAGGATCGCCAGACACGAATATCCCGATGCACGAAGGTTGAAGCTAGCAGAGTCTTTGCTTGGGGAGTCCCATTCGAGAGGATTGTGGCTTTGAGCGGAATTTGCTTGACTAGGATTGTTACGGTCTTCGACTACTATGTGTAATTGTTACCCATTTCTACATTCCAAGTTCGCTGAATACAGGCGGCCCGGCTGCGTCCTGCTCTGGCCATGCTGTCGTCAGAATCTCTCACTGCGACAGCTGTCGATACCGATATGTGGACGTCGCACACACATGCACAGGATCGTCCTCATGATTAAAGCTTAAAGCTTAAAGTCCCACCATCAGAAGTGGGGGTTATCTTGACTTCATGCACAGTTCACTGGCAGTTGCAATGGTATAGGGCTCGGGGCATTCAAATCGTATTCTCTCGCCGACGTAGAGAGTGAGTTTACTGAGTAACGGTCCTTCAACAACTACGCAAATAGGCTCGCTGTGCTGCGATTTCAAAGCAAACGACCCACAAGCTGGGATATCGGGCTGCATGTCCGACCATTCGCTCCATCTTGCTTGCTGGTTTCAGCCCCCATGAGTAGCTCCTGCTTATCGATATCTTGAGGCTGTATAGGCCTAAGTCCGCAAGTTCGTATTGTTTACTTTCCGCACTAACGATTGGCCAGGGCCACTTTGTCTGCCGTACTCCATTGCAGAGTGGCTGGCTGCCAACTAGAGGGACAGAGAATTCTCTTTCATGATGGCCGTGGAGGCGTTCTCGACGGGGTGCTCCTTGCTGGCTGCATGTCGTGGGAATGGGTATCCTGTAGTCCGTGAGCCATCGATCATGCAGTTACCGCAATGACTCTGGATGAACGGCAGAGTACGCATCTGTGCAGCTGATGGGCTCATCCACTGCGTCGTGCGTTCACCCAAATACGGAGTTGTCGGACAGCTCGAATCGAGGCTGTACCCCAGGCGGCCTTAAGACCGCCGGTAGAGTGTCAAAAGCACCTGTGTTCCACCGTACTGAGCACCTTGCCGCGCGGCCGAAGCCCGGACTAGTTAACGTAGCGCCGACCATTCTCGAGGAAGGAATGCACTGCTTTCTCAAGGGGGACTTTAATCATGACGAGGTTCCCGTGTGCGACTTCATATCGCATGGCGCTCCTCATCGACAGCTGTTGCAGTGAGACTCTGACGACGGCATAGCCAAAGCAGGACACGCCGCCGCCGGGCCAATACACAGGCGAACATAGACGGGGAAAGCTAGAGCATACAAAATGCAGAACAATTACGTACAGTTCACATTGCGGTTGAAAGCATCCGATATAATACTAGTCAAGCAAACACACAGCAACTGTGAATGCAGGTAATTCTAATCGCATTCATAATGATGCACTAGTAGTAGGTGAACCTCCGCACTCCTCCGACAGCGTCGGCACCAGGCTAAGACTAAAGCTCTGGGAACCGCCAGCCCCCCACGATCCCTCCCCCGTACGGCTACCCTACAAAAAGCATGACACTAGTTTTCGACTTACATGGCAAGAGTCACTTACTGAGTCTACATGAACATCATAGTCAATATCTGGATTTCATGTAGGGTATAGCATCAGTTCATTCTCTTCTAAACCTTCGGAAAATTTAACGTACTCATGGATATTTTATCGATACGCGTGCGTGTACTGAAGACCGAGAAGCCGCGGATGGGCATGATTGCGCTACCCGGCTGCATGAACATGTCATTCAGCAATGTAATTAGGAATTTCATGAGGCATTCAGTATGCAGGCAAGCGATTGGATAGACTTACTGCGCCAGTGCCCGACATAGTGAATTCCACTCCTTTACCATCGAGTGTGATTTCACCACTTTGCCCATAGTTGAAGAAGATACTGAAGACATCCTCGTACCTCGCGTCGAAGGAAAGGGAATCTGCTCCACCGTTCCGGAGCAGGGTCATCAAACGACCGTATTGAATGGTGACTGCCAATCGGGGACTGCGCCGTTAGTAGTGGGAGGTATGCTGTGCATTACAACGTACATCGTGTATAGCGTGTTGGCTTTCCGGCTGGGTCGTATTGCGGTTCTCCGGATCCAGTGGGCGGCAGTTGCTGTTCAGCCTTGAAGGAACTCGTATTGCCCAGGAGTAGGCCTTTGATGGAGGCTTTGATGTCGACCTTCGCGCTTTGCAAGTATGCCAGAGCCCTGCAGCTACCACTATGAACGAGGATGACCCAGATTTCGCCGCCGAGTTTTGTGAAATCGGGGTCGTCGATCCTCGCACCGGTCACGTACGCATACGCAGTGACTATGTAGTTGATGTGATCGTCCCATTGGCAGACCGTGTAGTCCTCTCTGGTGCAAGAGGAAGTTTAGCCAAAAAAGAAAACAACACCAGGCCAAGTGGACCACAAACTTGCGGAAGGCGTTCGACACGTCCGCTGCCGGAGGTGTCAGCTGATTGACGTTGTATGAGGGAGGAGGGGGCAAAGACGCAGATGCTGCAATCTCCGAGGTCCCAACGGGGACGACGGTGCCGGGAGCGGGAGCAGCTGAAGAGGAAGTTGGGGTGGACATTGGGAGCCTTGAAATCGTTCGGGAATGCCTTCACAGGACGGGTCCTCTTTATGGATGCAATAATGCCCTCGAAGTCGTCCGGGAGACCCATATCTCCGCTCTTGCAGTGCACGGGACCCATACCCGCGCTGGATGTATAGCAATGCATAGCAAAATTAGCGAGAATGTGTTTAGTGACAGTGCTTCCATAATGATTGACATACTTGGGCTATCATCCTCCCATGACTTATCCTGGCATTCGTTCGGAGATGGATACCCACGGCGTCTCAGGTTGAGACTGATCGTGCAGATAGCGGTCAGATGAAGTTCCCTTCTGTTCAAATCATATCAAGTCGTGAAGACCAGACTCCCAGTAAGTGGAGTGGACTACGATCACTTGTCCGAGTCGGAGCGAAGTGGCGGGCTACGCGACATCGAGAACGCCATAGAGGTAGGATATCATAGGTATGAGGAAGTTCTGTCTTCGCGAGACTAGTTACATAGAGGGGACTGGGCGCCGACGCGCTTTTGCGGAGCGGAGGTGACACGGATATTGAGGGCATGAGGCCTGAAGCTTGAAGGACGAGAAGACGGCAGCTGTGCTCTTTCGTTGCGTCTCGGTCTTGTGTTGTAGCGCTGTTGAACTTCGGTGACGTTCGCGCTATGAATACCACTTTTTTGACATTACTTGCTCATTACTGACTCTTCATCGATACTCACATCGTCGATACTCACATCGCCGATACTATGCCCTCGTGGATGGGAAAGCCGGTAGACGACCTCACTCTTCCCTTCATGCACATATTCCACTAGAGAATCCATAGATCTAATTTCTAGCAGAGACAGCGCGAGTCTACAAATGTCAGAAACATGTAGAACAAAGAGGGTCAGCATGAAGCATCATGTAAGTATATCGCGCTCCTCGAGCAGCGCGTCCATGCTGCCTACACGACCCCCCAGCAACCAGTGCGGGATCCGAGTTTGGCAGAGTCGGGTGTGCGTGACGCACGATATGATGAGGACGGAGAGGTGGAGAGGCTAAAGGAGGTGGTGTTAGTCAGGACGGAAGGCAAGAGGATCTCCGCGAAGCACTTTCGCGTTATGGATATCGGCGGTGGTGTACCGCTGCGAAGCTTAACCGAGGAATGGAAAGATTCCGTGGAATGGGTATGTGAAGGAAGATAGAGCAGGATGAGAAGAGACGCGCGCCCTAGTTGACGCTGATAGAAACGCGGGTCTTGCATGGGCATCAGCGCACGCACGCTGTCTCCGTTGTGTTTGTTTTCCATACCGCAGAACACCGAGGGCCATTTTTGATGAGAACTACTGCCCGATTGCCCACTCATGCTTGCCACTGCCATGCTGCTCGGGTCGACACATCCAAGCCGAGGCAGTGGATAATGCCGCTCGCCTGTAAGCGAACCGCGACTTCTCATCCGTTTCACTGGCATCTGTATGTCGCAGGGCCGCTCACACCAGAACCGAGGGTGCTTTAGAATCTAGAGAGGACGCCGACCTCGATGAGACCAAGAGCTCTTCGTGTGGACCACAGAAGCCATGGGACCACGACACGTAGCAAAGAAAAATGTCCGAGAACTCTAGGAGCCAGTCTTATGCAACGTGGGTCAGGGGATTCAGCCTCCGTACTGTCCTCATGGATTCGCTTCGTCGAAAATTCGAAATCGTCAGGCTATGCCGAGATTCAACGAACCTCCTAAATGCGACAGCGAAGACTGCTTGATGTGCATCGCCATCGTCCTCCGGGAAGGCGCTGCCAGTGCAGGCTGAATGGGTCTGCCATCGTGCTTGCACGGGGTCTAGAGAAGGGAGAACGAGTCGAGAATGCGCCGCCGAGTCCGCGTGGACACGATATGCCGGAATCGCGAGTCGTTTGAGGTGGCGTGAGCTCACAGCAGGGACGTCCACCCTGCGTATATTTTCCACTCCAAGCGACACATCCTCGGACTTGATATAGATAAGAGCAAGCACGGAAGCGCGACATTGGAGGGTCAGAGAAGAGTCGGCCATCCCGACATCGACAACGAAAGAGGGATACGGTACGTTCTGGCAAGACGAGCACGCGATCTTGCCTCTGCCTGCCGACAGACGTCCGTTCCGCCCCGCCACCAAAATACTGCTTCTGCTCATGGGGCCCAATGAGCGACGGACGGATGCTGGAGATAGTCGGCTGTGAGAGCGTGACGCTTCACAAGGACAGTGGGATGCTCGCCTATTGGTGCACGTGGGATGGGTGTCCTGTGATCCGTGGTGCGGGAAGATTGGTTCTGAGACGACGTTGAGTAGGTGAGGTCGACGCATCTGCGAGCTGGGAGGGTACGTGAGTCTGAGCGTGACTCGTCATTTCGGGAGGCTCGATCACGTAGGGTCCAGTTGGTTTATGCAACGTGGCTCGAGCACTTCGTCGAGGCGAAAGAGGCCTCCATGTACGTCACGGACTCGATTCTGCAGAAACCGTCGGAGGGTACGAGGGCGCGCCCCCATGATAGAGTGAACGAAGAACTGGTTGAGCAATTCAGCCAAATTCTTAACCGAGGTGGAGCAGTAGAGGCTTACCGCTTGCCGAGGACATGGCGTTCACCAGCAGAACGAGAGAGTCTGCCACCGGGCCTGCGTATGCTCGCCGTCAGTCCTGAGTGGTCCGAGAGTCTGCCACCGGGCGTATGCGCGCGCGCGGTCAATTCTGGGCGGTCCGATGTAGGCTGTAAGAGTCCGGATTGCTCAGCTTCCACCAGCAGAGCGAGAGAGCCTGCCATCGAAGGTGCGTGCACTCGCCGTCGATTCTGGGTGGTCGGGACGCAGGGCGCAGTAACGTGCGGAAAGCCACACCCGCAACGCAGTAACGGAAAAGGCTCGGGGTCGCAGACGATACGCATGCTTTGTCCAGGCTGCATACATTCACGTACATGGGTATGGGTCCTTGAACGGAGGCCTTTCGCTCCATGCTGTGGGCGTTACCTAGAGAGGCTGGGAGAGATCGACAATGACGGGATCCTGCGCGGTCGTAATAGGTATCTTCAGGGACGTCACCGGAGTGAAGAGCTGATTGGTAGACCAAGGGTGTCGGCCACTGGGTGGTTGTTTAGCTGGACACAGTGTCCTTCACTACAGTGAGCGCTGATTATACGGGGTATAGCATACTTGTGCCAACTTCGGTACAACAGTCCTTCAGGGAGGAACGCCGCGATATTGAGTGTTTGGGTGCAGCTCGAGCACCTAGTGTAATCGGCACGGCGGGGATTTCGCGTCACAGCAGGAGAGGAGGGAGGATCGCCATGACGAATTCTGGCGCGCGCTGGCAGAACTTCTGGAAACTGCACAAGGCTATGAGGCCTACATAGGACTATGTAGTAGGGACCTGGCTAGCCGAGTGCTAGCCGAGCCTACATAGTCCTACATAGGCAGCTGTAGACCTCCGAGCAAAGTACCAGTTGGAGATGAACCCAAATATCGCGGCGGTAGTGAACGCAACTCTCCGAGGTAAAGGCTCTCGAGAGGACTGACTTCGTAATGCGGTAACAGGTATCTTTTACAGGGCCCGTCTTATCCTCCAGTTAACGTTGAAGCTCGGCCCTGTACTAATAGCAGATGGAGGCGGAACCAAACAGGGCGAGATGCATCCGCACTCTCCAGGATCGTCGGCCAATGCGCGTCCACGATCGATCGCTGCCAGCGCTTAAACTTTGGAAACGTGACAGTCAGGTGATATTTTGGGCGTCTAATTCCACGTATGGAATTTTAGCGCTCACATTTCCCTTTCAATAGTTCACCTGAATATTTGTACGATATCTGGAGCCGGAAGGTACCTCTGAGAGAGGACTGGGAGGCTTCCGCATGCACAGCTGAGGCCGGGACTGTAAAAATGTGGGAACTTCAGTGTTGTCTCTGGGCCTGTAGATACTCATGACATAGAAATAGTGAAAAATCCGTTGTTTCTGTAGTTTTGCCACTTTCGCCAGCGTCGCCAGCCTTCAACGTACCCAGCATGAGTTTCGCCAAGCCGGCGCTTGGCGAGGTCTTCCGGGAGTTTTGCCCACAACACTACTCCGCCCCCCTGATCGTCTCGTTCCTGTCCCCGGGACCGCACACCGTAGCGCAGCTCGTATCAGCAGACCGGGTTGGATTAGTGTCGATGTTGCCAGTGAGCTCCTCGTCATCCACGCCTCACCGGCACGCTTCAGGTGATGTCTGCGGAATGATTTACGAAAGGGTACCTAAAGGTGAGCTTTTGTCTGCGACGTCAGGAACCTCCGAGACTGTGGCGATGCTTCTGACACATCGATATGATTTGAATGGAAGGGAACTTCATCTGACTGCGCGCTATCTGCGCGATCAGCCTCAGCCTCAGACTGTACTGACATGTCTTGCCTGCATGCCTGGTCCGCCGCATTATGCCGCCGCCATCACAGACTGACGGGGTAGATCCATCTCCGAACCGATGCCAGGATAAGCCATGGGATGATAGTCCAAATACGTCAATCATTATGGAAGCACCGTCACTGAACACATTCTAACTGATTTTGCTATACACTGCTATACATCCAGCGTGGGTGTGGGTACCAAGCACTGGCAGCGGAGATATTGGTTTTCCGGACGACTTCGAGGGCATCGCACATATAAAGAGGACGCGTCCTGTGAAGACATTCCAACGATTTAGACGTTCACGATGTCCACCCCAACTTCCTCTCTAGTCGCTCCCCACACTGTCGTCCCCGTTGGGACCTCCGAGACTGTTCCTACGTCTCTGGCGCCCTCCGCCGTATACGTCGACAACGAGCTGACACCTCCCGCGCCGGACGTGTCAGAATGCTTCCACAAGTTTGTGCTCCACTTTCTGGGTTTCGCCCGGTGTAGTGTTTTTGCTGCTAAACTTTCTCGTGCACCAGAGAGAACTACACGGTCCGCCAATGGGCTGGCCACATCAACTACACAGTCGCTGCGTACACATACGTGACCGGCGGGAGTCTCACGGACCCCAAGTTCACAGAACACGGCGGCGAAGTCTGGGTCATTCTTGTTCACGGTGGTGGCTGCCAGGCTCAGGCATTCAAGCAATTCGCGAATATCGACATCAAAGCCTCCATCGACGGCCTTGTCACGGGCGGGACCACTCCCCTAAAGGCTGAACAGCAGCTGCCGCCCACGGGATCGGGAGAACGGCAATACGATCCGTCGGGACAGATAACACCCTTTACAAAATGTACGTTAACGCCACGGGTATCTCGCAGTACTGACGGAGCCGTCATCAATTGGTAGACACCATAGATTACGGTCATTTGATGACATTACTCCGCAACGGAGGAGCCGATTTCGTTTCATTCCAGGCCAAGTATGGGGACGTCTACTCCACTTTCATAGGCACGCAAAATGGTGAAGTCATGGTCAATGGTAAAGAAGTGGAATTCCTAGTCACGGGCAGCGGTTCGGTAAGCCTCTTGACGCAAGTGCCTATGTACTTAATGCCTCATAAATTTCTCAATCACATTACCGGATGACATTTTCATCCAGCCGGACGGTCCAAACATGAACATTCACGGCTTCTCGGTCTTCAGTACATTCACGCGTATTGAGGGAATATCCATCAGTGCGTTGATTTCCTGAAGGTCTCGAAGAGACGGAGCTGACGTTCTGCCTTACATTAAATCCAGATATTGAGTACAATGTTATAGTAAATGGGGTCAGTGATCCGTGCCATGTCAGTCGGAAATCAGTCTGATGCTTTTTGTAGAGTAACAGCGACCTAACCTGGAGGGATAACGGTTCCAAGAGCTTCACTCTTAACCTGATGCCGGAGCACTGAAGCTTGAGGGAATGCGCTTTCACCTAATATCAGTGTATCATCATGAATGCGATTTGAATATCCTGTGTTCACATTTACTGCGTGTTATGGGGGAGCGCCCTGCGTGATAACGAACAGCGGCCACGATGTCTCAGCAGTGAGGCGATTGCGGAGGAGATCACATTCAGGCCCCCGAGCCTGATTCCCTTCGTACGTCCTCTTGCAATTTGGTCTTCCGGAGATATCTGCACGACACCGCCCCTCGACTCATCTGACACGAACTTGCGGGGGTAATCAGCGGGCTCGAGAGCGCCATCCACGGGAGCATCGTCATGGATGAGCGTGGAGGTGGTAAGCACTTTGTCGCGTCGGCAGCCTTGCTGTAGATTGCTTCCATCCTTGTCGACGACTACTCGGTCGCCGTCGTCGTGCGTTAGAAAAAATCCGTCACCCTTTGTCTGCATGGCTTACCTTGCCTGTCCTCGGATACGGGTATCCTGAGGCTCGGAGGACGACTGTTAAGCAGTATATGTACAACCTGCCATTGGGTGATTAGTCTGTCCGGAACGATTCGTCCAAACTACCATCCCAGTATTCTCCAAATATAAGCCCTCCCCCGTTCCTGTACATGGACCGCCTCCGCATTGTGCCCCAACTCGTCCTGAACGCCGCAACTTCCCGCTGTCTCTAATTTGCCCTTGGTCAGCTTCAAGGTCTCAATAAGCCCGCCATCCGGTGGTGCATGCTTCCACTACGAATTGTGCTATTGGCAGCGTGGATCACCGACGGTGGGCGGGCGCGCTCACTGGCACCTGCCACGCACAACGACTCGGACGAGCCCGTACTCTTATTTTTCTGCAGACTGGAAGACGGTGATGTTCTGGTTGCTCTTTGCTGCGGCTTCGCGACGAGTCTCACGTGGGACTGGGCAGCTCGCAACTCATGGAAGGTCCGTTATATAGGAACTCAGTTCACTCTCCCGGACACGGAGAGAACCTACGAAGTTGTCATGTTGTCCTGGTATATAGCGGATGTAGCGCTTGTTTTCAAGCACCTGCGATAAAGGGACGGGGAAGCTGCAATGCGCGTACGGATGCCGATCCCCGCGTGGCGTTAACCTCTCCCACCAAAGGGTCTATACATTTCCAGCGGACGATGACGATGTGCCGAAATGGGGGGAACGAGCCGCTTTCGTTTGACGCCAGTTATACGTCGGTGTACCGAGACATTCGCGCAGGCCGGCCAGGTGGCGTATGATGGGAAGTGCGTGGAGTTTGATATTGTGGGCGCGACGGTGAACGCTAGCGTCCCTAAAATTCTGAGTCTGAACGTTCTCACCGCTCTTCCGGTCCCATACCTATGACGCAATTTATCTGGCGGTGGCAGGGCACGGGCGTGGACATCGACGGTCTCTCGGTCTTCAAGATGACTACACCAAAGCATGAGCTCAAAATGTGTACGCCCACCTCCGGAGCACTTATGGCAAGCGTAACTCACAGTACTCGCTTCGCATTTAAGCATCAGGTGTTGGACTGGGTCGGTCATGTTGTTTTAATTTCGGGCACGCCTAACTGCTCGTCTTAGCCATGCTTTTCAGGTAACAAGGGGAAGACAAGTGAGTACACAGTCCCGCTGCCATTCAAGTGAAACGGGAGAACGTCATACGTACGAAAGCCATAGTAGGTCACTGAATTGAATGCCCGATTGTAAGCTGAAGCAGCTGGACCTAAGACCTATCTGAAAGCATACGTCTGTCAGTGGAGCGGTCAATTATGTTAATGCGAGTATTGTCTCCCTAAGTGGGGTTGGCTCTTGGCGTCCGTTGCATAGTCTACGAATCCAGAGTCTATCGATGCGGATGGAAGTAAACGCGGGTCCGAACCGTCGCGGCAGATGAAATTATTGAGTGTTCGCCACCTCTCGCCGATACTGTACAGTTTGGCGGCACCTAGGAGTTTCGTGACAGAAAACACAGAGTGAATACGAGAACGCTCACAGACAAATATAATCAGTTTACATCCTGTTTATTCCATTTGAACCGCAGCGCAACCGTGTAGCCTACCTCTATGACTCCAATTTAGGACGCTGGAGAAGCTACGAAAAATATCAGGCATCATATTATGGCACGTGCATAGTCAACTGACTCAGCTCATGCCAGGCTTAGGCCCTAGATCATCCGTTATTCAAACACTGGAGAGGACTAGTGAGGACCTGTGAGAATTCTTGGAGATGAAGATTTGAGCTCCCGCACAGATCGAGTAATCTTGAAAACCGAGAGCCCATGGATCCCGTAGGCGGACCAGAAAACGATCCCCCTGAGCGAGGAGGCTATAGATCTCCGAATTGGCCTTGTTCTTCTTCAGAGTATCCACCACACATACGACGAGTATACTTAACGACTCACCCTGGCCGCCCGCCCCGCACGCTCACACCTTCGCAAATCCAAAATCGAAAACTCTGTGCCTTTACCATTGTCCACGACGTTGCCCGTCTATATGCCATCGTGTAGGACAAACATATGCAATTGTTCGAATTTGGCGTTGAATATATATGCATAAAAGAAAAAGCTAAATTCACGTGGCTTCCTTCCACTTCGTAAACGTTCGTTTGAAATTTCTCACTCGTACAGAATGGATTTCGTGCAGCTCCTGCTTCGCTCGGGTACCTCAGACGAATTGCTCGACCATGATCGCCATAGCATGAGGTGCGCCCTACCATTGTTGTCGAGGGGTCCCAATCGGTTTAACCGTGTTTCGACGTAGTACGGAAGCTGTGAGTTCTTGATTCTTTTTACTGCACTTGTGCTCGAACCGGTGGTAACCTTCGTGAGTAGCTGCTATCGGTCGAAAAATTCCTCTGCAATGCCTTGTCTCTCATTCGGAACTCATTCAACTCTATGCTTCCTGTCAATCGTTTAGCCCCAGAGATCCTCGCGGACATTTTTGAACGTCTCATAGGCCCAGCTTATATCAAAGAGGAGGGACTAGATGTCTTCAGGTGGCCATCCTCTTCCCTGCGATATCCGCTACCGCTCAAGGACATTAGCTGCGTTTGTCAACAATGGCGTGAGATCTGTGTGGACACTGGTACGCTGTGGACTGATATACTCGATCCCGATTTTCTCCATGCTGTGCCTATGTTTGTGGAACGCTCCAAGAGTGCACCATTGCACGTCTCTGTTTCACCTGCCACTCGGGGCCCTTTCATCGATTCGCTGTTCCAGCTGCACGGCTCTTGCATCAAGGAGCTTCATTTAATGTTCCGTCACAAATTTGGCCATTATACTGGAAGATGGCGCCCACCAACTTGGGAAGACGTGTCTCACTGTGTTGACTACCCAGCTCCGGCGTTGGAGGAACTCCGACTTCACGCCGTCCTGTTGTATTATTCAACTAATCGGAGTGATGGTTCATCAACTCCTCGGATACTTTTCCGTGGGGTTACTCCTCGCCTTAAGTCACTCATAATATCCTCTAACGATTGGCTTCCGAGAAATCATTTTGGGAGCTTGATACGGCTCTGTCTCGATGGCTATGATCGCAGGACATGGACTCTTATAGAGATGGTGACATTCCTGCTCGGTTGCCCCAGCCTCGAAGAAGTCATCATCCACAGCTTGTACCGCCGGCCGTATGAAGAATATCAGCACAGCGATGACACTTTGCCCTCCGTTGTTTGGCCCTACCTGTGCAGATTAGTGATTGGGAGAATGGAGCCCTCATTGGCCTCGTGGATATTGCGTCACATCACTATCCCTGAGTGTGTGGCTCTCCGTATCTTCTCTGTATTCCGTCAGAGCGATGGCGGCGAGGACGCCGGCAACGTCGGGGATGTGCTCAACAGTCTGTTTTTGCTCGATTATCCAGTAGTCATGCAATTGTGTGCATCTTCAGGTATGCCGCTGGTAGCCCTTGCGGATGCTACCAGGGGTATCCGATTGGACTCTATCTTGCCGACTCCCTTGGATGTCACCCAAGTCTGGATGCATCAGCTATGGACAACCTTACCTCTTTCGAAAATCACGAAACTTCTACTCATCGAAACCTCCGACAGGCTGGAAGTCGATACTTTGTTCGAATTCTTGACGTCGCTGTCGACGCTCGTGTATTCCCAGGGGTATAAATTGGGACATCTCGAGTACCCCGAGCACGAAAGAGTACATGTTCTAACCCGCTTCCTCGCTCTCCTCACTCCTACCGATCAAAACAACATTTCGTGTCCCAGCCTCTCCACTCTCGACATCCACACACCATGCTCTCCAAATATGCTCGATACTATTCTCGAGTTCGCTCAGCGTCGTGCACGCCTCGGCTATCCCCTACAGAAGCTCATCATTGAGCTGGAGGCGGGTGCATCGAACTCAAGCCATGATTGGACAAGCCTGGCGTCGTGCGTCGAAGGTTTCGAGATCAGACCGGGTGGCGGGCCTCCACCGACGCTCGACTGGCCTGCTGTATGTGGAGGGCCGACTCATGAACTTTGGCCTGCCTGGTGACATTCCGTCAAGTTTTTCCATCCGTGTCCACAGTGCTTATCCCTCTTGATATGTGAACCAGGTAAGTCTGTACTTATTCCCCATATGGACTGTTGCTCATCCGAGGGTCTGTCTGAGGCAGGACGTCGACGCGTGAGTTGTCTGATTTGCTGCTTCGACGGCTGTGCTCCTTGGTAGCGTAGTCCTTCCCTCTCGCTCGGTCTTTTTTTGTCCCCATTATCGCGCTTTGGTGACATTTGCACTTTACGCTGGTGATTGCGTTGCTTACGTTGGACTTGTCTTTGCATACGGATACATCATGCGGACCCTTCCTAGATACGAGACGACGCGAATCCTCCTTTTCATCCCATATTCCAGAACAGAATCCCAGATCTGATGTTGAGTGGATACGGCGGGAGTCTACTAACGAAAGCAACGTGTAGAAGGAAGAGATTTGCGCAGCAAGCATCGTATAAGTGTATCGCAGGCAGTAACAACCCAACAGATCTTGCTAGATACGATGGACATGGGGATAAAACAATGCATACAATCATTGTCAGTACATTATTAGCTCAAGCCTCGCCGTGGGAGACGCTGCATTTCGCGATCCAGCGCAATCGTGTAAATTACAGTCCAGAACGACAGAGCAGCGAAGTACAGCACAAAATCAAAGCAAAGGCCACATGAAACGAACGCATAGACAACCTACCATGGCGGCCAGAACCCATGCGTCGTCTTCGTGCACACGGCCGGCCACGATACGCTCGACGAGGGCGTGCCTTGCCCGCGCAGCTCCACGACCCCCTCACACGCACGCACACCGTCCGATATCAGTACGTCGGTCTCTACAATGATCCTCCGCAGTCCGTGCCCCGTGCGCGCGCGCGCATCCGAGAGCCCATTGAGCTTCTTGACATCTACCGCAATAACTCCGGGGACGCATAGATGCACCGTCTCGAGGCCCGGGCAGGGCAGCCCACGCGACGTCGGCGAGAGGTATTCGAGAAAAGCCCTAGGCAGAGCGGTGCCGCAGTAGACGAGCGTCGCGAGCTCGGGCAGCTGCTCAAGGAGCGCGGAGACGCCTGCGAACGGCTCCTCGAGTAGCGAGTCCATGCCTACGAGGTACAGCTCCCGCACGCCGGAGAGGCCGGGCCACGACGCCCACACGGTCGGCGGCGGCCCGTGGCCCGTCCCCAATTCGGGCGGGTGCGAATCCGCAGGGAGTGCGATCTCGACGCTGGTTGCGGACGACACGCCCACGAGAGACACCGCGAGCCCCACTGGAGTCTTCCGGAGATGTGCAGTCCGCGAATCGAGCAGAGGCAGAGCGGAAAGCAGCTCCTTGAGCTGGCTGGTGCTGGAGAAACAGTCGAGGATGCGTACAGCTACCGAATCCGCTGGGGACACGATATGTTGGAGGAGCCATGTGGCCGACGCTGGATGCGACCGACCGATTGCGAGTCGTCTGAGGTGTGGCAAATCCACCGCTGGAGCGTCGGTCGCCGCGGACAACTGCGTGTATACGTTCCAAAGAGATACGTCTTCCAAGCTCGGGCATCCCGACATGAACGACAGCAATTTAGGCACGGTCCACGCAGAGCCGCGAGGAAGCAGCGAGTGATTAGTGCGTTTGGAGGAGAGCGAGACGTACAGATGCGTGAGACTGGGAAACCTGTTCGCGGGCAGCCACATAGAGGACCGCAACGCCAGCGTCTTCAGTTGCGGTGCGTGGCCCTGGAAAAGGGTGGGATAGAAGGGCCTGCTATCCGTGGAAGATGAATCCACTGTGAGATGTTCCAGTGCGGGCGCCTGGAAGTTTGTGGAGAGCTTGACATGCTGTGGCTCGAGTGGCTCGACGCCTCTCTCGCCACGAGCCGGGCGAGGTGTAACGCGAAAAGCGAATGAACGGTCCGTAGGAAAGCACAGATACAAATTCCGCACGCGCGATCCATACGATTGAAACAATTCGATCATCGCAGGACTCGGAAGATGTCGGTTGATGAAAATGTTCAGCGGAATCACACGGCGGTCAATCGTCGCCCTCAAGATGGAGAGCTCAACGTTGGAACCGCGACAGTCGTGTATGGTGTCGCACGCCGCTGGCATACTCAGGCAGACCTCGCGCCAGGACCGGCAGACGCGCCTTAGAATCTTGAGCGCTCGCGTAGACTTCAATGTAGCCGAAGGCCAAACCAGGAGCTCTTCATGTGGACTAGCCATGGGATCCATGACATGCAGAAAAGTCATACCGAGAATTTCGGGAGCCAGTTGTTTTATGTAACATGGTGGCTCGAGCAAATTTTCGTCGATGGCAAAGTCAGCCCCCATATGGTCCTCACGGATTCGCTTCGAAAATCGTCAGAGATACGAGGCTACATATTCAGAGCTGTGCGTACCACTGGTGGACGGAACAAAGAACTGGTCGTACCGGTATTTAGTAAATTTACCAAACTAGACACTCAAGAGTAGGGCTTACCAGACGGCTTGACTTTCATGGCCAGCGTCCTCCCGAAATGTATTGGCCAATACAGGCTGAATGACAGAATCCGCCATTGTGCTTGCGTGGAACTCGCCGTCGATTCTAAGTGGAGGTTGGACACAGGGCCACATTCAAGTTAATGCCACGTTCAGATAAAGCCGCTCGATCACGTGTATGGTAGTGACATCTGGGAAAGGAAGGCAAAGTGAATCGATGGCGCCGGGACCCGCCGCGGACTACTCGCCCAGTACTTCTCCAGGAACACAGAAGCAAATGTATGTGTGTATGCAGGCCCTTCGGCTCCGCAATTGGGGCGTTATCTGCGAGGGGCACGCTGGACACAGGGAGCATGGTGACAATGACACCACCCTGCACGAACGCCTGAAATAGGAGGCCAGAAGCAATAGGTATCATCTGATACGTCATCGGGATGGCGAGGAGCTAGGCATCAATCTCGACTACCTTGACACGGCTGAGGGCGACGACAGAGTGCAATAAGGGGGAGCGCATCTAACGATTGAGCGGTTCAGTTTGGACGAGCGTATACATTGTAGTCTTCCATTGGTGACTCACCGTCCACGCAGCAGATGCTCCTTCTCCGAGACAGTGACGTGCAAGAGTCGATGAGCTCGGACCCTAAGGTGCGCAAAGCACTAGTTGATGAAATCGGAAACATGTGCATCAATGTCAGATTTTTTGACGGTCGGTCAATCTTTTATGATTTCCGACCGCAGCTTCATGCACCTGATGCCCAAGTTGATGCAACTGCTGAAAGCTTTTCTTCAGTGACTGTACTGGTCTTATCGTGTATGCGAAGGCTTGGAAGGTCGCGACAAACACCTCAATTCCAGACAGGCAGAGACACATCTATTAACGAATATGAGTAAAAGTAGCGAGAAATATCGGCACACTAGACGATGGACACTCGACGCACCAACTTCCTTAATATTACCTTAGCATAATCGGAAGTGTAATACCGAAGTATGTGTTGAGGAGCGATGGCGGAGCTTCACGGTGCTGTACGTCAACTGTCGTCAATAATCTGAGTCGCACAGGTTGGGGAAAAGTGGATCACTTAGTATTCAGCGGGACGGCGTCCAGTAGTAACAACACGACGGAACAATTCAGTAACAGGCGTATTCATCCAGTGGGTCGCGTATCAGCCGCCTGACCTCGAAATCCTTCTCCTTCATACCATTGACTAGTAGATTTCTCAGTAAGTTATCACGGATCGAAGGTATACATTAGGCGTACCGCCGTTGCATCTGGGTTGGAAGCTCGGAGAGAGGATAGCGTAAGGGCAGTGATGAAGGCGCACGTGATAGTAAAATTACAACTTTGTAGTAACTTCAAAGGATACAGAGATCCTACTATAACAAGCGGCAACACACTACACACACAGACCCATCGCAAATATACTGTTGATACAGCAAAATTCCAAAGACATTCCCTCAGAAGGGCCACCACAAGCTTCGTCGGTCGTACATGCGCTGTCGCCCCATAGACGGCGAGTTCCCGCCCACACTCTGATCGCGCCTGCTCCATATCCAGAAAAAGCCCTGGTTCCTGCTCGAGGACAACGCATCCCGCCGTAAAGAGCTGCAGAGACCGTCGCCCGCCTCAGTAATGCACGCAATCTAGACAAAATAGAACAAAGAAAGCACACCATGTCGGAGTAGCAGAGGCCCGCGCAGTGGGCCCGATGGATGCCGAAATTGAGGAAAACGGCGCCGAGGTGGCAGAGGGTGCACCAGCATTGCCCAAATATGGCGTGGGCACGACAGTCGAGTTTGCGCTGGGCGGCAGAATCCCGCCCGGGTATGAATCTGCGAAAATGTCATTCTGAGAACCGTCCACGAGATTATACAGGTCGTTATAGAATGGCGGCGAATACGTGCCCTCGAACATCTTACTATCACTCAGCTGCAAACTCAGGAACGGAAGTGTACGGAAGTGCGTACGTTATTGTCCTCGGCTTGGAACCAATACAGCGGCTGCTTCGCACCGTACGTGCAGTTTCCCGGTGCGGCGTTGGGCTTGCCATTTGCAGGGTCTGCACCGCAGCGCCGTGCGACTTGAGAAGTAGCGAGCGCGACGGAGGATGTGGAGCCGGTGATGTTGCACCGGAAGCCGTTCATGTAATCTAGCCACCAGCTGTCAACCACTTCGCACATGAACAGCGCAAACAAAATCGGGCTCACTTTGTTCACTCCCACTATCAGGCTGTAGTGTGGTTTTAAGCACAATGCACAACGAAGGACAATAGGTGTACTCACCGAGTGGATCCAGAAGAACGAACAAATGCATCCGCCTTCCGGACAAGGCGGCATGCGCGCCGGGACCTGGAAATCGGTGAAGCGCGTCCACACGCACGTCTGGTTCACACTGAACACTACAAAGTCCCCCGGTTTCACGTTCCTCACATCGCTCTCATATGCAATGGCTAGCGCGCATCCCTTGAGGTCGTTAATGCCCGTCGTATGGTACGCCGACGGTGGGGAACCGGGGCACGGATCGTCGCCACTACGTATGTCGCCACCGGGGGCGGATGCGAAGTACGAAGTTGCGCCCTTGTCGCATGCTATCTCCGCGGTCGCGCGTGCACCTGCGGGAAGCGAAAACATATCGCCTGCATTGGGTGGGTAGCCGAGATGGCCGTGAAACCACCATTGCTCAAACGTATAGTTCACCAACGGTGCAACGGGCCTGTTGTCGTAGGAGAACGTCTGTTGCGTGACGTTGAAGCCCCACATGCTCGGGTGGAAGATCGCTGCGAATGCAAATTAGACCTATCGTAAGCGGACGGTGCGCAGTGGCTTACCTGCATGTGCAGACGTCGAGGTAACTAAGTTAGACAGTAGATAGATGAGGAACACGCTGAGCATTGTTTGGAGCGAGTATACAGAGGTTACGATGAATATCAATGAGTCGTCAGATCGTAGAGATCGTATGCAGCACCCCAGCCAGTCTAAAGTCAAATGTCAGAGCACCGGGCTCATTGAAGGACGCAATCCAACAGCAGAAGAGAGACAAAGGAGGAAACGCAAGATTGCCGCATGGTCAGCCAGAATGCCCATGAGCCTTACTGCTGGGATGGTGTCGACGCCGCCATTGTTCTTCGTTATGGACCGTTCGGTAGCAACCGACGAAGTTCAACATAAGATAGTCATCGCGATCGCGTTCAGAGGCCCTTACAACCATGGACGGCGGCCAGGGTAGCCACCGTTGACATGCAGGGCCTGGGCGAGGATCAGCGAGCGACTCCGTATGCTCGCGCAGTACCAACGGGCGCTTATACGTAGCCTACAGCAATGGTTTACGCGCGTGGCATCACTTCAAGAATTTCACACTACGTCAGAGAGTCGTAGTTATAACAGTAATTAGTAGTAGTGCGATTTTAGAGTGAGGAATATATTTTTCAAAGTGGGGTTGATGGCTTGAAGCGGAGACTAGATCTTGTAGATCGTTAGTCCGGCCATTTCCGCCATAACCCCTACGCAGTCATACTACGGGGCCCATGACTTGGAGGATTGTTCGACTAAAATGGACGAACTTTCGAGTATAGTCAAGTAGGTAACAGTAATTATAATGGTGGAGAGCAACACTTTGGCACTAGAAGCATGTACTGCATTCATGAATCTTTCAGCAGGCAGAGACATATGCCCAATAAGCACCCACCACAACTGTTTGATTTATAAAGTTGGACAGAACGGCTGAAAAACGTTTCGATGACTCCCATATTTGCGGACGAGTGGCACAGTTGCAAATTTAGTTGTAAGGTGCACTAAACAAAAAGTAAATCGAAGCGCGATGTGCGTCCCCAACAACCTACATAAGTAGTACATTGCGAACCGATGCAGACGAGAACGTGCACCATTTTACTATACTTGAATGGAATGCGGGCAAATCATTCAGGTTCTTGAACGCAGCAGAATTATTCAGGGAGGACCACTGCGCGAAGCATCCTTGGCCTCGGAGAATGCAAGAGTCCACAAGCTTTCGTGGATGGCCTCTCCAGCCTCACTAGACATCGCCACGAGCCGCCTTGTATCGCCCGATCCCTCAACGCTCCACCATGAATACCCACAGTCGGCCTGCCAGGACCCGAGAGGTACGGATTCGATTGCGATGTAGCGTAGTGAGGCACACATATGTTGCAAGAATAGGTCTTGAATTTCCACGTCGCGATTATCGCGCGTATCCGCGAGGGAGATACGGAGACAAACGATGTTCAGATTGGCGAGAAGAGGGGGGATCGTGCACTAAGCAGAAACAAAGGTCGGCACGACCCAACATATGCATCACTAAGATGCGGGCTCACCAGCCATGACGTAGTACTAAAGATAACTTGAAGCCGCCCTTCTTCCGGCACACTCATGCCATCCAACTCTATATCGAGATACCTGAGCTGTGGGGATAGCGTGACAAGACGTGTCCAGAACGTAGGCGATGGCTCTACGAAAATCTTCAGTGAGAGCGTCAAGGGCGAGACACACTGCAGCGCCCGCAGTGCTCGTATGATATCCTCTTCGGGTGTCTCATCGCATATCTGCGGTACGTTGAGCATCATGCCGCGGACAGGGCGCGCCGACGGTGAGGGAATCGGTGCATCTGGTATTAGCCCCACTATCTCATCCAACCGCAGCGCCACGTTTTCGAGATTCGGGAAGAAGTTAAGGAAGAAAGTTGCGGGGATCTTAACATACTCGAGGCTGAGATGCTGCAATGCCTCCCATTGCGCGGGCTGCTCCGTGAGCGAATCGTCGTTGATCGCGACATTGACCAATCCAATAAGCACTGCATTCTGCAGAGCCGAAAGTTGAGAGAGATGAAGAACAATGCGAGGGCGCCCCGAGCCCTCAAACTGAAATGAACTCGGCCTACTGCGGAGTCTGGGAAGCATCTCCACCACAAGCTCGCGGGCACCAAGTAGACGGAGATCGGTGAGTCCCTCAAGGGCGACGAGAGCATCGCCAATGCGTGGTGCTGCCTTGATGAAACTGTTTGTATGATGCATGATGATCGACCGCAGTCCGAGAGCCTGCTCGAGCACATCCGCGAGGAGAGGTGCCACATCAGAAAAGTCACCGTCTGGGAGTACAATGGCGAGCTCGCGCAAAAGATGCATGCGAGTCGACGAACTTTTGAGCATGTATTTGCAGAATGCGGAGAGTTGGCGGTGTGTCATGAGAGTTACGGCTGACAGTGCCTGAGGCAGCGCGATGAGATAGAGATGCTGACTGGTTTCTGACAGGCGGAGGGCATCGAGGGGATCGAGAAGAGAAGCGATGAGGAAGAGAGCATCGTCGTTGAGGGACAGTAACTTCATGCTGCCGAGGCGTCGTTCGCAAAAGCGTCAGGGGGCGCTAGCTCAGAATCCGAGGTACGAGGTTGAAGTAGAGTGTCTACCATCTGCCTTCGGGAGACTAGCGCTAGCCCTGATGACTGCACGTGCCCGTGCGTGCCAACTTTTCTTGTACGGCATCTGATCGATGATCACCCCTTCCAGTCGCGATACTGGATGCCTTCCCGTAGCCGTTTAGAGACGTTCTAAAGCTAAATTTCGTCTCTAAATCACTTCGGCACATCGGCCAATTGATCTCCGACGAACATGTGAACAAAGTGAGACCTTTCTAAACCTTATATCTGGAAGGGGGGGTCGACCCCCCCTTCCAGATTTTAAACGTCTCCCTAAACGCTATTTTCGATCTCCGCACCCTCGCAACCCCCATCGTTGCCTATCTTTGGTGTTCCGCATCACTTACATCATCTTGCCGTTCATCCTCCGACCGTCTAGAACTGATCATGGTCTCACGTCGTTACGGTCTTGCAAATCTTGCTGTTCCGACAGTGGGGCATTTCGTAGTCCGCTTTATGATTTAGAAACGCTCTAAATCCTACGGGAAGGCATCCACTATTAGACCTTTAGGCGCATAATCTTGTTCATCAAGCGATTCAAATATTCATGTATGAAATACGTACGTATTGCTCGGAGAAATACTCTCGGCTGTGGGCGAAAATCTCGTCATCGGCCTGGTCAAAGTTCCATTTGGCGACCCGGTGCTCGCGGACGAGGGTTCGGTGTTCCGTGAATACATCCGTCGTTTTCCTACTAGCTGTCAAGAGGATGCAGATGTGGCCACGCAGATTCTGAGAAGACACTACCCAACGGAATTCTGTGGAACGATCCACGCGGATGCTTCTCTGATGAGCCTTCTTGCCGTTTTCTCACCTGGATCGCATTGCGTGAGCTTTGGCATCACCATGCGGAATGTTGCAGAGTTAGAGGAGATCATCGCGCCATGTTTGATTCACGAAATGCTGACGCATACTCAGGCAATTTGAAGATAGAACCATCGCGGTTAGGAAGAAGTGTCGCTGGTGCTCCAAAAACTGTCCAAGGATTTACTTGCAGAAGAGTCGACCTCCAACCGCTCGATTGATTTAGCCACGTTCCCCGCCAGCGCGCCGATCAGTGCCGCCGTCGGGAGCGCCGTCGGCGGTGTCCTCACACAGTTACTAGAACCGTGTATGTGCAAATATCCTTGCTAACATGAGAGGGATAGATGATCTACTTCCGGAAGCAAAATGTGGCACCGGATTCCTCGTTGAGGTCACCGCCGGCCTGGTCCTCCTTTAAAGCTTTATCCTTAGCGATGGTTGCATCGTCGTGGACGGCTGGAAAACAGTGATAGGCTGTATACATACGTATTTCCCTCCACGTCCTCCTTTGATCCCCTCACTTATCACGCCTTCGCAGACAGCATCGCGCTCGTCGTGGTTGGCGTGCTCCTGCTCGCGCTGTACATCGCGAGGAATACTTCCTGGAGCGCGTCCGGCAGGGGTGGTGGACCTCGCCGCGGCTGCTTGAGGGCACGTTCCTCGGGCGCGCGAGCAGGAAGCTGGCGGTCAAATTGAACATCGCGTTTCTCGCGTGGTGCAGTTTCATGGTGTTCGCGTTTAGCTGCAGGTGCGCGAGACGTCAGTACTCCGCCTTTTGGTGCTTTGACCGTCAAAAACGTGTACTGACTTGGATGTGGGTGACGGCTGTATTACCAGGATTACCTCGGGCTGACGCCCGTCCTGACGATGGCCCACCTTTCGTCGGTGTTCGTTATGTGCAATTGTGTCGTCCTTCGCGTTCTTCGTCGGACGCGCCATCGTCTGCCTCATTGGTGATGCTCTCCATTTCCGTCGGCCATCTCCAAGGTGTGACCCCCTGCGCTCGGCACCTCCATGACCCGGACGGCGAACCCCGCAGCGCCGTAATGGGCGGAAGTTCGTGAATGTCTTCAGCGCGGATTTCGTCGGCGGCGCGCTCTTCAGTTCTAGACGCTCATACGATGTTCGGGCTCGTGATCACGACAACCGTGTACGAGTCCAGCAAGGCGTCGCGGATCATGATTACAAATGGAACGAACGTGCGGTCTGCAGCGCAGCTCCTTGCATCCCAAGATCTCCAGAGACGCACTTTGGGTTGTGTGGGCTGTGTGCGCGTTCCACTTCCTCGCTCGGTGAGTCATGTTCGAATGATGAGCGGAGTATTCTTGGTACGATGATTGGTGCCAGGTGCGATGTCTCGCAGCCTTAGAGTCTTCCTATCCCGTTGGATGTCGAGGCGACGGTGGAAAACTAGATGACACTTGCGGATGACAAGGCGCAGGATGACGGCGATTAGAGTTTCATCACGCGCTGTGATGTTCTCAGTTGCATTCACACAGGTACTATATGGATGGAGTGGCTTGGATGCACAGACGATGCGGTGCATTTTCAAGTGTCTGTGGACATTGTTGGCTGGGTCCCGGCACGGGATGGTTCCGTTTGTGATGGCTATCTAATCTCTGTATGCAGCCGAGATCTCTTTGAGATCGTTTCTCCACCGCGGTTGTTGTCTTGTCTGCAAGATCCGGGCTACACGATACTCGAAACTTGGAGCTCAGATCGACAAAATGACTTGCAAATTGCTATGCGTTCCAGTTTGTTATGCCTTTTTCGTGGCTGAAGAAGGAAATCAAATTCACCGTGGTTCAGCGTGGTAAAGGGCGTGCGAAGCGAAGCTTCGCCGGCCCCCTTGAAGTTGTAACGCGCGTAATGTCCATTGCGATATTTATAGTGCCGGTCGTCGCCTTCCATCACATCGGTTTTGTATTTTGTTCGTATACGTCGAGGACGCGCCCGCAATGTCCACCATTTCCAATGTGGACGAGCTACCCCCGTTGCCTCAAATTGCGGACAAGACGGGGGTTCCTGCGGCCGAGCCCGCCCACAAGCCTCACCGGAGCATGGCCCAAGCCATCGGCCTCATAGCGACATGCACGACCGCCATGCTGCTCAACGTGCGTCCACTCCGTTCTGTTTTCGTTCTTACTCACATCTGCGTAATTACGGACGATAACGATAGTCGTCAAACGGGACCGCCGTCTCCATCGCGCTCCCGACCATCGGCCGTGATCTGAATATCCCCGAGTACCGTCTGCAATGGGTCGTCTCCGGCTATTCCCTCAGCTCGGTGCGTCCTTGCGCACCGTTGTATCATATTCGTGCTTTGATATTTTATTCGTCAGGGCTGTCTGCTGCTCTTCCTTGGCCGTCTCGCCGACCTGTACGGCCGGAAGCTTACCTTCCTGTTTGGCGCCTTCGTGATGGGCGTGTTCGGATTGGGATGCGGATTTGCGAAAGGTGAGTGAGAATTCGACCCAGGAAGTCCGATCCATGTTAGGAAATGTGTATCTGGCACGTCCCCCGAGGCGCCAAGCGATAATAACGGCGGCGTCGGGGATTACTGTTGTGCGCCATAAAGCGCACGCTGTTGTTACCATCTGTTGAGGATGCACCTTATTACCTTTCTTCCCGTGCGCTTTGTGCCCTTGCGGCGCAAGCTCGGTATCACGGGCCTCTCGAACTTGTTACAGACCGCGACTGCCGCTGTCATCACCGCTGTCATGTTGTGCATTAGCGGTAGTGGAGAGGACGACCAACCCCACAGCCACACACGGCCTACATACTACATTGGTTGTGTGTGGCCGCCAATACCGTGCTGGACTCGCCATTGTTCTTTATATCTCATAGGCTAGCCTCCGAAAGCGCGATCCAATGACGAGGACGACAGCGCAACCAGCGTCGGGGGCGCATTGCTGTGCGACGAAGTGCACCACGGCTGGTGGTGGACGCGACGCCATCGCACCCGACGCATTGTTGTTCAGTGTCAGCGCTATGACGCATTCACTGTCACAGCTGTATCGCGCGTATCTGCTACGTGTATACGATACTCATTTCCCAATCTATGGGATGTTCTCCTCGTCTTTGTTCCAAATCCTTTGTCATGTGTTCACCCTTACTGATAGCTTACTTCAGATGAGATCACGCTGGATGTCCTCCGTGGGTTCCAAGGTATCGGAGGGGCCGCGGTTATCCCAGCTTCGGTACGTCAACTACTGGGACATGTTTACCCCGAGTTTGACTCGTCTCTACGTGCACAGCTTGGCATGCTAGCGCATGCATTCCCGCCTTCACGAATCCGCTCAGTCGCCTTCGCAACATTCGCCGCAGGTGCTCCCGTGGGCGCTGCAGTCGGCAGCGTCATCGGCGGTGTCCTCACGCAGCTCACGGAGTGCGTCTTAATCCCAGTCGCTGTGGTAGTAGTGACCGATTTTGTGCTGCGATAGAAAAACGTGGCGCTCCGTCTTCTATCTCATGACGGGCATCTCCGCGCTGGTCTTCGTCGGTGGGTTCCTGACTTTTGACAGCGACATGCCGTCGACGGAGGAAGACAAGTACGTTTTGCACTGATTTTTTTTTCACCGTGCTGAGCCTGATCGTTGTGTAGACGTGTGGACTGGCTGGGCGCGTTCCTCGTCACGGCTGGCCTTGTGATGATTGTCTTCGTGCTCAGTGACGGGACCATCGCCCCGAACGGGTGGAAGACAAGCTGTACGTCCTTTGTCTCCTGCTTCCCTCGCGCCAGCTAACTGGCTTGCAGACATCATTGCACTCCTGGTCGTTGGTGTGCTCCTCGTTGGTGCGTATGTCGGGTGGCAGTACTACCTCGAGCGCGTGCAGGATGACCCGGAGGCACCGCGGAGGTGGTGGACACCCCCGCCGTTGCTGCGGATCACCCTCTTCTCGCGCGGGAATGGAAAGCTAGCAGCGATCCTCGCGATCGCGTTTCTCGAGTACTGCGGGTTCATGGCGTTCCCGTTCTGGTTTCAGGTGCGTGGTGCGGTCATCGAGCGGATATGTGGCTGATGGGTGTGGTGCAGCTGTATTACCAGGACTATATCGGGCTGGACGCAATCCTGACGATGGTGCGGATCCTGCCCATGTCTGTTTCGGGCGTGCTCTGCAACGTCCTCATCGCGTTCGTCGTGGGGTACGTCCCCGTCGTCTACCTCGTCGGTGCGTCACTTCTTCCCGTCGCACAATTACACTCATGCTGACATGCTGCACAGTGCTCGGGACGACGCTGACGGGTGTGGCGAACTTGCTGTTTGGGGTGATCAACCCCACGGCGACGTACTGGGCGTTCGGGTTCCCGGCAACGGTGCTGATCGTGTTCGGCGCGGACTTTGTGTTCCCATCCGGGACGCTGTTTGTGGCGAGGCTGTGTCTGACGCACGAGCAGAGCGTCGGCGGGGCGCTGTTCCAGACGCTCACGCAGCTCGGCGGCTCGTTCGGTCTGGCGATCACGACGATAGTGTACGACGCGACGCTCAAGCGCGCATCGCTCCGGGACGGAGTCGTGATCAACATCGACGGCACGAACGCTCCCCCGGCCGCACAGCTGCACGCGTACAAGGACGCGTTCTTCACCGCGTCCGCGTTCAACTTCTTTGGTACGTGTCTCCGCCGGCGTGTTGGTGGTGGTTTTACCTGATGATTTTTGGCAATAGCTGCAATTTTGGCGATCGTGTTCTTGCGCACGGTGGGCGCCGTCGGTGACAGGGGCGACGGCAGCGAACTTTCAGAAGCCGAGGAAAAGGCTCCTGTGAGCATCGAGACCAAATGAATGACCGTCGTTTCGTGACGTGGACTTGCCAAGTATCCTGCTCTCATTACTCTGATAGAGATAGAGAGGATTGTAGAGTATATATACCGTAATGCTTCTCGCACATTGCATATTGCACTGTTATGGGACATGATGAAAGACTATGGTTATGGTAATTGGTACTAGTTATATTCGATAAGAGATATTTGTCCCCAGTAGCAGATACAGATTATGTTGCACAGCACAAGTACACGATCATGCATGAAGCGGGATTACAGGATTTCGTATCAAGGCGTGAAGGTACATCGCTTGCAATTAAACTTAAAGGGAGAGTAGGACAACCTAGGGCCAAGGTGGCCATTCCGCATGCGGCATCTCTGCGCACACATTCGGCCAGCGCGGTCGCGGATTCCGCCCCTCGTACATGCGCAGCTCGACGGATTCGACATAAGGGCTCAGCGCCTCGTCTATGCGCCCTTCCTGGGGAATCCATGACTCCACCTCCATCGTTGGCCGGCTGACTTCTATTACCACTCTCCGCAGTGGGTGTCCCATCCGCAAACGCGTCTCTGCGAACGCGACGAGGGGGTTGAGGCATTCCATATCCGTGTCGTCCGGGATGCAGAGATGCATCGTTCTGAGATTCGGGGAGCATGGCCCGTCATTTGCGCCATCACGCGCCGCGAGGTACTGGAGCAGGAGCTCCGGCCGAACACCGTCGGAGCAGACGAGCGTGGTGAGCGCGGGGAGCATCGTCATCAGTGCGGGCATGCTCGTGAAGTGCTTCAGTAGCAGCGGGGTCAAGCCCTCGAGGTACAGCTCCCGCACTTCTCTCAGGCGACAGAGCCCCCATATCGCACTCGACCAACCCCATTCCTCGCTCCTCTGCGTCGAAATACGGGGAAGGCGCGTTTCAATGCGGATCCCGGAGGACTCGTCTGCCAAGCAAAAGGTGATCGCTGTGGTCATGTATTTCCTCTGGATGTGAATCGTCCGCAGAGCTAGCGGGGGAGTGTATACGATTACTGCTTCGAGCTCTTCGGGCGCGCAGAGAACGCCGGCGAGACGACACGCCGCGGAAGTCGCAGGCATCGTGATGTGGTGGAATATCCATTCGATCAGCAACTCAGTCATGCCGCCCAAAACTAGCCGCTTGAGACGACGCATGTGAAGCACAGGGACTTCCTCGTGGATCGTGTGAAACTCGGGTATGCCCCAGAGAACGACGTCCTCGAGGTTCGGACAGCGCGACATAAAAGAGAAAAGTTCCGGGACTTCCCACTTGGTTGCCCGGTTTTCCTCGGCGGGGGAGAGTCGCCTCGGTGTGCAAGAGATGTGCAGATGCGTGAGGCTGGGGAATCTGTTCAGCGGGAGCCATGTTGCAACGCGCAATGTGAGCGTCCGCAGCTGCGGAGCATGGCCACGGAACAATAATGGATACTTGGATTTGACGCGTATGAGAGGTGAGAAGATGGTCAAGTGCTTGAGTGCAGGTGCTTCGAAATTCGTGCAGTGCGCGATGTGCTGCAGTTCTAGCCATTTTAACTTTGGGAATCCCGGTTGGGTAAGAGCATGCATTATCTCCTCAGGGAGTCGCCGGATCATACGCCGTGCTGCATTCTGATCAGCGGCCGAGTCAGTGGTTGGGAAGCAAATGTTAAGATTCTGGATGCGCCAGCTGTCCGATCGCAATAAGTCCATCATCCTTTCGCTGGGAACGAATCGACCGATATACACATTGAGCGGTACTTGTGGGTAGCCTGCCAACAAAGATGCCATGGAGCATTCGACATTGCGGGTATCGTAAATGGTGTTCCAAAGCAAGGGTGTATCATGGCAGACTTGATACCAATAACGGCAGACCTGGGTGAGGTTCCGGAGCTCTCTTTGGCTTGTTATGACAGCAGACGGCCAAAAAAACATTTCCCTCGCCTGCGTCTCCACCGGACCCAAGACATGTTGGAATGTCAATGCGAGTAGCTCGGGAGCAAATCTGTTGATATAACATGGTAAATCGACCAGACTTTGTGTTGGGAAAGGATCTGCAAGCCAAGGGCGCAGCTGTGGCGAGCGTCAAATACTGTACTCCAAATCAACAGGAGACTCACTGATTCAATACTGTAGGGCACGTCAGTGGTCAGCGCAGATTCGCATAGATTTTAAACTCACCTAGCGTCGAGTTCACTGAAAGGCTCTGCAAGAGAAGTATCTGACAATTGCCAGTCCATCGTTTCTTCGCAGCTGGTCATGGGGAGATCCTCAACGGCGTGGTTTTAAGATGCGAGTGCTATTGTCTTCCGAAACGGAAATCATTGTTGCCGAAAAGAACGACGAATTTCCAGGAATGGAAAGTGTAGTGTTCGCCTAGATGAGTCCATTTCCACTCTAATTGTCACAAATTCCGTGCGACAAGATAATTCACCGGAAGCATATATTGTATCCTACTACTCTCCGCAAGTGAGTTCCTCATGCCTGGTTGCTGGACATGACACCATTGACTGCAGATCAATTCACTCGGCCACTGCTGGCGCGGAAGGTACCCACACCGCGCTCATCACGTCTTCATTGAGCTTTCGAGGAAGACTGGGGAGCATTGAACCATCATTAGGGCATGTGACTAAAGGCACTGGTGCCCGAGAAAACTGTAGCATGGCTGCAATTGTTTCTGGGACACCCTAGCTCCATGCTCGAACATGATCTCACGTCCGCGAAGGCGCTTAGCGCGAGAAATCCCTCAAGCTTTACATGATTTGAATGGCAAGGATTTGACGATGACACACCAACGTACAACCGTGAAGAATACAGATAGCGAATTGTCCTGGAGGCATGCCGCCGAGTCGAGAGGCCAGCACGGAAAGGCGCCTAACAACTGATCTAAAACCTCGACTCCAGCAGGACTGCCAGCTGCAGAGGACGTGCAGAAAGAGCTGCAGATTGGGAACATTTGCCGCACTCTAAAATTCGCGATAAAGAAAATGTCAGTACAAGGGGAATACAGGATACAGTACACCTTGATGCATCAATGATTCCATCGTCTCCGTAACTATAACTATTAGAAGCGGAAGCTAACACAGAAACTTACTCACCGATACGTCAGATTAGTATACAATGGACGTGCCCTAGCGGCGATATAACCGGTAAGTATAAGTGGTAGACCCGACGCGCTACCACAACGGGCAAGAGAAACGGACTTCAACCGTCTCGACATACTGTTTCAGTATTCTCATATCATCAAGCTCGATCGCGGGATTGAGCACAATGCATTTGGCCAGAGGATATCCGATTCGATGACGATTATTTGCGAACTCAACGATGCTCTCAAACATCGCTGAGATGTCTCCCATAGAGACTTTCAAGATCGTGAGGGACTTGCAGGGTATTGGCGCAGCGACGGAATGATCGTCGGGAGGAAGGAGACCCTTGAGTAGGAGCGGAAGGAGGTCGTTATCGCCCTTCTCGTACTCGAGGAACGACAGGTACGGCAGTATCATGAACAGCGCCGGGAAGTTGACGAATTTCTGAACCCATCCACCGTCTGCAACGTGAAGGTGTGTGATCCCAGAAAACTGGCCGATAGCGGCGGGGTTGGTCTGCACGCGCGATGTGGATTCCTCATCCTGAACATTTTTTGTATAATCTTGGATCGTGCTCTCGAGGCAGGTACTAGACGACGAATTGGAGACGGAAGTGATTATGTGAATTTTGTCAGGATCGAACACGGTAGCTCGCAGATGCATCGTCCGCATATCCTTCAGCCGAGGCAAGGAAAGAAGGATGTCCAAAACAGTGTCGTTGGCCTCCCGGCGGGGACGAAACCCGATGGATGCATCCACTGGTATAAGGAGGTGAACGAGGAGCCACTGAATGACGGCCGTGGCCGACGAGTTGATGCTGAGACTTCTGAGTCGATGCAGGTTTACGACGGGAAGCGCTTCATCACCCGCTGCCAAAGTAGGATTGATATTTCCAAAGATGAGTGCCTCCAAGACGGGGCAATTGGACAAAAATGCAGACAGGGCGGAGAGCGTCCAATGTGCATGTGGTGCCACTGGTTTGAGCTTGGAAGAGAGGTAAAGCCGTGTGAGCCGCGGGAAACAGTTGCTCGGAAGCCAAACTGCGGCATGCAGTGACATTGCGCACAATTGCGGGATCGCGCCCCGGAAAAGTTCGACTAGATATGGCACGTCGGCATCAACGGTGGATTGCAAAGTCAGCCGTCGTAGAGCTGGAGCGGCGAAGCTGGTATAAAAATGAGGATTCGAGGGAGAACTGATACACAGCTCTTCGATTCTGGTACGTTCGACGCGGGAAAGTGTCTCCACGAATGGGCGTCTGCCTTGTGCGAGACTGCACACCTTGAGCGGCACTCGAGCGGAACGTTGCAGAAACATATCCGTCGTGGGGCCATAAAGCTGACCGATGTGTATATGGCTCCACAGGAAGCAATCGTCTAGAGTGATCTGCCGCCAAAGATGACAGACAAACGATAATTCTTGGAGACCCTTCGTCGATCTCAGCGCAGAGGGCCACATGAACATGCCATCACCCATTTTGACCGGGTCGAGGACTTGACGAAAGATATATCGAAGGATCTCCGGTGGCAGACAGTTGACCGGACGTGAGGAATTGTACTGGTCCCGGACGCTTATAATCGCAGCATTTAGAGTGCGCTCGACACATTGCAGCTTTTCGAAAGTCAATACAGGGTGAGATGGCTTAATACTCGCACAGTGCTCACAGCGTCTAGACTGGAGAAAACGTATGAGTCAGCGTGAAGATCCCGGAAGCGACTGACTGACCTGGTAATTCGCGGATCTGTTTGGAGCCTTGCAAGAAATCCTTCTGCATTGCGGAGTGCAGCCCTTGCCGGGGTCAGATCCATCGCACGCCGAGATGCGGTGGTCTTTGAAGTCGTCGACGGTTAGTTTAGACTTGGAGTTGTCGTCTTGGTTGTACCTATTCGCGATAAGTCACAAGTCGTGACTAGTGACCACGAAGCGCTTGCGCCTCGATATTCATATCGGCTCTCATCGACAATACCTCAACAGAGTATTCAAGGGCATCAAACGAAGCGTGTGCGTCGGAGTAGTTTGCACGTCAAAGTTGATACTATATCCTGGCCCGGCGTTCACTGACGCACCGCCACCAGGAGCACTAGATTTCAAGACCAATATAAAGCGACGCTACACAGTATAAAATAAAAGATAGAGAAAGGGAAAGGGAAAGGGAAAGGAAAGGCGTGCGCACGCGTGCCCTACCAAGCCGCCCAGAACAACTCGTGCGTTGCCTCCGTGCACACCACCGGCCATGGCGCCCGCGGGCCCGCTCCGCCGTTCTCGCGCAGCTCCACGATCTCCACATGAGCGCCCAGCCTTCCGACACTGGCGCGCAGAACCGTCCGGGACCTCTGTTGAAACTCCAAGATGAGCCTGCGCAGTTTGTACCCAGCGCGCGCACGCGCCTCCGCGAACTTGGCGAGCTTCACGATATCCACCGGGGTGTCTTCGGGCGTGTAGATATGGAGCGTCTCCAGGCGCGGGCAGGGCAGGCCGCACAGTGTCTGGGAGAGGTACTCCAACAGCTTGCCGCGCGGCCCGATATCGCTGTAGACGAGCGTCACGAGCGGCGCAGAGAGCTGCCTCGGCAGGGCAGGGATATCCACAAAGCATTCCGTCAACAGCAGGGGGTCCATTCCTACCACATACAGCGCGCGCACGCCGGCCACAACGCCCACACGATTGGCCGCGGCATCCAGCTCATCTCCAATTCCAGCGTTTCTCCACCCAGGCCAGCAGAAGAAAATCTCGACACCGACCGCAGAAAGACCCACTTGCGAGAGAGAGAGAGAGAGACGGAGAGACGGAGAGCCCGCGGAAAGCCTCGCGAATCTGCGCGATGTCCGCGCGTCGAGCGGACGCAGCGCGGGAGGTAAACACCCCGACCGCAGGAGGCGTTGAGGGATCCGAATCCGCGGGACATATGATATTATTGCTGAAGAAGCCAAGCGGCACGCGCGGGGGACGGGGCTGTAGACCGCGAGTCGCTCGAGGCGCGGCGAGGTCACGGTGGAAGTATCGGTCGCCTGGCAGCGGCCGATCCAAGTATACTTTTGTCCGAGAGGAACAGGGGTCCTCCGAGTTTGGGCATCTAGAGATGAACGAGAGCAGGTCAGGCATCGCCCATCTGAAATTGCGATTCAACGATACACGAGAACGCAGTGGCACGGAGGCCGAGATACAGAGATGCGTGAGACTGGTGAGGCGGTTGGCAGGCGGTCAGGCCGAGGACCACAGCGATAGCGTCTCCAGGCGTGGCACGTGGCCCTGGAAAAGCGTCGGCGTAAAGAACCCGCCGTCAAAAGCACCCTCGGCGATCGTCAGGCGTTCGAGCGCAGGAGCTTGGAAGTGCGTGCGATGTTTCAAGCATCGCGACGAAGAGTCGTCTAAAGAGGTCAGCTAGACGAGCAAAGATGCAAGGTTCCGCTACCCGCGAGCTTCACACGTCTGCGACAATCTCATCGTCGCAGGACTTTCAACTGTCTCGGTCGACACAGACGCTCAGCGGCGGTGTCCCACATTTCGCCACGGCTTCCACGCCAGATGTCTCGCGTTCAGAACGATCATAGATGGTGTTGCGCAAAGCGGCCGTAGCGAGGCAGACCGCGCGCACCGGTACCGGCAGACATTCTTCGGGTTCTCGAGTGCGGTCTCCGATATCGATGTGGCAGGTGGCGGCCAAATCATGTTCCTGGATGGCATGCAGAAGAATCATACCAAGAACTTCGGGGGGCCAGGTCACTGACCACACGTCTATTTTCGCCCAATATTTTGGCTGCCTCTTTGAGACGTACACGGCGACGCTGTCTGAAGGGCGCACCAGTATCGATAGAGCAGCAGCGTCAGAGTGGCACGTGCTACTAGCGGAAGGGACGACGCGCTGCATGTACAGGGGATCAGCAAAAGTCTCAAAAGGCCGCTTTCAAGAGCACGACGTACCCAACGTGTGAACGTTTGAACTGCCGTCACCTCTACCTTCCTCCATGGTCGTATCCATCAAAACAGGCTGAATGGAAGAGTCTGTCATCGTGGTGCGTTTCCGAGTTTCTGCTGTGGGTTCTTAGTAAGTACTTTGTGGTTCTGTTCGCCACCGTCGGACCCCGTTCCTGTATCGCAGAACTGTCCGTGAGTTCACGAGGCCTGATGACGAGTATTCTAGAAAAAACCGGTGTTGGCCGCGAACGGCGATGCACCAGAACGAAAATGCCCCTCCTACCCTCCGAGGACATCTGAAGAAGATGACGAACATACGTGTCGGGAGATCGCAGTGATACCAAAAATGCACATTGCTCACCCGCCGGTATAGCCTTGGCGGAGACGGACGGCGACCGCGAGGATCGCGCGTTGTCGGTATCGGTTTGAGTGGCTGTCCCCGCGGCGCGGCGCCGCGCTGCTCCCATCTTTCCATACGCGATTTAGCGCCCAGCACGCTGTCGAACCACGCGAGGCTGCAACGCACACAAAATAGTGCGTGTCGTCGCGCCAGTCCGACAGTCGGGGGGAGGTGAACTTCCACCAAAAAAGACGACGTCACCCTTGAGGAATGAGAGGCCGTGGGGAGGCTTCCTGTGTTCGCCGCCGGTGTCTCGAGTGATCGGTCGGCAGAGATAATCTCCAAGCCATTTTTACCGCGTGTCGCTCCTAGTGGGAGATGGGTCTCCTTCGGGAGACTCAGCGGGAGGATTCGAACGAGAGGGGAGGGGCGCCGTTCACCGTCCCGCGTACGAAGGGAAGGATACCGGTACGTCCCACTTCTCGGAGCAACAAGACAGACGATGCACCCGCAGTAAGAAGAGAAGAAGGGAGGGGGGGGGAAGACTCGTCTTTCGGACGTCCTATTCGTCCTCGCGGCGTAGCGCTCAGCGCCTTCATCGATCCTGACACGTCTGACCGACGCCTCGCCGTACACGGACGACGTCCGCCGAAGCGTGGGCGGCCGACGCACGTTAACGCTAACAATAAGGCCGGGGCACGCGGGGCATACGCTCATACACACTCACTTGGGAGAGCGCCTGGGCCCAGCGGGTCGGAGCATGATGCGGATGTCAAGCTTTTCGGCCTTCAGGTACGGCGGCGGGGGATATACTCGCATAGAAAACGCGCGTCTCGTTCGAGAAGATCGGGTGCTGCTGCAGGAGGAGGTTGTTCCGGGCGCGGCCCACCAAACTAGGGTGTTCAAGAAGAGTCGGACGAGAGATGGAGAATCCGGACGAGCTGGCTGGCGAGATTCGCGGGTGCACGCCGCGCACGATGACCAGCTGCACCAAACCGAGCGAAGGCCCGAGCTTACAAGCAGAGCACTGGCGTTCAGACCTGCGTGGCTGCGCGGACACCTGGGAGCATTGGCGTGCCGCACCCGACAGGTTCGCGTATATATGCTCGTTCTCCCGGGTATCCGACGTCTCCGAACCCAGCTGAGGCATTTGGTATCGCTACACGCCCCCCGTTCGGAGCGCCGAGAAGCAGCTCGTCGAGGGGAGGATGACGGCCGTTGCCTCCCTCGAGTACGGGCAGCAGGTGCCCGCCAGGATGAGTCACTGTCCTGCAACGTCTCCGGAACGAACAACGCACTCGCATCACCCGGGGGTTGAGATCGTACGGTTGCGTAACACAGAACGCAGCGGTCCTTTGCGCGTACGCGTTTCCGCAAGGGGTCTATAATCTTCTGTGCGCGCAGGCGACCCACTACCCATGCGCGCGCGGGCTGGGGCCGTCGGTGTGCACAACACGGCGGGAATAACGCGTTCTGTATTGGTGTAATTGATGGGTAGGGGTAGCGCTTCTGCTCGAGGTCGTTTTACTGTATGTTCATCAGGACGACCGGAAAAGATCGCTGACGTCTGCGGCGATATGGACGAAATAGCAAAGAGTGCACGAGCGATAGAGAGCGGCAGACTCGGATCAGCTTGCGAGGGCGGACCTAGACGACGCGCGGTCTCAGAGGAGGGTTACGTAACGGTGGACGAAAGGTACGGGATGACGTCGACGCCACGCGCAGACGACGATCGCTGCCAGCTCAAAGTGAAACAGCTCCCACAGCGGGCGGTCTCGATGACCACCTCCAGCTCTACGCTGTACACACAGCCTCTTGGAGGACACACGTCGACGTCGGGCCATGTCTCGTCCAACGGAGGAAGAGACCACGGCCAAGCTTTTCGACTGGCGGAGGATCTGCAGCGGCGAAAGCGTGAGGCGAGTCTGTTACGCTAAAGATAGGGCTGCGCGTGTTTGCATCACGGCGTAATCGCGTCACTGCGTGTGAGTCAGGTAGTCTTTAACCCGTGCAACTCGTCCGACTCGTTAATGAAGGCGTCTGTCCGTAGGGGATGCTCTGAACCACTACCATCCGCTAGTCGTGCTCGAGCAGTATCCGCGATGGACCTCACGCCCGCCCGCGCTGCCCTGCTCGCCGCCGAGTCCTTCGTCGCCAAGCTGCACGCCGATCCGCAACACACTGGGTGCGTACCTCCCTCTCCTCGCGCTCTTCGACTGCCTCACCCCCTTGCAGGACGGATTCCGTAAGTCACGGCGGCAGAGAGCGGGCACACGCTGACATCGCGCCAGCTAGATCGCATCGAGGAGACGCTGCGGGGGGCGATCCTGAGCGTGCGCCACCAGTTCAACGCGCTGCGCCCGGTCAACCGCCTCCCGCCCGAGATCCTCCGCTTCGTCTTCCAGGAGCTCCTCGAGCCCGTCACGCCCGAGGGCGATCTCTACATCTGGGCGTCCCCCGCGCTGCGCTCGACGCGCGGGCTCAAGGGGGTCTCGCACGTCTGCCGCCGCTGGCGCCAGATCAGCCTCGGACGCGCGTCGGCGACGCCGGACGACGCACACGGGCCCTGGGCGACGCACGCGCCGCTGGCGGTGAGCATCTTCACGCAGGCGCTGAACCCGTTCATGCTCGAGCTGTGCCGCTCCGACGGCGCGCGCCTCGCCGAGCTCTGCATCGCGTCCCCGCTCGACCCGCGCATCTACACCGACTTCCCCGCCCCCGCCCTCCAGCGCCTCACCCTCCAGTCCGACCCCATCTCCGACCGGCCCTACCTCGTCGAGCTCTTCCGCGGCGACGCCCCCCGCCTCCGCGCCCTCGCCCTCCAGTCCTCCTTCTGGCTCCCCAAGAACCCCTTCCCCGCCCTCACCCGCCTCCTCCTCGCCGCCCACCCCCCGCGCCCCCACCTCCCCCGCGCCAGCTGGACCCTCCCCGCCCTCCGCACCCTCCTCGCCAACTGCCCCGCGCTCGAGGAGGCCCTCCTCGTCCGCCTCCGCCACGACCTCCCCCCCGCCGACGACGACGACCCCGCCGTGCCCCTCCCGCGCCTCCGCCGCCTCGCCATCGGCGACTGCACCGCCGCGCTCGCCGCCTGGCTCCTGCGCCACCTCGCGCCCCCGCCCTCCGCCGCCCTCCGCCTCTTCGCGCTCGACGCCCCCGCCGCCGTCCTCCCCGCCCTCCCGCGCCCCGCCGCCCTGCGCACGCTCAAGCTCACCCCGCGCACGCTCGCCGCCGCCGACGCCGACGCGGCCGCGTTCCGCATCGACGCCCCCCCGCACGCCCCGCAAGTCCTGCTGCCTGCGCTCGCGGCGCGCGTGCCGCTGTGCGGGATCGTGGAGCTCCATGTTGAGGGGCGCGTGCATGCCCTCGTCGACTTTCCGCGGCTGTTTGGGACGTTGGGCGCGCTGGCGGTGGTGGTGTGCCGTGTGGACGCTGGCGGCGAGGGCGAGGATGCGGGGGATGGTGCGGACGCTGGCGATCGCGCGGAGGCGGGCGCTCTTCATTGCTCGGACGTGGACGCGGGCACGGGCACGGAGGCCGCCCCGTGGAATAACGGGACAGACACAGAAGGCGCTAGCGCTAGTACGCACGCTCCCGGATGCACAGACGCGGACGCGGACGCAGACGCGGCGGGAGGCCTCCTCCCGCATATCCTCCGGTGCCTCCTTCCCGGCCCCACCACCACCGCCGCCGGTCCCCCGCCCTGCCCGCACCTCACGACCCTGCACGTCCGCCTCGCCACCCCCCGTCCGCACCCGCACGTCGCGCGCGTCGCCGCGTTCGCGCGCGCGCGGCCGCTCGTCAAGTGCGTCGTCGAGCTCGCCGGCGCCGGCGCACTCGGACTGGACGCGGTGGAGGGGGTCGAGATCTGCGTGGGAGAGCTGCGGGGTGCGCCGTGGCCGGCGGTGTGTGGGGAGACGACGCACCGGTTCTGGCCGGCGTGGTGAGCGGACGCGCCGCCGCTGTGTTGTGTTGTGTTGTGCGCGGTTGGGGGGTTCTTGGATGTGGATTGTATTGTATTGTTACTTGCTGCTCCCCACCTCGCGCGCGGTGCGATGGGCACGGGAATGTATCTTTTGGAGGATCTTGATGGTGGCGGGTGGTTATCGCGCCAAGCTGCGCGCTGGGCCCGCCTCCTGGGGCGCCGGAACGGGCCAAGTCGGATTTGGTATCTCTGTGAGGCGTACGCGACGACGCACTTTGAAGATACGGCCGGTGTACGGCGGGTTGGCACGCGCGACGGACCCGATCCTGGCCTGGCGGATTCGGTTGACGACCCCCTCACAATCCATAAGAACGCTCCCTATTCGCGGGACTGCGCGAGATCGGATCGCTCGCCTCTTGAGTTCGTAGAGAGCCCCTCACTGAATAGAGCCCCGCGAAAGGCTGCTGCCAGTGGTTGTCGGCGAATACCCGCGAAGACGGCTGTCGCGTCTGTAGACGCGGCTGAGAATCGAGCGTACATGCCAGTGCATCCGTGCGGGTCGAAGTTGCGGAACGTACGGCCCTACGGCGGGTCTGAGACCCGGGGCAGATGGCCGACGAGCTGGCACTGTGGAGGTTGTAGATGCACGCAGCAAGAGCGCGGACAGAAACCTGAACGCGCGTACGGGAGATGCGGTGTATACATTCCATCATTGCTAGTGCCACTCAGGCTTTGCGAGGGGTGCGTGACGGAGTGCCGAAGCGCTGACTCGTTGGCGAAGCGGTTCGACGACGGTCGTCACTCATTGCGAGAGGAAACCGAGCCCGGCGGTCAGAGTGGTGCACGGTGAGTTCGGTGGAGAGAGCCTGGCTGTCCTGAAAGCACCACAGTTACTTATTCCCTCCCACGACTAGGCTAATTGACTCACCGAGCCAGGCCTCGACGTTTCGACGTTGAGGATCACGGCGGTAGTGCACGTCGTTATGAGGCCGGTGCGGGCTCGGCCGCTGGAGCTCTCTCTGTGTGCGCACTCTGGAGCGGGTCCTCGGCGGTCGATTATCCTGAGGAAATGTTAGATATTGAGAATGCGTCTTGGAGTTACACAAGCCCAAACATGCCAAGGGGTGTGCTGCCCCCGCGTGGCCCGCCGCCGTTCCTTGGCGTCGTCGAGCGCTCGGACGCGCGTACGCACTCGGTGGCGGCGCGGGGGATAAGGGCGGAGGGGAAGCCGCACGCGCGGTGGCGCAGGGAGTGGTCGAGAAGGCTGTCGTTTCCCTCGCTGTAAGTTGTGTTGGGGAGTGCGGTGCGCGTTTTGCGAGAGGTGATGGTGCAAGATGCTGCATGACGGCGATGTGTATCTGTAGCCCTTCGGCATATTACATTCTGTGCCCCCTCGTCTTTGGTGCCTTCATGTCGTGGGTTATGGTTGAGTATCTCGTACCCGCACCCGTAATCTGGAGGTTGCTGCCCCGCGTAAGCGCGTGGCTCGGAAGAGCCCAGACGCTGACTCTATTAAGATACTTTTGAGTAGACACTGCAGTCGCATACATACACAACACGCGCCTGAACCTCTACAGTGCCTGCAGTGCAACTTCAGAATAGATGAGCATATCGCGGCGACGTGATCGAATCTTAACGCAAGGCTCTACCTTGCGTTTCTTAATCCTGTTACATCGCTCCACGAAGTGCTGGACAGTGTTCAGTGCTCAGCCAGTAATGGTCATATGCATCCGCACGGAATATATCTGCGAAGGAATGCGGCACGCATAGAGAGAAAGCTCACGTCGTACCACGGCGTCCTCTGGCACTCTGGCGGGTCCGCTTTGGAGGTCCTGGCGGCATGCACCGTGCAAACCATTGAGGAAATGAAGAACATCCTACACAGAACCAATACTGATCTGACTGTCATCGATCAGCTGGCGATGCTCGCCCGAAAGAGCAGTTAAGGCCGGCAGCATACAAAAAGAGAGGTAACGAACTTTCTAATTAAACTGCCTGGCCCTCAGTGATCCCAGCCTCTTGCTTAACTAGAAGAGAGTGTAACCTATGGCTGAATTCAAACTCGAGACGTGCTTTACCCTGCTCTCCGCCCCAAATGTCCTGCCTTGAAAGATCCATGACACCACCACCTAGTGCATCTTCATAGTCCCAAGTAGGTTCACCGGCCCCCTTCATGTGTTTCAGAATACCTTGTAGAAAATGGTCGCGAAATAATTCATCCAACGGTCGCAGGTCCGGATCGACGATGTGATCAAGCTTGAGAACCTTTCCGGCAATATCGTCATAGCCAGAAACGAAAGGAATGACGATGTAACCAGCCTATGAAACTAGATAATCAGAGCTCCGCTGAGAACGTGGAGGGGGCAACACAGGCGCACATCGGGGTTCACACCAAACATGTAATTGTCCCAAGCGTCGTGTAAATCGCCGCGCAGAAGAATTATATTCTGGATCGAATCGATCTTCGTTGGTCCGCCGACTTGCGAGGGAGGAGCAGGGTCTGTAATGTAACCAGGGAAGCCCTGTTTGATCCACTATGGGCTAGATCAGCTCCAGAGATACTGAATTAGAAGAGCTCGGCGTACATCATCGATATGGGCGCACGGAAATATGTGAGCTTCTTTATGCCGACTGTAGTCTCCTGCGGAAACACGCAGCCTGGAAATTAAACAACAAGGGTCGCGTTCTCGAACACGTCGGCGATAATGTTCCGTCTGTGAAAGGGATCAATTAACGTTGCAGAGCTCTACTGCTTTACACACTATAGCAGCAGTGTTGGGAATGGTAGGATGTCGCAGACGAGGCGTTTGTACAGTCAAACCGACCTCAACAGGATTGGCGTCTGAGCAAAAACAGTTTTACCGACGAATCCGATGAGCAAGATAAGTTTGCAAACCTGAAGAAAGCAGAACGTATGTCCCCGGGGCAACAATAGTATCGTCTGCAGCTATAGGCCCCCCTTGCGGCCCTGGTGAAGCTGCCGAGTCGTCCCGCGCAAATATCGCCCAAGCCTCAATAGAGACAACGATGGTATGCAACCAATTGTAGAACGTTTTCCACTCAACAATGCCGTACTGCCAAAAGCCTAGCCTCTCGCCGTTACACAGCTTGATGAGAAGCCGAATTGTTACACTCACCGGAGACGATGTAGCCCCTTGGGTCATATAGGAACACATTTCTGGAAGGCTCCACTCCATCCATCATAGTCCTGACTACACTTATGCATCAGCCTCGTCAAAACACCGCAGTGAAGCGAGGTAACTGACCGAGGAAGATTAGGAGTTGCACTCCGTGAGATACGACCTGTGCACTGAAGAGATCGTACTTTTGCAATTCTGTCTATCTGCAGTTCCATTTCAGGTGTCCCTCAGGCCGCAGGAGTGTGTACTTTGCAGCAGCAACTTAGAATGTCCCGGTTTGCATAACAAATATTCACTGCGTTTACGTAGAGGGAAGTTCGACTAGCCGAGGCAGCCACATATCGTCGGATGTAGCCGAAGCGCCTGAGTAACGTCTCCTCATCTCGTCCTAGATCTTCAGCTAAGTCGGCCTTTGCCGAATGGACAATATTCACATGCATTTCAGCTCTGGTTACCCTATTTATGCACCGTGATCCTCGCAAACGCCCCTTGTACCCCGCCCGCCCGGAGCAACCTGCTCTTCGATACGCGCATGAGCATCTACGCCGCCCCCGCTAGGTTCATGTGCGCTACCTCCGCCCCGACGGTGGTGGTACGCTTGTTGCCTAGCTCGCGTAGTCCGTGTCGTGGTCGTGCGGCGCGAGGGCCGGGTCCGCATTCACAATCGTCGGCGTTGTGTCCATGAGCATCGGTGCAACGCGCAGAGCTGGCAGAAACCCCTTGCTGAACCAGCCCGCGAAGACTTCACTATTGGCAACTTAGACCTAAATATGCGTCCTCGTCGAGTCTATCTTCGATCGGGCCCGGTTGGACCCTGTTTGGTTCGTTTCTAGCGTATACGAATGAGAAAGCCATGTGTGTGGATATCATCGGAGAGGAATGAGGTATACCTTTCATGAAATGGTGCTTCCTTCGCATAGCAAGTACAAGCAATTACGCATAGTGAGCTGGAAGTGATTTCGGCTATCCGAGTCCAAAGTTTCATAGGGTCGTGTACTTCCACCTCGCAGACCAGAATAGAGACGGTCGCAAGAGCACAGGGACATTAGACAGCCATATCCGTGCCATCTCCGAGAACACGACGTCGACCGAGCATGCAATGCGTCCATGACCTCTACGCCGTGGCTACCGCAACCCAGGGACATCCCTATAGAATAAATAGCCTGCACGATCCTGGGCCCGTCAAAGGCATCGTGCGCGCACCGCACGCATCTAATCCATTAGGTATTTACAGTACCTCTAACAGCACCAACCACTCCACAATACGATGAGGCTCTAACCGCCGTCATCCTGCGCCTTCTCCCCAGGGAGGGTCGTCTGACTCTCCACTTCAGTGTGGGTACCACCTCGATGCCCGACGATGCCCGCCCTGCGGAGGAAGACCACCGCGAGTATGGCACCTACCATCGATCAAAAAAAAATTCAGCATACACGAAAAAATACACCACTCGCCGCCCGAACACGGCTCACCAAAGAACCCAAACGCGCATGCAGCCCAGAACGCGTCCTTGTACGCCGACAGCTGCGCGTTCGTCCCATGCACATTCACGCTCACCCCGTCCGCGCGAGCGGCCTTCTTCAGGATCGAGTCGTACACGATCGTTGTGATCGCGAGCCCGAACGCCGAGCCGAGCTGCGTGAGGGTCTGGAAGAGCGCGCCGCCGACACTCTGCTCGTGCGGGAGACACACCGCCGCGACGAAGAGCGTGCCCGACGGGAACACGAAATCCGCGCCGAACACGCTCACGATCGCCGCCGGGAACCCGAATGCCCAGTACGGCGCTGCGGGGTTCACCAGCGCAAGCAGCAGGTTCCCTGTGCCAGTCATCAATGTGCCGACAGCTCGGGGTGCAGAGTCAGACATTGGGATGGCCGGCATAAGGGGAGAGCACACACCGATGAGGTAGACGACGGGGACGCGTCCGACGAAGAGCGCGACGACGACGTTGCACATGACGCCCGTGACGAACATCGGCAGGAGGCGCACCATGGTCAGGATGGGTGTCAGCCCGAGGTAATCCTGGTAATACAGCTGTCGTCCGCAAGAAAGTCACTACACCACATTTTGACGGTCAGAGGACAGGGAGTTTCGCGCACCTGTAGCCAGAACGTGAAGCTCATGAAACTGCACCACTCGAGGAACGCGATGCTCAATATGACCGCGAGCTTCCCGCCCGCGCGCCCCAGTAGTGTGATTTTGAGCAGCGGCGGCGGCGTCCACCACCTGCGCTGTGGCTCCTCCAGCATGCGTTCCAGGAAATACTCCCATGCGACGTACAGCACAAGCAGGAGCACGCCAACGACTATCAGCGCGATAATGTCTGCGGGTGCATGGTAAGCAAGGTTATCGAATTGAAGTGGAGGGGAAACGTACAGTCTGTTTTCCAGCCGTGCGGGGCAATGGAACCGTCGCTAAGGATGAAGAGGATGAGGACCAGGCCGGCGGTGACGAGGAACGCGCCAAGCCAGTCGACCCGGCTGCACATAACGCACCCATGATGTAAGCAAACCGTCATCATCTGGGCCAAGGAGGCAGACTCACCGATCAGGCTCCGTCGACGGCTCGTCCTTGTCGAACGTGAGTAGCCCGCCGAGGAAGACAAGCGCACAGAGACCGGTCAGGAAGTAGAAATTCGACCGCCACGTTTTCCTGCGCGGATACAGCGCAGTAAGCAAATCATCCACCCGCTACTTGTACTGGGAAGGACACGTACGCGGTCAGTTGTGTGAGAACACCGCCGATGGTGCTCCCGATAGCAGCACCGACCGGCGCGCCGGCGCCGAACGTGGCGAAGGCGATTGAGCGCATGCGGGATGGCGGAAATGCGTGCGCGAGCATTCCAAGCTGGTGGAGGAACGTCAATAGAATCGTGCTGCGTGGCACAGCATAATAACACACGCACCGATGCAGGGATACACGCTGCCGCACCAATGCCCTGGAACCCACGGAGCACGTCAAGCGCGATCTCATCTGGTGAAATATGTCAGTGCTATTTTACAAATACCCGGTGATACATGGGCACCCACTCTTGGCGAACCCGCACCCAAGGCCGAACAGACCGAGAACGACGGCGCCGAAGAGGAAGGCAAGTTTGCGGCCGTACAAATCAGCGAGACGGCCAAAGAAAAGTAGAAGACAGCCCTGAAAACCGCTTCAGTGTCCGAAAAATGAAAATGGAGAAGCAGGACGCACGGAACTGAGAGAGTATGCAGAAATAATCCACTGCAGCCTGTACTCGGGGATGTTCAGGTCGCGTCCTATCGTGGGCAGTGCGATGGCGAGCGCGGTCACGTTAAAAGTCTGCAATGAGGCCCGAGGGCTGATAGTGGATACGTGAGGAATATCATCAGGTTTCAACGCACGTTAAGAATCATAGCAGTTGTGCAGGTGGCAATGAGGCCAACGGAGCGTAAGGTACTGCGCTGGGGCGGGTGTGCGGGTGCCTTATCTTTCTCGCCCGCTGCAGGTCTGTGCTTGACTGGTCTCATCGTGGAACGATTGGACGCAAACAATATCGCATGGCTTGCGGCTTGCGGGTGTGTTAGTGCCTCTGGTATTGCTAAACGGCTTGCGATAAGGATTTGCACGCGGACTCGTCTATAACCTGCAGCGCGGGATGAACGTTGAACGTTGTACTTTTGAAAGCTCGAAGGCGAGAGTGGAACAGAGGAAGAGTGACACAGCAGAACGGAATGCTGAGGACGTACATCTCGGTGGGGCGAAGGATATATGGTTTTTTCTGCACCAGATCCATTCTGAATTGTAATATTCCATTATTCAGCCGCCCGCCCGATCTTGACCTGGCCCCGCCTCCCGCCGCAACCGCCTGTTTATGGTGATAAAACGCCCAGAATTGGACATGGCGCGGCGGCGCCTCGGCCGGACCTTCATGTCGTCCACTCAAGATCTACCTCCGTCGGTCCGATCAGTCACTGTAGTGAACCCAACCTCTAACCGATGGTCGTGCTGTACATTCGCCTCTGGAGCCTTGCCAACAGTAGCCTCTTGTTGCTCAAGCAGTATTGGGGCATACTTCGGTAGTCGTTCACCAGAGCGGAGCAAGCTGGCCAGGCGAAGAAGTGAGCTCTAGGGCGGTGAAATGCGAGACGATAGAGCTGAACAACGTTCCGTACAAAGCCGTCTTAGCGGGATATCTTTGTCTTGGCAGTGCTTGGGAATTTTATTGTGTTTGTGATCGTCTCCGAATATTCCGCTTCGGTGACGAGTACTGGTTTCGCTGCCATCTCTATGTCAAGCTGAAGGAGTAGCACTAGAGGAGAGGCAGATATGCATGGCCCACATCTAGCGCATGATCCCCCAGTGGGCGTCGCGTCACTCAGGTGAGTGTGACGGCGGTTTCTCACCCAACCTCCAGTTGAACTAATCTACCTCAAGCGCTTTCCGTAGAAATAGATCTTACGTGTCTTGTTTTGCAGATTCCCAGATCGCGAATGTTCCTCGTGTGACCTCTTGTCCATTTGTCCAGGAAATCGACGTTGTGTTCGCACCGACGGTTCTGGAAGGATGACACAGGACGCATAACTCCTTTTTTCCCGAGGAAATAACTTGGAAAAATGCGTGGAAATCAACAAAGTTATACTGCGGGAAAAACATGAGGAAAAAACGTGTAAAAGAACAAAGCATTTCCGCAGTTTTTCCACTGGAAATAAGTTGGTCGCCAAATATGGTAGTTTTGTCCGGGTTTTGGCATGTCCTGGCATGTCCAGTTGCCTGATATGGTAGGCAACTTATTTCCAAGGGAAAAACCGTGAGAATGTTTTGTTCTTTTCTCACTTTTTTCTCGAGGTTTTTCCTCTGAAAATATATTATTGATTTCCATGCTTTTTGCCAGGTTATTTCCAATGGATAAAAGTGGTAATGCTTCCTGTGTGAAGTGGGTCCGAGGTCTGTGGTCGTCGAGCCGTGGTGTGTCGCCGCTTTGTTGTCGGCACAATGCCTGTGAATCTTGGAAATATCCATTTGGATCGATACCGGAATTGGGAACTCGACCACCACTTTCAGTCGGTTGCGCCTGACGTCATCTTCATCTCGGATATTGGCCCGCCACTACCCGTCTTTATTTCAGCCTCTAACTCCTACCACGCTTTTGATCGCTGGCACCATCTGAACGATCGCGACATGAGCCACGACACTAATTCTAGCAGCGGTTTTTACGGCTCCTTGGAGCACTCTGGTAAGTTAACGTTCGGACCCACGCCGTTCGCACGATTTTCTCGGCTGGTGTTGACATTTGCAGCAGCCCAGCCAGCCAGGAATGAGATGGACTACTGGACGAAGAACTATCCTCCTGCCGGAGACAGTGCGCCCCATTGCTAACGACACTAGTTATATCCAGCTCATCCCCCCTAAGCGACATCGTCCGGTGGCTACAGCTCCTCCCATAACGCCTGGTCTAACGCAGTGCAACGCGGTCGGCCAGAAAAAGATGAGATCACGTTGGACGACAGCTCCCAGTTCGTCGACTCGTCCTCCAACGGCGGGCCTATCGTCACCGAGCTGCAGGACGCGCAGCAGGGAACGGATCGCGCTGCCCGCGGAGCATTCTCGCTCGGGGAGGCGATGGACCCGTATGCGCGGAGCAGCGTCGAGAGTAGGGAGGAGGCGGGAGAGATGCTCGCGTCGCGGTATGCCGATCGACGTAGGCAGCAGTAGTAGGGGGATCATGGCGATGTGAGCGTGCTGGAAGGTGGGTTGAATGATGCCGAATACAACAATGTTTCGTACTTGCACACTGTGCCAGTTAATATTGACCACACTAATCATGTCAAGGCATGGGTACGGCGGACGATGCGAATTAAGGTGAAGAGATTGGATGGAGCGATAACACACACTAGGAGAAGCTCGTCATTGGAGGTGATTTATCAGAAAGTTGGCCGTAGGAAATTTAAGCAACGCAGATACACAGAGTCCTTTCAGCCTGGAATAAGCCAGGGTAAGGGCAAAATGCACAGATCGTCAGAAATGAGACAAAAGAATAAAATATGTGTCACCATTTATGAATGAGATCGACTCGTCAAGATCATTTGAGTAGTAACGGCGGATATAAGCATGATGCTGTTGCAATAAGTGAATCGCGCCAGGACAGACACGATAGCGTATTCCCAACTCACATATAAGCGCAGACTATATATCACCTCTTGCTACAAGAATCGCCAGTATTTGCGCGTTGGTCCTCTGGATCCTCGGCTCCATTCCCTCATACTGGCGCACGCAAGTCAACGTACACCACCAAAGCTGGGAGCCCCTGCGTCATAGTCCAGCACGAACCTGTGCCTTCACTCTGTGCAGGATTCTGCGCAAAATGTACGACGAAGTCGAACTTCTTGGCCGTGCACTCCACGCGATTCTCGAGAGAGACTGGAATCGCCGCTAGTCCAGATGCTCCGCCTAGCATTGAGACGAAAAAGGCCAAAAGGGAGTGGTTATTGCAACCGCTCGGATTCAAAACGGACAAGGATGGTTCAGTTGTGCGGCGATGATACATGAGTATCGAAGATGCCCGCAGCGAGGTGAGTACTAACCCGAAGCCTGTGTCTGCATTATCACGCACAAATCGTTGATGTACAGCTTGATAGTCGCCAGTGACGAGGACGTCCGTAATCTCTCCGTGTCCAACAGGCCATAAGTCCCTGAGCTGAGTACTGTCACGTCCACACGCACGCCTCGAGGCGAGTCTGCCAAGGCCAACGCTAAAGCTGACACAGATAACTTCGTCGTCATCGGGTAATCGAGCGGGGCTACCTGCAACAATATGCCAGAGGATTAGCAAACGGAGACCCATCCAGAGACAAAGATAGCTGCCGCCCCTGCAGATAGAGTGATGTGGAACAAAGACTATAAAAGCTTCGCGCGCTGTACATGAACTGGATAGAGAACCGTTGTAGGTAAGCCAGCACAACAGCACTGCATCCAGGTCGTCCTGCCGAATTGATAGCAGCAGGCATCGGAATAATGCTTTTTGCAGCTCCGGGGAAGCCGTCAAGGATGATGTTAGCTCCGACGGCTTGTAGCGCCGCTCGACTTTAGGGCGACCTTGACGGCTCCTCGGTATTCCTCCCAGTTATAGGTGCGCATCAAAGACCCGTTCCCGGAAGTTAGGTAGTACGGCATAGGGTAAGAGCCTAATTTTCGGAGTAACTCCGCCAGGAGCATGGGGCGAATTGGTGTTTCTGCATGGTAAAAAAAGTCGCAACAAGAGTCGATCGACAGTTCCTCTAGTGCATGAGCTGGAAAGTCGTGACAATCGACGACATAATCCGACATCGAGGAAGGCACATAATCTGTGTGAGCAAAAACGATTCCACAGGAACACTAGACTCGAGAGCACTCCGAAATATGTACATAGCCCCTTGACAAAAAAGGGCGGATTCTAGTAGCGACGTCATAAATTGGTTTGGAGCGGGTGCGTGGAGCAAAACTGTGGCGGTGCACTCCGAGAGCGTTGTAAATATGTGGTGGCAGCAGAATCGCGGAAGTCAGTATGATTATGGAAGAAATAGATCCAGAGACGAGAGTCCACGCACTCGCAGGTCTCGACTCTCGTGCCATCGTAGGGATCATGAGTTCCTTGCCATCTCGTGTAGATCTCCAGGAGGAAGACGGCCAGGAAAACACAGCATACCCATCATTCTAATTGGGATCAAGAACACGCTCTCTAGTAGGATCTCAGAGCTATCTAGACGATTGAAAAGACACCTCACGTTCAGTGTGCTCCGAGTGACCAACAAAGCATCAGCAGGAATTCCTCGACGATCGCAGCAACCAGATAAATCGAGTGTTGGTCCTTTGACACAGATGGCTATAAAACGGACTCATCGCCTGGTCGCTACAGCAATAAGGTCAAGAGCGGAGAAAAATATAACATGCGCACTTCATTCAGAAACAAATTTTGTACGCAACGTGTCTGTACATTTTGATAGCAGCAAAGCCTGCCGAGTAACTCTGACAGTGAGAGCAAATGACTGCAGGTCAGAGAGGTCGGACTGGGAAGCGAACTTAGAGAGACGCCCGGAAATTGATCTTACCATGACTGTAATCCGAATTTATCAACTCCGCAGAATCTGCATGGTACACGGTGAGTACAGTATACGTATATTCAACACTAAAGACGGCACACACACATACTATCGTAGACAACTACAGACAACTTGGCTTAAACTATGACCGTGCAACAGACCACGAGATATTACAATATTGGACACCATACCGCTACCGCTACCGCCGTCGCCGCGGCGGCCATTGTATTTGAGACCTACCACCACTAGCGCAACCAGCATCCCATGAGGTTAAGTATTACGAACTGACAAAATCGGAGTAAATGCATCCAGCACAAAACCAACAGAAAGCACGGACCTAACACCACAAACACCTGGGACTTATGTACCCCAAAGTTGGCCAGTAGCGTCCGACGTCAAAGTGCAGGTTGCTGGCACTGGCAACGACATACTCGCGGAAGTCGTATCATACTCGCGCAGTTCCACGAACTCCACATAAGTACCCAGTACCTCAACTTCTGCGTGAAGATCCGATGCGTGCGACTCGAACTCCAAAGTGACACGATGTAGAGGGTGACCAGCACGAGCGCGCGTCTCTGTGAATGCAACCAACTTCGGGAAGTCTAATGTGGTGCCTTCGGGAATGCAAATACGTAGCGTGCTGAGGTGTGGACAAGGGGGGCCATTGGGCGTGGTATTAACTGGCGGAGAGAGATACTCAAACAGAAGATTCGGCGGCGCGCTGTCACGGTAGACGAGCGTCGAGAGCAATGGCAGCTGTTTCAGAAGCTCATAAATGCCTGCGAAGAACTCTATCACTACCTCGTGCGTTCCTATGAGGTACAGCTCCTGCACTCCCTCCAGGTGCCACAATGCCCAGACCGTTGGTGTCCATATTTCCGCTTCAGGATTTGAACGGACTGTTTCAACGCCAATGCTTGAAGACGAATCGGTAATGGACACGGAAAGTCCGTTAGATGTCTGCCGGACATGCATTGTTCCCGGATCGATGGACGGAAGAAGAGGTAACAGCACCTTCAGCTCTGAGCCGCCACTCGTACAGACAACATTAGAGATACGGACTGCCGCAAAATCTGCAGGGATTGTGATGTGCTTGAGAAGCCACTTGATCACATCTTGGTGTGCCCCACCAATCTCGAGTCGCTCGAGACGTCGTAGGGTGATAGAAGGAATACCATCCAACACCGTCCACGCTGAAAAAATGTTCCACAGAGAAACAACTTCCAGATTTGGACAACCGGCCATGAATATAAGCAGCCTGGGCAGGACCCACACTGAATTGCGTAGCGGTTGTACGTGTCGAATACGTTTGAAGGAAAGACAGATATACAGGTGTGTGAGGCTGATGAACATGTTTGCAGGAAGCCAAGTTGAAGATCGTAATGCCAGCGTTTTCAACTGAGGAGCATGGTCCTGGAAAAGAGTCGGATAGAAAGGTCCTCCTTCAATGGCGGATGAGGATACTGTAAAATGTTCGAGTGCAGACGCCGGGAAATCCGTACAAAGATGTATATGCTGAAGCTCAAGTGGCTCCAAGGATTCGTGTGCCAAGCCATGATTATTGGGCTGAGCTGTAAGGCGGAATGCAAACGAGCGATCCTCGGGAAAGTACAGATGCAAATTATGGATGCGCCAGCCACCGGATTTGAACAATGGGAGAGTAACAGGACTCGGAAAGTACCGATCAACACACACATTCAGTGATATCGTCCCGCATTTTATCACTTCTTGTATGATAGAGGAATTGGAACCGCGGAAATCATGGACTGTGTTGGACAACGAGGGAGTGTTAACACAAATCTCACGCCAGTACCGGCAAACCTGCTTTAGTTTGATGAGCTTTCGAGTAGACTTCAACGTGGCGGACGGCCAAATGAAGAGCTCCCAGTGAGGAGCCGCCATGGGATCCAAGACGTGTAAAAATGTCGTAGCAAGAAGCTCAGGAGCCAGTTCGTTGATGTAACATGAAGATCCAAGCGAATACTGAAGAGCTGTGGAGTCGGCCTGCTTAGAATCTTCATGAAAATACTGCTTCAAAAATCATCACCAGCTAAGGAGCAGAATCAGAGTTGTACGCACCGGGCGGGACAAAGAACTGCATACGCCGATTTTCAGCAAGTTTTACCGACGTCATTAAAAATGGACGTACCCGATGTCTAAAAGTTCACGGTAAGATCTTGCGGAGGGTGCACCCAGAAAATCAGGATGGCTTTGTCCTGCCATCATGTCGAACG